GTCTGTCTGTCTGTTTGCTCCGGCTTATCTCTGAAATGGCTGGACCGATTTGACGGAACTTTTTTTAGTAGGTAGCTGATGTAATAAGGAGTAATTTAGGCTACTTTTACATTTGGAATAATAAAGTTAAATTCCACGCGGACGAAGTCGCGGGAACAGCTAGTATACTATATAGGTGGTGGTGTATCGGTGCTACCGTGGCAGATTACCATCGTCAGTGCCGTGACCACATCCATAGACGGCCTCGGTGGTATAGCTGTTTAGCACACCGCTTTACGTCCGATGGTTGCGGGTTCGATTCCTAGCACGGCACACATATGTAGTCATGAGCCATACTGTTTGTATCGGTCTGGGTGTCTTCTATGTATAATATGTATGTATTTAAAAAAAATCTATGTATTTTTATCAGTTATCTAGTGCCCATAACATAAGTTTTAGCTAGCTTAACTTGAGTTTAGATGGTGCTGTTGTAACTGTTCTGTTTGTAACGGTCTGGGTATTTTCTATGTATAATATGTATGTATTTTAAAAAAATCTATGTATTTTTATCAGTTATCTAGTGCCCATAACATAAGCTTTAGCTAGCTTAACTTGAGTTTAGATGGTGCTGTTGTAACTGTTCTGTTTGTAACGGTCTGGGTATTTTCTATGTATAATATGTATGTATTTAAAAAAAATCTATGTATTTTTATCTAGTGCCCATAACATAAGTTTTAGCTAGCTTAACTTGAGTTTAGATGGTGCTGTGTGAATTGTCCTGAGATTATTATTATATTATTAATATAATTTACTAGTTTGAGCGACGAAATAACTAGCGAAGCTTCTCGAGCCCCTTGTTCTCACGGATACATTACAAATACTTGTATTTGCCGGCTTGTTCTATACTATAACACGCATGTATTATATCTAGGTACATAAACCTTCCTTATGAATCACTCTATGTATTGCTAAAAACGTCATTAAATTCGATTGCCTAATTTAAAAAATATGTTATTATGAACAGACGGCGACTTTGTTTTATATATAATATGTAAAGATTCTGTTCACTATTTTCGCTCTTGCGACTCCACATCTCATCTTACTAATATTATAAACGCTAAAGTTTCTGAATATGGATGGATGTTGGTTACTCTGTCACGCAATTCGTCTGGTAAAGCTGTAAAAGCCAGCTGGACGTAACAACATTAGGGTATATAGGTAGTCCGAAAAAAAAACACAAAAGCTACTGAATTACTTAGTTTAATATTTATTATTTGTTTGTTATTACTTTTTTGTTTTTTACATTTACAGGTTTTTTACTACCTATGTAAAATTACATATATATATATATATATATATATACTTAAATAAAATTCTCGTGTCAGTTTGACCGATTTTTATGAAATTTTATATGCATATTCAGCAGATCTGAGAATCGGCTACTATCTATATTTCATACCGCTAACTGATAAGGGTTGTCCATCCCTAGACTTTTAATTTATTTTATGGACAAAATATTTTTTTTTTATAATGTGGCATTAAAAAATACATACAACCCTCTATTTTTACTCTTCTATCACCAACCCCTATTTTTTAATAGCGATTTTAATTTATATGACAAAACAACGTTTGCGGTGTCAGCTGGTACATATTATACCTACATAGATACATTAAGACATCATACTAACTAACATTTAATTAAATACTTCCTCTCCCCAACTGTCATAGATTAGAACTAAACTCCGGTTAATGGAGGTCACGGAGTTACGACTTAATCCGATCCTGAATACATTATTATCATCATTACGGAGACCCCGTTTAAAATGACCATTGATCGGTAACTTTAAGTAGTTGCAAACATTTAACTAATTTAATCCGCAGGGTGGACAGACAGAGAGAACTTTATCTTTTATAATTATATTACAAATCAGTTCATTAAAATATTAATAATCTACACTCCCGGATTTTCGATCGAGCTCTTTATTTCGATTGTCTGATTTGTAGTTAGGTTTTGTTGACCCAGCGTCGTGTAACTAGTTCTATGTTTCTTTTTTATTTCTTTATTTAAATACTAGTGACCAGTCCCAGCTTCTGACAGATAAATTGCAAATCTTTGAATTTCTCGGCTTGTTCTATACTATAATATACATGTATTATTACATATAAACTTTCCTCTTGAATCACTCTATCTATTGGTGAACTACATTAGGATCCGTTGCGTAATTTAAAAGACAAGCGAACAGGCAGCTGTGACTTTGTTTTATACTATGTAAAGATAATTAAAGTTATACAAAATATAATTTAAATCTAAAACTGTACCAACACTACGTCGTATATAAAATTCACATGCCACAATGTTAGTTGCCATACTTCTCCGACACATCTTACCGATTTTTATGAAATTTTATATGCGTATTCAGTAGGTCTGAGAAGCGGCTACTTTTTATTTTTCATACCCCTAAATTGTAAGGGTTGTCCATCCCTAACATTTTTTTTTATAATCTAGCATTAATGAAATTCTAAAATTCCACCCTTTTATCATGTTTTAATAGCGATATTAGTGCTTAATTTTATATGGCAAAAATATATAATAAATTTATAATTTTTATATCTTACACATCTTATACTTATTCTTACACCCTGCTCTCATCATTCTTTAAAACCATGTCCTTGAGACAACACCGTCGGTCCCTTACGTCGGATATATTTCCTGTTTTTATATTCGTCGTCTTGAATCATTACATTTCTCTTCAAATAGTCATCTTAGAAACCTCAATAGAACGTCATTTATTTTTGAATCTAATGTTTTATACTTTGACGTTGGCAAACAATCATATACGGCACAGATTATAGTAGACCATTACCATAGCCTACGCACGCTTGAAACACCAGGGGTGTCAAGTGCGCGTTGCCGGCCCTTAACTCTTAATCGAACACACAATAATATATAAGCACTCTCATATATTTTTTTTTCACACACATATCCACATATACAAACTCAACAACTGTACATATTGTATACTAAGATTTATATCCTTTCAACAAGTTTTGTAATAAGTAATTTATTTGTTTAGTTTAAGTTTCGGCACTGTTTGGTCTTTTCTATCAACATATTGTTATATTATATTACTTGTATATTTATTGACTGTTATGTGCCAAAATAAAATAAAAAAATTTAAGAAACTTATAAACCATTCTTAAATATTTCTGTAATCTCTGAGAAAACCTCGGCAGGTAGTTCATTCCACAATCTAAAAGCTCATCTGACACTGCACTGTACGAGACCACTTAAGAGCTGCTTGTGGGGTTGAATTCATATTCAATCAATCCCTATAATATAGTTGAGTGCAATGATGACTGGCTCATCCGTCATACTCGTGAACGGATGCTGCTTGTGGGGACTGGTCTGTTCGGGTTACGAACACTGATTACACTATTTGCTTTTGCAATAGCATATGCTGGTAGTCTCTCTATTCTTACAAATTTGAACTTAAAAATGAATTTGCATATTATTGTAAACATGTACAACATTTATTTGAGAAGAATACGAGCCGAGTTTCTTGTTCTGTTCTTCTTCTCTCATCTCGAAATCATTCCGAACTGACGGCAGATTTGACATATCATAAGAGTCTGTAATAGACCTACATGAATAAAGATATTTTGAATTTGAATTTGAATTCATACATAGTTAAATCATCCATTAAAAATTCCAGGAAATTAAAACAATATTTCTAATAAATAAGTATTTATTAATTTATTAAACATAAGTACATGTTACATTATATTTAAATAATTTCCTTATATACAAACGAATTGAATTTAAACTATTTAATAATTTCATTAGGCAATTACTATATATATGCCTTTTTTAACTATTTTGAATACGTAATTAATATACAACGTGCTACCAAATATGCATTTCCTTGTACATTTATTTATACTGTATGCGGCGATCAAGCATACGGCTAATCTGATGGTGAACTGTTACCGTAGCCTAGAGACGCCTAAAACATTAGAGGAGTCACATGCGTTTGCTACCCTTAAGATACCATAGATAATATAAGAGGCGATTGTTAGTATAAGGGTAGTGTCCATATTGGTAGCAGTATACTATGTCAGGTCGACCACCACGGGGTCACCTTTGGTAACTGCCATGGTTAATTTATAGCAAATTCGCCAGGATTGGATAACTGGCCGATTTCATGCTCTTATCTTCCTCCATTGGTACCTCGCGTACCTCTTGAAAGAACACATGCTGTAATCTTTCATGAACATGTATATAGTATTGAATGACATTTTTATACAAATGGAATGGTCAACAAGCGGCCCACCTGATGGTAAGTTGTAACTGTTGCCTATTATACATGAACAGCAATACGTACATCACGTTATCATGTGACGCCCGTGATATCACTCATTCGTTGCCATTCCAGAGTACTAAGATGTCACGCCTCTTACCCTGTAATTTCACTGTCTAATCTGCACCCTACAACCGAAACAGCTTACAAAGCAAGCTGCTTGGCGGCTGGAATAGGTGAGACTGAGATACTCAAGATGAGTTTTTACAGTCAAATTTACTTACAATAATGGAAGTTGGTAATTAATTTGATATATTCGCGTTTTTTATTAATGATTAGGTAATTGAAGCAAGTATAAAATTAAAAAAATGACCTGTACAACATTCAAAACAAGTTTTGTATACATGTCATATGCTACTTACTACGAGTGAGACAAGACAAAGAACAATAGAGAAATAATAATAAAGAACCCTGGACATCTAACACAGCAGCAGGGCTTGTATTATGGGTACTAGAGATAGAACAGATATAAATAATTAAGATTTTTTTTAAACTACTACATAATATACATAGAAAACACTCAGATCGATACAAACAATCATACTCATGAATACAAACGTTTGTGCCGTGCGAGGAATCGAACCCGCGACCGTAGAAAGGAAGGCGATGTGCTAAACAGCTAAACTGTGAAGCCTATCTTCTAGATGACGTAATATAGTTAATTAGTGTATCATTTATGACAAATATCAATTTTTTTTTTTCAAGATACTGAAATAGCAAATTAACTCACGGTCCACGTGATGGTGAGTGGTAACTTCAATTTGTTTCCGTATGTAATGTCAGACACAGATTTTACTATTATATATTAGCAACCCGCCAACTACGCAGGCGTGCAATTATTCTGACCAACTCTCCAATTATAGAAACACCGATAACAAACTAATCCAAGAGATGACGGTAACATTTTATCTTATTTATTTATATTATTTAATATTGTAATCTTTTTATGTTATTATAATGAACCAGCTTATGACCCGCCTGATGGTAAGTGTTAACCGTCGTCAATATACATGAACAGCAATATCATCACGTTATCATTCCAGAGCACTAAGCTGTCATGCCTCCTATAAGGTGTAAGAGGTTTAACTATAGAGCTGGAGTGTAGTAGAGTCCAGATGTTGTCTACGCTGCGCAGACGGTGGAGTCCAGAGGTTGCAGGTGCAGCTTCACATCATCCGATTGCAGCTCACCCACTAGCTCGCGGAGTCTGTAGAGCAGATTTCAATATTTTTACTTAGTTACGATTTGTAGTATTTGAGAGATATATATTTATTTTATTTATTTATTTCAGGCTACTAGGCCCATATCATAAATATCTTATAAACTAACATACATAAGAATTAATATTGTAAAACTAATATATTGATATTGTCTGTGTGATCACGGCACTGACGGCGGCAATCTGCGACGGTAGCGCCGGTACACCACACTCTTCGGACAGTAGTCCTCCTTCATGAAGGTGGGCAGCATGTTGGTGGGGATTCGGGCCACAAACGCCTTGAAACTCGCGTTGTGGCTCGACTCCAGCTGCGTCACCCTCAATGTCAGGTTACTCTTGGTACGGATATAATCGACAATGTCGACAATGTTTATATACAGGGTTCTGGTTAGTTTACATTATTTCTGTCAGATTTCACTATGAGACCCTATCCTAAATCTAACCGTTTTCGAGATGTTTGAATTTAATTGTCTTCTTTACAAAAAAATCCCGATTTTCGATTGTTTATTGATTAATAATTTAATAATAAATTATTATTATTATTAATGAGTATACATACTTGGCGAGTTGGCTGGGCGTGACGTAGACAGTGTCAGCTGAGGGGGCGGAGTCAGCCGCTGGGTACTGCAGCGTGCCGACAGCTAGCGAGCGGCCCGACAACGCCTGAGGAAAAAACAATAACCCGGCATAAATGTAACATCCTGTATAAATCACATTAAGTAGAGATTGCGGTTTTGGTATTATATTATTATTAGGCGGAATAATTATCTATCTTTATATATAATTAGTCAATTTTATTTTATCCGAATTTTATGACCCGTTTGTTATATTTACCCGTGATCATGGCGATTGAAACACTACCGAAGTTAATAAAAATAAAACGTGATAAGATCAAGAAAAATAATGACTGCTTCAAATTTATAACAGTATATAGGTATCTTTATTCATAGTATAAAACAAAGTCGTCGTCGCTGTCTGTTCGCTTATATCTTTTAAACTATGCAACGGACTTTAATGCAGTTTTAGACAACAAGTACAAAAGAAAAAAGATAGAGTAATTCAAGAGGAAGGTTTATATGTATAATACATGTGTTATAGTATAGAAGCCGAGAAATTCAAAGATAAGTAAGTTAGTATATATTATTAGTAATATATATTATCTGTGGTCACGGCACTTACGACGATAATCTACCACGATAGCGCCAATACACCATCCCCTATATAGTATATATGCGACGGCGACGGTTACCCCTTACCATCAGGTGGGTTAATGCTTACTACTATTATAAATGCGAAAGTAACCTGTCTGTCTGTGTCGCTTTCACGCCAAAACTATTGAACCGAATCAAATCAAATTTGGTCCGGGCTCTGAGAAGGGACATAGGCTACTTTTTAATGTGAAAAAAGGGTTGTAAGGCGTTGAAAGAGGAAATGAAAGTTTGTATTGAAGTATCGTCATTAAAGCTAGAAGCTACGAACTTATTTTTTAGGCTATTGATTAAATATATATATATTCTTTATTGCACTTTTAAATACAGTTCTAAACTTAAATATATACAAAGTGAGCAAAGGTGGACTTATCTCTAAGAGAGATCTCTACCAGTCAACCCAACAATGTGGCATAGCTAGTATTGAGTAGGTAACACCTGTGCAATTAAAACTATTATGTTAAAATCTCCAAAAGATGAAAAAATAAAATATTTAAAATTCAACATATTAAATAAAGTTCGAATTATATTATAATTATAATAAAATATACAATAATAAATAAAATAAACATTAATAAAAGTTATATATATATATATACATACATATACAATTACTATAGATATCTACATATATTACACAAAATACAAATAATAAAATACATGATGAAAAATCATACTAAGGTCGATAAATAGTACGATTTCAACCTTTTCTTAAAACAACCGATTGATGGACTTTCCTGTATCTGTACTGGTAGTTTGTTCCATAACCGAGCATTCATAAATAAATATGACATTCAAAATTTGTAAAAATGTCACCCTTAAGGGGTTAAATAAAATAGTCGATGAAAATTAGTAGTAATTTTGAAACTAGAACAATTTTTTTTTTTTGTTAGATTATGCAATATTTTTCTTTATTTGGTCAAGGTCACTATTCCACGCGGACAAAGATATATCACAAGTATTAAAAGATATTTTGATTATGAAATACACTCACGGCGGCTAATTCAGGTGCTGGAAACTCTGCGAAGTCTGCCTCCACGCAGCGCCAGGGTCGGTGAAGGAGCAACTGGTTCTTCACCTCAGCTTGTAGGGCCGTCAGTCGCTCCTGATTATTCATTAAGACATATTATTATCATAATATTTAGAATAGAATATAATACAAAATCCTTTATCTATACATATTAATAAAATTGAAGAGTCTGTTTGTAATATTGAATTAACAGTTTTTACTACATGCATATAAATGTACCGTATATATGCATGTAGTAAAAAACTTTAAAAAACTTTTTTTAGTATATAAATGTACCGTACATGCACCAAAATAACATTTTTTACAATTTTTGTCTGTCTCTCTGTCTGTTTGTTACGGCTAATCTCTGAAATGGTTAATGTAATAAGGGGTAACTTAGGCTACCTTTATTTTAGAAATTTCTTTTATTTTATAAAAATAAAGTTAAATTCCACGCGGACGAAGATGCGTGTACAGCCAGTTTTAAATAAACTTTATTTATGCACTTTTGAATAGTCACAGTTCCTTCTTTTAATCTAGCACTCATTCGGAAAGCTGTCTCATCACAAGAAGATAATAATAATCAAAAAATTTCTAACATCCTCAATATAACATCTTCACATAGCGCAACCTCTTCCACACTTGGGTAAAGCCCGTCAGTTGTCTTAAACAACTGAGTACTATACTACAGTACAACAGCTTGTCTAGTGCCCATAACACAAGCTCTGCTTGGCATGGCACTAGAGAACGCATTTTAAATTGTTTTCATATTATATTTATTTATTGACTAGATGGCGCTGTTTAATTGACCTATATCATTATTATTGTCAGATAGAACAAGAATATGCCGTTCATCATTCCAAGTCATAAAGGTATACCTCTAGTTGCCTCCTGACTTCCCTCTGCTTCTCCTTGTGCTGCTGCAGAGCTCTCGCGTACTTGCTGGGATCCTCAGGGAACTTCACGAGACCGGACCGGGCCACGAACAGAGTCCACTCCTGTTTGATTTCGATATATATTTGAACAGTTTTTTACCCTATTCGTTCTGTAGATTTTGCCAAGTCAAGTGGAAACGCCACTACACATCCTATGTGGTTGTAGCCCACTCATGCTTAAACGAAATATTTCTTTTGGAAAGTACACTCCATCCTGAGGAGATAAAAACCATCGCTCCTAAGAATATCCTTCAATTCTCATCCATGACGTAGATAGTGAACTTTAAAAAGGGCGAGCACAATAGATCTATGCGAGACGCAGTGTTACATGTCTTACCACAAAACTTTCACATTTCCTATTTTTATTACTATCTTAAATAATTTAAATGAAATTTGGTACACAGATAGTATATCTAAACCCTGAGAATGGGGGGGAAGGGAATTGTCAGTAATGTCGATTGATAACCCCATTGCTAGCAATGTACCATGTCAGGTTGACCTCCACGCGGTTCCCCCTGGAAATCATCGTGTTAAATTCCTGGAGAATTTGTCACGATGGGCTAACTGACCTGACCTCATGCTCATCTTATCATCCTCCACTGTTGCCCCGCCAACATAAACTGTTAGCGCAGGCGGGTGCACCATTCCATTATGATCCATAAAAAAAAAACCCTGAGAATGGAATAACGATACTCAAATTACACTTCTATTAAAACCATAACTTTCTAAATCTGTATAAACTCTGCTGAAGCGAGCGTAAACCACAGGCCACAACCACAACCACAACCGCAAAGTAACCACAACCGCTAAAGCACTGAGTACACCAAAGAAATTCATTAAAAAAAAACCTGAGAATGGATATAGGTTACTTTTTAATACGATAATAGGGTTGAAAGGCAAAATGAAAATATATGGATTATATGGAAGTAGCGTTATTTTTTATGCTACACGCCTGAAACTTATTTTTGGGCTATTGATTAAATATAAGTAAATAGAACATTCAAAGTTTATAAAAATTTCACCCTTGGGGGGAACATATCGTTATTTATGAATGATGAAACATTTTTCTTTGGCTCTTTTGGGTTATATTATTGAATACTAGTTGTGCCTGCGATTTTCCCGTTAACTTTCAATAAAATATACAGCCTATATGTTATTCTGATGCATATGCTATATTACTGCAAAGTTTTATCCAAACCCGTTCAGTAGTCTTTGCGTGACAATCATCCATACTTATAAACTTTCGCGTTTATAAAATTTATAAAAAATTTTCATTATTTAGTCACTATAACACGCGGACGAAGTCGCGGGCACAGCTAGTAGTTACATAAAACATATATATACTAACAGTGTGTAGTGTTGCCAGCTCCTTCTCAAGTACAGCAGCAGCCTGTCTCCTGGCGCGAGCTGCGTCAGCCGACGGGTGTTCCAGCGGCCGAAGGTTCCTGATGGTGGCACGTTCAGCTCGCCTGCAGGCCGCCACGCGCGCTGCCCTTTCGCGTTCCACAGTCCTGAAAACATTTTGAGGTTTTTTTTTATAGATGATAATGGTCAAGATCGCTAGAAGGCGTTGGATGCGAGCAGCGACCGATCGTCGTGGAGATCTTTGGGGGAGGCCTTTGTTCAGCAGTGGACGTCCTCCGGGCTGCGATGATGATGATGATGATGGTTATGATGATGATGATGATGAATTAGTGCCCCCGTCTGCGCTAACAATTTACACTAGCGGGGCACCAGGTCAAGATGGTTTCCAAGGGAATTGTATGGAAGTCAACCTGACATGGTACACAGCTACCATTGGGGTCATTAGTCCACATTACTAACAATCTTTTTACCCTCATGATGATATAAATTTGACCGGAGTAGACATTGTGCAAAGAGTAGTTTCTTGACAGTAAATTTTCAGCAGGGTGAAGGTGATTCTTAGCAATATACCGTCTTAGGTTGAACTCCATGAGGTTCTTCCTGGTTACCATCGTGGTAAATTGCCATTTGCCAAGTGCTAACTGACCTGACCAACAACCAACCAAACCAACTGATCTGACCTCATGTTCACCTTATCATCCTCCACTGGTACTTCGTAAACCGTTAGAGCAGACAGGTGCACCATTCCATTATTATTGTTTTTTTTTAATTATGACTTGACTTCTTAAGTCAGAAGTCAAGTCAAGTCATAAAAAAAGCGCTATTGTGCCGGTTAATAATGAATGTTGAATGATGAGATATGACAGTAAAATAACAGGGTCCGGAATAGCACCCACGGTAGTCACACGACGACATGAAGTCATGTATATAGGCGACGGTTACCATTTACCATCATATTGTCCCATAAAAATAATTACATTAAAATTTTAAAAAATTACTCACCAACTTAGAACCTTGAGCTGATGCTGCAGAGCCTCGTTCACTTCACCAGCCACCACTCCTGGAGCCACCTTCATCGGTGCCTCTTCTATAGAACATTAAGTTAATTTAGTTATATTATATAAATTTTAGATACATGTTTTTTTTTATATATTTTATTATATTAAATTGTTAAGTTGTTACATTAAATTATGTAATGAACTTATTTTGCGATAATTATTATTATTTATATATATATATATATATATAATTTATATTTATTCAATCCCTATACACAGTTATGAAATATTAGTGCAAAACGAACATTAGTTTTAATAATAATAATAATATTACAATAAATTGTTTAATTAAAATTATAATAATTTATTTAACATTACATTATTAATAAATATAGGATTTTTTACAAGAACAATGTAATTAGCAACTTAACTAATAAATAGCATCCGACCGAATTTTCGATGATCGTTATCGGTCCAATATTTTTATATCGGCTACAAAACTATAATTTAAAAATATATTTTATTTTAATTTTGAAATAAAAATGATGTAACTGGCTGGTCAACTTTTTTGTTGTGGAAATTAAAAATATAAATTACTGACACAGTAAAAAAAATAACAGCACTGTGTTAATCATTTTAAAGCTGAATAAACTGTATGCTTGAACGTACCCGAATATTACATAGTTTATTTAAAAAAATAAAGATGTATGTACAATTGTTAAGACCATATCCCGGAGTCAAAAATAATAAAAAAAAACAACCTTGTCTCTTACAACAAAATAACTTTTATATGAAACTGTGTATGCTTTTTTTTAATCAATTTATGGTGTTTACACAGATTCAATTTTTATTTCATTCTCATAAGGCTATGAAAGGCAGAAAGGTGAATAATTGTGTTCTAAATTTGAAAAATTCAAAAGCCATAGTGGTACTACGGTTAATCATGAACATTCATGTACCAATACATTATGAATACATTATGGGTTGTATTACACAAAGGATAAGGTACAATTTCACTGTCACTAATACAGTGGACTCTGCATTTTTAATTAGGCTAGTACCAACTCTTATAGAACTTAGTGATAATTGTGTTCTAAACTTGAAAACACATTTAATTGATGATTTTTTAAGTAACATTACATTATCACCTTTAGTTCACATAAAATAAGGTACAATTTAATTCTGGTACTACTACGTCTGACTATTTTTTAATTTATTATTATTTTAGCTGATACATTAACAGCTTTATTAACCCAAACATAAGATATAATTTTATTAGTATCCAAAGAATATAGTCAACTAAGATAAATTCAAGCATACAGTTTAATGGTACTTATTAGTTAATGAAACAATGACGTCACGATCACTGTACAGGGTGTTACGGAATTGCATTCGAAAATAGTCAATAATGCATTATTATATACAAATAATTTTGATTTTTATTTATTACAAATAATACGAGCAACTACCGCCATTTCTTTTAAATAAAACAGCGTATCGAGCCACGAGCTATATCTACTAATTTTGTATGTATTCTCGTTTTTAAGTTATATATACCATATAGTTCAGTATCCTATAGCAAAATTTAATTATAGTTTTTGTATGCAACAATTATAATTTTTCTTTGGGCACTGCCAGTTAAGTTTCCACTCTGTATCATATATATAATCGTGTACCTTTATTTTCGAATGCACTACCCTTACGTTCTGTATACAGTCATGCATATTATTAACGAATAAAATTTAACACGTAGAATAAATTATTAATATTTCTATAAATAAGCTTGGGATATTAAATACAAGATTTCTATAAACTTTACCTTACCTTAATTTAATAAAATAAACTGAGAAGTAATCTAAGAGCTGTAAACAATTCATATATATGCAATTTTAACTACAATTTCTTTTTAAAGTTTAAATATTTATTTATATAATGCAATTCAACATTTCAATATACTAACCTTGACTGATATTGAAATATAAAAATTCATTAAATCATAGAAATGGTCCAAAATCGATTTTATTACCTTAAATATATAGTTCAAATATCTCAGGACAATTCACACAGTGTCATCTAGATCCAAGTTAAGCTAGCTAACGCTTGTGTAATGGATACTAGATAACTGATACATATACATAGATTTTTTTTGTAAATACATACATATTATACATACAAAACACCCAGACCGATACAAACAATCATACACATGACTACAAATGTTTGTGTCGTGCGAGGAATCGAACCCGCGACCATCGGTCGTAAAGCTGTGTACTAGACCGCTAGACCACCGAGGTCGTCAAAATAAACATAATTGAAGTGGTTTTCTGTTTGTATTTATTGTTTAAATAAATATCTCTTCTCTCTTGCAGTAAAGAGATCGTCGTTAAATGCTTGTCTTGTAAAAAATTAACATTTTGAATACTGCCATTTTTCTATTTAACCGACGATTTGTTAAGGAAAATGTTGGAGTGGTGGCGTCATCAACAACTAAAGAGATCGTGGAAAATGGCAAGAGCTCCACCGACAAGAGCGCGAATTTTAAATTATGAATGAATTAATAAACTTTTATGAATTCAAATCATCACTACATAATATAAAACAAAGTTGCTGTCGCTGCCTGTCCGTCCCTATTGTATGCTTAAATCTTTAAAAATAAGCAACGGATTTTAAGCGATTTTTTAACAGATAAGAGTGATTCAAGAGGAAGGTTTACATGTATAATACATGTACACCCGTGCGAAGTCGAGGTGGGTAGCTAGTATAATATAAATACAAATTAAAACAGTAATACAAATTGCGATCAGCTCTTAGAGTATTCCATACAAATCTTACACATAACACGTAATTATTTGCAAATTAAAAAAAACTGAACCCATGCAAAACCTGTATGAGAGACAACATTAAAAATTAATTATAAACATCAATAATTGCTATAATATCTTACGCGGGATCTCTTTTGGTGCGGACACTGGTGTCGCCGCCGCTACGTCAATTAAAAAATTATTTGTTATGTACATTCTTCTTACATACCACACACACAATATTGTTATAATGTAATAATGAATCTGCATTATTATTATGGCACATGTACAACATTTATTTGAAAAGAATACGAGCTGAGTTTCTTGTCAGTTCTCATCTCGAAATCATTCCGAACTGACGGTAGATTTGAGATATCATAAGTCTGTAATAGACCTACATGAATATAGATATTTTGAATTTTAACTTCAATATTCATACATACACTAATAGTGATATAATTCAGTCGCCAGCTTAACACATGAGGGCGCGTTCACTAGTTTAAGTTTCAAATGCGTTATTTGTATAATTAACTTCAGGTAAAATAACTATTAATAATATAATAAGGAACGTAATACGACTGTAAAAAATATAAATAATAAATATAAACAACATACTGTTTTAAATTAGACGCGATTATTATTTATACATATAATAATTAGTAAAAATCACGGGATCTTACCACGTTTTATATTTATTTACTGAGTTTCCGATATTTCGGCTGTGTTTCAACCGCCATGATCACGGGTAAACTGTTTACATACTAATAAAATAAACCACTATTGTAATCACTATTAGGAGGCCTGTACACACATAAGGATATAATTTTCTAGTTCCTTTCAAGATAATTCTATACAACACTCAATAGAAAGTCTAACAATGTCAGCACGTTCCTTTACTTTAATATTATTTCTATCTAAATAAATATAAAACGTGGTAAGATCCCGTGATTTTTACTAATTATACGTATAAATATAAACAAAATTGTATAATAAATAAATCCAGTAAATACTAGTAAATAATAAAAATATGAATAATTCTATTTAATTATTCATACATTATCAAAATCTGAAATTATATGCAAGCATGTTACACTTAACAAAAAAAATGTAATAACTCAGAATACATACGAACTATATTACATTACATTATATTACAGTATATTTCTCATTTAAGTTCATTATGGCAAAAGCTTTTAAAGTATTTTTTATAATGTTATAAAAAAACACTACACAGGCAAATACATAGAGAAAACAATTAAATTCTAATCTCAATTGTAACATTCATAGACAAGATTTTTTCTTAAACATTCCCTCTATTATACCAGTACAATATATTAAAAAGATAAAGCTAGCGACAGACTTCTTGTATTTGTAATAGAGTTGAATTCTCTATATTAGTTACTTTCCCAAGACATTTACGTAGTTCCTCTACTTCTTCAAACGTTCTTTGATAAACGAAAGAACGAAAAATAGCTATGTTATTAATTTATATGTCGGACATAGCAGCGAGAGGTATACCAGCAAAATTTCTCAGAAATCTTCAATCTAGAACCGCAGTAAGTTCTGTACTAAAACATGTATCTAAAGCTGCACTAGCAGGTTCCTACCAGATTTGTCTGGCGGGCGAGAAACACGAGCGGTGAAGGTGAGTGTTAACGTATGTCGGCAAAGGGGCCTCTTAAACCTACACCCAAGTCACAAGTGCCGGGAACTACTCGGAATTTACCTCTCTGCCTCACGATGGGCCCGGCACCCGCATATGGAATGTTTTATTTCGTGAAAATATGCTTGTTTTGGACGATTCACGTTAGCATTGTCTTTTCATTCCTCAACGTGTTGTCCCTTTATTAAGAGCTCTTTTAGTATTTAAAAAAAAGTGACGAAAATCTTTTTTTATTAATTGAAATGAGTTTTACCTCCATAAAAGTGTAAGTCATTAACATGTATTAATAATTTGATTTTAGCAAGTTTATAAGCACGTTTAATTTCGTAATAAGAAAGAGTGACGTCGCGAGGTGGGCTGGTAGCGGCGAAGAGAGGACATCAGCAGCGGAGAGCGGGGAGAGTCCGCTATCATATTGTGAGTGTAAGAAACATGTCCGTCAAAATTTCACTTCTACTGTGTTTCCGAGCACACATTTTAGTGCTTTTTTAACATAATTATACATGTATAAGAACCTATTATTTCCGCTATATACATCTACTATATTCAATATATGTCTATATTTTCAGAAATAAAATAAAACTAAAACCAAATTTTCCCTCAGCTCAATATTAACATTAACATTGTTATGCTCATGTTACATGTGTTACATTACATTACGTTATGTGATATTACAATGATATAAGTCAGTCGCCAGCTTAACACATTAGGCCGCCTTCACACCTGTAGGTTTTAATAATGTCAATTACACAACACAATGGACGTAAGATAAAGTAATTTTTACAACCTAATAAGAAATCCTAATCAATTTGTAAAAATTATTTTCGTACTGACATATGATAAATGAAAGAAAAATAAATATATTTAACATATAAATAATTTTTAACTTATAAAATAAATATAAATGACCAGCCATAAAGGGGCATATCCAGCCAAAACTTAGATTTAAAAATAAAAGAACATTTTCAAAATCATTGTTAATTTTCCAATTCACTTTTTAGAAAAATTATACAGCGTCATGAATACAATCACTGCCATTCTATTTGATGTAGTATACTAACTTATTTAGTTTTAAAAATAACAAAATAACAAATAAAGAATGAGTTTATGAAAAACACTACAAATCTAGTATAGTTTTAAAATTAAAAAAATAGTAACAAGACTGTTTGTCTCTGAAAATGACATCTTAAGTTTCATTAGCGTACTTGCGTAAGTTGCAGGTTTATAAATTTAAAAAAATCTGTAAAAAGAGTGGGTTTATGAAAAGATATCATATCATACGTAAATAATACAAACATACAGGTGTAAGGACGGTCTTTTGTATAGTTAGATAAGTAATGAAAAGCATGCTATTAGCAAGCTACGGGTTGCTTACGTGCGTAGTCCCGTACTGGCGTCGCCGCCGCCGCTGTTTGTAACATACAAACATTTTGTTACAAATTTTATGTACGATGATATCACGTTATCATGACACCTGTGATACTATTCCAAAGACTATGTCGTGCCTTTTATCCTGTTATTTCACTGCCCATTTTCACCTTACAAATTAATAAATAATAATAACCATGGAGTCCTGGACAATTAACACAGTCCCCTCTAGTCCCGAGCTAAGCAAAACTTTTGTTATGGGGACTAGACAACTGATAGACATACATAGATATTTTTTAATATACATATAAAACACCTAGACCGTTACAAACAATCACACTCACGAATACAAATGTGTGCACCGTGCGAGGAATCGAACCCGCAATCATCGGACTTAAAGCAGTATGCTAAACCGCTAGAGCACCAATTGAAACACATTTTACAAAGCAAACTGCTTGGTAGCTAAAATAGGTGGACTGAGGTACACACGCAGACGAATTTTCAGTCTATTAGTGGTATTAAATGGTAGTGGAAACCATCTTCTACATGACCCTCGTGATCATCATGTGTTGCAATTCATCATCTGCTTCTATCCTTATCCCATTTATTTGAGATCGTAATAATATGTTTTCCTCATCCATTCATCCCTGTTCGCAGTCATCGCGTTATTTACTCCCTTTCTTACCATATCATCTTTCACACAGTCCACCCATCTCTTTTTCGGCCTTCCTCTGCCCCTATAACCATCCACATTCGTATGTAACACCTTCCTTAAGATATTACCTTCACTCCTACGCATTACATGCCTATATATTCCTGATAATTATTTAGTCAACATACATTCCTCTACATTTATATTTTAGTTATATTAAACCTATTTTAGTTAATGGCACAATTACCTTAATTTCCTAATTGTTAAAGTTAACATTAATAAGCTTACATCCAAATACATAACAGTTAACTTAGTTACAAGTTAATATAACATTCAATTTTACTATTCAATATCACATTTTCCATAATTGTTATAAAATACTTACTTTAAACATGTGTACTACACCTAATGACTTATTTGTATTTAATAAACCGTTTTTTCTTGTTTATTTTACGTAAATATATTTTACGTAAATATATAATAAACATATTTTCTTCTAATAATCCTATGTTGTTAATACATTAATGACGTCTATGTATTGGGAGGTATGCACGTTAGCTGACTATGTATTACTTACTTATGTACTTTCGGGTAGTTCTCGCGCTATATATAACTATATACATAAGTATGAGATATAGAGCAAATTATTAGTTTAGGGGTACAATACACTGACACACATATACCACATATATTTTTATCAATTTTTTTACTAATAATGATTATTGTTATATTTTTTTAGTTATTAAAATATAGTTCTTTAATATCCTTCCGTATGATATTGTAAAATTACCATTTTAATCGTAACCACGAAAAAATCAACATAATTGACATTATTAGGAAAATATGTTAGACATCAAAACTTAGATAGAATATAGATGAGATTTCTTAATTCAAATCCCGTATTGTTAATAAATAATGACGTCACATCATGTTAGGGGAGGCATGCACGTTAGCCGACTATGTAGTGTCTACGTGTGTACTCCCGGGCAGGTCTCGCGTTACACATAACTATACATATCAGTATAGATTATTTGGTTTAGGGGCACAGTACACTGACATATATATATTCTTACACATTTTTGGACCAATATTAATTATTGTTATACTTTTTTAGTTATTACAGTATACTTCCTGAATATTATTTCGTGTAACATTGTAAAGTTAGCATTTTAGCTGTAACCACGATATCATAACTTAGATAGGATATAGATAATTTGCGTTTTTTTATTTAAAATCCTGTATTGTTAATAAGTTAATGACGTCACATCGTGTTAGGGGACGCATGCACGTTAGCTGACTATGTTTTGCTTACGTGTGTTGTCCCGGGCAAGTCTCGGCAGGTATACATAACTATTATTATTACTATACGTTATACATAAATATAGGTTATTGGTTGAGGGGTACAGTAAACTGACATATATATAAATATCCAGACTATACTTACCTATTTTACGGACCAATACATACAATAATAATTATTGTTATATTATTTTAGTTATTAAAGTATAGTACGTATAATATATGCGCTTTTTTTTTAATTTTGTATTGTTAATAAATTAATGACGTCACATCGTGTTAGGGGACGCATGCACGTTAGCTGACTATTTGTGACTATGTATTGCTTACGTGTGTAGTCCCGGGCAGGTCTCGCTGTAGTCACTGTTACACACACAACTCTGAGTAACTCGATTCACACACAACTAAGCTAGTATAGTATTAGGGGCATATTACACTGACCCATATATAGAATCAAATATACGTATAAAATTGCGACTTTTTTAGTAAATTACCAAACACAGATCACAAAAATAATATTCAAGTTAGTTCAGAAATAGATTATTTATATGTATGAGGTATAGTCATACATAATAATTAGCTACTTTATAAATTTTTATTTACATAATTTTCAACTAATTATGTATATATAAGTAATTTGTTTACGTTTTATTTATAAATATAATATTTATCAGTACGCTATTATTATTGTTATACATTTTTTATTTCTTTTTTAAATCTATAACGATCCCAAACAAGTTGATAAACCACAGAGACATTAATAATAATACACATTACACTCATTAACTAATAGAATAAATCGTAAATATTTACAAAACAAAAATAACCTAACCTAACCAGATATCGATTCAATTCCAATCTGTATTTATAATAATTATGATCATATATGATTGTGTAATATGCCCAAAGTAGCTAGTTTCACACATCAGACTATCATTAATATTAGTTAGCATATCTTTATCGTAGATTTGTAATTAACATGTCTTTTACTATGTTATTACATACAATTATATATTTATATATGTATTATATAAAATCAATCCTCATGCTATATTAGATTTGGAAGAGATAATACGGTATATGCGAAAAAATATTCAAGATAAAAAATTAAATTAAAAAAAAAATATATATAAATTCATTACAAAATTATACAAAATAAACCATTGGTATACCAAATGTACTAAGAAAGGAACTACATATGCAATTAAATAACTTCAATACTATATAAAGGCAATAATTTTTTAAATAACAAAACGATTCGTCAGTCAGAAAGTCTAAAGTCAGTCAAAGGCAGGAGGAAAACTCTTACTTATTCACTTTGCATCCATATTGTATCGCCATAAATCTAAACATCGCAAAAAATCTTAGAATTCAAATCACATTTAACCAAGTTCAAAAAGTCCCATTAACAGAGGTAATTAAATGTAAAAGTACTGGGGCCACATTGCAACTCTCAATAACAAAGGTTTCTCCAAAAATAATAATTATAATAGTAATAAAAAAAAAACAATAGAACACATATATAGGATAAAAAATGAGCCAAAAGGATGTCGCCACAAAAGAAGCAGTAGATAATACGACAATTTAAAAAAAAACAGGTTTCTCACTTATCCTGGTCCCACTTAACCAGATTTCAGTGTATATACTATATTATATAGGACAAAACGGAAATTGTGTCGTATAAACATTTAAAGAGAATGTTGGCAGATTTTAGTCAATGACAAGATCTTAAATTGTGAATGAATGAATTAATAAATATACCTCGTAGCATATACCCTATTACAATTATTAATTCGATCACGCTCAACAGTTCACAAACAACATAAACTTACTATAGAACAGCAAATCTATAAAAGAATACAAACTAAATATTACTACATCATAATAAAAATAAAAATAAGTACAACTCTATAAAATATATATAAAAATAAAATAATAACTATGTGTTGCCATTTCACGTTTAAATTACTAAACTAATTTCGATGTGTCTTTGTAACATAACGAAGAAAGCGAAATCGTCATAACTTCTAATAACCCAACTCGACAAAAATTCTTTCAGAGTTTTTATTTCAAAAATTCATAACTCAAACATTTTATTGACTGGTGTAAAGTTGGATTTTCAAAGAATGTGGAATCGATAATTTCTCGCTATAAAACTCATACATATACATATGCTATATGCTGTATGGCTTACAAGCATACGGTACATCTGATGGTAAATCGTTACCCTAGATTATGGACGCCTACATATATATATAGTATAAGTTACTCTATATTATTGTTAAAATTCCGTGTAATTGTAAGAAAATGAGTGTATTTTGCCAACAAGCAGTAAAGCAGTTGGCGATAACTGTATATGTGTATCTTTTGTACAAAAACAAAGTATATAGAACATACCATGGTGGGTGCCACCTCTCTTTGCGTATAGCTTCAGTTTATCTCTCAAAGCACCGCGCTCACTCTCCAACGAATCAATGTCCTGCTGCAGATGATCCATCGTTTCTTCAAACTCTTTCTCTTTACTGCAAGAGAGAAGAGATATTTATTTAAACAATAAATACAAACAGAAAACCACTTCAATTATATTTATTTTGATGACCTCGGTGGTCTAGCACGCCGCTTTACGACTGATGGTCGCGGGTTCGATTCCTCGCACGGCACAAATATTTGTATTTATGAGTATGATTGTTTGTATCGGTCTGGATGTTTTCTACGTATATTATGCATTGCATTGCAATTACAAAAAAAAATATCTATGTATATGTATCAGTTGTCTAGTACCCATAACACAAGCTTTAGCTAGCTTAACTTGGGTCTAGATGGCGCTGTGTGATTTGTCCTGATATTATTATTATTATTATTTGTATACTGTTAACGTCAACAGCAACCGTTCGCCAGCAGGCTCCGCTAAAGCAGATTTCAGTGACTAGTTTGAGTGAGATAACCACCACAATATATTTTTAATGAATTAATATAATTTATACCTATAAACTTGAAATAAATATATAAATAGTAAGTCCTAAGTGAAAAAGATTGTCCAAGCCTAATATTTATTTTTATTTTTTGGATATATTTTATTATTATAATATTAGTAATAAAATATTTTTATTGTCTGTACGACTGCCAGTACCTATGATTATAGAATTATAGTCTTTTGAAAAAAAAAAAGAAAATCTAAGTATTTATATCAGTTGTCTTGTACCCAAAACACAAGCTTTGCTTACAGTGGGACTATATAGCGCTATGTTAATAGCCCAGGGAAAATAAAATAATCAATGAATTAAGATGATATTTCAACCACTAGGCGACGACCACTACTACATTCAAATTGAAGACCTTCAAATTAGATGTGATAGTTACCGTTTGAGTTGGTTCTGTGCATCCTCTAATCTCCTCTGCAGCTGTTCAGCTCGAAGCTCTGCATCTCTCGCGCTCGACGTCAGCTTCCTCTCGCCCAACTCGCGGCGGATCTGCATCTCGGACAACTCCTCTTGTTTACCCTGCATAATAAAAAAAACTTTTTCAAGAAACGTATATTAAGGTTTCTTAAGGGTCAGCAACCCGCACGGACACTCCTGGTGTTTCAGACGTCCATAGGCTACGGTAACCATTTACCATCAGATAGGCCGTATGCTTGTTTGCCGACGTTGTAGTGTAGCCTATAGTATCAACTATTTGTATAACGCTTTATATATATGGTATACTACAATAGTATAAAAAAAACTAGCGTACTCGGCAGACGTCAGACATATACACACAAAATTTCATCCAAATCGGTCCAGCAATTTAGGAGTTAGGAGACATAGGTGAGTTAGGAAACCATTATGTTTGTTAAATTTATGATTTTAATATTAATATTAATTTAAATTTGTATGATAAAAATGTAGCTAAAGATGGGACTATGTATTTATTTATAATAACAATAATCTATTCAAACCAAATAAATAAATTCTTTACCATTACAGTGACATAAAAAAATACATACAATTAGAATACTAATACCAGCTCAAATCAGAGAAACAAAAAAATTAATTTAGTAGCAACATTTTAAAATATACTAAAAACAAAGAAAATCTTATCAAAATTACAAATATTGTAAAAAAATTATATGTAACACATATGTAGATTCAATTATAAAAAACTAAAGTTTGACCCCGACGTGATTTGAACACGCAACCTTCTGATCTGGAGTCAGACGCGCTACCGTTGCGCCACGGAGTCACTTAGCGAATGAACGAATTTTGGGAGCACTTACATAGATATAAATTTAAAGATAAGATATTAATATTAAATATTGTATTTTGAATGTATTTTGTATTTCTACCTTTTCAAATCGAATCTAAAAATCATTTAGGACATTTTAGTCGCTTATGAAAACGTAATTTTTTTTTCCCTATCGTCCAGTTCAGTATACAGTTTCAATTGAGAAGAACTGGCAAGATACTCAACTGAATTTCTTTTTTTTTTTTATGCCAATTTACATTGTGTACTTCTGTAGGTGTCTATGTCTAACATTAAATGAAAATCCCGTGCATGAACAGCTATTGCCATGCATGCTCGTCGTTCAAGTAATCGTTTAGTGAGTAATAAACTTTGCTTACTAAATATAATTTAACAGATGTTTTAAATTTATTTAAAAATAATTCCAGTATATCTTTTTGGAATTATATTTTGTGCTACTAATATATGTACATAAGCATAAATAGTTATACGAATATATATATGAAGACACTTTAACTGTTGGTACTATGCGGGGATCGAACCCGCTACCATTAGGATTAAGGCGATGTACTCAACCGCTCGACCATCGTGTTATCACAATTACCTTGAGCGCCTTCCTGAGCTCCTTGATGTCGGCCTCCTTATTCTCCAGCTTGATGGTGAGGGTCTTGGTCTCCTCCAGCTGCTTCTTGACGAGCTGCGCCCGCACCACCACCGGCGGCGTCGGCTGTAACATCATGAAATACCGTTTTTATCTTTAAATTTTATTTACAGGAGTACAGTGTGTATGGCTTGATAGTTAGAAACAGAAAGAAAAAAGGAGAGACAGTTTGAATGAATCTTTTTTAAATTGTTAATTGTTGCCATTACAAAACGAAAATATATACTACAAAATATTTATATTTATTTTAGGTTCAAATTGTCTTGAACAGCATTAATACAAAATTAATAAAGTACAGGTAGTAATAAATATATGGTAGTTGTATCAAAATAGATTATTTATTATTTTTTACTAAAATAAATACTAACTGTTAAAATAAATTTATTATGTCATCTATATATATAAATAAAATCGTAGTGTCTGTTTGTAATATTGAAGTAACCAATATTAAACTAAAAACAACGGACTGTGTTCTAAGGAATTGTTCGACGTGGTGCCCACGACTACCATTTACTATCGCATCGCTCGCCATCGACAGGGAATTCACCACACGCTGGAATCTAAGTGGTCTCGGACAGTGCGGTTTTAGAGGAGCTTCCTCCCGTGTACACTTAGATTGTGAGAGACTACAGCATGGGGTTTTTCAAGAAGGATATATTAACGTTTCTTAAGGGTTCGGAATATACATCCCTGGTGTTTCAGACGTCCATAGGCTACGGTAACCATTTACCATCAGATGGGCCGTATGCTTGTTTACCACCATAATTTATTTTAAAAATTTAGGCTAACCAAAACCTTGTTAGATCCCGCCAGAAACTAAAATACCATCCTGATCATCTGGATGAATGGCAGTCCTCCACAGCGCGGTTTTCTAGAAACTTTTTGCAACGCACAATTATGGAATCACCTTCCAGCAATAGTATTTCTGAACCGATACGATATTGAAACATTCAAGAAAAGAGCTTATTCCTTTTTAAAAGGCCGACAACGTACTTGCAATTCCCCTGGCGTTGCGGGTGCTCATGGGCAGCAGTAATCACTTACCATCAGGTGAGCCGCATGCTCGTTTGTCCGTCTGTGTTATAAAAAAAATATTACCTTATCTGTGGCGACGTTGGTGAGTGACATCATATCGTACTCCTTGTCCTGTACGAAGGTGGCCAGCTTGGTGACGTCGGCCGACACCTGCGACAGCGCGTGCTTGATGGTGCGCACTGGACCGTGGTCGTCCTATAACATATATAAGACTAGACAATTTGCTTTTTATAATAATAACTAGCTGTTCTCGCGACTTCGTTCGCGTGGTTTTTAACTTTATTATTCCAAAATAAAAGTAGCCTAAATTACTTCTTATTACATCAACTACCTGTCAAAAAAAAGTCCCGTCAAAATCGGTCCTGCCATTTCAGAGATTAGCCGAAACAGACAGACAGACAGACAAAAATTATAAAAAATGTTATTTTCGTGTATGTGCCATATAAATACTTATATTTATATGCATATAGTAAAAAACGGTTATTTCAATATTACAAACAGATACTCTAATTTTATTTATATGTATAGATGCATATGGTGTATTGCACGTAAAAAAACGTGTCGGGTAAATGTTTTAGCAGTATGTTGTAAAACAATTTATAACGAGATAAATATTCCAGGCTACTAATGACCTATATCATAAATACCTTATAAACTAACATACATATGAAATAACAATAAAATATATATATAAATGGTCTGTGTGTCACCGTAGTGTAGTGTAGTGTAGTGTAGTGTAGTGTAGTGTAGTGTAGTGTAGTGTAGTGTAGTGTAGTGTGGTGTAGTGTGGTGTAGTGTGGTGTAGTGTGGTGTAGTGTGGTGTAGTGTAGTGTAGTGTAGTGTAGTGTAGTGTAGTGTAGTGTAGTGTAGTGTACTGCACCTGGTGGTAGACCTTGTCGCAGGCGGCGGCCCACAGCGCCAGCAGCGGCGCGTGCGCGAGCGGCGCGGGCTCGCCGCGCTCCCCCGCCGTGGCCACGTGTGTGTAGTGTAGTGTAGTGTAGTGTAGTGTAGTGTAGTGTAGTGTAGTGTAGTGTAGTGTAGTGTACTGCACCTGGTGGTAGACCTTGTCGCAGGCGGCGGCCCACAGCGCCAGCAGCGACGCGTGCGCGAGCGGCGCGGGCTCGCCGCGCTCCCCCGCCGTGGCCGCGCACGCGCACGCCGCCCGCGACGCCAGCGACGTCGCACGCGCGCACCGCCACAACGCGCGCGCGCAGTCCCCGCGCAGACGCTCCACCAGCTGCCGAAATGATTATAGACTTTATTTGTTTGGGATATGGTCGGTTTTACAATGTCGTTACTACGCTATTAGAACGTGAGTAATGGTTAGCACACCGCCACAACACGCGCGCGCAAAACCCCCGCGAACACTCCACCAACTGCCGATATAATTATAGACTTTATTTGCTTGAGATACGGTTGATTTTACAATGTCTTTAGTACGCTATTCACTTTTCTTTATATTACACAGGGGACAAACGAGCATGAGGCTCACCTGATGGCAAGTGATTACCATCGCCCATGAATACCCGCACCAGGAGAATTGCAAGTACGTTGTCGGCCTTTTAAAAAGGAATAAGCTCTTTTCTTGAAGGTTTCAATATCGTATCGGTTCGGAAATACCATTGCTGGAAGGTGATTCCACAATGTGGTTGTGCGTGGCAAAAAGTGTCTAGAAAACCAGGACTGCCATTCATCCAGATGATCAGGATGGTATTTTAGTTTCTGGCGGGTGGTACGGTGGTGAAACTCAGCAGCTGGTATTAATCCGAACAATTCCTCAGAACAATCCCCGTGATATATGCGGTAGAAAATGCACAGAGATGCAATATCTCGCCGCAAAGCCAATGGCTCAAGTCTGTCACACAAACGTTGATTAGCAATGATTCTGGCTGATCGGTTCTGAAAGCGGTCAAATGGAAGTAGCTGGTATTGTGGTGCTTCCGCCCAGAGATGAGAACAGTATAATTGCAAGGCCGCCATGAAATACCGTTTCACTCTACTGAGCACACCAAGCTTTTTTGAGGCTATTTTAGCCTTGTCCTCCAAATGACCGCAAAACTGAACGTCACTAGATATATCAACGCCAAGGACCTCGACATTTGGCTTCACATCAAGGAGAGTGTCTTGAAACTGAGGAGATACGATAAATGTATTCTTTTTAGCGGTAAACGCGCAAACTTGTGTCTTCTTAGGGTTGAATTGAATACAATTTTGAAACTGGATGGAGTGAAGTTTCGATTTCGGACACAAGTTTGTTCCGGTACTCTATAACTTTAGTCTGCGACATATTAGCATGGCCGCTGTACAAGGCATCTCCGGTACTGTCATCCGCATAGCAATGAATGTTGTTGATTTGTAACATGTCATTGATATGCAGAAGGAACAGAGTCGGAGATAGTACACAGACTTGTGGAACACCAACATTCACAGAGTGTGGGCAAGCACCATCGACAACGATCTTGATGCTCCGATCAGCGAGAAAGCTGGCAACCCATTTGCATAACTTCGTAGGCAACCCAAAGGATGGTAGCTTTGAAAGAAGAGCTTTGTGCCAAACCTGATCAAAGGCCTTCGCAATATCCATACTAACAGATAGGGCCTCCCCCTTACTCTCCATAGCCTCTGCCCATCGATGTGTCAAATACACTAGAAGATCACCAGCTGAGCGACCCTGGCGAAAGCCATACTAACGATCAAAAATCAAATGGTTCACTTCTAGGTATCGTAGGAGTTGACGGTTGACAATCGACTCCATGGTCTTTGAGAATAAGGAGGTGATGGCTATGGGCCTATAGTTAGCTGGATCTGAGCGATCTCCCTTCTTAGGGATCGGATGAACCAAAGCCGTCCTCCAAAATTTCGGGACTACACCTGTAGAGTAGCAGTACCGGAAAAGACGCGTTAGTACCGGAGCCAACTCAGGTGCACACGTCCTGAGCACAATAGCAGGAATACCGTCAGGCCCACTCGACTTGTTCTAGGGAGAGAAGAGACTTACGTACCAGCTTTTGGGTAAATTTTAATTTTATAAAAGTCTTACACCGCGAGATAACCGGCGGTGATTACTCCCTATCGTCCTATGTCGAGTTGGATGCAAAAAGAGACCCAAGGAGATCGGCCTTCTTTTTAGCAATGTTGGGCCAACGAGTTATCCTCTCTGCGCAGTGATGGAAAAGATGGCTGACAGATATTTCTCTGAGCAGTTTTGGCAAGAGACCAAAAAGCCCGGGATTCAGATGGAACACTGTTGAGTATTCTACCAATTCTGCTGATGTGCTCCGACTTTGCTGTGGCTATAACTCTTTTGATGGACCTGGAAGCGGAGTTATACTTACTTTTAAGTGCATTGGTTTCTGGATCACTCGACTTCACAGCTGCAATCCAAGCACGGAAGCATTCCTGCTTATGGCAAGCCGCTGATCTACAGGATCCGCCATACCAAGACTAAGATCTACCACCGACAGGTATCAGGGAATTTGGAATAAACATCTCCATTCCCTGAAGTACTATATCGGTGACAGATTCAGCTCTTACATCAAGATCGTCCAGTGCGAAGCAAACTCGCCCCCATAGGTAAGAGCCCAAAAAACTTCACATCTCATCCCAATCTGCCGACTTAAAATGCCAAACAAAACGTCGACCAGCAGAACGCGGCAAAGAAGGACGCGTTAGAGGCAGTTCCCTCCGTATCAGACAATGATCAGAGGATCCCAGTGGGGCTTCCACAGAGACCTGATATTCGTCCGGATGAAGTCAGCAGAAGGTCCAACAGTGAAGGTATATGGTCAACAAAATCAGAAATACGCGTAGACGAGGATACCAGTTGCGTCAAACCATACGCCAAAGTAAAGCCATGAACAGATCTCCACGCATAGTCGGTGGTACGTGAACCGAACCATTGAGCGTGATGGGCATTACAGTCACCTAGAATCACGACCTCAGCAGAGGGAATCTGTTGGAGCAAAAAATCTGTAGCCATTTGGACGTGTTTAATGAGTCGGTCAGTTTCGGTGTTACCGCTATGGGACCTGTATAAGCATGCATAGATGCGGGGATGGTCAGGTCAGTACCTTCAAGATGGCGACAAATTGAGCGGAGTATTGCCCACCCCAGAATACGCAGGGCCAGTAACACGGTTACTGGTACCACCCTGGGGTTCTTTTGTATTCCCCTGCCATGGTGTGTAAGAAAGGGGTGGGTAGTGGAAGGAAGTGGGACGGGGAGAGGGGGAGGGGCGTCCGGAACCTACAGCTCACCATATGGAACCGATAACGCTTAACGCCGGTTTTCTGCCGAGATGTGGTATTTCCCGGATCGAGCGGCCCAATCGAGCTGAAAAACCACGTGTGGTCGTACAGCTTGCTCTACTACTTTTAAAACTTGCTTGTGGCTATGTCGTCAGTGTCCTAGTAGCTTATGGGTAGTGGACCGTCATAACGCACTCACCGCGGAGATGCTCCACCAGCGAACGACATGATTATAGACTTTATGTGTTTGAGATATGGTTGGTTTTAAAATGTCGTTAGTATGCTATTAGTTTGTGGGTAGTGTCTATCACACAGCATCGACCACGACAATACCACGTATTATATATATAAACCTTCCTCTTGAATCACTCTATCTATTAAAAAAACCGCTTTAAAATCCGTTGAAATAAAGATTTAATCATACATAGAGACCGACGACAGACAGCGACAGCGACTAATAATAATATAATAATGAAATTATATTTTACTATAATGAAACAAGTATGGTACCTGAGGGTCCAGGAGTACAGCGTCCAGACGTACACCCGGCGGCAGACGCCTGCGGACACTCTTCAGCTGCTGTTGTAGTGCAGCAGTGGCCGTGCAGATGGATTCGTGCAACTGGCCCAGCTCTAGTTGCCTTTCCGAAGACTGCAAACAAATGGTAATATTAATACAAAAATAAAAACTTTGGATATCTTATGAAAGTTTCTCATAAGATGTTTATCTTATCGATGTCTTCTTGATGTTGTTTGACTAGCTGATTAGTACACCGTCTTACTTCCGATTGTCGCGGGTTCGATTCCTCTCACAGCATAAACTATTGTATTCATGAGTAAGATTGTTTGTATCGCTCTTGATGTTTTCTATATATAATATGTAAGTATGAAAAAAATCTATGTATTTGTATCAGTTATCTAGTACGCATAACACAAGCTTTAGCTAGCCCAACTTGGGTCTAGATGGCGCTGTGTGATTTGTCCTGAGATTACTATTATTATTTAAATACTGTTGCCTCATTTTCTCAGCTTTGGCTGGTTTTTTACGTATTGTAGCGTATACAACACTATTACATATATAGTCCTGAGATTATTATTATTGTTATATATATATCATTATTTTCTCTTTCTCACCAGTGTAGCTGGTGATTAATACCGAGGACGGGACCTGTCAAGTCTCTCGTTACTTTATTTTGCGTCATATTTTATTATTATTGTCTTCTTGCGTTCTTGTTTCGTAAAGAAAGGCGCACAGACTACACAGATCTACACTATTCTACTACGATACTACAGATCATAAGAACGAGCGAGAAATATGCACATTGCTTTTATAAAGAAAGTATGTTTTGTTGTTACTTTCAGTAATAGTGGTATACCTGGAGTATATAGGTGAGTGCGGTGGCGTCGGCGTGCAGCGCGCGTGCGAGCGCGTCCAGCGCGCACGTGGCGTGCAGCAGGGCCTCACGCGGCGCCCCGCCCGCCCCGCCCCCACCGCACAGCCCCACGCCCGACCACATGGCGCAGAAGTAGCTCCAGCACCGCTCCATACCTGCACGTTCACAACACCATACAGTATACGTATAAACCTTCCTCTAGAATCACTATCTATTTAAAATAACCGCTTCAAAATTCGTTTCGTAGTTTTAAAGATTTAAGCATACATAGGATCGGATTTACGAGTGGACGGTCTACTACTGATGCGGGCGTTAACTTAATACAAAGTATTTTCGGTGCCTGGGAAGATTCACAGGATGCCATTGGTGTCTTCTGTGATCTCTCTAAAGCGTTTGATTGCGTTGACCATAGGATATTATTACGCAAACTAGAACATTATGGAATTAGAGAAAAGTCCTCAGAACTCATTGAATCATTTTTGCGCGATAGAATTCAACTGGTAGACATTAAAGGAAGCAAGTCCAAGGGGTCATTTATAAAAATGGGTGTACCCCAGGGTTCTATACTTGGCCCATTTCTTTTTCTTGTTTACATAAACGACTTACCATACCAGTTTCAAAACATACTTGACATAGTATTGTTTGCTGATGACACATCACTTATTTTCAAAGTGAAATGAAATACAAAGGATTTTAATAATATAAATATTGCTCTTGAGGATGTTCTAAACTGGTTTACATCAAATAATCTAGCGCTTAATTCAATGAAAACAAAATGTGTTAAATTCTCTTTACCAAATGTAAAACAAGTAACGACAACTGTTAGTTTGAATCGTCATGTTTTGGACTTTGTAGACTTCGTTTCTTGGTATTGTAATAGATAATAAATTGCAGTGGGGTCCACATATATTCACACTAGCCAAAAGACTAAGCTCGGCTGCTTTTGCTATCAGAAAAATTAGACAGTTGACTGATACTGCAACAGCGAAACTAGTGTATTTTAGTTACTTCCATAGTATAATGTCGTATGGTATTATATTGTGGGGAAGAGCGGCTGACGTAGAATCAATTTTTATATTACAAAAAAGAGCAATTCGTTCAATATATAATTTACCGTGTCGCGAATCTCTTAGAGAACGCTTTAAAGAAACAGGTATACTTACTGTTCCCTCTCAATATATATATGAAAATATTATGTACGTACGCAAAAACTTAAATTTATTTCCAAAAACTAGTCACTTACACGGTTTTAATACAAGGAATAAAAATAAATTAAATATGCCTAGTTATCGTCTCAAAAAAGTAAGTACATCTTTCATGGGACATTGTATACGTTTTTATAATAAACTGCCAGATAGTGTTTTAAATTTAAGTGAAGGCAAATTTAAAATACATGTAAAAAAAACACTTTGCTCTAAAGCTTATTATAAAATAAACGACTACTTAAATGATTACAATGTGTGGACTTAATTACAATTTTAACTTTTGTTATGAGGTATATAATTTTTCCCATTGACATGGACAATGTAATAACATTAAAGAAACTTATTATAAATTTTGTAATGACATATTGTAAATTAAATAATGTAAATTTAATATTGTAATGGGTGAAAACTGTGATCGGTACAGCCTATGCTGTAAATAATATAATTGACGTAGTGGAGTAACCTGAAACAGTCATGCTCGCTATAAAGTTCAAACTTGTGGCGGCGTGGTGGGCCGGGTCGATGTGCACCCTCAAATATGGTTGAGTACAATGATGGCTGGCTCATACGTCATACTCGTGAACGGGTGCTGCTTGTGGGGACTGGTCTGTTCAGGTTGTGAACACTGATTAAACTTTTTGTTCTTTGCGATAGCATATGCTGGTGGTCACTCTATTCTCCCAAATTTGAATTTTAATGACTGTATATTATTATAAACATGTTCCACTATTATTTGAAAAAATACGAGCTGAGTTTCTTGTCAGTTCTTCTCATCTCGATATCATTCCGAACTGACGGTAGATTTGACATATCATAAGAGTCTGTAATAGACCTACATGAATAAAGATATTTTGAATTTGAATTTGTATAGGGACGGACAGGCAGCGACTTTGTTTTATACTATGTAATGAAGTGTGCGAAACATACTTCTTGGTCCGCGTAACTATCATACAACAACTTTATACATACAATTTTTATCCATTGCTTTCCATGATTTTGTTTTAGTGTGTTCAATATTACTCGAGTATAACCGATATAAATCGGTAATTAATATTAATAATCTATTCTACCACAACACTATTTAAGAATCGTAAAAGCTAGCACATAGGTAACGTTAAACTCGTCTTTGAGATAAAAAATCTGACTATAGTATTAACATAAAGGTAATTGCTCACTGACCGTCCAAGTTGCAGTTCTCGTCGAGTTCATTCCCCTTCAGCAGGTGTGTGGCTGCATCCAGCGCCCGCTCCTGCTGCAGAGCATCCGGTAAAGCGCTGGCAGCTCGCAGCAGCACTTCCGGTGAACAGCTGTCCAGCGCTGCGGTCCACATCGATACTATACACTGTTGAGATAAGAGAATAAGATTAAAATAGAATAGAACAGAATAGAATGGAAATTTCTTTCTAAAACTGTCAATAACTTAAACTTTCTGTCAAAAACTTAAACCGACTGTCGAGTTATTCGTGATTTGTGTTGCTTAGTATTTAGTGTTTACTATTGAGTGCTTTGTTCTTAGTGTTTCGTGTAGTGATTAGTGCTGATAAGTGTTTAGAGTTAAGTGGTAAGTGTTATATATGTTATATATATATAGTAAGTAATATCTACATATTACGTCGACCCCTAATAATGAGATAAAGGCAAGGTCATGAGCATATATACCAATATTATATTGATATGTATATGTGCTAAAAAGTAATTGAAAAATAGTATGGTATTTTGTATATAGTATTTCATATAGTGTATATATTGGCAGTGATGTATAAGACACCCTATACAAAGATAAGGTGTCTTATACATCACTGCCAATATCTCTGCCTATCCCATCTGGGAGTACAGTCGTGAAGTTATAAAATACCTGTATCATGTGCAGTTGGTACTCAAGCTGGCACCGGAAGCTGTACTGCACGGCCGTGTGGGTCTTGGTGACGGCCTCGCGATCCCACACGTTCACCGCTGGGAATCTGAAAACATGTACATACAGCCTTTTTAATACATCTTACTAATATTATAAAAGCGAAATTCTTTAAGTATGGATGGATGATGATATTGCTTTTAGTTTCTAACCTTCAGTATTCAAAAGTGCACCCTCCTTTATTTATAAAGGACATTGAATAAATGACTTTTTGATTTGACTTGATCCTCGCATACATAAAGGATATTGAATAAATGTCTTTTTGATTTGATTTGATCCTCGCATACATAAAGGCTATTGAATAAATGACTTTTTGATTTGCTTTGATCCTCGCATACATAAAGGATATTGAATAAATGACTTTTTGATTCGATTTGATCCTCGCATACATAAAGGGTATTGCATAAATGACTTTTTGATTTGATTTGATTTGATCCTCGCATACATTAAGGCTATTGAATAAATGACTTTTTGATTTGATTTGATCCTCGCATACATAAAGGATATTGAATAAATGACTTACTTTTCGCGTATCTGTCCGAGTATAATGTCAGCTTTGGTGTTCAGACGCTGGAGTAACAGGATCAGGAGTATAGCGTCGTGGTCACCTGCCGAAGGATTAGAACTTATTGATTATTTCTTCACCCATCATAATAAATTAATATGCAGTTAAAGTGGGAGCGAGAGTATACCAGCGTAATTTCTCTACAATCTTCTATCAAAGCTGCAGTAACTTCTATACTAAACGTGTATCAAAGGCTGGACAAGGAGAGAAACACGAGCAGTGAAGGTGAGTGTACAGCAAAGGTGCCCCTTATATCTACACCCGGGTCACAAGACCCATTTTTACTTATTTTAAATTAAAACCTTTACTAACTGTACATCACAAATAGAATACTGTACGCATATAAAAAAACGTATATAAAAAAGAAAACCCAACCGACCTGATGTCCCCATGAAGTGGTCCGGGAGACAAGCGGCCAGCATGTCGGCACGAGCCCTCGCCTGCGACAGCTCCAGCGCGCGCAGCTGCAGGTCTATGGACCGCGTGGAGGCCCGGGAGGCGTGCACTAGCGAGCCCAGCTCCGCGGGTGGAGAGCTTCGCGCTGCCGGCTCCGGGGTCGACTCCTGTTCCGAGCTTGGAGCTGGTGAGCCTGAATATTAGAAAATAAACTCTTACTAATATTATAAACGTTGTTGACATGTGTGGACACAAAAACGCTAAAATCTCTCATGCAATAATTACTGAATAGATTTTGATGAAACTGTGCCTACACTTGTAATATTTCTGTGAACACTTACGTCCTCACTAACATAGATTTAAGTTCAGAGTAAAGTCAGTCCACGTTACAACTCTGCGTCGAATGTACGCGTTACTAATAAGTCATGTAGCACACTATATAATAAACTTACTAATGTACAATAAATAGTACAATTATACCTGTATACTCACTACCTACATACTACAATAAACAATATATTATGTAGCGACACCTCATCACAGTGGTGAGGTGATAGCCACCGCGCTAAATATAGTTATACACCGCGATAAGAACCCTGGACCATTCATACAACTACATCTAGTCCCAAGCTAAACAGAGCTTGTGTTATAGGTACTAGACAAGTCTAAATATATATAACTCACAGGTGACTGACATAGTGATCTATCAACGCACAGCGCAAACCACTGGACGGATCGGACTGATATTTGGCATGCAGGTAGATGTTATGACATAGGCATCCGCTGAGAAAGGATTTTGACTAATTATATCCCCAAGGGAATAAAATAGGGGATGAAAGTTTGTATGAAACTTTGTCAATTTTAAACCGATGGGGCTGAGATTTTACATGCATAAAGCTACTATGACGTAAGCATCCCCTGAGAAAGTTTTGATAAATTCCACCCTTAAGGGCTAAATTAACGCGAGCGAAGCCGCGGGCAAAAGCTAGTAATATTTAATATTTACCAGGAGCTACGTACTTAAGTTTAGTGAATTCAGGGTTACCTAAAAAAAAACTACCATTACTGTTCCTCACCTTGTTTGGAGTCTAGTTGCGTCCTCAGCTCGGCGTACTGCTCAGTCATCTTCTGCACCAGTTCCCTGAATTTCACTATGGTCGAGTCCCGGTCCATGATCGTCTCCAGCGCAGCTTCCCGCTCACGTACAGACTGCAATCACATCAAACGATACATAATAATAATAATAATCTCTGGACATTAGATCTAGACCCAAGATTGGCTAACTAAAGTTTGTGTTATGGGTACTAGATAACTGATACAAATACATAGATAAAAATATGCGGGTCAGCTTGTCATCCATAAAAAAAACACTGGTCTACTCACCTCCCTGGTGGCCGCGTGTGCCATCTCCAACTCTTCGCGCAGGTCCATCTCCAGCTCGCGGTTGGACTCCACCAGCTGTTCGTGCACCTCCTGCAGAGCCTCCAGCTCAGATACGTCCTGCTTCAGCTGTTCCACCTGTTCCCAGAGCAATATTAACTTTAATAATACGATATTGTCGGTTGAGGCAATGTATATATAATAGTAAACTGACAATTGTTCCGATCCAAGCGGAGATCGAAAATACGTCGGCCTGAGCCGAGGTTCGAACCCCTAGCGGTGCGGATAAAACCCGTATGTGTCAGGCACTTGGCCCTCAGCCGCTCCACATTTCGTCCCTTTGGTTTGGAGTGCCATCTGCAGTCACCCACTATCGTTCAGTGAAGCTGCACGGCTGGCTGAGGGCTTAGAATAGTTTGATTAAAAAAAACCGCGCATTCGTTCCGCATCTCTACTCGAGACGCGTGAAAATATATTCGTGTGTATCACTCCACCTACACCAGCAAAATCCTCGTTATGGGTTGTTCCAAGGCATCCCATACAATATTGGACATAATTTATCATACATTCATAACTTGTGGAACATACCTGGTCCTCGAGAGCCATCTTCTTCTCCGCAAGCTGCTCCACCATCTCCTCAGCGCCGAGGGCTGCATCCACCTGCTCGCGGAGATCAGCCACCTGCAACTCGAGTTCCTCGACGCGGCTGGACAGCTTCTCCTTGGTGCGGCTCAGTTCAGCTATCTCCGACTTGTATTGCTCCAAATCCTGAAGGGAAAGGTAAGAAGCATGATAGTTCAGCACTAAGGCGATAAGCATTTTATTTTAGATATGTCCAACAAAGGCATTCTTTTAAACTAATAATATAAAAATAAACATTTGATTTTTCGTTCGTAATGGAGAAACTCAAAAAATATTTTTAGTAAGTCATAAACTTTGCACTGCCTTACCTCTAACTTGCAATTAAAATTCATGGAATGGTAAAATATCATTATATTGAAGCGAAAACTTTGTATACCTTTTTAAGAAAATTGCACGGACTAAGGAGTATGGAATTTCGCACACTTATAGTTTATATATATAGAGAGTGTAGACTACTTTTTTTTAATTATGCATAAAGATACATGAAACCAGTAAATAAAACATTACACACACTACTATAATATTATTTATATGACATGACTGATAACAAAACACATTGTCAAATAATGTCAATATTGTTAATTATCAAATCTACGAATTGGGTTAGTTTCTGTCCTGTTATCAAAGTAATCGTAATAGTAATAAGTGTCTTAATAATGTTGACTGACTGGTCATCCGCGCCTCTCAGGGGGAGGTGCGGATGACCAGTCAGGGGGCAAACCCCTTATCCAACAACCTACGGGTGGCTGGATTAAAGCCTCTTAAAGCGAGTATAAAATTAAGAACTTAACCTAACTTGCAAAAGTAGTGTCATACTTGGGGACATTTTTTTAAATTTATTTTATATAATAATATTCAAACTTATAATTTATATCAATATTCGAATTTCGAACACCAGTTCATATAAAAAGTCAATACAAAGCAATTCCTATAATATTATTTATCTCAATATTTTTTTACCTTGTGCATCTTCTGCATGAGATGCTTATCGTGCGCGGAGAGGTCCCGCAGCCGCACGAGCGTGTCCCGCAGCCTGCCGTTCTGCTGCTGGAGCTGCCTCATCTCGTAGCCGGTGGCGGCGCCCCCCTCCGCTGCGTAGGGGTGCTCTGGTACACGGGCAGAGCGCACACATCCACACGCTAATACAACCACTCCACCGGTACACGGATACACGGGTGCATACACGGCCCCCTCATGTGTCAGTCAGTTCAAGGTGGGGGGTATTGTAAGTATTGTATTATAGTATATTAGAGTGTATTGTAATACACAGTATATAATATATTACTGTGTTGTCACTTCAAGGCGGGGAGTATTGTAATGGTCATAATACATTACTGTTCGATATTGCAATAGTTCAGTCAGCTTACTGTAATTGTTTAAAATATTACTTTGATAAAGTATTTCGTATTTGGTATTCCCATAAAAACTTTATACAGTTTGAAAAGAGTAATCTACTAGGTATAATCACAAACAAAATCAGTCAATTGACTGCATTGGTGGCAAACAAGCATACGGACCATCTGACGGTAAACGGTTACCGTAGCCTATGGTCACCTGAAACACGGGTTGTCACGTAGCCGTTGCCGACCCTTAAACATTAATATACCCTTCTTTTAAAACCCCATGCTTTAGTCTCTCGAGAAAACCTAAGTAGGTAGTGCATTCAACAATCTAAACAGGAGGAAGCTCCTCTGAAACCGCACTTAGATTCCATCGTGTGGTTTGTGGGTAACTATCCACTTTTAATCATATTTTTAACCATATATGACGGTGGGAGAGATCAGAGGAAGAAGTTGATACTGTGCCTATCCCGGAATAACGGAATAAAGGTAAGTCAATTATTATAACCGTCATTTCAGGGCGGGGTGTACGGTATTTTCCATAATTATTTGTTGAGCTAACTACTACTTAAGTGATTACTTTCTTTTTTCAGGAGTTATGATATTATCCTAATAATAATATTTATTTATTGCCAGAACATAAAATAGATATAAATTTGAGTTCGTACACTGGTGAACAAAATCTATAAAAAAGGGAACCTCTTGAACTACGTATAAAATAGCAACAGTAGTACCTCATACTGCATATTCTGGACAAAAGGGGCTGACTCAACTGATGCTGTGAGCGTAACGTTTACACGTACGCTGCACAGCGCTGATTTTCAGTCAGTCCCTCTCATTACCTTGTACTTTGATATATTTGTATTTTTTTTACCTTTAAAGTCATCTAACCTACAATGTATGTCAAATATCGACAAATCAAGGTGAGGAGTACTGTCGTTGTCAGAGGAGACCGCAAAACAAAAATAAACAAAACACAAACATGCTAAAATATACAAAGACTTAACACATTCACCGTTTGTGTCTATGCTCATGTATAGAAGGAACTACATATTATCTCTGGTATATATAAAATTCTATATACCAGATATATAAATAATAGTGAAGTCAATTACAACATACTTGACCGATCTGTCCATCATTGCATAGTATAAAACAAAGTCGCTGTTGCTATCTGTCCGTCCCTACATATGCTTAAATCTTTAAACGCAACTATTACTACGCAACGGACTTTGAAGCGGTTTTTTAAAATAGATAGAGTGATTCAAGAGGACGGTTTATATGTATGTACACATATACACCCGTGCGAAGCCGGGGTGTGTAGCTAGTAAATAATAAACGTTATATTCGTGAACATGTGCTGCTTGTAGGGACTAGTCTACTCTGATCTATGACTGTTTACTCAAGTAACTATTTATGTACTTATGTCAACTTAGCTATTTGACAGTTTGTATTTAGAAAAAAAATCTTATAAATGTAATTTTGAACAACATTTATTTAAAAGAGCAACACGAAAGTTTCGTGCTCATTCTTCTTGTGATGAGTCTGCGTTCTGATTCAGTGACGGAATCATAAAAGTGACTTTTATAAAAGTGCTTATATTAAGTTAATTCTTATTCAAAATAAAAATTATTTCTATTCCTTTTTTATTTGACATCTAATGTATCTTGTATGGTCCCATATAAATATAATCAAGATTCAACCAATAGTTTTTGACTATTGTTAACAATGTGTTTCAAGTCTCTTTTTAGTCAAATGTGTTGTAATATTAGAAGCAGTGAATGTATCAAGATTAAAAAAAAACATTACAGCCATAAAGACATAGACAAATGAAAAATAATAAACGAAATAAACAATGCAATATAATAATAACATATACGTACATTCAATAATTGTGTATGTACTTCTACAAATATAAAATACATAAATAAAATATTTATAGACTGATAATAAACTACAATGTAAAATTCACTTTAAATTTATAAGCTTTTAGGTCCATATTTCCAAAACACTGTTTTTTAAACACCGACGCAAAAAAGCATGTTAAAAGTTTGACGTAACTGTATATTTGTCTGTAGCAACGTAGCTCTTAAACGAATGGATCGAATTGATGTATTTTTTGTTCTAAAACTAACTTAACTGATGATTCTTAGCTACAATTTATGAAGATATATTTTGGTATTTTACTTTTGTTAATTAGCAGGGATCAATCTAAAAAATCAATATTGATACTCAAAATCATTACATTTTTCATCATTTCTAGAGGACCTTTTGACCTCTTGTGCACATATATTTTTTTATCACTATCCCAGACGGATAAACGGAATTTTGTTATTTTTTCTCAGTTTTTTTAATCCGATAGTTAACCTAACCTAACGGTGAGGTTAGGTTAGGATCCTTATAATATTATCGGATATCGGATTTTAATCATTAGTTTTAACATTAGTTAACTACAGATCAAACAACGCGTTTATTCTTACATTTTTTATTCTTAACCTCAACTTTGACCGATCGGGATTTTTTTTGAGTCGTGCACGATGGAGGCCCAAGAGTCTATCTTCGATAAAATTTTGGTTTCGATTGGTCAAGCCGTATAGGAGTATCGTTACAAAGAGTGCAAATCTGATCTCTAATATCGCTAAGCTCAATAAATAATTTACTTATTAAACAATAATAATGTATATATATATAAGAAAAAGCAAAAAGCAACAGAATATAGGTGTAGATTGTGTGCTCTGTCTTTGTATACTCACAAAATAAATAATTATATATCTATCTATCAATATATATATATATAGTTTCTTTTTCATTATAGCCTAATAGTTTAATACTCCGACTTAGAACTTACTTAAACTGAGGTATACTTTATAAAAAAACCTTTGCAACTGCATACCTCAGTCGCACCTATTTCAGCCGCAAAGCAGCTTACTTTGTAAGCTGTTTCGGTTGTAGGGTGCAGATTAGACAGTGAAATTACAGGGTAAGAGGCGTGACATCTTAGTACTCTGTAATGGCACCGCGTGAGTAGTATCACGGGCGTCACATGATAACGTGATGTACGTGATTTTCATGTGTATAAACGGTTCACACTTAGATGGATCCTAATGGTAATTATTATGCAAGCTTCTTTTACTATTGAGTGGATTAATTTGTTCGCCATGCTCGTCGTAGTCGTCAAATCTAATCTTACACGAACAAACTTTGCGATTACGCATTCTTACATATATGTAAGTCTTTAGTATTTATTGAATAATGGATCGAAATTACGACGGTTCGAACCCCAGACTACTAAAGTCATATCCGTCAAGTGGGAGTTGGTCTTCAACCGCTCCATAAGTCCTTCCTTTGGTTTGGAATGCCATCTGCACTCGCAACCTATCGTCCGGTGAATCTGTAAAGGCCAGCTGCGGCCAACAGCATTAGAATAGTCCGAAAAAAGGACTTTTATAGTTTGAGTCGAAGTATTAAACCACTCGGTCACTACGATTTTTTTTTAATATTATTAATAATTCATAACAAGTCCAGCGATAGAAACTTACGTATATTCCCTCCCGCTTCCATCTCCGCCTTCATCAGCTGCAGGTCCAGGGTAGCCTCCTCCAATTTCTCCCTGCACTGCTCCAACTCCAGCTGGAGGGCTTCAGCTCTCTCCTCGGCCATTTCCTTGTCCAGGGCCGCCATCTCTGCAGCCTCTTGCAGTTCAGCGGTCTCGTCATTGTGAGTTTCTAAGGCTTCTTGAGCTTCTCTTGTCTGGTAAAAATAAATAAATGATTAATTACTATTTATGGAGCTCCCACCTGCGCTAAGGATTTACGCTGACGGGGCACCAGTGAAGGTCATCCATCACTGGTGCCCCGTCAGGTCCTTAAGGTGAGGACAGGTTAAACATAGACAACTATAGTCTAAACAGTATATAATTCTATGCCGTATCTCCCACCATAAGTGTATTTACGAATTATAACATTAATTAAAATATTTTTTTAAATTTAATTTATCACTTTGAGAATAGCTAAGGAAGTAAGCTCATCCAGCCGTAACTTTTCCTTTCATATAACGTTTATTTTCCTCTTTTTATGAATTTTAATATATTTGTACCTACTTCCTTTTATTATGGTCGACTGGGAGAATGCCTTATAGTGTTAAGTCTGCACAATGCACCCTTATTTTTATATTAGTGCATCAAAGTTTTAATAAATATATAAATTGTCTTTGTGGTCACTGGTACTAATGACTGCACCAAAATTTTAAACAGAATACATTCAGTGAAAAGTTATTAATATAAAAAAAACCAAACGCTACAATTTTATTTATTTTTATGAAATTTGCATCTTTACCTCCTGCTTGGCCCGCTGCAGGTCTCTCTGCAGCTGCGCCTGCGACTCCATTATCCTCGTCTTGAACTCATTGGCCTGGTCCAGCTGTAGCTTGACTCGCTCCAGCTCGCGTAGTTTCTCTCGGTCCTCCGCCCGGCGCACCTTGATAGTCTCCAGCTTCTCCTTGAGGTCTTCGACTTCAGATTTAAGTTGGGTAATCTGAAATGAAATTGTTTGAAATTAAATTATTTATTTTGCGAGGAATGTGGTGTGCTCAGTGGTTATAAACATATAGTTCTACACAATCCGCCTTATGTGAAGACATGCAAAATTTTATATTGGTTATGCTTCTGTAAATAATTACATAATTATTTCTTTAATAATCCCTGAATAACATTAATAGATTTTATACATGAGTAGATAGTACATGGATCTTCAAATTAAATAGATCTGATGAATTGTCATGATGCCAATGGTTATCATTTACCATCGCACCGCGACCATCGACAGGGAGTTCATCCCCTCACTCTAGAACCTAAGTGGTCTCGGACAGTGAGTTTCAGAAGAACTTCCTCCCGCATACTCTTAGATTGTGGAATGAACTATATGCCGAGGTTTTCTTTAGAGATTACAGCATGGGGTTTTTCAATAAGGGTATATTAAGGTTTCTTAGGAGGATTAAAATTAAAAGGAGACTACAATAACCGTTTACCATGAAATGGGCCGTGTGCTTGTTTGCCACCATCATAGTATAAAAAATCTTTAAATACGCTGGAGGGCACGCTTTAAATACAAGTCTGGGTGTTCTATATTATGTACTAGCTGCACCCGTGACTTCGTACACGTGGAATTTATTTTTATTTTTCTAAATTAAAAGTTAAAGCCTAAGTTACTCCTTATTACATCAGCTACCTACCAATAAAAGTTTCGTCAAAATCGGTCCAGCCATTTCAGAGATTAGCCGGAACAAACAGACCGACAGACAGACACAAAAAATTTAATAAGTGGTTTTTTGGTGTATACCGTATTTATATTCATATGTATGTAGTAAAAAACGGTTATTTCAATATTACAAACAGACACTCCAATTTTATTTATATGTATAGATGTGTAAAATCGGGTATTGATACCGGACGAATCATCGTGACGATTGTTAGATCCACTAATAATGATAACGATTTAGGCTTTGAAGCCGGCTACCGCAAGGGAAACCCAAGTAGCGCCTGTGACGGGTGTAGTTTTAAGAGGCCCGTTTAGAAAACATTAACGCTCACCTTCACTACTTGCAGCTTTCCCCCAGGCCTAACTGAAACCGGGATAAACCCATTTCCAATACAATTCACTATAGTATCCAAAACACAACCGGCACGCTCTGCGCTCTTCGACTGAATGCCGCGGATCACCCAACGAAAAAGGATTATTCAACTACCGACCTCCGTATTTATAAGCCGAAGTCAGTGTAGTAGGGTAAAAGCGGGGGTAAAGGTTATCTTATGATAAACAATTTAGTTCGTTCTATAAATACTAGATGGCGCTATTTACAATATTTGTAATAATCCTTACATTGGGTACTTCATATATCATATAAAATATTGATTTTTTTCTACAATATTGATGTGAACTTTAACATATGCATTTACAAAAAGTATTTATATCAGTGGTCTAGTATCCAAATCATAAGCTCTGCTTACATACCTTCTAGATGGCGTTGTGAACAGTCCCCCTGGACTGTATTATGATTATTATTATAGCTGATTGTGGCAAAGACACTAGAAATTTACCACGATGGTTTAATGGTTGGGAACCGCCTGAAGATCTGACATGGTTATAAGACCACATATATGTCTTACCTCTTGCTGCGCCTGTAAGTTTGCCAGCTTATCTTCGACAGAAGGCACGGGCTGTGGGGAGGTGATGCTCTGCCCCGGGGTGAACTGAGGAGTCAAGGTCTCCACAAATCCCGTCTAGAAACACAACAATTGTACATTTTACTAACGGCCTCGGTGGTCTAGCAGTTTAGCACACCGTCTTACTTCCGATGGTCGCGGGTTCGATTCCTCGCACGCTACAAACAACAGTGACATTGTTTATATTAGTCTGGGAGTTTTCTATGTACATTATGTATGTGATTACAAAAAAAGCATTTATACCAATAACACAAGCTCTGCTTAGCTTGGTACTAGATGATGATACATTTCTAATTAGAGCTACTGAACTAACAGTGGGGTACATATATCTCTTTGGGGTACATTATACCACGATGTACATGGTACCCCAGTTTCTATAAATGCATACGTGTATATTGAAAGCTTACAACTAACTTGATATTGTAATTAAGAGCTGCTCAACTACTATTGGGGTACATTGTATCACTCTGGGGTACATTATACTAAGAAGCACATAATGCCTCAGTTTCTACAACAGCGTTCGTGTTTAACTTCGCTTAAGCTTATGACCAACTTAATACTGTAACCAAAGAGATGTGAAAATGTTAAGGTAAGTAAATTATACTAAGAATGACGTGTTACCCCAGTTCTAAGTATTGCGTGTAATAAAAGCTTATGATTAACTTGATACTGTAAATAAAAAACTGTTTAACTATTGGTGGTCTACATTATACTTTTTAGGGTATTTCATACCATATAATACCCCAGTTTTTATGACTGCGTATGTGTCTATTGAAAGCCTATAACTAACTTAATAGTGTAATGATGAACTGCTTAACTATTACTGGGGTACATTCTATCACTATGGGGTACTTTATACTTGGAAGCAATAGTACCCCAATGTCTATAACTGCGTACACGTACATCGAAAGCTTACAACTCACTTGGTATACCACGTGGTCTTCGTTAAGTGCCAATTGCTTGAATTCCAATTTAGAAAAGAAAAAATAACATAAATTATTAGGTTGGGTCCACATTATTAAATTATGGTGCAGACATACCTGTACAAATTTTGGAAATAATTTTGAAAATTTTATATATTTCATTGGTCCTCTTATAGGGGTAGACAGAGAGAATCGATACCTACTTACGAGTACGTTCAGATAATATTGTATTGTATTCGGCACTTAGCCGATAGCATATGATCTATATTATTATATTCCAATAATATATTTAAATAACCATTACATTTTACTAGAGGCCTAATTACTTAGTTTAAGAGGACCCCCTTACCCTTTCCAGGGGCTTTTTTACCCACATACTAGAACATCATGATGATCATTATTGAAAAAAATACCTCAACAAACGAGGCGCGTTTCGATAGATCCGGCGAAGATGCCCTCTCCGCAGTCGGAGATGCATACGATGTAAGAGATTGACGACTGCTCGCCAGCGACGTGCGCGAACTGAAAATTAAATTTTTTTTATAAGCACTATTTTTCTTTAATGTAAAGTTGGTCTTGTGCAATATTATAAACAGCTTTCTTTATTTATACGTGCGTATATATAGACGTGTAACATCGAACTACAAGTTCCATCACCATGGCGCAGTGTTTCTCAAACTATTGACACACACCCTTGTACGTTCAAGCGGGAGGTCGCGATTCTTGATGGGGTCGAGTTTGATTTTAAAGGGCCACGTTTAGGCAATCAGTTCAAAAATCTTGTGGGTCGCGACATAAAAATGGTTGTGAAACGATGCCATAAGGCTGTAGATTAAAATTACGACTGTGTCAGAGATCTTAACGACACATTTTAGCCATTTCTCGTTGTTTCATTGCATTTTTCTTTTATTTGCGATCACTGAGAAGCGAAGCGCAACCCACCCGAGGGGATAGCGACCTACAGTTTGACAAACACTGCCGCAATGCATTAATAACAATATCTTGACTAATTGCAAGCAACAAATACAAAGGGTTTTTTATTAACACAAAATAAAACTTATTACATACAAAAGGCACTGAAAAAAAATGGAGGGACAGAGACAGAAGACAACTAAAAATGTACTCTGGGGATTCATTATGTAACGCATATTTTTTTTATTATGTTTGAAACAAACGCAACTATTAACTAGTTTTATAGCGAAATTGTTTTTGACGAGTATTTCAGCGCGGCTAGTCGATTCTACTTGTGACCCGAGAGCTGGTAGCTACTTTGCCCAGAGACTAAGCATGGCCATTCAAAGAGGCAACGCTGCTAGTATCGAGGGTACGCTGCCTGGATGTGCCGCGATGGATTACAATGATTGTTTTTTTTTTTGTGAATGTTTATATATGTAATTACTAGTTATGCCCGCGGTTTCAACATCGCGAAATTTATAGCCCATATGTTATTCTGATGTATAAACAACAGTAACAGTAACTGTCCAACAGCGAGTTCCAACAGTGTCCTGAAGGCAATTGCTTGTAAAGTAGACTGTCCCATTCTAAGACACTGGGTGGGACAGGTAATATATTAAAAGTTACATTTTTATTTTATATTTTATTACTAACATAGGATAAGTTATGTCATTAAGCTGTTACTAACAAAATGGATCATGTTGTCTGAAATAAAATTACTATTATTATAAGCTAAATTACTGTAAAGTTTCATTAAAATCCGTTAAGTAGTTTTCGCGTGAAAGAGTAACAAACATACATTAACAAACATCCATACTCACAAACTTTCGCGTTTATAATATTAATTAATAAGATTTATTAATGGAAAAAAGAGATCATAGTGTTAAATAATAATAACAGTATTTATTTTGAATTTCAAATAGGTAACGTTTGAAACTGCGTTACATAATCAAGCCCTCGGAGTCTTTAAAAGATAATATACACAGAGACATAGTAATAATTTATATAATTGATAGCTGATAGGGATCACAAGGTTCAAATATGAAACAATTGGCAAGTTACAGAGCCCTACGTATAATGAAACTCATATCACAAACAGGCGACAATCAAAAGCGAAATTAAAATAATTTGTCATTAAAAATATGTACCTGTGACTTTGTCAGTTCTCAACTAAAGTAGCAAGCAGAACTGGGCGATATGGATAAGGTAAAAAAATTACATGTATAAATGGGAGAAAATATTCTATATGAATAAATAATAAAATTTTGACTTGTTATAAACTATATCAAGCAAGGTTTACACCGTCGAAATTACATATTTATTTGCCCATTTTACGAGTTCATATGTTGTTCAATGATCATAAAAATAAAACTACATATCATACACTAATTCATGCCCTCGGTACCTTGCAGTTCAGTACTACAAGCAGTCGTAGCTTCGATTCTTCACGGTACAAACATTTTGTATTCATAAGCATGATTGTTTGTACTGATCTGGGTTTTGTATATGTATATTCTGTACTTAAAATTACTAAAACATTTTTTTTATAAATCACTAACTGTCAATTTCAATTTCAAACGAAGAACAGAGTTTCAATCGAAAAACTAAATAAAAATGTGTGAGTGCAGACATTTTCTTTTTGCTGTACAAGAATTCCTATTTTATCTTTTTTTTGGATCAAATTTAATATAGAAACCTTCAATTCAATTTTATCCCATATAACTTTGTTTGTAAATTCAAAATAAAAAAGTTACAGAAAACTCTTTTTAAAGTAAAAAAAAATCAAGTGAACGTAAAAATTTATTGAATGTTTCCCCATATTTTTAATACTTTTGATTGAAAATGTACTCAAATCAACACCATAAGCAAAGCAGTTGTCCTCTATTCCTCAAAGATATCAAATATTAAAAAATAAAATTACCGTCTATGTTTTTTTTGGCGCCTCATTTTGACAGCTCTTTTTTTTTATCGCTCCATTAAACACAGTACTGGGTACACGCTCGCAACGAGGCAAAGACTGGCTGTACATTATGCCATACGCATACAGTGATTAATTCAATTAAATTAGCAATCCGTGTGTATTGAAGCCTAAAGGTTAAACTGGTTACAACATAGTAATTCGGTAAAAATTACTAATAACTGAAATGCATTAGAAACGTTTAAATTTTTACAGGAAGAGACGAACTCTTAGCATTCTATAAATTCACCGTGCGGGTGCTGGGTCCATCGTGTGGCAGAGAGGGAAACTTTGAGCAGTTCCCGGGACTTGTGACCCGGGTATAGATTTAAGAGGCTCCTTTGCCGACGTAGGTCAAGTTACTTTCACCGCTCGTGTTTCTCTCCCTGCCCAGATACATCTGGTAGGAGCCTGCCAATGCAGCTTTAGATACTATATATATATATATATATATATATATAATATGTATATGCACAGGCCAAGATCTTATCCAAATAAAAGATTTGTAACATAGATGTATTTTATCTAGGGTTTTTAAGAAGCAGAAAGTAAAATAATAAGCATTGGAGATCCTAGATATTAATACTACATTAGAGATGCGACATTCTGTACAAAAAACTATGTTTCCTAAATTAATCGATTTTTGAGTCACTTCGACTTAATGTTCTTGCTATTTTTAGGTTCATGAAATTGAAAAATAGCGTGTCATGATTATGCACTGAAGTTGTTTCCTAATCCAGCAGGGACAGGTGCCTAAATCTACAGCTAGCATGTGTATAGTAGTTACAACGTGCTCTGCAAGCTCTATGGTCCTTAGTCTATGGTTACTGGTTACCTCGACATAGACAACGTCCCGGATTTGGTCTGCGCGGGCGACGCCTTCCGTCGCACCCTTTAGTTGCAACACAATGTTAGTATTAACTATGTTAAATATACATACATCAAGTTAACAGACATGTTATAGATTATACAAATGGTTATATTGTTAATCTGTTTCACGGCGGGCATAAACAATCAATACATTTTTTTAATAATAACAATAAATACTCTTGCTTAACTCAAAAACACTGTCTAAAAGATGACAATTTAAGGATATGACCATGCGTTTTTGCCCTAGCAATGATATGCCAAATATTATATTGTTTTAAATTGTACACATATCCTCAAAAACAAAACATTTTTTTATTTTTAAATTAATCAGAATCTCTGCAGACGAACAATTCATTAGTTGAAGAGCAAAAACAAGTTAATTTATTAATTATATTATTAAATAGGTTTATTTTTAAATACAGAAGTAAATATATTGATTAGTTGATGTCTCGCTAGTGAAACAGCTGTAACAATTTCCATATGACAAATTAAAATATTGAGTGAGTATGTGAGTTTACTTAGTTAAGTATTAACCTTTTCACAATAATATTTAAAATTAAAATTATCATATGAAACTTGTCATAAATACAATACCATTCTTACATTTGTTTTTAATTTGTTTCTAAATTATTATAACTATTGTGTTATTGTATAACATACAACAACATTAATATATTTCAGAATATATACGTCAGTCAAATATTACATCACATAAATACCTTTGGTCATATGTATGAAATACTATTACTTACTAAAACGACACATTTCCGGTAAGAGTCCGGAACCGTGTCAACAATGCATTATATAAAAAAAATGTTACAATAGTAATAAATAAACAAACACTAAATGATATTGTAAATATCTGATATAAATTTTAACAGTCGTATATATTTATGAGACTTAAAACCATCGATATAATTTAATAGAACAAATAATAAAGATGAAAAAATAAATAAAAACTCATTCATCGGACTGTTTTAAATTTAGTTATCTCGTACATGTTTTATAGAAATTGAATAGCAATAGAATAGCAAACAGCGCCATATATTTCACGACACATATATTACTCTTGCATTGCCATTTCTAAAGACTCTCTTATGCGTTGCTATTTTTAATTACTCTCTAATGCGTTGCCATTTCTAATTACTCTCTCTTGCGTTGCCATTTGTAACGACTCTATCATTTGTTGCCATCTCTAAGGACTCAACAATGGCAACACATGAGATGTGTTGCCATTTCTAAGAACTAAGTCTTTATGGTTTCATACTCTACTTTGTACAATACCTCACTAAATTATTCCCCATTAATATTTTGAAACTAGATGGCGCTGTTTGATATGTCCATGTGTATTTATTTATTTTATGGAAGTAAAATATTAGAAAAGTCGGATGGCATTAGTAATTACTAGTTACTAAATAAGAATTTTAATGATATACTAGGCAGGGTTAGACGTAAAGGGTCCACGAAGTATAAAGCTGTTGATAGTATTTATGACTTTGAACTTTTCCAAATAAACAAAGTGAAAAAAAAATCTTTCTTACAAACAGCTTGATCGTCACTACGCATGGTGATAATCAAGCATACATACGGCCTGTATGATGATTACCGGAAACTACGACTAAATTTATAATGAAACGTAAAAATTCTTTATCCAATTTCCACTTTGTATCTTAGTAAATATGGTAGTACAGTTTCAATTGATCCATGTTATATTTCCTATCAATTTATTTAGAATAAATAGTAAATTATTCTAAAAGACAACAAAAAATTATTAGAATATAAATACATAATATGTTGCCAGCAATTGCGTAGCATGGAGGGTGCAGATGGGTCCTGGACATCATATAACAGGAATGAAATATGAAAAAACAACAAATAAATTTTGTGTTCATTGACAAATTAATATATTACATTAACTGATTTTAAATTTATTTTTTATATAATTAAAATGATTTTGGGGTAGTCCCGGTAGGCCCCAGATGGGGCAAGACCAAACTGCGCCATTTGTTGCCAACATGCCAATACTTGGTTTGCTTTTGAATTTGAACTTGATGTACCCTTTACGCATAACCATGTACAACTATGTGGTTATAGCAGCACAAGCGGTGCGTCTACATAATGTGGGTACTCACGTGGTGGGTCTAGACCTCTGGGCCACAGTTATACTAGTAGGAGAAAAACACACTGTTAGAGCACACACTACGGTATCAAACGTCGGTCGTTTAATTTACTATGTGAAGTTTTATTTAATACGTGAACCAAAACTTTGTACCCCTTTTTACGGAATTTGTAAAAAGGGGTACAATGTGGGTAACGCTGCCTTGCAATTAAAATTCATGGAATGGCAACACTTGACGTGATATCAACGAAGCTTCATTATTATAATATTAATACGTGAACCAAAACTTTGTATCCCTTTTTACGGAATTTGTAAAAAGGGGTACAATGTGGGTAACGTTGCCTTACAATTAAAAGTCATGGAATGGCAACACTTGACGTGATATCAACGAAGCTTCTTTCATTATTATTAAATTATACGTGAAGCAAAAACTTTGTACCCCTTTTTAAGGAAATTGCTCGGAGGGAGGGGTATAAAATTTCGCAAACTTATAGTTTATACAAATAATAAGCGCACAATGCTATTATTTTAATTATGCATAATAAATACATTAACTCAATAATAAACATTACAATCGAGGGAACACATTGACTGAGATAATGTAACTTTATGCATATGCGTTTTTTCTGGAACTTAAAAAATCGTATAGCGACATTCGAACTATCTGATCTCTGGTCTAGATTAGGTCAGTCCTCAGATTGCCCGAATAGAATCAAACAGAGTAAGAAATATATATTTCAAATTCTAATGCTTTATTTGTGTAGTACAAGTTAAAATATATTTTCTTTATCATAAATTAAACAACCGACTTGCAGTTTAATTTCTAGTGAATTAAAACTGTCTATGATTGACCTGAAAATCCGTCTACTTCTACCAACAAACCCCGCTTGCATCCCCTTTATTGTTTTATTGGTGTTTCCAATATCCCAATTCAACCCACACATGCCAACCTACATCACTCAATAAAATATACATAAAATAGTATCTACTTTATTCATAAAAGTTTAAAAAATACATATAGCCATTGAAAAGTTTTTCTAGTTATTTTCAGTGCTGGCCGTAATCAATATATTATTTAATCAATTCATTAATTTGATTAATTTAACAAAGTAATGATAATTTTGATTTTTTATTAGCGTTAATCATTAATCATATTATTATTGTTAAAAATATCCTGGTCAATTCACTCAAAAGTACTTCATTATATAGAAAGAATGACTGAGTCCTGAAATATAGATATTTTCTATACCTACCTCAGAAGAAAGGGACTTTATAAAAAAAAATGTACTAAATATGTGAATAATAAATTATTTTTATTATTATTTTAATTATATCATTAATTAATATTCTTCATTAATCATTAACACCCAATCAAGGCCTAGAACACTAAGTCTATGTATCACCTTGATTAAGACTGTTTCAAACAGCTTCAATCAAAGTGAAGCTTTCAATAGATGGAGCTTGAACGAAAATGGCTTTGTAGAAAGTAATTTGCGTGACGGAAAGAGAACTACTAATGGACGATTTGTACAAAGTTAACTTAGATGAAATTTGTCTTGTTTTTCACAATCTGCCAAATAATCATATCACAAGAAATGATTAATATTATTTACTTTAATAATTATAAATATGATCATGTTTAACTAACTAATAGTGCCAATAAAATTTTTAATTAAGATTTTTAATCATCTTTGCGCCAACACTTTTTTTAGAAAATTTGAAAGAATGCAAAACTGTCCAATGGTTAAATGGTTTTTTACATTGTTGTATTTTTTTATGAATATTAGTAATGTTATTAGCTTACTTACTACAACTATTTGTTTAGGAATAATTTGAGAATTGAAAATATATTAAGTCCTGAAAAGAAAGATGGTGAATTTCCATAGTCAATGTATCACAGTTTCAAAATAAACCACTAAAGCATTTTTGGTATATTAAAATCTTGATGAAAGGCTTTTTATCATAAAAATATAACATGAAGGAGTGAAGTAGGGATGAAACTTTACAAAGTTTCATCCCTACTTCACCCCTACTTTTATTATATGAAATATCAATTCTTTTTAAAGTATAGGACATAAAACTCATAATAATTATACTTAGGGTATATGAATAAAGATATAATTTCTAATTCTAAGCGATTGAAGTTATGCTATTGGCTAGCTTACATACATTATCTCATATTTATTATGAGCCCAGAGTGTATATAATAAAACTTTACTTGCATTCTATAATGTATATATATAGTGTACCCTGTGATTGTGGGGCGGACTTGCTCTGGACTTATGCAAGGGGTTGCCATATGTGGACTTTAGAAACATAAAAAAAGTATATCACATCATACAACACATCTTAATAAATATGTTTTTCTAAACATGTGTAGATTAATATCTTGTTTTTATACTACAATGGTGGCAAACTAGCATACGGTCCATCTGATGGTAAATGGTTACCGTAGCCTATGGACACCGATGAACGGTGAAACACCAGAGGTGTCACGTGAGCGATATCGACTCTTAAGAAATGCACTTATTAAAAAATTGTACAGATTTCTGATGCACTTGCTGCTTTTTTACGTAATTAATTATATAAATATTATATCATCATTATGACATTAAATGTATTTTTAATTATTTCAATAAATATTCAAAACAGTATACATTTAAACTAAAGTTTAATAATACCAATATTTTTTAATTACTTTCAATATTCAATAAATAAATATATTCAGAAACTATGTAAAATTCTTTCTTTTATATTATGTATACATAGTAAAGTTATTACTTACCCAAATATGAAATAGAAATTTAACTAATATAGACAGTTAAAAACATTATGTAAAAATTGTGGATAGCATAATTATGTCCTATATTGAACACAATATATTTTCTTTTACTAATAGTTGTGATACTAAAAACTACATTTACCCCAACTAATCTATAAATGAAATTTAATTAATAACATAAAAACAATCTTATTTCTATTAAAAACACAGTATCACCTCACAGCTAATATATTAAATTATTATATTCTGCATCTTCCCATTTCTAGATTTTACTTTAATATTCTATCTAGTCTATTAAAGAATAAACTTTAATATCAGATACATGACTTATAACACCACCTATTTCTATATCAACTAATTAGGTATTCAATTTCTAACATGGGCTTGCCCTACACAATCTACAGGCGAGCCAACGCCGCCCGAGTCGCGGTAGAAAGTTAATCATCACATCGCGACTCGGGCAATTGCGCTCATAGGTACACTGTGTGGTTTTTTTAATGGGTAGGAATCGCACACACACATCTTGTCTCCCCTCTAGCCGAAGTATGGTCAATTGAAGAATTTTCCAGACGTTAAACAAATGTATTATAATTGTAATAAAAGCTATCATTAGTAAGTTACAAAAATTTATGTCAATAATATTCATATTCAATCTTTAGTATAAAGAGAAAAAAAGAAGGAAGATAAAGACTATATGATCATACAGGATTAAAGAAAATTTTCAAAATGGAAAGATACAGAAAAAAAAAGTAAATTAGTGTGGAAGTGTAGTGTTTTTTATACTGTCTGATATGATGATATTAATCTTGTCTGAATCGCCATTCCTTTTAAGTGACAGAATAAAATCATTAAGTTTAAAGTTACATATATTTTCATATAATTACAAAACTATATATAATAACAAAAGTAAAATAATGATAGACATATCCCATGCTCAAAGAGCTTTTGTTTTATAGGATCATTATAAGAAATTGAATAAAATCGACATAAATAAATGCAATCCTCAAATTATAATCGATAAATAAATAAATATTCAATCATCATCATCATCAGCCCACTGCAGTCCACTGCTGGACATAGGCCTCTCCCAAGGCACGCAACTGGGCACAATCTTTAGCCCTTCTCTTCCAGATTTTACCCGCAACCCAATATATGTCATTGCTCCACCATTTAATTAATATTCAATATTGATTAAATAATTATTTAATAAACATGTATTCAATATTTATTAAATAATAATTATTAATTAATTTGTATACAACACTTTATGAATGCCATGCAATCATACCTGCTAAGTCTCCTGTTAGATGATGTACTCTTTGGCTCTTCAATGGATGCAGTCATGGAGGTCTCCATTGGGTTGTCTTCCGCATCCAAGAGCTGGATCTGAGTCTGACGTACAAACACACCATAGTTCTCCTCACACTGGAAAACAATACATCAACCTTTCATGTGACTACCTCGGTGATCTAGCAATCTAGCACACTACCTTACTTCCGATGGTTGCAGGTTTGATTCCTCAAACAGTACAAACATTTGTATTCATGACTAAGATTGTTTTTTCAGTCTCTGTGTTTTCTAGATATATCATGTATACCTATATATACATAGATTACTATGACATTTACAAATTAAACATAATTAAATATATATATATATATTTATATACATACACATTTATTTGTGGATTAAAGTTTTAATAATAATAACAACAACTTCTGCTTATCTAGTCTATATGGTGCTTTGCTCTTTTAAATAATTTTATTATTAATTTTTGTATAAGTGTGTGTTATAGAAAAAATATGAATATATAACCAAGTTAAACAATTAATAAGAGGAAATAAGTCATAGTGATTAGAGCAGACCTTCCTCTGTATTTCATAATTTTTTAATAATAATCCTTATCCTATATGGTGCCTTTTGCAATATTTTTCATAGCATCTCCACTCCTAGTGGTCACAGCGTAATGTTATATTGCTTAAAGCCTTCTCAACAAATGGACTATACACACACACAATAACACAAAAATTATTTTTCAAAGCTAAAGAAATACAAAGCACTGCAGTAACCAGGATATAAATAATAATAATAATAACCAGGATATACATACCAACATTATTAATATCAAAGTGTGAGTATTGGTCAATTTGTACCTTAAGTAAAAATACTCACCCTAAAGTATGCATGTCCACGAACTGTACCATTATTCTTGCCTTTTGGTTCATCCAATATTACACCAATCCATTTCCCTGTCGCAAACGTTGGATACCCAACATAGGCCACAGATCCTTTCACCTCTCTACCAACCACAATCACCCGCTGGCCCAACGTTAGCTTCTCCGACATATTTACTTATGTCTTTTCATATATAAACTGTAAATTTCAAATATGGGCATTTATATATGCTTTTTGAACCACAGTAGAATAAAATAGAAAAACATTTTTTCAAATAAACTTAATTTAAGCACTTCTGAATAGTCATATTTATCAGTCTTTTAATCTACCACTAATTCGGGAAGCTATCTGATCACAAGAAGAGTGACCAAGAAACTTGCGTGTTGCTCTTATAAATAATCATTGTAACTTTACATTTTTAATTCAAAACATATGTATACAAACTACTGACTAGCACTAATTTGGTTAATTTACAATTTGTTTAATGTTTGCTGTTGTAGTGGGAACAAGAAGTATAGCAGTGACATCTCTCTATAATCTTATAAAAGATCTTGGCCTGTCCAGAACTGCAGTAATTTCTACACTAGATGTATCCAAAGCTGCACTAGCAGGCTCCTACCAGATTTGAAATCAAAAGAAGTATAGAAAGAATATCAAAATGTACAGTTTTCAACACCCATCTAAAAACTTTCATGCTTAATTTCTGATGTATGTACCAGGATGAGCTAATAACACTAAGAGTAATTAATCACCTGACCTACATGCTCATTCTATCATTTTGTCATTGGAGCCGCACCTGTGTAAACTGTTAACACAGGCAGGCACCATTCCAGCATCAATAAATAAAACAGACCTAATGATGAATGGTTATCATAGTCTATGGACGTCTGAAGCGCCAGGAGTGTAATGATCATATTCCCAAACCATTAAAAATTTTAATATACCCCTTTTTAAAAACCTTACAGTGTATTCTCTCGATAAAACCTGTGCAAGTAATTCTCTCTACGATCGAAGTGTATGTAGAAATTCCTCTGAAACCGCAAAGTAATTCTTTCTACATATAAAGTGTGCGTGGGAGAAAATTCTTAAAAACCGTTCACTGTACGTGATCACTTGGGTTCCAGGGTGTGAGAATGAATTCCCTGTCGATTGCGAGCAGTGCGATGGATGAAGGGAGCTGTAGACATAATGTCTTTCGTTCTTTCTTTCAAGCAATTCCACTGAACACAATACCTCGTGTTGTAAATTGAAAAACCGACGAGTATTAAAATTTGAAAAAAGAACACTGCGTACCTGATTTTTATAAAATAAAGTATTTTGAGGTATTACAGAGATTTTATAATATTCAAGTTATTAAATAGATATATTTAATCATTTATGGAATATAATTTTTACTAATTTATATTATAATGTAATATTAATGTTTTAAAATCAATTTAATAACATTGTAAATTGATTGCTGACAAATTAATTATTTTTATTGAAAATAAGAATTAGTCAATACAGTTGTCACTTGTACGATGACGTCTGTATTTGATATTTGACAACATAAATTTTGGTGAACACCACAGACCAGATTATTGTGTTCTGCGACTACGTCTGCATTCGTTGAATTTGTATTTCGAGTACAATATTTTTTATTTGGTTTTTACTCCTTTTATTTTTTTATTTACTTAATTGAAATGCTAATTCCCCAGTTTATGGTCAACGGTAAACGTTGCTTATATCAAGCATAGGACTTTTTACAGGGCGGACTCTTTCGAGTCCAAAAGCACTGGAAGTACCTACCTAATTATCTTTTTTTTACATACTAAATTTACTAAAAAATATTTTATTTTATTACATGTCTAGATTGTTGAATGAACATAGAGGTTCATATACATACTTGTATTTGAGTAATAAATTCTATCATTGTAACAAAATATATTGATAGATTAAAAGTTACGTATTAACATCATGTCGTTTGTATTTTATTAAAAATATCTATTAAAATCTAGGTAATTTCACTCGGAATATCTCCCAATTCAACATAGATTCCTTACGAGTTCAGCAGTAAGATTCTAGAGTCAATAGCTTTTGTCCTTTCTTTGGTCATTAGTAACATAATTCGTCTCCTGCAGCCATGCCCGCGCCGGTTCCAAAAAGGCGTGGTAAATTCACCATGAATTGATGACGTGGAGGTCAACCTGATATGGTACCTACTGGGGAAGGGGATTTTTAATGATGTGGCCTTATGATCCCATTCTAGCAATATACCATGTTAGGTTGACATCCATGAGGTTTGCCCTGGAAACCATCTTTAGCGCAGGCGGGTGCATCATTTCATTATCATCCACTAAAAAAATCTGATTGCTGACAATGCGGTTATTAGTCCACACCACTAACAATCTCATTCCCCAGTCACATTTGTTTCGTGAATCTTTCATACATTTTTTCGATTTCAAAGATATACTCTTTCTTACTGGCACCAAATACTCTATTTTTTATTAAATTTAAGAACATAAAAAATGTAACCGTCTGAATAGGTTACGGTTAAAAGTACAAAATGATGCTTTTTAGAAAAATGTCATTTCCCATTCGGTGAATTTGCAATGGACCTCTGGATTGCCTACCTGTGTTACAATATAGTTGACGACTGTCATGAATAGGCCTTACCTTTTTAGTTTAGTTTAGTTCTTATTGTTCTATTTAACAATTATTCTTACCATTACAAAAGAACAAAAGGCATTAAACTTTTAACGAATTTCTACATACAAACCTGTTAACAACTCTCTACTTTCTAAGGCAGTACAAAAGTATCTATCTGCTTACTTAATTACGTGTATAGAGTTTTTCGAAACAAATGAAATAGTATTTCCGCCTGCATTAGAGGATAATGTTGTTTGAACTCTTCATATAAAGAATAGTAGACCCATGTTTTTATTTAACTGCTATAGTTTATAAATTACCATAATTATTAATTATGGTATATAATTAAATGATAATAACCATTGCCTATATATAATAATAATGGACAATCCACTCAGCGCCGTCTAGACCCAAGCAAAGCAGAGCTTGTGTTATGGGTCTAATACCCATTAGTAAGACTGTGGTAACCACAGATAATATAATATTACATAGTGGTAACACAGAACAACTCACACAGCGCCATCTAGTCCCAAACTAAGCAGAATAGGGGGCTTCTTGTGGATGATAATGGAATAGTGCACCCGCCTGCGCTAACGGTTTACGCTGGTGGGCCACCAGTGGAGGATGATAAGATGAACATGAGGTCAGGTCAGTTAGCCCAACGTGACAGATTCACCAAGAATTTATCACGATGGTTTCCAGGGACAGGGATAGTTAGTGATGTGGACTAATGATCCCATTGCTAGCAATGTACCTACCATATCAGATTGACCTCCACGCAGTTCCCCCTGGAAATAATCGTGATAAATTCTTGGTGAATTTGCCAAGATGTGCTAATTGACCTGACCTCATATTCATCTTATCATCCTCCACTGGTGCCCCGCCAGCGTAAACCGTTATCGTAGATGGGTCCACCATTCTATTATCATCAATTACATAAAAACTAAGCAGAATATGTGATATGGGTTCTAGACGACTCATATTTTTTTAAATAAATGAATATACGAAGAAAATACCCAGACCAGTGAAACAATCATACTCATGCTCAGTACGAGGAATCGAACCTGTAACTAGACTACCATATTCTAGCAATGTACACTGTCAGGTTAACCTCCACGCGGTACCCCCTGGAAAAATTCTGTTATATTCCAAGTGAATTTGCCACGATGACTTAACTGACCTGGTCTCATTTTCAACTTGTCATCCTTTACTGGTGCCCCGCCAGCGTAAGCGGGTCACCATTCCATTATCATCCATAAAAAATACTGAAAGAGTAATATTTGCAAGTACTATAACGACAGTTAACGGTTATATTTGTGTATTTAATATATTTTATAAGTTTCTTTAATAACTAGTAGAGAATGCTATTATTCTGTACCAGCCAACCTTAAGCCCGTCTATTCTATATAATTCAATAGATTTTTGATAAATAAATAACATACACATAGTTTACTGTGGGCCGTATTGAATTGATGTGTTGTGATTTCACAGCTATCGACCTCGTTTATGATCGTTCGTTACTACGCAAGTAGCTACCTAGAATTGGCAATGATAGAATGACTCATTGCCGCCGTTTCCTTGTTCGCTCGAGCGAAAGAACACGAACTTGTCCGTTGCTTCGATAGTTTCAACTAAAACTCTGCGTCTAAAATACCTCATGGTGACATTTTACAACTACTTACACGATAATGTAATTTGTTTTTATAATAAACAACAATACAGTTATCTGTATGTGATAAATGTATTAGTTATCACTATTTTAATGACAGTATTACATTACATTACTGACTTTAATTATTTAATGACGATATTACACGTTAATATTATCTAGATTTCTAATGTATAATAATTAACTAATGTTCTTGACGTATTTAGGTTATGTTCATGGCGTGAATTTAACACTACTGTGAACATCAGTAAGGTTCAATTTTGCGCATAAAATTGTTAAACAATAATGCATTATGTTAAAATTATAGCGTCAGCAAATCGCAAGAATGGAATTGTACTGAGACCCACCTACTTTCACTGCGGAATCCCGTTATCTCGCCACCTGGCACCTGCCCGCCACGACACCCGCCGCCCAAGCAAGAAAATAACGAAACGAAACATGTACAAAAACATATTTATTAATTCAATCATTACAGAAATTTAAAAATACAATGTCGTAAAAAAAAAGTGATTTATACTATTTGGTTCGGCGTTAATTGCAACTAAAGAGGAGACGGCGCCGATACACTATACATGGGAGTTTCTGAAGGCACGGGGCGGAGGCCTGCTTGGCCTCCCAATCCTTTCTCTGTAAACGTCGGTGCTCTCTAAATACATATTCCAATTGTTATAACGCGCGCGCTCTCATTGACATGTCTATAATGATTTTCATAATACCACGGGCTTAGAAGCCGTGCACCTTCAACTGGTCAGGTTTAACTAGACCCGACTTCGTGAGCCACTGGCAAATGTTCTCGCGCTGGTCGCCCTGCAGCTGAAGCACCTCGCCGTACTCCGGGTGCTCCACAACGGTGCCGTTGCAGGCAAACTCCTTCTTGCATGCCCGCACTATTTTCTTCAAGTCATACTCCGAGGACAAGCCTTGAACGGTAGTTAGCGTCTTACGCCCGCTCCGTTGCTGGATCCGGACATGCACTAAACCATCTTGGACGTCGTCTTCCGAGCTTTTGATAGCATCGGCGAATGGGTCGAATGTGTTCAGATTCTGGATGGACATACGATTGAACGTCGCTTCTCTTTGTTCCAATGAAACACTGCGATACGACGCACTTATACAATATAATTGTGTCACTGATAACGCGCGTTTGTGCACGACCAATTTACGTAAACTCAAAAATGTAATGGCGGATCGGGCCAAAAAATGGGAATGTCACGCGGAGGCGGAAATAATGGAAATATCGACCGCGACCATAGACAATGAGTGAACGATAACCACAGAACATCAATATCCTATGCATTAACACTATAAAGCCGGTCTACACACGCTGTTATTTTTTCAAACGTTATGACTACTGTAATGTAGAAATACAAAGTAATTATCCTTTCAATTTTGCGTACAATTTTGGAACATAGTCGTCATATTGAGCTAAATAAAAGTTTCCTGCTATAGGTGTTCCCAATTTATATTGCTGTGCAAATTTTGAAATCGAAAACTTTCCTCTTTTGTCCCCCGAATTATTCGGTAATTTCGGTACTTTCGAAAAATCACATTTATCTGGTTGTTTGTAAAGTAGAAAAATGTAACGATGCAATCCTGTACCTTTTGGAGGGCCAGGACCGATGTAATCAGACAACACTTCCCCTTTATTCATATCTCCTCCATATATATTTCCTACAAGCCAGTGAGCCCACTCTCTGAACTTTGGATTTTCACGACTTGGAGCATCAGGGTCGACCATAGCTAACGTATAGTATTCCGATTCTTTAAAAGCCCATTTTACTATGGGTTTGTCTTTAACTTGAGTTGGCGTTAATTCCTTACCATTATTCACACTTACACCACTAGGATATTGAATATCCAGTAGCTCCAACGGTGCTGTATTAAGTACATCGGGTACTATACAATGTTGTTTGAAAAGATTTTGTATTTCAGACATAAATAATATTTCACTTATGAGTAGATAATATAATTTATAAAATAAACCAGGTCATGAATTTAAAAACACTAGTTTCTATCGTTATTTCACAAAAGAAATTTATGTGACAGAGAGTAAATATCATTAATTTACAAAACTTGGTGCCTAGTAACCAAAACGATTAAATTGTCCTTAGAATCAGAATGATTTTTTTATAGAGAATACTGGCTGAAATAATTGTAATAAATAATATTTTAAATTTAATTATTTAATTGAACATATAAATTAAAAACATCGAATAGAAACAGACTACCAACTAGTTTAGTTTATTTATTTAATTAATATATAGCCTTTTACTTAATGTCTAGACGGAGCATAAAAACGAAACGTAATTGTCTATGGTAAACTGTGGTAAAATGCGGCCTTTATGTCCGTTTGGATTGATTTTAAGTTATGCATACATGATTGTAATGTAAATTATGTATATTTCTTACTATTTTTCCATCATAGGGCAATTTCAACCTCAAAATGAAGGAGAATAAGATGAAAAATAAAACATAAGAAGCCTAATAAGTATTTTGTTTTTTCAGATGCCGATAGAAAGAGATGTAAACAACCATATATTTAATAGGTGTACTTCAATAATTTTCACTACTCTATCTATATAAGTAAATAAAAGTGATAATTTTAAAGAGCAATTAATTTCAAAAATAGTTCCTAGATCAATTTAAAAATATTGCAGTGGAATAGTATCGTAAAATTGTTATGAAATTTTAATGCTATTAACTTGAATTCTAATTTAGATTACAACTGTGCCCGCGATTTCACGCTCATTTGTTATTCCGATGCATAACTAAGTTAAGGTAGAAGTTCCATCAAAATTCTTTTAATTTTTGGGTGAACGAGTAACAAACATTCGCTTTTATAATATAGTTCTTGTGCAATTTAAAAGGGATTGATTATATCTATAATATTTATTAAATTATGTAATAAAAACATGTTTAAAATTAGTTTATTATATACATTATTAATTGATTTTTCATTTCCATTTAAATTTGTTTTTTAATAACTATAGTCTCATGGTTTAGTAGTTTAATACAGTTACACTGAACAATCGCAAGTTTGATTCTGGCTAAAACACGTCGTGTGTTAATACACTAAATGACAGGCATACATTATTTTGTCAGGTTCAATTCTTTTGAAACCATCCAGGAACCCACATAGGTAAAAAAGTGTATAACATACAAAATTTCATCCAAGTGATAAACTTAGATGAAGTAGATAAGATAATGATCTTGGATGAAACAGTCATTTCGGAGGACATAGCTGACAAACACAAGTACTAATTATATTGACTAATTATATTTATTACTAGCTGTACACGAGACTTCGTCCACATGGAATTTAACGTCATATTTCTAAAATAAAAGTAGCCTAAGTTACTCCTTATTATATCAGCTACCTGCCAATAAAAGTACCCTCAAAATCGGTCCATCCATTTCAGAGATTAGCCAGAACAAACAAAAATTGTTTTGGTGTATGTACCATATTTATATTCATATGTATGTAGTAAAAAAATGCTTATTTCAATAATACAAACAGACACTCCAATTTTATTTATATGTCTAGATGTATAGATGAATGGTTTGAAGCATTAAAAGATATAGTAAAATTACAATTATAAGTAATGGAAAACTCAACAATGTTTAACCAATTTTCAAAATTTTACAACGTAGGATATGTTATCAGATATTATTTTTAAATCAAGGAAACTATGGACTAGGTATGTAACTGTGAAAGAGCCACATGCCAGTAATGTACATTTTGACAGCCTTTGAGGTGTTCTGATTATAACACCATCTTTCCTCTAATGGTTGCAGGTTCAATTCCTCACACAATCAATACAGTTGTAATCATGCATAAGAGTACAATTATTTGTATTTGTCTAGGTCTTCTCTATGTATCCTATATTTATTTACAAAAACGTAATTATTATTATTAAAAGTAATAATTAGTCTAGTACCCATCACATATGCTCTGCTTAGCTATAGAATAGATGGCACTATATGAATTGTTCAGTGTTTATTATTTACTAGAGAACCATCCATACTTTGCCCAGATGCATTACATATCTATAATTTCCTTATGTTATTCTATAATATAACACACATGTAATATACATATAAACCTTCCTTTGAATCAGTCTATTGCTGAAAACTGCATTTAAATCCGTTATGTAATTTAAAAGATATTAGGAAACAAATAGCAGCCGCATCTTTTACTTTACTATATATACACAATACTATATAAAGATTATAAAAAATGTATTGCTATGTCATTTTCTTTTGCTTTGCCTGTGCTAACATTATATCGACGGTTATAGGTTCCCTCAGACGTCTGCCAATACTATCAGCTTTCAACTGTACAACTATCTGCAGAGTATTCCTCAATCGTTTCTTCAAATCATCTATTCGGTGTTGCCGGTCCATTATTTCTGTTGTGAAGTCCTCAATTTCTTTACACACATCTTCCTCCGCAATGGGAACAGTTGGTTTCATGTTACAAGGACGCTTTGATATTCTTTCTAATTGCAAATCCAATAATCTGTTTTCCATTACGGATATTCTACGTTCGTAGTCTATGCACATTTTTCCAAAACGTTTTCGGGATTCCACCACTACGTTCATGAGATTTTCACACTTCTCTTCCATCGTAAGGTCTTCAATTTCTGCAAAGGTATTTATTTAGGGGACAAATTGTATCATAAAACATTGTTCTACAAACTTATATGCACACATATTTACCCATTATTAAGTGGTGTTATGCGTAAGTATCTTTATAAACTTGATATTCAGAGATTTGTTACAATTAAATGATTAAACATAAACAGTTTCAAAAGTAAACAAAAAGTTATTTGAAATTTAATATTTTCGATCTTTGAATTGTAACTGTTAATGGGCGTCAGTTTTATTTGAATGTCAATCATAGATCCGTAAAATTCAATGTCATTCGAAAGTAGACAGGTACGTCTATGGCATATTTTGGGTATTTAATGAGGTAGATTAAATGCTACATCGAATAAGAATTACGAAATATATGATTATTATGTCACAATTTAATTAACGAGTTATTACAATTATCTGTTCTATTATGTACTTTCAGGAAACAAATTATTAATTAACAACGTAATTATTTTAACAATATAAAGTTGCATCATAAAAGACCCACAATGCTTTAGAAATTGCCATAACTAAAATAAGAATTGAATGTAGTAGATTTATAGCCGTCTAGGAAACTGATAATAAAATCAAAATCTATGGAGTCACAATATGAACACTGTTCTTAATCATTTTCATAAATTCTTCCACTGAAATCTGAAATAAAACGAAATGTACATTATATATTAAAAAAAAATATATTAAAACAGTTCTAGAACTTTCTTTGTTATGTGATAAAAGGATTAATACCAAAATTTCATTATGTAGTGAATCAGCAATGTTTTATTATTTTAGACAATAAAATTGAGGGTTTTAGCTGTGTATTAAACAATACATGCTAACGACAATTACCATTAATTGCTTTTGTGATTTTAAGTTGACATCACACGTATAATTATATTTTTAATCACAAAAATATTGAATTAGGAATATCAACAATTAATTTACAGTAGTACAAGCATCTGTTTTCCACAGTTACATTTTTAATCATATCTTTTTTGAAGCTTAAGAAAGTACTAATAAATATATTTATTTTTAGTTAGGTATAGTTAAAATTTTATAAAGTTGTGAGACTTACGAAGCCATCGAAGTCTTTATCAGCATCGTCTATCATTTCTTCGATTTCTTCATCTGTTAAATACGTTCCGAGTATATGCGTCACATGTTTTATATTCTCAAAACTTATAAAACCTGAAATTATTTATAATCTCGTATAAATGCATACTAATAATATAAATGCAGAAGTGCGTCACTATCCGCGAGCATGTTTGTTTGGCACATTTTCTCGACTATCCAAGTAAACGGTTTTTAGAGAAATTCTCACATACTCTCCTCCCTAGCTGGGGACAAGCTTACCGCATGTCTTTAGATAGTATAAAACAAACTCGCGACTTCTTTCTATTCGCATATATCTTTATAATTAAGCAACGAATTGTAATGTAGTTTTCAGGAATAGATAGAGTAATTCAAGAGGAAGATTTATATGTAGGTATATTACATGAATATTGTAGTACAGAACAAGCTGATAAATTCTAAGATTTGTAACGCATCCGTGCATAGCCGGGACGGGTCGTTAGTATTATATGTACATATAATACTTTACCAGTATCGTCTGTATCAAACAGACGAAAACTTTTCATAATATCCCCATCACTGTCTTGGGACATGACCTTTCTCATGATAGCAGTTTGAAAGTTCTCAAAACTGAGCTTTCCCGTGTCACCTTTGTCTACAGCATTAATCATGTGTTGAAGTTCTTCTTTCGTGGGTTCGTATCCTGAAATATTTAGAACACTATAAATTCCTCTAGGGGAGGGGATTGTTAGTAATGGATAGGGGTGTAGCGGTTCCAATGCTAGTAGGTAATATACCAGAGAATTGTTAGCAATATGGGATGACTACTCCATTGCTAGCAACGTACCTGGTCACCTCTCCTCCACGCTGTTCCCCCTGGGAACCATTAGTAATATACCATAGAGTGTGGTAAGAGGATAGTTAGTAATGTGGGCTGATGACCACATGTCAGATTGATCAGGCGGTTCCCGCCGGGAACCATCGTAAAAAATACGTGACAATTTTGAGAAGATGGGATAAATGATCCGTCTTTCTGCTCATCGTATAAACCCCCACTGGTCAATTTCAAAGTCTGAGTATTTAATTATCCTTTTACTTACAGGTATATAAAATCTCGTGTCAAAATGAATGCACGTGTCAAATTATAATAATCCTGTATTATTTTATGTCAATAATATATTTCATACCTAAAGCTTTGATGGCAACACGAAAATCAGCTGATTTTATTTTTCCTTCCCCGGAATAATCCAGAAGATTGAATGCACGTCGCAAATCATTTTCCTGATGAAAAAACATTTTTTTTATATATTATTTAAACTTCACCAAAATATACATGCCTATCTGTAAAAATGATTTTGGTAACTTGGTATTATAAAGCATATGAAATTAATTATCAATTTTATTGAAATAATGGAACAGAAAATTCAAAACACATGGGCTATAATTTAAAAAGATATTATGTAAATTGGGCGAAATAAGGCGTTAAGTCCGCCATATGTACTTTTACCTTGGTATTTTGTACATTGAAGTTATATAAATAAATAAAAAAATAAAAAAATATAATGATAAATGTTAAGCAAGTGTGATTCAGAGGAAGTGTAGCGGGTCAGCTAGTATTAAATATTAGTGTTACTTGTATTTCTTAGTACCTGTTCAGGGGTTAAAATAAATTTTGCTTGAACCTCTTTTTCGTCTGGCGATGGGTAGTCCCTATTCTCAGTATCTATATCAGAAAACTCCGCAGTGCCTGATATGTTTATATCATTCATTTTAAAACGATGACAAATTACGTTATAAATCTATGCAGTTACGCCTAGCAACGGTATTATCGATTTAATAGACTGATATTTGTGTTACAGTAATGATTATATCAAGAACAAGTGTCAGTATGCACTTTATAAGGATAGGTATAATAAAAGAACATTTTTAGGTACACGGAGAAATATTCCTGACTATTTGTACCCACACAAAATAAATGCAATTGCTCTTAAAAATAATTATAAAAAAATAAGATTTACCTATAATGTAGATATCTAAGTGTAATAAAAGTAAAATATTGTTAAAGTTTTATATAGTTTTTAATAATTACAATATTATCCGAATTAGAGTTGTCTTACTGGTGAGTCGCATCAAGATTCAGACGTTATGACTTATAGTGTTGAAAAATATATTCAATTAAAATTAATTAAATATTTATAACCATTACTAAAAAATATTGTTTACCTACTAAATTATTATTACTATAACGTTATTTTAATAACCTGTTCTCGAGTAAGCACTAATCTAGGCAGAACAGTTTTCTCTATCGTTTCTTGTTCAGCCTCTGTATTAATTTCTATTTCACCAAAACTTTCTTCAGGGTTCATTATATTTTTAGGTAAGTCTATTTAAAAGTAGCGAAGAAATTATAAAATTTTTGAAAAGAGCTAATCTTATACTAGCTACGAACAAGAATACTGTTATAGTGTTCTTTTCTAGAAGACATTAAGCTGACAGTTTTATTTATCCGAAGCCAGTGTTTTGAGTAATTTTCAATTTATATGTATAAGGTTAATTACTTAAATTATTCCTAATATTATTTATTGAATATATTAATACACGCTGCTTTAATTTATAAATTATAATAAAATTAGTGCTTTGAGATATCAACGTTTATTGATTATTAAAAACAAAATAGTAGAATTGTACTTGTTGTGTTGCGGGCAACATTGGTAGAAACCGCCAATCGCCATTTGTTTTGAGGTTAAGTTCCTCAAAAAGACGCCGCTTTTGTTTTTACTTTTTAATACAAAATAACACACAAAAATGAAGCTAGTTAGATTTTTAATGAAACTCAGTCACGAAACAGTGACAATAGAGCTGAAGAACGGGAGTGTAGTACATGGAACTATTACCGGCGTCGATGTTGCAATGAACACGCATCTGAAAGCAGTTAAAGTTACATTGAAAAATAAAGAAGAACTACAGTTGGAGACATTAAGTATACGCGGGAACAACATTAGATACTTTTTATTACCAGACAGTTTGCCTTTAGAAACTTTGTTGATCGACGATGCTCCCAAAGGGCGCGGTAAACGCGAGGGCTTTCCAAGAGGCGGCGCGAGAGGCGGACGAGGGCGAGGACGCGGAGGGCGCGGAGGACCCAGGGGCGGCCGGGGTGGCCGTGGTCGTGGACGGCGATAAACGTTTACCTCATAAGTCAAGTTCCAAAATATTTGTGATGAGTTTCAAAGTCTTATTAAGTTAGGCTATATTATTAAGTGTCTGGTGATTTCCAAATAAAACAATCTGAAGTTCTCCTCTGCAGAATGTTATGTTTCTTCACAATACAGTGTAAATTTGTATTAAAAGTGTGTTTTTAATTTTATTATCATCCTATAAAACAATCATAGACAAGCAAATTTGTTACAACTTTTATTGACAAATAATTACATTGTAAATTGTACTTGAATCTGTGGTCAGTTCCCAAAGAACACCGTGAGAAATTGCATAGGTTTTAAAAATATTCTTAATTATTACAGTGTAAGAGCAGAAAACATATTTTATTTAAAAACATCATTTTTTGCAGCTTATAAATAGATTTTCTTTCTAAACAATTGTAATAAATTACATTATTAAGGCATAAAAAAATATTTTGTGATTGGGAGTGTCAAGCAAGTTGATGGAAAGTTATAATAATTACCTATAAACATCACAGAATAGCATCACTATAGGAAAATGATATGTGCCATGTGTATGAGACCATGCAGTTTTACTTGATTATTCAGTTATTTATTTTTTTCTAATATAACATCCTTCGTAAGGGTGCATATCTTTAGTTCGTGAATTAGTTTAGATGAGTGCTCTGAAAGACTAAATATGTGAAGTTATTATCACATCTTTTGGTCTTTAGTTAATTTGATATAATGTAAAAAGTCATTAGAAAACATGAAACTCTAATCATGAGAGAAGGAACTAATACAATGTAATATTGCAACAATCTTAATTGGGCAATTGAGTCATAAACTCTTAAAAACATGAAGACTAAAGTTGCAAGTAAATAAAAAGTTTAATAATTTTTATTGTTCAACAATAATAATGTAATTTTTTTTTATTTACACTTTTTCTAATTGAGGCCCAGTAAACAGTCTTATAATGCCTTTGACTATAGAACATATATGATAGTAATATAGAGTAATAAATAACCGTTATGACTATTTTTTATTTATATATTTTTTAAGTAAGATAAGTATATTGGGTTGCACTAATATTCTGTCTACAAATACAAACATGTTTTATCAAAGTTAATATACAAATTGTGACTAGGTAGATGACTCATCTATGCTACAAAGCAGTTTGCCTTGTAACCTTTTTCTAGTATAAAAGCAGAGATAAAGCAGTGAAATTACATGGTACGGATGTAGAACAACTTGGTCCAACAATAACAACAAATAAAGTACCGTAGACAACATGATGTCATGTTTGTGGTGCTGGTGTATAGGTAATTTTCAATAAGTTTATTTTTCTTAATTTCTAAATAAAATTTACACATTAATTAAATGATGTTAATTTGTAATATACTAATTAAAATCTACATCATTATATTTAATTTCTTGTATTATTACACTTAATAAAAAAAGTATAATAAATTGTATTTTTTTTTGGAAATTCAGAGTTGATTCAGGAATGTTTGTTTTATGTAGGTAAATATGACAGTGAATAAGGAAGGGCCATTATAGGGTAAAGGTAGGACATCCTAATAATTTATTAATTATTATTATTAGGTTTTTTTTTTCCTATTTTGTTAGTAATTGGTATTGCAGTTTTCTTATAGTTATGTAATAATGTCTAATATATCCCTTGTGTTACCATTTCTGAAGATTTTGTTAAAGAAAGGCAATCAATGAAGGATACATTAGGGGTTTTTATTATTAGTAAAAAAAAATTAAAAATTGAACTTTTACATTTAATATCTGAACATGACCCAATAACTATCTATATGGTCATTAGTTCCCAGTACTAGTAGAACTAGTGAATAGTACTCATTAGTATTAGTATGTAATATTATGTTATCTGTGGTACTAGTAAACGTGTCACGATAGGTTAATTGATTTAATTAAATAAAGTTAATTAATTAATTAACCATACCTCATGTTCATCTTACCATCTTCCACTGGCTCCCCGTCAGCGTAAACCATTAGCGCAGATGAGTGTACCCTTCCATTATCATCCATTAAAAAAAATGTAATAAAACACCTAGACAAATACAGATAATCATATCACATTCGGATCGCAGCCTCATCACAAGAAGAATGAGCAGGAGCTTGCGTGTTGCTGTTTTAAATAAATGTTTAGCGTAAAAATTACAGCTTCTTTTTTATATATATGTAGGTGCTTTATTGCACTTTTAAATACCTGTTTTGAATATATGTTATAAGTTTTGTTTACAAAGGAGGTCTTATCTCTAAAAGAGATCTCTTCCAGTCAACCCAAAACAGCGTGACACGGGAAGTGGTGTGTGGCTCACAGGAGTGCAAATAATAAAATTAAGAAAAGATAAATTAAAAATTAAAACTAAAGAATTAACGTCAAATGTGATATATAACTACAAGTACAAAGTACATGTAAATACAATATAAAAATATATTTATATACTAACAATATATATATTTATATACACATAAATATACATACAAAAATATATAACATAATAAACAGATATATACATGAATAAAAATTAATACATACGATTCTATAAATGTAGTGCGATTATAATTTTTTCTTGAAAGAGCCTATAGAAGGACTTTCTTGAATGTGTAAAGGGAGTGAATTCCAAAGCTGAGCCGCACGAAATGAAAAAGAATTACCCATAAATTGAGTTTTACGTTAATTCCTTAAAATTATATTATTAATTATATTCCGCTATAAAAGTTTAAAATGATAATTATTTTGTTTTTAATCTTTTTGAAAATTATTACATGTTACTGGCAAGCAAGTAAAAATATATAGAGACAAAAAAGAAAAGTATTTTTGTGACAACATCATAATGTGAAATAGGGAAGTTTTATATAAAAGAACACTATGTAATTTTTATAATAAAATAGAAATTGAAAAGAAAACAGTAAGTCTAAAACTAAATATAAGTATTTAGATATTGTATTTTTTATAGTAGTAAATCACGGTTCTCTTGTAATATATTACAATAATTTAAATATGCGGCTTGCCTTATATTTGAAAGCTTACATGACGGTGGTGTAGAGATTTAGCATACCACCTGCCTTCCGATGGTAGCGGGTTCGGTTCCTCGCACAGTACAAACATTTGTAATCATGAGTGTTTTCTGTATATGTATGTTATGTATTTACAAAAAAATGTGTTTATATCATCCGTCTAATATCATAACACAAGGTATACTCAGCTCGGCATATTTTATTATATGGAATGGAGCACCCGCCAATAATATTTTACGCTGGCGGAGCTCCAGTGGAAGATGATAGAATGAGCATGAGGTCAGGTCAGTTAGCTCATTGTGACCAATTCACCAGGAATATAGATATCACTATAATTTCCAGGGAGAACCGCGTGGAGGTCAACCTGACATGATTGCTAGCAATGGGATCGTTAGTTCACATTACTAACAATATCCTCCTGACGTTGACAAAGTTTCTGACTCTGTCCTCCATCTCTGATTAATTTAGTTTTTATCGGTGTTCCCATCACCGGAAAGTTGCACAAAAATTAAAATACAATCATTTTGTTTTATATCAACAAGATTTGTATCAGAGTAAATCGCGGTAGTAAACCACTAAGCCTGGACCCTCTTAATAGATGTTAAAAAATGTTTCATCTATACATATAAAAAAAAAATGTCGTGTCTGTTTGTAATATAGAAATAACTGTTTTTTACTATACACATGCGAATATAAATACGGTACATACACCAAAATGACATTTTTTGTCTGTCTGTCTGTTCCGGCTAATCTCTGAAATGACTGGACTGATTTAGACGGATTTTTATTGGCAGGTAGCTGATGTAATAAAAGTAACTTAGGCTACTTTTATTTTAGAAAATGAAAGTTAAATTCTACGCGGACGAAGTCGCGTGTACAGCTAGTTAGTAATAAAATAAGGTGCGATAACTCTATACTGTAGAATAGAATAGAATAGAAAATCATTTATTCAAATAAACTTACATTGAAGCACTTTTGAATAGTCATTACATTTTTTAATCTACCGCTCGTTCGGAAAGCTGTCTCATCACAAGAAGAACGAGCAAGAAACTTGCGTGTTGCTCTTTTAAATAATTTTATTATTACTTTACATTTTTAAGTTTAAGTGTGTAATGTTACTACTGTAATATTACTGCTAAAAATATTTGCCGGTAGAAATGACAAAAACACCAAAAATGACGCAGGAGTACCTTAATTCAAGGACGGTTCGCTCTGGTGATGTGTTGGACACGATTTGTCGCATTATGGATGACGATGGCCCCCAACCGATGAGGAATATGAAGCCGACTCAGGTGATTACAACCACATTGTAACTAACTTTTACCCGCGGCTTCGCTCGCATTGAATCAATTAAATAAGTATCGGAGAGGCAGCTAGATGGCGCTGATTTATAATTGATTTATGATTTCATTACTGGCCGTTAGATGGCGCTTAAGTAGCAAAATGTTTGTTTTATTTTGGTTTTTATAATAAAAATATAGCATTGAAGCAGCTATAAGGGTGAAAATTGAGGGTTGCACGTATTTTTTAATGCAAAATCATAATAAAATAAAAATGAGAAAAAAAATATTGTCGAAATAATAAATTTAGGGGTACATATATATATATATAACATTAAAATTTTTTTTATCTAGATTTATTTTGGAGTTTTTGTTTTCAGACATTTCAACCCCATTATTGCATATAAATAAAAAAACTAATCGTAACAATTCTTAAAAATAATAAACAAATAATAAATAATCGAAAAAAAAAATAAACCCTTATAACTTAGGTGTATCAAAATAGATAGTAGCCGATTCTGAGACCTACTGAATATGCATATAAAATTTCATACAAATCGGTCAAACTGTTTCGGAAGACTAGAATAGAATAGAAATCATTAATTCAAATAAATGACTGGAAAATTTTATATATAAGACTAGCTGTGCCCGCGGTTTAAATCGCCTGAGTTATCTATATGTTATTCTGATGTATAGCCTATTATATATTACTGTAAAGTTTCATCAAAATCCGTTAAGTCGTTTTTGAGTACCAACCATCCAAACTCACAAACTTTTGCGTTTATAATATTAATAATAAAATCTAAGAAAGGAGCGCAGCACAGGGGCCGTTCAAGTATTACGTAATCAGATTTATTACAATAATAAATAACCCCGCCATCCCTCTTTTCAGGTAAAGTAAGCAAAGCTCTTACTTCCGTCGCCCCATGCTTACGTAAACATTTTTCAATTAATGTATTGTTTTTTAGCATAGACAATGTGACGGTTGCCATTCCTGTAAAAAAATTAATAACTACCGATAACGTAATCATTATCTAGAACACTCTCCACGTCATCCATAATAAGCAAAGCAAAGACCCCCCGATCCCCCATATTGCTTACGTAACACTTGAACGGCTCCTTAAGACCATGACAGTTAAACGGTCATGATGGGCTGGATCTACCTATGGACTTTTTCGGGCTGCAGCTCAGGGCCCCGAGGATACCAAGGGCCCCCATTTCCCACTGAAACGATATTTAAAATATAGAAAAATATTTATTTATTTATTTATATACTCATTATTGCACCAGGAAAATTACATTAATAGAGTAATTAAAATAAAAGGGTACAAAAGGCGGCCTTATCACTTATGCAATCTCTTCCAGGCAACCTTTGGGTAGAGGAGAAAAAACAAAAGGTGGGAGGTGGCACTAGAATAGAAGAGAAAAAAAAACATAATAATAATAATGACAAATTAATAATAATGAATAACATAACATATTACATATATAAACAGTATACACCAATATTAATATTATATAATAATTATACATACATATACAATATAATATCTAGAATGTTAAAAAATCAATCAATCAGAGATCAATCAACGCAAGTGCGCGTCTATCGAAAGGAACGGGGAATTTCTGGTCGCATGTTTTTGTTGGGTGTAGTTTTTTAGTTAAGGAATATACTTAGGTAGGTCCCTAAGTAGATTTGCCCAGGGCTTCACAAATTCATAATCCGCACCTACCCATGCTTACGTAAGCATTTTTCAATTAATGTATTGTTTTTTAGCAACGGCAATCTGAGGGTTGCCATTCGTGTAAAAAAGTTAATACCGATGACGTAATCTTCATCTAGACTCCCCACCCCCCACGTCATCCAAAATTAGTAAAGCAAAGACCCAATAGTGCTTACGTCATACTTGAACGGCCCCTTATGACCATAAAAGTTGAACGGTCACGAGGAAAAAGGGTTATTTATTTAGGACAAATAGAATTAGAACAATAAAATTCACATATTTCATAGAATACAATTACTCAATTGTACAGTCAAGACATTAACATATAATACTAATATTAGTTATTACAAATTAATTGTAATAATATAGGGATATTACAAATCCCGTACATAAATAAATATAATGATTTATTATGAAAAGTAAAGGGGAAATACATTATACTATAAACTTATTTGGTAATCACTACGCGGAATATATGCGGCGCTTTATATAGATTTTGACGCAAAAAGCAAACAGCTTAATTACTTCAACATCTATTTCTAAAGAGTTTTTTAAAGCTATAGCTTGAAATTTATATTTTAGGCTGTTTAAATGCCATTAAAAAACGTTTCTTATTTGTAACTAGCTGTTTCCGCGATTTCGTCCGCGTGGGATGTAACTTTATTTTTCTAAAATATAAGTAGCCTAGAGTTACTTTATACTCAGACGATATAGTGCCTGCTCAAAAAAATCCGTCAAGGTCGGTCCAGCCATTTCTGAGATTAGCCGGAACAAACAGACAGACAGACAGACAAAAATTGTAAAAAATGTTACTTTGGCATATGTACCTACCGTATTTATATTCATATGCATGTAGTAAAAAACGGTTATTTCAATATTACAAACAGACACTCCAATTTTATTTATATGATAGATAGATAAGATAAGATGCGATGATTCTGATAATTTCTTTCCTTTGTACTTTTATTTTTTCTTCCTTTCTTTCTTTCAACCTTTCATTTCAAACAACCTATAAAGTTAGCTGCTTGGCGATAGAAATAGGTGAGACTGAGGTACCCCAAGCATTTTTTTTAATCATCGAATTTTGTAGAAGGTTCGTAATGGAGCTGAACAGTTCAGTTCAGAACATCACGGCGAATACGAGGCCCGGGGTCGGCAGAGTAGCGATCGTGTGGGCAAGGTAAACAGACACAATGAAACCTATCCCAAGATGCGTGACGAGCTGAAAAAACGTCGTTCTTGCATGGAGGTTGGTACACTATGTATACCATAGACAAATCCTACTAATAGGGGGAAAGATCGAAGATCGGAGATCGAAGATCGAATATCTGGTCAAGATCGCTGGAAGGCATTGGATACGAGCAGCGCAGGACCGATCGTCGTGAAGATTTTTGGGGGAGGCCTATGTCCAGCAGTGGACGTCTTCCGGGCTGCGATGATGATGATGAGGAGGGAAAGGGGATTGTTAGTAATGTGGACTGACGTAATTGCTAGCAATGTACCAAATTGACCTCCACGTGGACCCCCTGGTAACTCTCGTGATAAATTCCTGGTGAATTTGTCACGATGGGTTAATTGACCTGACTTCATGTTCATTTTATCATCCTCCACTTTAAAAAAACCTTACCAATTGGTTCGGATTACGGCTACTATATCCGTTTGATAAAATTACAATAACATATGCTGGTGGCCACTCTATTCTCCCTAATTTGAATTTAAAAATGTATCTGTATTTTTGTAAACATGTACAACCTCATTTGAAAAGAATGACTAGAGTTTCTTGTCAGTTCTTCCCAGCTCGAAGTCATTCCGAACTGACGGTAGATTTGACACAATAGACTTTTTTTAAACGTTTGTCTGTCTGTCTGTTTGTTCAGGCTAATCTCTGAAATGGCTGGACCGATTTTGACGGGACTTTTGGCAGGTAACTGATGTAATAAGGAGTAATTTAGGCTACTTTTATTTTAGACACAATCTTATATTTTAGAAAAATAAAGTTATATTCCACGCGGACGAAGTCGCGGGTGCAGCTAGTCTATAATAAATTACGTACTTTAGTTACGAGTCTCTGTTTAAAATGGTTCAAAGAGAAAGTATCGTATCGCTTTGTTTATTCTACCGACTATAAAATATACTGCGTTCTAAGGAATTGCTCGACATGATGTCCACGGCTATCTTTTACCATCGCACCGCTCGCTATCGACAGATAATTCATCCTCACACGCTGAACCTATGTGGTCTCGGACAGTGCGGTTTCAGAGGAGCTTGCTCCCGCGTACACTTGATTGTTGATTGTGGAATGCACTACCTGCCGAGGTTTGCTCACGAGACTACAGCATGGGGTTTTTCAAGAATGATATATTAAGGTTTCTTACGCAAGGTCGCTAAGGTCGCTAGTTATTAGTCTATATTACTAACAATCCCCTCCCCTCCCCCCCCCCCCCAATTAGTAATGTTTGTTAGTTTATTAAAAAAGTGGTCGGACTCGACATTTTATGCATATCATAACATTTTGGAGTCTGTATAACCTAAGCCAAGACGCTATAATATTTGTTTTTATTCGTAGGTAACGGTATATGGCGCGAAAAGAAGCAAGATGACACAAGTCGTCAACACGAAGCAACGTAAAGCATGCGTCAAAAAACTATCGAAATTTCAAAATAGGAACACTAAATCCGTATACCGATCGTGTAACTCGAGAAAAAAAACAAAAACACGCGGGAAAAATCGAATATCCAAATCGAAGAGACGTTCAAATCGCGCAAGACCCCGTAATCGAGTTCACACAGCGTCTACCATTACGGAGAATAATGACTGTCAAATTTCGAACTGCCAGTTATATAAGCACAAAATGAGCGGGAACGATAATTCAAATATGGAATTGTCGGCCGCCACCACAGATAATAAAAGTAGATGCGAAATGTTTGGTACAGATAACACACAAAACCCTATGCGTCTGAAATCGTCAAGTCAACTGTCTAAAGGAGGGGATATATCGAATGGGTCCGAAGCTGTTTCACTAAACCCTGATACCAGTGATCCCTCTATTACTACTTATAATAGTAACACGTCTATAGTACAGATAACACACAAAACCCTATGCGTCTGAAATCGTCAAGTCAACTGTCTAAAGGAGGGGATATATCGAATCAAGAACTATAGATCAAGAACCTATGGTGTCTCAATAATTTATTAATTTGTATTTTGCTTTGAATTAAAGAGTTTTTATTTTTGGTTTATATATTTTACTAGCTTTACCCGCGACTTCGTCCGCGTGGAATTTAACTTTATTTTTGTAAAGTAAGTAAAAGTAGCTTAAGTTACTCCTTATTACATCAGCTACCTGCCAAAAAAAGTCCCGTCAAAATCGGTCCAGCCATTTCAGACATTAGCCGGAACAAAATTGTGAACAATGTTATTTTGGTGTATATCTCTATATTCATATGCATATAGTAAAAAACGATTATTTCAATATTACAAACAGACACTACAATTTTATTTATATGTATAGATATATAGATTTTGTACCTAAAATACGAAGGTGTTACATATGAATGTGGATGGTTATAAGAGCAGAGGAAGACCGAAAAAGAAATGGATGGACTGTGTGAAAGATATGGTAAGAAAGGAAGTAAATAACGAGATGACTGCGACCAGGGATGAATGGAAGAGAAAAGCATCTAACCCCAAATATATGGTACATGGAATTAGATGATGATATTTTTCTATGCCTAATTGGTATTGCAACAAGCTGACGGCCCACCTGATGGTGTCAAATATCACCTATATATATATATATATATATATATATATATATATATATATATATATATATATATATATATATATATATATATATATATATGAATAGTAATTTGTTTCTATATATACGGGGTGTATTAGGTTTATTCGGTTAAAAAGCGTTATCGTCGCTTGTATAGCTGGTCGCGGCGTAGAGATGACCTCGCCAGAGGAGAGCAGGTAGTCCGCTATCGAGTTGTGAATGTAAGAAATTTGTCCGTAAAAGTTTCACTTCTACTATGTGTCCCTTTTTCTAGTAACAGTGTAATTTTAAAATTACCACAAAGTACATTTTGCTCCTAATCCAAATATAACAATTCTAACATTATATGCTATATCTGCAAAGGAAATAGAATACCTATTATGTATTTATGTTTTAACAAACACTTTTTTTAATGGATGATATAAAGAAGAAAGGAAGAAAAAGAAATATATTGTTAACTTGGTTAGGCCGTTTGCTAATTTATCTTCTACATACATAGTTATAGTTTTCTTGACTGATAAGCTTCTGATATCTGATATGTATTGGTCACCTATTGGATGAACATTCCAGTCAAGATACGCACTAAAGTCCTGAAATATGGAACTGGTTGCAAATAACGCGATCAGTCTTTGAAACAAAAAAAAAATGAACGTCAGCCGCCATTTGTTATTGTTTTTAATAAAAACATCAAGTACATCAATACATTAAATAATTACTTATCTACACGCGTTATAGAACAGTTCTGGAAAAAGACTACTAGATGAAGATACCATCTGTGTTTACTGTTAATACAAACTATTTCGCGAGTGATGTTTCGCAAGACTGTTTCCTGTCATCTGGACGTGTTCTGCCTGGATGTATCCCGGGGTGCATGTTGTTCTGTAACAGTGCTCTAGACTGGATTGCAGGTCAGTGGATAGGTATCGTTATTTTATGGGTATTTGTTGCCGCGAAGTCAAGGACTATACAACTTCAAGTGGTGCCCCGTCAGTGTAAACCATTAGTGCATGCGGGTGCACCATTCCATTATCATCCATTAAAAAAAAACAGTGGCAGTACTGAAAGTGGAATAAGTCGATGTTGGTTAAGAAAATTACCTATATGTCGTAAAATGAAACACAGCCTTACTTCCGACGGTCGCGGGTTCCTAGGGCCGCCTAGGGCCGCCGCGGTGCTTAGGACGCGCATCACTAGCGGTGCCCTCAGACTAAAGTCATATCCTTCAGACAGAAATTGGTCGCCCTTAAAGTCCTTCCACGGGTTTGGAGTACCCTCTGTACTCATCTACATATTCGTCCAATAGTTAAAACTATAATATAATATATATAAATAATTAAAAAAGTAGTTTGAAAAAAAAAGGTTAAAAAATATAGGATTAAAAAAAAAGTTTAATGATTTAATAATTGCTCAATCAATGGTATTTTGTTTTTATTTGAAGTATTACAATATGGATTCCACAATTGTTTGTGGTAATGACCCCCTAATTTAAAATTACTAGATCGTTAATATACCCAACCCATCAAATATTGCCCAATATTAAGCTGGCAAGATATATTGGCTATGAACTCATCGCATCTCTTAAGGAAGTCGTGACCTTTTAAAACAGGTTGGTTTGTCTTTATATGTGGAAATTAATATAAGTTGAATTTACCTTGAAGGCTGGCTCAGTTCGCGCCAATAATATAGCCTTACAACACGTTCATATTTCGAAGCTTCACATTTTTATATTATTCTATTTTTGAAAACGGAACCATTTAAAAGTAATAATTTAATAAAAAAGGTTATTGTAATTTTTGGCGGGAAATCTGGTGGCCATTTTATGATGTTGATATAACTTTTTTTTAAATAATATACTTATATTAAGTAATATTATAAAAATAACATAATGAAAAGTGCATCTGTGATATTTGTTTTAGTTTGTGGTGTTAATATTGTGTTTTCACAAGGATCAGGCAACGATGGAAACTGTAAGTATCTATTTTACCAACTTGCCATAGACAACATATCAATACGGAAACATACTCATATTGATTTACTTGAACGTTTTCTGTTCCACACAATCCATTTTTGTGATAAATATAGGCTTTGTCGAATAGTTTTATTGTATTTTTTTATCCATTTAAAAATAACTCAGTGCAACTATGTTATCGTAGATACAGCCGTTCATTTTTATTTTTTTTTAAGTTATTGGAAGTCTTTTAAAATAGGTTGGTTTATCTTTATATGTGAAAATTAAAATAAATCGAATTTACCTTAAATCTTTACAAAATGAAATCGTATAATTATTAAGAAGCGAAAATTGTTCGTAGGACTGCTTATGTATTAAGGTTTTAATTAAAAATCAATGGTGACTTTTTACAATATATAATATTAAATATGTGTCAACATAAAAAGCTAAGGAATGTTGCGATCATTGCCCCAATAAGAAATTATCTTCAATAATACATTTTATAAGTATTTACAATACAATAACAATGCATTTATACTTAACTTATTTGTTTTCATTGAACAAAAAAACACGAAGGTCGAAACGTACTAGGAAATTTTTATAACATTAAATATAGCTGTATATCTAAATGTAGTTATACATTTTATAAAAAATATATAATTGCCCATGTAATGAATGTTTCATTCAATTCCGCATCGCAAGTCGTAGGACAGAGAGATTAGTTTTGATTGCAAATTATACCTATTCATTTCCTGACATTGAATATTTTGCGTGTTTTAAATTTCATACGAATCCGGTGTTTGTTTGACTCGGTGATCCAGTGATTTACATCGTGGTCGCGGGTTCGATTCCTAGGCCCTTGCTTGATGAAAAATGTCGTAGTGTTAATGTAGCAGTAGTATTAATGAGTATGTTTGTATTTGTTTGGGTGTTTTGTATATATATTATGTATGTATTTACAAAAAATATACCTAAGGAGTATGTTCAGATATGACGACCGATAGAGAGCAGTGGAATAGAATGACATACTGCGCCGACCACAAATAATGGGATAAAGGCAAGGCAATGATGATACCTAAATATGTCTGTTAGTTATGTAGTACCCATAACACAAGCTCTGCTTACTTACGGGCTTAGATGGCGCTGTGTGAAATTGTTCAGAGTTAATTATTGATTAAGATTTTATAATATTTTAGACTTCGGCTAAGTCTCTGTCTGTTACATTTTAACTACTAAATACCCGAAGGATTATACTTAGATATATATTTTTGTAAATACATACTGAAACAATACAGTTGTTTGCACCGTGCGAGGAATCGAACCCGCGACCATTGGAAGTAAAGCGGTGTGCTAAACCACAGAGCGAGGGCGTCGTAATATTAAACTAATGAACAAGCCCTCAGATTTGTAAATAGAATTAAAAGAGTCATAGACCTGTTTTTATTGTAAACATATAATGTAGACTTCGAAATAAAGTAGATACGGCAGACACCTCATTTGTATTTTTTTGTATGGATGATGATGGAAGTGTGCTCCCGTTTGCGTTAATGGTTTACGCTGGCGGGGCACTAATGGAGGACGATAGGATGAGAATAAAGTCAGGTCAGTTAGCACAAATATGATTTTATCAGGGTTAACCGCCATGGTTTCCAGGGATACAACGTGGAGTTCTTGACCTTATAACCAACTTGGACAGTACACATAACCATCTAGTTCCAAGCTATGAAGATTTTGTGTTATGGGTACTAGACGATTTGAAGATCTATTCTATTATCTATTTGAAGAACAAGTGGATCAAATAGCCAAGAACATAAAAATACATACGTATCGTATTATATATAGATAACATCTAGACCTATATAAGCAATCATACACATAAATACTAATGTTTGCATTGTGCGAGGAATAGAACCCACGACCAGCGGAAGTTGAGCGATATCCTAAACGGCTAGACAACCGAGGCCATGATTCTTCTTCCGGTTAAATATTCATTTCCATTCTGAAATTAAGTAATTAATTATTTTTTTTACTACTCTAATGCCGTTGGCCGCAGCTGGCCTTTGCAGCTTCACCGGACGATAGGGGGCGAGTGCAGATGGCACTCCAAACCAGAGGAAGGACTTATATAGCGGCTGAATGCTAAATCCTGCGTGACGTATAAGTTTAACATATAGAGTTGTGGTCCACAATGACTCTGTTTAAATTATTGTTTGTATTATTTATGTCATCAATAATTGTGTCAGATCAAAGAAACAGTCATGCTCGCTATAAACAAACTGCATCCGTTCAATATGGTATGTCATGATGGCGCTCATCCGTCAATAAAATACTATTTGTTGTAGTTAATAAGAAAAAATTTTTTGAGATTTTTTTTTATATAAACGGAGAAAATATATTAATTTAATTTAAGAGAATAGTATTATTATATATGACAACATTAAAAAAAAAATGAATAGATTTGACATATCATAAAAAAAACTAATGAATAAATATAAAAAACTATAAATTTAAATACAAATTTAGAATATAAAATACATATCTGATTAGCCAGTTAATAAAATACTATTCTATAAAAAATGTCACTTCTATACCATCTTATATCTACATACGTTCTGTTTGACATGACTGATTGTAAAAAAAACGCGGCAAGCCGGTCACTCGACCTTGGTGTGGGCCGAGCTCGGCGACGGTACGAAACATATTGGATAATGTAGATGGAAAAACCAGAGTTGCATGCGAAAAGGATGTTTGCAGGATCCAAATTGAGTACACGGTAAAACATTTCTGCATAAAAAATAAGTAAAAACTAAAAATAAATATACGTTCAGTGGTTTTGAACACAGCCTTAATTCCGGTGGTCACTGTGTCGAGTCCTAGCAATGTACTATTTTTATTTGTTGTATCTGACTATCAGATGAGCCGTATCCTTGACTGCCACTGTCATAGTATAACTTTCTTGTCTATACTTCTATTCTGTCTTGTCAATAGTTTCCCAATATATATGTCCGTATTTACATACAAGTCTTTTTCTATAATTTTCCTTTTATCTATACACATATAAGATAAAACTTCAACAGTATTCATAAGTATGATTGATTGGTCTGGGTGTTTTTATGTATATTATGTATGTATTTACAAAAATGTATTGTCTTTCTATCAGTTGTCTACAACTCATAACACAAGGACTGCTTGGTTGGACTAGATTTTGGAGCATGTAAGCTCTATGGTAGGTTTTTCATATTTGGACGTCGATCGTCGACCGAATTACGCTTTCACTAATGTATACAATTTCTTGTTGCTTTCCTAATAATATTTTTCTCCAATACTAGATGGCGCTGTGTAAATTGTTCGCTGTTACTATTATCACAGTTAAGATAATATCACATACTATTATTCATATTTATTAATAATAAGTTAAAACTAAAACCAGATTACTGAAAATGGAAATTCATAAAAAAGGAATAAAGGGGGGATTTGGCACCCCATTTCAATGGGGTGCCAAATCCTTATTTTTATTGGTTATTTTAAAAATAAAATATTATTTACATTTACATAACAAGAAAAATATACATCTGTTTAAAGTTCCATGTTCGAATTAAAGTTTTCTTTTTAAAAATGCCTAAAATAGAATTACACAGTTTTTTATCTATTTTTAGATCAATATAAGCCTAGTAGTTATTATTTTTCACTAATTAATAGGATTGTATTAACTTACCTTACCTATCTTTATTAGCAGTCGATTTAAATATTTTTTTTACTCAAAAACAATTACCATTTCTCAGTTATCCATGAAAACTAGTGCGATGCATTATTGGTAAATTCCATTGTTATAAGAAACATAATTATAATAAAGGAGTGATGCGTAATGCTTTTACGAGAACGTCGCATGACAAACAGTTATTTAGAGTAACCAGTTATCAGTTACCTGCGCAAGGTTTTCCTCCTCCATCTTGTGCATGTCTTCAAGGGGCATGGGAAACCCCTTTTGCAAGCGAACTCGTTTACGTCATTACGGCGAAAAGTGAAGTAGGAGGAATAATAAACGTTACGGTCGTTGGCCGTATTTTTTATTGCGTCGGCAAGATTCGAACCGACGAGCTTTCCATATTTCTACCTACTATGTTTCAATTGATTACTTATATTGCTGGTCAGTCAGTGGTCAAAATTCGACCATAATGAATTTAACATTCAGTAAGACTATAGACAAATAATATTAAAGACAAACTATATTAATCTATTCTCAATTTGACCACAGACTATAACAATAAACAAAAGAGTAGATATGTGTGTGTTAAATAAATGGTAGTATTTTTTTTTATTGATGTGCCTAATGTATTTTTTTATCCATGATTTTAAACAAATATTAGCCTTCTCCACTTCTTTTTTATATAAACTATAAGTAAAAGTAAATTATGAGTACAAAGTTTTTGCTTCTCATATTTAATATATCTTCATCATTACATAGTATAAAACAAAGTCGCTGTCGCTGTCTGTCTGTCCCTATGTATGATTAAATCTTTAAAACTACGCAACGGATTTTGTAGCGGTTTTTTTAATAGACAGTGATTCAAGAGGACGGTTTATATATATAATACATGTACACCCGTGCGAAGTCGGGGCGAATAGCTAGTTAGCTACTAGCTTTACCTTACCTTACTAATATTATAAATACGAAAGTAACTCTGTCTGTCTGTCTCGCTTTCACGCCAAAACTACTGAACCGATTTAAATGAAATTTGCTACACAGTTAGTCTAGACCCTGAGAAAGGACATTGGCTGCTTTTGAATGCGATAGAAGGGTTGTAAGGGGTTGAAAGAGTTATGTATGGAAGTGTCGTCGTTTTTGAAGATGAAACGATGAAAATTTTTCATTTGGCTTTTATTGGGTTAGGTCATTAAATATTTTTTTCATTATTTGGTCAAGGTCACTATTTTCGCGGACGAAGTCGCGGGTACAGCTAGTTATTATATAAATGATTATTCTCATAGTACAGTTGACCAATAATTTCGAAATAATGTAAGTTATTACCTTTACCAAGGTTTACCTCTTAACAAACGTACTTTGATTTTAAACTCTATTACAATGGGGGATGTATCAATTTCGAATAGCAAATTATTACTTCTTTGAATAATGGCGCATTATTATATACACATTATTTATGAGGAATTAGTATTATACTATGATTATTATAGGATATACGTTACGGTTTAACATACCGGTTTACTTCCGATGGTCGCGGGTTCGATACTCGCACAGTGCAAACATTTGTATTCATGAGTATGATTTTTGTATCGGGCTGGGTGTTTCTTGTTTTTTTTATATACTACGATGGTGGCCAACAAGCACACTGGCCATCTGGCCATATGTCATAATTAGGCTACAAATTTCAAGCGGATGAAATCGCTGGCACAGCAATTAATTAATATATAAAAACACTATTACAAATAATCATTATGAATACAAATGTATATGCAAGGAACCGAACCAGCGACAATCAGAACTCAGCCGGTGTACCACCGCTAAACCACCGTCGTCGTCGTTGGCCGTCAAAGCGATTGTTTTAACCCCACGGGTATTAAATTGAATGGGGCCAAGAGCATAAAACATAAGGCTAGCCTCAAGCGCGGGCGTTCATCATTTCAATCTGTCAGATATAACAATAGCTGATGTTTAAAATGATTGATAACTGCATACTTCTAGGTACAAGGTGTCTTTATGCAATCATTAACTTATTTGGAAGGTTAATTAATTATATTTATTTAATAATTAAACGATATCTTGGGAGTTTAGAATAAAATAATATTGCGACTATGAATTGAGATGTAAGCTATCCTATCTTTCAAGTTACATCATATTGGATGGCGCTGTGCTAATTGTCCAGGGTTATTTATTAAAAAAACTATTCTATTCTATTCTATTCTATTACAGTACGTCTCTGCATCGTGGAAGGGCGCGGTTCATACAAGCGTGCAGCGAGACACTGTCCCACTCTGGACCAAGAGGACTCTAAAGTAGAATGCGTTCTTGGCACTGACAGGTAATATACCATGTTTAGATATATTAGCTATATAATATTATAGTGTTTATAATATTATTAAGATTGAGATTAACATGCTGGCCTCGGTGGTCTACCGGTGTAGCATACCGCTTTACTTCCGATGGTCGCGGGTTCCTCGCACGGTACAAACATTTGTATTCATGAATGTTTGTTTATGTTGATCTGGGTGCTTTCTATGTGTATTACGTATGTATTTATAAGACATGTTTTTAAGTATTGTGTCAGTTGTCTAGTATCAGTAACACAAGCTCTACTTAACTTGGGACTAGATGGCGCTGCGTGAATTGTCCAAAGATATTATATATCATAATACATTATATGTGTATATTGTAAGACTTATGTTGATATATAAAAAGATATTATGCAGCCTATTGAATTGATATGAAAGTCCAGGTGATCTAGAAGTTTAGCACACCGATTTAATTATGATGGTCGCAGGTTGAATTCCTCGCAGGGTTCAATTTTACATACATTTATATATATGGGTATATTGGGTATATTTGTTTGTATCGGTTACGGTTTTATATAAGTTTCATGGTATGTACATATATAGGTTATGTACGTATTAAAAAAATCTAATATTTGTATCAGTTGTCTAGTATCTATAACACAAGCTCTGCTTAGCTCAGGACTAGAAGGCGTTGTGTTAATTTATCCAGTAATATATTATAAATTTTCTATCTTCCAGGTTGGACTGCCTGCGTCGCATCAGTAAAGGAACGGTGGACTTTGGAGTCTTCAGTCCTGAGGACTTGGTGGCTGCGCAGTGGGCACGAGTGGATGTGCTGGTCACAAATGAATTGAGGAGTAAACCTAGTGAGTTCCTTATGTTTATACAATGAAGACTTCAGTAATTGTATTTTTTTTAATCTATGATAACGGTTCACAAGTTTTCGCTAATGGTTTATGCTGGCGTACCAGTGGAGGATGATATGATAGCATGAGGTCAGGTCAGTTGGTTAGCCCATCGTGGCAAATTCACCATGAATTTATCACAATGGTTTCGAGAGGAAACTCCATGGAGGTCAACCTGCTAAATCCACATTACCAACGACCCTATTCCCTCTATTTGTTTACTATTAGATGGGCCATGATTTTTCAGTTAGATTTATAAAAAAGAGTGTATTGGACCGTGAAGTGTCGAGATTGCGTTATTAAGTACTAGAAGGAGACTTAGAAACCTTGAACATAAAAGTTTGTCATGAATTTTACGATACCGCATTCACATACAAGAAAATGGTTCCTCCTCTCGGGCTACTTCGGGCTATTTTATTTCGCCACCGTAGCCGATAGATGTCGCTAGATCTGAAGCAGTACGGATTACTAGTGTGTGCTTAGTAACAAAGCATGAAAATAGATGGCAGTCAATTCAGTCTACATGACATCTGTTTTGCAAAGATATGTATATAATAGATATGTAGGTAACTGTATCGTGTACCTCATTTGTTTTTGGACGATTCAAGATTCAATGTAAATGTGTAGGTATAATATCGTTAGCCGACACTCTGCAGATATGGCTTATGTGCCAATGTATATACCTATTGTGTTATGGTTTATTTTACATTCCATGCCTATTTTTTTTGATATGTTGTAACGCGTCTGCGCTATACGTATAGCCTGATTTTGATACGTTTATACTCGTACGTATCAAAATCGGGATTTTTTATTTTAATCATTATACATATGTATGAGACTGATTTTAGCTACAATTAATTTTGGTATATACCTCATGTATTCTACGATGTACCCCTCTTTTACCTAATGAGAATTGATATATCTTATATATAAATTTTGTATCACAGTGTTAGTTGCCATATTTCTCCCACATTTTGATGAAATTTGATATGTATACTTCCCAGGTCTGAGGTAGGGTTGTTATCTATTTTTTATACCCCTAAGTCATAGTGGCGGTGGCCTACCCGAAAAAATATGTTTTTGTATTATGGACTATTTTTTATTTATTTATAATGTTACATTGAAAATACATACACGCCTAAATTTTCACCCGTCTTTCACCAACCCATATTTTTAATAGCGACATTCTTACAAATATTATAAATGCTAAAGTAACTCAGTCTGTCTGTTTGTCTCGCTTTCACGCCAAAACTACTGAACTGATTTAATTGAAATTTGGTAGACAGATAATGTAGACCCTGAGAAAGGCTACTTTTTAATGCGAAAAAGTATTGAAAAAATGAAAGGCTATATGAGGATATCGTAATTTTTAAAGTCAGATCTTGTAAGATTAAGTGAACAAAGGGTCGGTCTAGGTTTTTCATTATTAGAAATGTGTAACGGGGTAACACGTTATTTAGTGCGAAATTGTGTATATTACAATAAAATTTAACGAGAAAATATTATAATGATACACTGGGACACTCATTTTATACTATATCGTCCGTTAGTCGCGAACTTTCTGGAAACACGAGAGGCGCTATCCTATTGGTCGGTCGGCGCGGTTACCAGCGTAGATGAGTAGATGAAGCACTTAGACGAGTCTCACGGCGCCGCAGCGTGACAGTAATTCGCTATACATACGTAGTATACATATGGGTATTACAAATGTTTTTATTACTAGTAATATTACTCTGTTATCTAAGCAAGTAATGTGTGCTTATTTTGAATGATAACATTCTGAATTACTCGTATATCTTTCAATATCTTTAGCGGTATAAACCAGGTTATGTACTACTACTAGTATTGTTAGTGAGGGATAAAGTTGATGAACAAAAATAATACAATATTCGTATTAAAAATATATTCATCTAATATTTTTGGCATTATTTTTAAGTTTCTTCCAAATATAAGGGGTCTGACATGGGGTGTTATGTTCTACATTAAAAAATACTTTTGAAATGTATGAAAGAAATGTATTGTATGAAATTTTTGAAATGTGTGAAATGTATGCACCTACATTAAAAGATAATTTTTGAAATGTATGAAAGAAATGTATTGTATGAAATTTATGATATAATGAAATGTAAGGACCTACATTATAAGATAATTTTTGACATTTATGAAATGTATGAAAGAAATGTATGTACCTAAATAAAAAGTTCATTTTTTCAATGTATGTAATGTATGAAAGAAATGTATGTACATTAAAATATAATTTTTGAAATATAAGATGTATGAAAACAATGTATGTTATTACATAAAAAGTTCATTTTTGAAATGTATGAAATGTATCACAAGAAGAATGTATGTACCTTCATTGTGTGTTGCATCTATTAAATATATGTTAAAGAAATTAAGTAGATTTACATTAAAAGATAATTTTTGACATGTATGAAATGTATAAAGAAATGTATGTCTACATTAAAATATAATTTTGAAATGTATGAATTTTAATGTATGTACTACATTAAAATATAATTTTGATATATGTATGAGATGTATGAAAGAAATGTATGTACCTACATAAAAAGTTCATTTTTGAAATGTATGAAATGTATGAAAGAAATGTATGTACATTAAAATATAATTTATGAAATGTATGAGATCTATGAAAACAATGTATGTACCTACATATAAAGTTCATTTTTGAAATGTATGAAATGTATGAAAGAAATGTATGTACCTACATTAAAAGATAATTTTTGACATGTATGAAATTTATGAAAGAAATGTATGTACCTACATTAAAAGATAATTTTTGACATGTATGAAATGTATGAAAGAAATGTATGTACCTACATTAAAATATAATTTTTGAAATGTATGCACCGTACAATAACAATACACGTTAAACATCATACCACAGAGTCATACTTGCAAGTTAAAAACAAACTGCTATGATATTAATGAGAAAGGAAAATAAACTTTATGGTATTCGAGTTAGGGTCGATTTGTCTCTTTTTTTTAAAAATATTTTAATATTAACAGTTGCCAGTATTAGAAGACAGCTACGATTCGTACTCGATATTTTAAATTATTATGTAATCGATTTTTCAGTACAAATGTAAATAACCAACGACACTAATAATTTACTACTATATTCCGTTCTTTGAAACGGAATACTGCTATACTTAATACAAAATAATGAAAATTTACTGTTCACAACGACTCATTAAAAGCATCATCGAATAATGCGCTGTAATAAAATCCTGTTATCGATTATTAAAAAAATCGATAATACATGTATTTATTTTTAATATGACAACACTTCATACATAAGTATTATTGGAAATAGTATTATTTGCTTGTTCGGCTATTTTTAATTTACTTAAACTTTTTTTATATGTTTAATTTACAATAATAATATATTAAGTGCTTATTATTGGAAAATATAAAAAAGACATTTAATTAGGCCGATACAAATGATATACAATGCCATCTATGAAAGCATTTTGAAAACATTGACGCCCGTATTAGCACTGATTAAAGTGTAATTAAGTACTGGAAAATAACAAAATGAGTAAATATATGAAAATTACTTTTCTAAACGCATTATTTCATTTTAACATGTATATATATTTTTTTAAAAATGGATTAAACTATTTTGAAAACACAGTTTTGTTTTTTAAAACGTTTGCAAAACTATGAAGAATTCCATCGATACCAATCACGCCATCTATATGCAACTTTTAGCAATAATAATGGCTATTTACTAGATTTTTGCCACTGATAAAAGTTTGTCATGAATTTTACGCGCATTCACGTACGGAAAAGATGGCGGGAGAGCTCGGTCTTCGCTGTGGTGGATTTCGGGGGTCTTCCAGATGGAGGCTCGTTGTGTTGGGAAGTTTTCGCGCTTGGGGAGTGTGTGCTCGGCCCACAGAAGACAATAAGCGATATTTAAAATCCTAGCATAAGGTTGGCATCCCTGAGATCAATCAACCAATGCATGTACGCATCTTTCGAACGGAACGGAGAATTCCTCGTCTTGTTTTTGGTCGGTGTATGTTATTAGTTGAGTATTACTAGAATTAGTACCGACATAGCCTGAAGAATTGCGACACTGAAGTGGCAATGGGCAGGGCACATAGGATAGATGGCCGTTGGGGCAGTAAAGTCGTCGATGGCGACCGTGAACCGGAAGACGCAGCGTGGGAAGGTCTCCAGCAAGGTGGACAGATGATCTGGTCAAGATCGCTGGAAAGCGTTGGATGTGAGCAGCGCAGGACCGATTGTCGTGGATATCTTTGGGGGAGGCCTATGTTCGGCAGTGGATGTCTTCTGAACTGAAATGATGATGATGATGATGAATACTATTAGGTAGGCGCCTATGTTGTTTTAGCTCAGGACCCCACAAATTTACAATTCGCCTTTGGTAAAGGTAGTTTTTGTATATTTCTAGAGCCGTTCGAAAGGTCGGTAGTGGCGGTGGCCAACCGTCGTATCCTGCAGGATGGTGTGACCACATTACACGCTGTCATACAAAACGCCACACTATGTCACCCTGGTGTTGGCATGGACGACATACGACCAATGAGCGACACGCTGTCTGGGGTAAGTTTTTTTTTATTTGATGACTAGCTGTTCCCTCGACTTCGTCCGCGGGGAATTTAATTTTATTTTTCTAAAATAAAAGTGGCCTAATTTACTCCATATTACATCAGCTATCTGCCAAAAAATAAAAGTCGCGTCAAAGTCGGTCCAGCCATTTCAGAGATTAGCCGGAACAAACAGATAGACAGACAAAAATTGTAAAAAATATTATTTTGGTATATGTATTTATGCACCTTATATTCATATGCATGTAGTAAAAAATGGTTATTTCAATATTACAAACAGACACTCCAATTTTATTTATATGTATAGATATTGGAATGGTGCACCCGCCTGCGCTAATGGTATACGCTGGCGAGGCACCAGTACAGGATGATAAGATGAGCATGAGGTCAGGTCAGTTGGCCTGTCGTGACAAATTCGCCAGGAATTTATCAGCCAGGGGGGACCGCGTGGAGGTGAACCTGACATGGTACATTGTTAGTGACTATTGCATGAGTCCACATTTCTATCATATCTGTAATATACATCGTCTCGACCAGCAACATCGTATTATTCACCCGCAACATCTTACTAATATTATAAACGCGGAAGTTTGTATGTATTTACAAAAAATATATATCTATGTATATGTATCAGTTGTCTAGTACCCATAACATAAGCTTTAGCTAGCTTAACTTGGGTCTAGATGGCACTGTGTGAATTGTTCTGAGATTATTATTATTCTTTATAATATGTATAGGTAGTTAATTTACTATGCCTTCACATGCAATTAGTACTTACTATAAATCATTTCCTTATTGTTTTTTTATACTAACGTAATTAGTACAAATTATCATATAATAACACTAGATGAAGATCAGTGATAATAACGCTATTTATTTTTGTAATTTATAGCAAAGTAAACAAGTAAGCATTTACGTATACACTTTGAACAAAGTGGGCTGCGTGGGATTATATATATTATTGAATAGAATATAAATAATCTCTATTCAAATAAACTCAATATAAGCACTTTTGAATAGTCACATTTCTTTTATTCTACCGCTCATTCGGAATGCAGACTCATCACAAGAAGAATGGGTAAGAGCACTTGTGTGTTGCTCTATTAAATATATGTTATTTTAAGTAGATTTACATTAACAAGGATTAGGCATACGACAATCAATATAGAAACCGCTGCGCAGGTCTTTGTTCAATCAGATAACATTGTCAGCGCTATGAATTTTAAGGTAGATATTTACTACAAAAACATTATTATCATATATATACTCACACTCGTGAATACAAATGTATGTACCGTGCGGAGAATTGATCCCTCTGCCCTTGGAAGTAAGGCGATGTGTTAACGTCTAGACCACTGAGGTCGTCAATATGAGTATCAAAATATAAATAGACAAAATATTTTCTTGGTGTCGATCATACTTGAACTCACGACCATTTCATACAGGGTAGGTTAGATCATGATACCCTTATAGTTGTTATTGCATTTCCAATAAGATACATTTTTCTCTGCAGTATTTAGAGTCGCTAGTATTGGAGCGAGCGTGTGATCCCAAGTTGTCGCTCACGGAGAATCGCATCAAAGCGCTTGCGCAGTTCTTCGGGAAGGCCTGCAAGGCTGGTCCTTGGGTGCCGGATCAATGGCGGGACGCTGAACTCAGTAAGTACACGAGTTATGATCTTGGAATGGCAAAAAAGCTGCCTACCTGTGTTAAGTGATAACTATTTTAGAATTAGTGGCGAGACCCTGAACTCAGTGTGTTTATTTATGTACTTTGATTGGTAATTACCCAAAGGGCTCTTCTGATTTCATTAAGGGCATTTGAGCTATTACTCGGTGCTAAAAAGACCTGTAGCACTGCGACCTTCATTATACGCCTTCATGCAGATTCGCTGCCTAAACATGAGTCTAGGGAGAAGAATTGAGGGATATTCTAAGGAGCGATGGATTTTATTTCCTCAGGGTAGTGTGTACTTACCAAAGGAGATATTTCGTTTATTATTATTCGCCCACTCATGCAGTGGGCTACAACCACATAGAATGTGTAGTGGCGTTTCCTCTTCCTAGGCCCGTCAGGGACAAGAATTGAAGAATATTCTCAGGAGCTGTTGGTTTTTATCTCCTCAGAATAGAGTGTACTTTCCAAAGGAGATATTATGCAAATGAGCTACAACCACATAGGATGTGTAGTGACGTTTTCTCTTCCATTTGGCAATATCTGCAAAACTTTAAGCACAGGCCTAATAACTGATATATAACTACACTAGGTCCATCACGTTATCATATGACGCCCGTGATATCACTCATGTATTGCCATTCTAGAGGACTAGAAAGTGATACTTTCATATTCTGTAATTTTGCTGCCTTATTTCTGTATTCAATCGAAACACAACTTTAAAAATCAAGTTAGATAACATATACTTTATTTCTAACATACAGTAACTAAACAAACAAATAACCCTGAACAATTAACACATCGCCATCTAGTCCCACAGTAAGCAGAGCTTGTATTATGGGTACTAGACAACTCATATAAATACATAGATTTTTTGAACAAACATGGATTTGGAGAAATTTGATAATTTGAAATTTCAGCTAAAACAAATACAGTTGAATTCAGAACCTATTCCTTTTCGAATTAGGTTGATAACAGGTTTAAATTACAGAGCGCCGTTACTCTTCGCTGTGCGCGGCGTGTGCTGGACGCTGTGATACCAACGACCCGTACTGGGGCAACCAGGGCGCCCTCACCTGCTTGGCAGAGAAAGGAGACATCACCTGGGCGGAGTTAGAAGACGTACGGACATATTTTGGGGTGAGTAACACAGATTGATTTAAACTCTTAATCCTTTGCAAGTAAACTAGTTTCTGACAACTGCTTGTGATAATTAGCTGCCTATCAGGTAGACTTAGCGCGTATTGACTTTTACGGAGAAACGTGTGTTTAAGGGGGTGCATGTACACGTTCCTTTAGGGTTTAGGTTGAGAACTTGGGGACGTATTTTGGGGTGAGTAACACAGATTGATTTAAACTCTTAATCCTTTGCAAGTAAACTAGTTTCTGACAAATGCTTGTGATAATTAACTGCCTATCAGGTAGACTTAGCGCGTACTGACTTTTACGGAGGAACGTGTGTTTAAGGGGGTGCATGTACACGTCCCTTTAGGGTTTAGGTTGAGAACTTGGGAGCTTGCATTGATAGAGTCAAGAGACAGAATAGAAGTGTGTTTATTATATTTTTTTCGGATTACTCTAATGCTGTTGGCCGCAGCTGGCCTTTACAGCTTCACCGGACGTAAATTGTGTTTATTATAAAAATATTCCGGCCTTATACGATTTCACACGTCACGTTTAAGCGCAGCTGCAGGTAACCACGGCTCGAAGGTCGCGCAGCTCCATTTCTAATGTTACACGTGCCGTGCGATAAGGATTCTAGGAAGTTGCAGGGACGTGGACGGTGGCACGTGTAGAAAGTATGCTACTACACGTGTAACTGAAACAAAGGATACGAGAAAGAACGTGCGGACTAGAGGTCCTATTTCATCGCTACCAATGGGGCCTTTTCTTTATTTATTTCAGGCTATTAGGGCTATATTATAAATACGTTATAGATTAACATACATATGAATTAATATATAGAAATTGACTGTGTGGTCACGGCACTGATTACGGTAATCTGCCACGATAGCGCTGATATACCACACCCTTCGGCCAGTAGTCTTTCATGATTGTGGGCAGTATGTTGGTAGTACCCGGACCACAAACGCGTAAAAACTCGCGTTGTGACTCGACTCCAGCCGCGTCACCCTCCATGTCAGGTTATTCGTGATCGGTATGTAGTCGACAATGTCCTGCTCCTTGGTGTACTGTATGTATATGTATGTATACCATACTATGTCAGGAAGACCTTCATTGGGTCTCTATTGGAAGTCAGTGTTTAATTCTTGGTGAACTCGCCACGATGTGTAAAAGAACGGCCTCGGTGGTCTAGCGGTTTAGCATAACGTCTTATTCCGATGGTCCCGGGGTCGATTACTTTGCACCTTTCCATTATCATGTGCCGGTTTTAATTTTTTAAAAAGCCAATGTTCATATTCCAGTTAACACAAAGGGAAGGACACGCTTCTGCCGACCGGTTCGCGTATGTCTGTCGTGATGGGTCCTTCATGGATCTAGATGGTTCTGAGCCATGCGTGTGGTTGCACAGACCCTGGCCTATCATCGTGGCTAAAAGGTAAGATCTTATGGTACAGGAAAATGGAATAGAGATCTTATATTATGTAGTCATAAAGTACATTGTCGGTTGTACATGTTCATGTTTTATGTTTATATATTTGGTATATACCGTAATTTCATCCACTTGATGGTTCTGAGACATGCGTGTGGTTGCATAGACCTTGGCCTACCGTGGCTATATATATATATATATCTTATGGTAGTCTATTTAAATGGAATAGAGATCTTATATTATGTAGTCATAAAGTACATTGTCGGTTGTACATGTTGCTTCTTCAACACCTTGGTAAACCGTCCACTGCCTTATTTCTGATGGTCGCGGGTTCGATTCCTCGCACAGTATGGACATTTTTATTCATGAGTATGATTGTTCGTATCCGTCTGGGTGTTATCTATGTATAATATGTATGTATTTACCAAAAAATATATCTATGTATTTGTATCAGTTGTCTAGTACCTATAACACACTTACTGCTTACCTTGGGACTAGATAGCGCTGTGTGAATTGTCCAGAGATTATTATTATTAAGAGCACACAAAACAGATTATTCAGAACAAGGTTTAGGATTAGATAGGGATTTTTTTAAAGGATAACGAAATGGTGCACCCGCCTGCGCTAACGGTTTACGCTGGCGGGGCACCAGTGGAGGATGATAAGATGAGCATGAAGTCAGATCAGTTAGCCCAACGTGACAAATTCACCGGGAATGTATCACAATGGTTTCCAGGGGGAACCGCGTGGAGGTCGATCTGACATGGTGCATTGCTAGCAATGGGATCATCAGTTCACATTACGAACAATCCCCATCCCCCCGATTAGATAGGGTTCGATTCCTCGAATTGAACCCACGACCGTCCTAAACCGCTTAAAATGCATCCATACAGAAAATCAGCAGTAGCCGTAGCAGCTCTAGCCAGCTCCCTCAGAGACGGTTCAGTGCTGGTGGACCGGCACTGGCGTGGCGCCTTAGCCGCCCTGCTGGAGATCCACCTGGGTCTACCGGACCCACTGCAGCCGCCTCTGACTCCGATGGACTACCTCGCCAAGGCTAAAGGATTTAGGGAGGCGTACAGTCAAAGCGGATGTGATCCGCCCAGGTAACTTGTTTTTAAATGTATTTCTATGCTAGCTGTGGCCGCGGCTTCACCCGAAATTTATAGCCTATATGTTATTCTGATGTATAGTGATATCCGTTCAGTAGTTTTTGCGAGAAGAACTAACAAACGTCCATAGTTACAAACTTTCTCGTTTATAATATTAATAAGGTATTAACGGGCGGACAGACAGCGACAGCGACTTTGTTTTATACTATGTAATGAAGTTTAAGTTAATTTTAACTTAGTTAAGTTCAAACTTATAAGTTTGGACATCATTAAGCTTCTATTGTCAAGGACTATACGTCTATATCTATGTGTGTGTGTCAAATACATGGTACTGTATGTAATGATTTTTTATTGATTTTAGAAAATATTACCATGAAATTAAATGTAATGATTTATTGTCCAAAATATGGTTGTAGTGAATTAGTGTGTGGTTAAGCAAATGTCATTCGTCTTATAAATAAAACTAGCTTTTACCCACGGCTTCGCTCGCGTTATCCCCTTAGGGATGGAATTTATCTTATCAAAATCCTGTCTTAGAGGATGCCTACGTCATAGTAGCTTTATGCATGCAAAGTCTCAGCCCGATCGGTTTAAAATTGACAAAGTTTCATACAAAATTTCATACCCTATTTTATTTCCTTAACGGTAGAATTATTCAAAATCTTTTCTTAGCGGATGGCTACGTCATAACATGCCAAATTTCAGCCCGATCCGTCCAGTGGTTTGGGCTGTGCGTTGATAGATCACTATGTCAGTCACCTTTGAGTTATATATATTTAGATAGCCATTTTTTGTATTCGAATAATGGGAACCCAGATTATTTATTATATTAACATGTATATAATTTATTAATTAAATATATTTAACACGTTAATCCCCACGATAATATCAGAAAAAAATTCACATGGGCCATGCTAACTTTATTAGATAATTTAGTTAAAAATATATCAAGGAAACTTAATGTATCATAGAATTTTCTTTTTGCCAATATTCCCGAAAAAGCACTATTTTTTATGTCACACATATATGACTGACATGGCTAATATATATATTTTGTATCAAGCTTATGTCTGACGTACATTTATTTCATTTTATTGCTTGTAGTAAGCCAAGAAATTTTCAGTTTTTTCCCTGATAGGCCAAGCTTTCGAAACATAATGCAAATGTATCGTTTGGGTCGGACATCTGTGATTGCCGTGGCCTACCAAATCGCGTACGGCAGACATATATGTCTGACATGGCTCTTGTAGATCTTCTTAGCATCAGACACATATGACTGACATGGCGATTAACGTTAAAAAGCATTTCTCCGTCACTCCGTCCTGACATGTGTATTCTCTGTTATTACCAGACACATCTACAGAAGATCTACATGTCAGACATATATGTCTGACATGGCTCATGTAGATCTTCTTAGCATCAGACACATATGACTGACATGGCGATTAACGTTAAAAAGCATTTCTCCGTCACTCCGTCCTGACATGTGTATTCTGTTATTACCAGACACATCACCCTGTGTACAACGACAATATTAGAGAAGAATAAGTGTGAATGGCTGAACGAGGCTGGTTCCGTGTATGGGATAGCTCCGCCCCTGCAGTGTTCGTATGGAGCTGACACCCAGGCCTGCCTGCAAGCTGTCCAGGACGGCAGGAGTGACGTGGTGGTCACCAGCAGCGAGTACCTTGTAGCAGCCATGAGGTTAGTAACCAATTTGATTGTCAGTAGCCTGTTCTGTTTAGATTATACTGACTATTTCCTTTTGCTAAAATTGCAATAGATAGATTTTTATTCGTCAATTACAAACATATAAAATACATGAGGTACAGACTGCTAAATTAAAAAAAATAATAACTTTATGCAGCTATGGCTGCCCAAATCTGCATAAAACTGCAGATAAATCTGCAGAGCTAGATGTGCCATGTCAAGTTGATGTCCATGCAATTCCCCAAACCATCATGATAAATTCGTGGTGAATTGATGATGTTTTTGCTCAATAGTCAAATGTCCGTCATTGTGGAATAATAATTATTACAAAAAGGCGCTAAAGCACAACTGAAGGGCGCGGGAATGCGCACGCTATTTTTTTTTATGGATGATAATGGCTTGGTGCACCCACCTGCGCTAACGGTTTACGCTGGCGGGGCACCAGTGGAGGATGATAAGATGAGCATGAGGTCAGGTCAGTTAGCCAATCGTGACAAATTTACCAGGAATTTATCACGATTGTTTCCAGGGGGAACCGCGTGGAGGTCAACCTGACATGGTACATTGCTAGTAATGGGATTATAACTTGCGGTCTTTCTAGTTTCCTATTTTGTCTACATTTACATGCACATTCTTTCCCGCGTAAAAGAGCGTACGTGGCAGTTAATAACAAAATTGCTAATAAAACAATAAACTATAGTAAAATGTAAACTTAAATTTTTCAGAGATTATTCCGTAGCTCCAATACTACACGAAGCCACACCAATCGTGGAGAAAGCCAGCACTGTGGTGGCCGTCGTCCGAGCTGATGCGGCAATAACTGACACATCAAGCCTCAAGGGAAAACGAGCTTCGTTCCCAACCTATGATGGAGTGGCTTGGCATTCAGCTCTTAGATACTTCATGACCAAAGACAATATAACTTGCTCAGATATGGGGCACTACTTCACGGAAATATGCGCGCCTGGTATCGAAAATTATAATGTTACCAGAAATGTTGTGAAGCAATTTACCAAAAACTGCTATGTTGATGATGGCAATATATTATCTGGAGAGATTCAAGCTTTGAGAGCAGTTGTTGAGGGAAAGAGTGATGTTGCGTTTATAAGTATGGGGACTTATAATATGTATACAGGTTTGTATTTTTGGTTTTTTTTTAATATAAGAGATCTTAGCATTCTATGGATTCACTGTGCAGTTGCCGGGACCACAAGTCCCGGTGTAGAATTAAGGGGCCCTGTTCCTGACGCGTCAAAGGAATTTCATATAACGATTTCTAGTGACAGCCACATTCAAAATAGAGATTCATGAGATCAAAGTGTACAGGTACAGATGGTAAACTAAGTCGCTACACTCTGACGTTTTGACATTAAATTTTTAATCTATTATAATCTAAGCAATCTCTATGTATTTTGCCAATGTATTAAGAAAATAAGCACAGACAAATAATATGTTATTTAATTTTATTAATATTTCAGCTCAACAAATAAACGAAGACTGGGCGAGCAGCCGAGAGAAGTTAGTTCCCGTTTGCCCTGAAGAAAATAAGAAGTATTGTTTTATAAGTTGGTCGAACATTGGCCACATACTAGCACCGAGGAATTTAACAGCAATGAGACGCCAAGAAATCATAAACGTGTTTACAAAATTGGATCAATTGTTTGGCAAACATTATCCATTCCACAACGCTATGTTCTCTATGTACGGTCAATTTAGTTTTAAATTGAATATTTTGTTCCATAACAACACAAAAATGCTAGCCACTGATGACATGTTGAACACGCATCCGTATGATAACATTCCTTTGAATTTGGAACGCAGTCTTCGAAATTCAAATATGAATAGTTGTCACAGTTCAGATTTTTTGGGAAATTTTGGCGCCAATTTAAACCCGAGTATTTTATTGTTAGTAGTTTCTCTAGTCTTTTTTGTCTTAAGAATTTAAAGGAATGTTGTATTATAGTAATTAAAGATTTTTATAAGTTTCTACTTTATTGTTTTATTTTTTTTAACTACATACTGCTGATTTTTATGCCTTCGCGAACAGTATACGCTTTCATGAAACTGGAGGATGTTTGAGTATAAGTATGTGAGAATAAAGTTGGGTCTAGACCCAAGCCCACCGTTTTTAGCGTATTCTAGTGATGACCGCGTGCAACCTGACGTGGTTCATTGGGCCACTATTTAGTATTACTAACAATACCCTGGGAAGGTTGAATACCTTCTATTATATTCGTATATAATAGAATTAATAATAACAATACTCATTCCAATAATGCAGCTTAAATTTGGAAAGTCTGGATTAGAGTAAAGGGCACTCCAAACCCTCAAAAGGACCAGTGCTTTCAATGTATACCGAGGTAGAGGTTGGGTATAAGAAGAGAAATGGAATCATTAGAGGTACACATTGTACAATGTCGACGCTAATCAGCTTATGGGTGCAGCCATCCCTCAATAACTTAAATGTACCCATATATTTGTAAAGTGTTTCTGTTGAGATAATAGGCAGTGAAGTTACGGGGTAGGTATAACATCTTATACTCCGGAATGAAATCGCATGAGTGGTATTACGGGCGTCACATAATAACGTGATGTCCGTGGTGCTGTTCTTGTACATATATAGACGACGGCGGATCCAGGAAGTGGGTCATGTGGGTCATGAGCTGGAGCATGGAGCCCCCCCTGAGCTGGTTCCAGGAATTAGGTGGATCACTAGTTGAACATAATGATTTTATTTATATATTTTGACACCATACAGATTTTATGTAACTACATACCTTCAATATTTAATTCATTTAATATAATATAATAACTTTGTACATTATTAAAATTAAATTATAAGTTCTTATACTTGACCACAGATTTTATGTGACATACCTTCAATATTTAATTCATTTAATATAATATAATAACTTTGTACATTATTAAAATTAAATTATGGCGCCAAAGCTGGATCCGCCCTTGTATATAGACTAGTACTGACTATCAGGTGAGATGTTGACTTATTTCCAGTTTAATTATATTAAAATAAAAATACCGGTCATGATCATACATTTTCTTTTTGTTACATCTTAGTTGAGTAAAAACTATTATTTAGGTTACTGGTCATCTGTACCCTCCTTTGAAGTTGAAGGTTGGGGCCTCGAGGCGAACCCCTGGCATCAACTCCGGAGACAACAACCCCGGGATGGATTTAAGCATCTTAGGGTGAGTAATTTAATTAAAATAACCTAACGCAAAAGAAATGTAGTGGCATACTTGGGGACAATTTTGTTGTTTGTATATATTTAGACAGATAAATCAAATCAAGCGGTTAAATCGATTGATTCTATTGTCAATGTCAAAATCAATTTCATGTCAATCTGACATCATTATGTCACTATAAGTCATTGTTTCATCGATTCTACTTTCGCGCTTCTGTGTAAAATTTCGATGTTGTCGTAAACAAAACTTTTAAAGCAAGCAAATAACAGTTTAAAGTGTTTGAAACATTATTGTACACTTTTAGTTATGGCTACAGAGGACATAAGTGCATTTTTAAAAGCATTAGACGCCGTTAAACAGGACCATACTTGTCCTATTTGCTCAGAACTATGCAAGGATCCCGTTACTTTGAGTAAATGTTTTCATGTGTTATGCGCTGCCCATTTCAAAGATTTAAAGTTTTGTCCCGTATGCAAAATATCACTAGACGGATGTTCTACGTTTTCCGACGACCGCCTGAACAGAAGTATCGCATCTGTTGCTGAATTGGGTAGAATTTTCGAGAAGTTTAAACCAGAAGAATTTAGATTAACTAAGACCGCAAGTGTTACAAATGCACCTGTTTCCAAATCAAAAACAGATAATGCTCCTAGTTCTGGGACGAAAAAGGTTGGTAAAAATCCTCTTTCGGATAAAACTAATCTGGGAAAGCCAGACATGAATTCTTCTTTACTATCTTCTGTGAGCTTGAAAACAGCTGAAAAACGTAATACTAAAGGTGAAACTATGCTTCATATCGCATGCCGATTAGGTAAGCTCGATAAAGTCACGGATTTACTAAACCAGGGTGCAAATCCTAATACTAAAGATAATGCGGGTTGGACACCGTTACATGAAGCTGTTCAAAATGGTCGACTAGACTTGGTCACCTTGTTATTGCAGTATAACACTTTGATAAATGTACCAGGTCAGGGTAATGAGACTCCATTGCATGAAGCTGTGAGATATAATCATATAGAAATAGCAAGGGAATTGGTGAGGAATGGTGCTGATGTACATATGAGGAATTGTAAAGGAGAGACTCCTTTGGAGCTAGCTGTTGGCGAGATGAAGAAAACATTGTTATCAGCGTCTGAGGATGTTATACAAACTCAGACTGTGAACTTAGCTCATATATCTACTTTATACTCTGAACTAGATGCTGAAGATATAAGAGTATACTGTGGATCTGAGTACCGTACTGTACATAATAAACTTAAGTTGCTAGCGAAGCATCACAGTAATTTACATGTAGAAGTAAAGTTTACGAAGAAAGTAACCCATTTAGTTGTAGATGCAGAGGATGATGGTGTTTCTCCATCAAGTTTAGATCTTCTTCAAGGAATAGTCAGTAATATCTGGATAATATCATCACAGTGGATCACAAAGTCCACCGATACCAAATTGGTGCAATTTGACCAGTACGAAATAACAGGAGTTGGTTCTAAAACATATAATGGGCCTAAGAATTCAAGATACAACAAGTATAAGCAATTACCAGGTCTCTTTAATGGTTGCCATATTTATTTACACAATTTTAATACAAAATATGAGATTACAAAGTCTATAGTTGTAACTAAGGCTATACTGACCAAGTTGATAACAGACGCAGGTGGAATCGTTCTCAGACGTGTTCCAAATCCCGAATCTATACCAGAATCGGAGAAATTGATACCGTATCATGCGAAAAAAGATGGAAAATTGAGTAATTGTTCACATTATATAATTTTTAAGGATGTTTACGAACCGATGTATAATATGAAGCATTTGAAGGCGTTGCCAGTTGGTTGGCTGATTGAGTGTTTTGAAAAATATGAATTATGTGAACCTATTGATTATAATTATGTATAACTGCACACCTGACCCAATACTGCACAGTATATGATATTGAAACCTTTTAAGAACTGAGCTTATGCCATCTTAAAAGGCCTGACGCATTTAAAATTCCCCTGGTGTTGTGGGTGCTTATGCGCGGCGTTATCGCCTATAAAAGAACAGTTTAATCTGATAAATCGTTCAGTCTAGTGGCTTAGCACACAACTTTACTTCCGATGGTCGCAAGTTCAATTTTTCGCACGGTACTAACATTTATATTCATGACTATGATTGATTGTATAGATCCCAGTGTTTTCTATGTATTTACAAAAAGTCTATGAATTTATATCAATAGATATTACTGGTACTAGACAACTTTAGTATCCATAACATAAGTTCTGCTTAGCTTGAGACTAGATGGCGCTGTGAGTTCTCCAGAGTTATTTTTATTGTTAATGTTTGTCAATCATCCCTAGTTTATTATATTGTTAAGAAGCCATGTAATTGTGATAAATGAGCAATAACTCATTATTTATTTTAATGTGTCATTACGATTTAAATTATAAATTCTACATTTTTACACTTTGGTGGTTTTATTATACCTTTTTTTTTATACAAGGATGGCGGTAAACAAGCATGCAGCCTATCACTACATAGTATAAAACAAAGTTGCTGATGTCCCTATGTATGCTTAAATCTTAATAACTACGGATTTTGAAGCAGTTATTTTTAATAGATAGAGTGTTTCAAGAGGAAGGTTTATATGTATAATACATGCATAATATTATAGAGAAACACTGATAAATTCAGAGAGGAGGACGATGTCGTAAATTAATACATTTTTTGCGTTTACATAGCAAAACTCCTGTGAACTTGGCACACGATATTAAAAAATCGTATTTTTTTAGAATTCTAACATCCCTTTGAAATATGTTTTATAGTTTAAATATAAAAAAATCGTGCGCTAACTTCACGCAGCGCATGAAATCACGAAAATCAAAAATGTATTCAGAGTTCTAGCTTGCTAAACTTGCGGAACTTGATTTACAATAGTTCTACAGTTCTCCATCAGTTATATCAATAGTTCTAGCGATTAAAAAGAAAAAATCGATTTTTGAAGGTTCCGCGTCCCAATTAAGTATAATTCATATAAAAAAGAGCAATTTCCGACGCGAGTTCTAGCCGATTTGATAATAGTTCTGGGGTAGCATTCTCCGAGGTCTACAGAAAAGCTTCATAACCTTTTCCTGGAAAATAATTATCTTGCAAGTTATTGCAAAATATAAATAGACAAAAAAAATTACGAGTTCCAGCTTATTTGATCGGAGTTCTGGGTAGCGCTACCTGCGTTCTATCTAAAAGTCTAGTAACTTTTTCCTGTGAAATAATATTATTTTTCAAACTATCTCTCGTATAAAAATCACGTAATAAAATTCTCATACCTACTAGTAAAAAAAAATTCTCCTATAAGTCAGTCTTGAAAAGTTAAAAGTGGCGTTACTTTAGAAAACAATTATTTTATGGAAAAAAGTTACTAGACTTTTTGATAGAACTCAGGTAGCGCTACCCAGAACTCCGAACAGATCGGTTAGAACACGTAAAAAAATTTTCTCCTGTAAGACTAACTTGTCTTGAAAAATTAGAAGTGGCGATAATTTGGAAAATAATTATTTCACGGAAAAAGTTATGAAGCTTTACTGTAGGACTCGGAGAATACTACCCAGAACTATGTAATATTGTTATGTTATCTGTGTCAGAACTATTATCAGATCGGCTAGAACTCGCGTCGGAAATTGCTTTTTTCTTATATGAATTATATTACACGGCGCGGCGTCTTCAAAAATCGATTTCTTCGTTGATATAACTGATGGAGAACTGTAGAACTATTGCAAAACAAGCTAGAACTCCGAAGAAATTATTGATTTTCGTGATTTCGTGTGCTGCTTGAACTTAGCGCATGTTTATTTTTAAATTTAAACATCGAACTTATTTAAAATATTTATAAAGAAATTTAGAACTATTCAAAAGGATGTTAGAACTTAAAAAAAAATCGATTTTTTAATATCGTGTGCCAAGTCCACAGGAGTACTGTTATGCTCGTGGGCGGCGGTAAGCATTTACCATCAGGAGAGCCGCACACGTATGATATTTTTATACTAGTATTAGTGACTATACGTTATACGGGTAATATAGGAATAAAACGAGTTATAAGAGAATAAATTTATATATTTAATTAAAATCACAATCATTTTATTTAGTTCATAATACATTACAATTATTTAAATAATTTAATTTATAATACAATCACAAACAAGTATTTCTCAGCGATCCCTGGGTGATTCACCATAACTAACTTGATCTCATGCTCATCTTATCATCCTCCATTGGAGCCCCGCCAGCGTATACCGTGACCATTTCTTTCACTCGAAGGACTTTATTTATTTACGTCATTTAACAGACGAACCAATGAAAACTACACTTTATTAAAGTTATTTATTTTGAAAATCTTAGTTTAAAAGTTACGAATTAAAAATATACTAGCAACAATCTTGAGCTGCTAAGCTGAGCTTAAATTGTAAGCTGGTGAATATTTTACGTAAGAATGAAACTCTTGGCACGTTTGTTTTTACTACGATGGTACAAAACACCCCGACAAACAATCATATTCATGAATACAGAAGTTTGTACCGTGCGAGGAATTAAACTCGCGACTACAGAGAGTAAAGCGGTGTCCTAATCCTCTAGACCACCGAGCCCGTCAAATACATATACACAGTCTCATCTCAGCCCGGAAGACGTCCACTGCTGAACAAAGGCCTCCCCCAAGAAACGACTTCTACGACGATCGGTCCTGCGCTGCTCGCATCCAATGACTTCCAGCGATCCTGACCAGATCGTCGGTCCACCCTGCTGGAGGCCTTCCCACGCTGCGTCTTCCGGTTCGCAGTCGCCACTCGACGACTTTACTGCCCCAACATATACCTAGGCTATCTTTCATATCATAAACAGCAGACGAAGAAGGGAGTAACAGCTAGTAATACCTACAAAATTGTTTTTATTCACTACTTTAACATTTGTTTGATATATTGACATGAAACAACAGTTTACAATATTAATACTCTACTACCTACTACGGTACTGCGGTCCTATTATTGTAGTGGCCATATCTATAAATTACGTCACGCCAATATCAGTAATTTTTCTCTCTCTCCTGTGTCACAGCTCACATTTTAATGTAATTTACACTTTCCCCCAACTAGTCACATTTTAATGTAATTTACACTATCCCCCAACTAGTCACATTTTAAAGTAATTTACACTTTCCTCCAACTAGTTACATTTCAATGTAATTTACACTGTCCCCCAACTAGTCACATTTTAATGCAATTTACACTGTCCCCCAACTAGTCACATTTTAATGTAATTTACACTGTCCCCCAACTAGTCACATTTTAATGTAATTTACACTGTCCCCCAACTAGTCACATTTTAATGCAATTTACACTTTCCCCCATCTAGTTACATTTTAATGCAATTTATACTGTCCCCCAACTAGTCACATTTTAATGCAATTTACACTGTCCCCCAACTAGTCACATTTTAATGTAATTTACACTGTCCCCCAACTAGTCACATTTTAATGCAATTTACACTGTCCCCCAACTAGTCACATTTTAATGTAATTTACACTGTCCCCCAACTAGTCACATTTTAATGTAATTTACACTGTCCCCCAACTAGTCACATTTTAATGCAATTTACACTTTCCCCCATCTAGTTACATTTTAATGCAATTTACACTGTCCCCCAACTACTTACATTTTAACGTAATTTACACCTTCCCCCCTCATTTATTAAAATAATTAAAATTATTAAAATTAATTGTTTCATGTAAGTACCATATACATACATACTTTCCTTTTCATTTACTGAAAAGTTGTTAATTTGAAACTACAAACACTTAAATTTTATTTATTTATTTGTACAGTCGTCTAGATAGTATGTTACATTTTTTTACACCAACCTTGTAACTCATACATCCCAGCACCTTGTGACACAATGTCACACATTGTCACACCCTCTCCTGTCCGTGACGAGACGTAATTTACGGAAGCCCTAGATCTAATTAAAAATACATCCTTTCATATAATACTAATTAAATAAGTACAGTTAACAATTCGAGATATTCATATTTAGCATTGTAGTAATGTTGAATAAACGAGCTGTACCGATGTGTATGATATTTTTGATTAGTAATAGATTAAGCGGCGTGGGCATCATCGCTCGCTCAACAACTGTCAAGTGTCGAAGCTACGAGGCATATACCTGTAAATAAAATCTAATCTTAAAAAAATTATGTGTCACGTGTTTGTAACAAAATTCCGCCGAAATGGATTGACCGATATTGATGAAATTTTATGTGTATATTCAGTAGATCTGGAAGTAAGAGGTAAACTATTTTTCATACCCCTCAGTTATGAGGATAAATCACACAAATTTTTCTGTTTAGTATTTTTTTTTTAAAGAAACTTAACTGAATATCTATTTTTTAAGTGCTATATTTACATTAAATAGATGTCATTATAATTATTTCCATGACTGATCAATACTGACCGAACACTGACGTCGTGAATCCTGAAGACTGCGTAGTGATCGTTGCGGAACATCGGGAAGAAATGCTCCACAGTCTCCGTGAGCAGTATGTGACAGAGACGCGGCCGACCGCGGTACTCCGGGGCCTCGATGTCCCATATCTCATAGAATGAACACCCTTTGCTGAAAATTGTTACAAGTATTACAGGTAGGAGAGAGGAAAACAAATAGCTTAAGGGTTTATATATATATATATATTATTGTGTATTAAATGTAAAAGTGTTTTATTGGCCAATAAAGTTTATTATTATTATTTTTCTTTTTTTCCTTTTTTTTCTCTCTTCTTTTATGGATTTAAAAGGTAATACTCACCTACACGGGCCTTAGCCAAGTGTGGGTATATTATTATCATTATTATTATTATTATTATATATTCTTTATTGCACTTTTAAATACAGTTGTAAACTTAAATATATACAGAGTGAGCAAAGATGGACTTATCTCTAAAAGAGATCTCTACCACTCAACCCAACAGTGAGGCATAACTAGTAGTGAGTGGGTAACACATATGCAATTAACAATATTATGTTAAAATGTCCAAGAGTTGAGAAAATAAAAAAAACATTTAAAATTCAACAAATTACATAATGTTATAATTATAATAAAATATACAATAATAGAAAATGAAGAGTTCATACCTGCTTCTTCCGTAGCAGTACTTGTATTCGATAATAAGGTACGTTGCTCGCAGCTTGCTCAGTTCACTGTACAGCTCTTGTGAAGAGAACCGCCCGTAAGTCTTGTATACAGCATACGCTCGTTCCCTGGAAAAAAGTTAATACAATATAGACTAGTTTCCGCATTCAGCATTTCATCTGGACCGTTCTGTAGAGCCGAGACTACTAAAGTAGACCCTCCTAGTGTCTACAGAATTCACAGAGCGACCTGACCGTTGCGTCCACTGCTGCAGGAACGCGTCCTGAAGTATGCGAGCAGACTTTTCTTCGGCTTCAAAGTTGCCCCGACAAAGGAGACTGTCTGTAGCTTGTCTTTGTTTAAGGGATACTGGAATTACCGTTTTTTTATACTACTATGGTGGTAACCAAGCATACGGCCCATCTGATGGTAAAAGGTTACCGTTCCCGAAATACCAGGGGTGACACGTGCGCGTTGTCGACCTTTAAGAAACCTTAATATACCCTTCTTGAAAACCCCATGCTTAAATATTTTTTTTATATTTACTGAGCAAAGCCTATTACTCACTAAACGATTACTTGAATGACGAGCGTGCATGGCAATAGTTGTTCATGCACTGGATTTTCATTTAATGTTAGACATAGACACCTATATAAATATACATCTATACATATAAATAAAATTGGAGTGTCTGTTTGTAATATTGAAATAACCGTTTTTTACTACATGCATATGAATATATATACGGTACATATACCAAAATAACAATTTTTATCATTTTTGTCTGTCTGTCTGTCGGTCTGTTTGTTCCGGCTAATCTCTGAAATGGCTGACCCGATTCTGACATAACTTTTTTTGGCAGGTAGCTGATGTAATAGGGAGTAACTTAGGCTACTTTTATTTTAGAAAAATAAAGTTAAACTCCACGCGGACGAAGTCGCGGGAACAGCTATTTGTAAATAAATTACCTTAAAAAAAAGTAATTCAATTGTTTCTCTTGCTAATTCTTCTCAATTGGATCTATATACTGAACTGGACGGTAGGGAAAAAATATAATAAAAAAAATTTGACGTTCATAAGCGGCTAAAATGTCCTACATGAATATAGTTAGTATAGTTAATTATAGTTATATTTCCTATCATTATTTTAAGGTTTTTCTTATTGAGGTCTAATAGACGTCTCTGTAATAAAAACAGTACACATATATTATATTATTACTAGCTACTCGCCCCGGCTTCGCACGGCTGCACTTGTTGCTTTATGCTTGTTTGCCGCCATAGTATAAAAAAATTTTATTATTACGGTATAGGTCATGCCTCATTATTCTAATGTGCTCAGACACCGACTAACATACAAATTTTGGGTTGACAAAATCCCTCAATCAAAAGGTTTCTACGTGAGTAATTGCATTATTATTTTAATTTTTGACCTTGTTTTCCATGCTAGTCATTATCGACGCCTTTAGTGGTCTACCGGTTTAGCACACCGCTCTACTTCCGATTGTCGCAGGTTCGATTCCTCGCACGGTACAAACATTTGTATTCATGAGTATGATTGTTTATAACGGTCTGGGTGTTTTCTATATATATTATATATATACTAGCTACTAGCCCCGGCTTCACACGGGTGTCCATGTATTATACATACATATAAACCTTCCTCTTGAATCAATCTATCTGTTAAAAAACCGCTTCAAAATCCGTTGCGTTGTTTTAAAGATTTAAGCATACATAGAGACGGACAAACAGCGACAGCGACTTTGTCTTATACTATATAATGAAGTTTAAATTAACTTATAGTTAATTTTAACTTAGTTAAGTTCAAACTTATCGACAATCTGGTCAAGATCGCTGGAAGGCATTGGATGCGAGCAGGGTAGGGCCGATCGTCGTGGAGATCTTTGGGGGAGGCCTATGTCCAGCAGTGGACGTCTTCCGGGCTGCGATGATGATGATGATGAAGTTCAAACTTATAAGTTTGGACTTCATTAAGCTTCTATTGTCAAGGACTATACCTCTATATCTATGTGTGTGTGTGTGTCAAATATATACTGTATGTAATGCTGAAGCAAACATAGGGACAGACAGCGACAGCGACTTTTTATATAATGTAATAATGATTAAAAAAATCTTCATACCTAGCGTCGTAATGTTCATAGTGTGGGTGTGCGACTATAGGCCTCCTGCAGGCGAGCATCACTGTGGCTAACAGGGGCATCGTACCCGCGAACGATGCACCGCTGGCAGTCTCCCTCTTGATCCACTCCAACAACTCCTCTTGGGGTATATCGCTGAATTCACCTGATTGAGCATTATTAGGTTTGTTTTTTTTTTGTGCATAATAATGGAATGGTGCACCCGCCTGCACTAACGGTTTACGCTGGCAGGGTACCAGTGGAAGATGACAAGATGAACATGAGGTCAGGCCAGTTAGCCCATCGTGACAAATTCATCAAGAATTTATCACGATGGTTTCCAAGTGCAACTGCGTGGAGGTCGACCTTACATGGTACATTGCTAGCAATGGGGTCATAAATCCACATTACTAACAATCACCTTTCCCCCCTAGGTTTGTTATTAGGGACCATTCACAAATTATCACACTTTTGGAGTGCACAAAGTAAATATTATGTAAAGAATCTTCTTTCAAGGTACTGGAAAAGACCGTGAAACAATTATGATATCTAATACCCTTTACTTCATCTACTCTTGAGGTATTTTTTTAAGGATTAACAACACAAGATACAGCTATAAAAAGTTTGTCATGATTCTATACAATTGTAATGGTCTTAAACTAACTGTTCTCATGTTTATAGGTGACCACAGCATGCTTTGAGTTACAAGATTATACCGCTACTTCACATGTCAATAATATTAATTAAACTTGACTGCTACTAACAATAATACAATAAAACATACATACATTTTGAGCTTAATTATGAACTCGGAGTGTTGTCAAAGAGAATATCAATTTCAGGATATTCCTACGCAAGATCGTTGTACAGGCGCAATAAACGGAGGACAGGTGAAACACGACCCAAATTAGTTCTGCAAGCTTTACTTTTGAATAACTTGCAAGGATAACGTGGTACTCTTGTGGGTACATTAAAATCAATTTTATTTAGTTGGGGAGGACAATCTATATGACCATTCACCAACTTATATAGAAAAGACATGTCAAGGTAAGATCTACGCAAGGACAGTTGTTCAAGGGAAAATTATTACTACTGTCTTTGTAAGTTTTAATATTTGGTATTTTGAAACTATATGACAAACTATGAACATTTTTTTTTACTCTTCTATTCTGTTTATGTGTACTTTGTAGGTAGATCAAACCATGCTGCAATATTCCAACTTACTCCTCACATAGCTGTTATAAAGCAGAATAATAGTTGGTTTTTTAAAACTTAATATATGGGTGTGCTTCTGAATACGTTTAATTTAGGATCATTAGTTTTATTAATTTAATTTAAATTATGTCACACGTTAAGTGAACAAAGTAAAGACAAGGCAATTGAAGAATGGAATATTATTATGGGGAAAAGCGGCAGATATTAAAAATATATTCATATTACAAAAACGTGCCATTCGAGCGATCTACTGTATGAAGAGTCGTGACTCATTAAGAGAGAAATTCAAAGAGGCAAATATTCTCACCGTTGCTTCTCAATTTATATATTCAAATATCCTATATGTTCATAAAAATCTTGACTTATTTCCAAAAAACAGCAATATTCATAATATTAATACTAGATTTAAAGACAAACTTGCTGTCCCCAAGTATCGTTTAGAAAAAGTCAATGGGTCTTTTATGGGAATAGGTATAAAATTTTACAATAAGATACCAAAGGATATGTTGGAATTACCCTTAAATAAATTCAAAACATCTGTTAAATCATATTTACTGAGCAAGGCCTATTACTCACTAAACGATTACTTGAATGACGAGCGTGCATGGCAATAGTTTTCATGTTCGGGATTTTCATTTAATGTTAGACATAGACACCTATATAAATACCTATGCATTGTAAATAAACAGGCTTTTAAAAAAAAGTAATTCAATTGAGATTCTTGACAATTCTTTTCAATTGGATCTATATATCGAACTGGACGGTAGGGAAAAAAATTCTAATGTAAAAAGTTGACGTTCATAAGCGGATAAAATGTCCTACATGAATAAATGATTGTTGAATTTGAATTTTTAATTTTGAAGAGGAACAAATTTCATTTAAAGATAATGAAATCTAGGACCCTCATAGTAGGGTCTTACTTGTTACTGACGTTCTATTTCTGTTACGACGGCCGTGGCTGGCCTTTACAGCTTCACCTAACTATACGAGTGAGTGCAGATGGCACTTCAAACCTGCAGAACTTATGGAGCAGGTGAAGGCTAACTGCCGCGTAACGGACACGACTTTAATCTGAGGGCACCGCTGGGGGTTCAAACCTCGACTTCGGCTGTCGCAATTTCAATAGAAATAGAAATAAAAATAATCTTTATTCAAATAAACTCATTACAAGCACTTTTGAATAGTCATATTTTGATTCTACCACTCATTCGGAATGCAGATTCATCACAAGAAGAATTAGCAAGAAACTTGTGTGTTGCTCTTTTTAATAGATATTTTTTTATATAAATAATTACAGTATAACAAGTAAGAGGCATGCGATAATCAACATAGAAATCGCTACGCACTCATTATTAGTGTAATCAGATAATACTGTCAGTGCTATGGATTTTTTTTATAATTGTTTCTATAAAAACATTATTATCGTTAACGAATTCTTCAATTTTATAGTAAGCTTTTTTGCAAAGGAACTGTTTTATTTGACATTTAAATCTTTTTTCTGGCACATTTATAACAGACTCTGGTATTTTATTGTAAAACCTTACGCAATTGCCATAAAACTAATTACTAACTTTAGCCAAACGACATTTAGGTAAAATCAGTTTGTTATTATTGTTACGTAAGCTTTTATTGGTGCAATCACTAACTCTTTTGAAACTGTCTATATTCTTCCTGGCATACATGATATTTTCATAAATGTATTGAGAAGCAACGGTGAGGATATTTGATTCCTTAAAACACTCTCGCAATGACTCCCTGGAATCCATACCCATACAATCGCCGTTTGAATTGGACGGTTGGAATCCAACTCAATATTAATTTAATATTAGTATAAACAATATTAGTACGAGTATAAAAACACGAAATTTTATCTATTAAAACCAACTGTGACAGGGTTATGTAGATGGGTGTTAAAATGAATAAAAACCGGTGTGACGTGGTGACGTAATAAGAATTGCTTCTTATAAAATTTTAATCCTTGTAAGTTAAACAAACATACTCACCAACGTGCGACATTTCATGGGACACGTTGCCTATGAGATCTTGCACGAGTGGTAATGTCACCACCACCCACAGCAACGGTATATATTTCATGTATCTCTTTGGTAATCTGTGGAGAAAATAAAAAAAAACTGACTTGAATAGTGTACTGTAGGCCTTCTTAATTATCGGATTTAATACACCACTATTCTCATTCGAGGTTCACAGCTTAATGCCGCATGACGCCAGCAGTGCGCGATAGAGACGACATAATGCTTCTTCCTCTTTCCCACATATACTACAAATAGTATACAAGCTAAAAGCTACTTGGTGGTATGTGGTAACCGTCTACTATATACATGAACAACACTGGACATCAAGTTATTATCTATACAAATAAATAAAATTGAAGCGTCTGTTTGTAATTTCAAATTAATGGCTTTTCACTAATAAAATTATATATCATATATAAACATTTTTGTCTGTCTATCTGTTTGTTTTTGCTAATCTCTGGAACGACTAGACCTATTTTGACTTGCCATTCCGTTGCGTTGCATTGCCATATTAGAAGACTAAGATGTAATACTTACTGATAATATTTTCTGTTCATCAATAATGAAGAGATCACACACAGCTGCGTGGTGAACAACATCTTCAGTCTCATCACCAGCGCCGCCATCACCCCGTAAACAGCCATTTGTGACATATTATAAAAAACCGCCGCGTCAATTTTTAGATTTTTCAAAAAAAACACAACACCGTCTACGCTCTCCTCATTCTCTGTGCTCACATCACATTTCTTATCTGTGTCGTTTTTATTTTTAATTGTCTCTGCATTATTCTCTATGCCGCTATCATCAGTGTCTTCTTCGTTGTCCTTTTCTGTTTCCACGCGAATATCTTCTATCTCTCTCTTTCGTGATGCATTTATTGCGTTAAACAGCCAGTAATTGCAGACATTCAATATATTTATTAGAACAAACGGTATCAAGAAGGAATGTAGCATTTTTTTAATAGAGCTCCAAGGTAGAAAATCGAATACATCCGAACATGTATATATTAACGTGTGAAAGCTTTTATAATTTGTGAATTTCGAATACAAAATATCCCAAATATGCGAGTCCTCCTGTACTTCTAGGAAGTCGCTTATGACCTTCTTCAAGTAGAACGAAGCGCACACCACTATAGCCAAACGGAGTACAACCAACCACGCTTCTACAAATAAGTCCAAGCGATTATGAACCTTAATGCGCAGCGAGCTGAAGAACAAACAGTAGACAGATACAACCACGAAGAATGATGCGAATAGGGACGATTTTAGCATGTCGTTCCCTTGCAGTAGCAACACGGCCATATGTAATCCACAGAAGTGTGAATGCAGGAAGACACATAGGGACTTGAGGTCTATGATCTTCAGTTGCTCCATGACGAAGAATATGGCTGTCTGCGTGAGGAATATGAACTGTGTGAACTGCCAGAAGAGGAGGCACAGGCCGTTGAGAATGAAGATTGAAACCTGGAACGAAATAGTATAGTTAGTAGCAATAGAGGCCGACTAGATGGCGTTGTGTGAGTTGTCCAGGAGTATTTTATATGAGGCGGCCCGTCAGTTTGTTTATCATTTCAAATACATTAAGAAAAACGGCCAAACGGCTTGGCATAGCTTTTTATTCAAAAATTTTCCTTGTAATCCGTGTACTGCAATTTGCTTCCTTAGTGTCTCAAATACAATTTATGAATAAAACACATTATTGAACGAAAACGTTGTATATTATTTAAAAATACAAAAATACTGGATTTTTTTCTCAAAAATTGGATAAAAGATCTGAAAATAAACAGAAAATAAAAAACTGCAATATCTAATTAATATTATAAACGCGCTATATAAAGTTTGTGAGTATGGATGGATGGATGGATGTTTGTTGCTATTTCACCCAAAAACGGGCTTTAATGAAACTTTACAGTAATATAGCTTATACAGCAGAATAATATATAGGCTATGTATTTTTATAGCTAGTTAATAATAATCTCAGGACAATTCATAAAGCGCTATCTAGACCCAAAAGCTACTAAAGCTGTTATGGGTACTAGACAACTGATACAAATACATAGATATTTTTTCATATATATGTATGTAACATATTATACATAGAAAATACCCAGACCGATACAAACAATCATACGCATATACAAATACACATACATATATACTACAGATTGGAAGGTTTCTGAGAAAGAAAAAAAAACATAAGCGTTGGGGAGAGATAAAAATCTTAGTCGATTTTTAAATATTGAAGATTGAGAAGATCGAATGGAGAGTAGTGTAGTAGTAGTAGTGGTAAAGAGTTCCAGAGGCGATTAGCTTCAAAGAATTATATATCCTTGCTAAATTACATATCCGTGCTAGTAGCACTTGCAAATTCGTCAATGGCCTAACTGCCCTGACTTAATGTTCATCCTATCATCCTACACTGGTACCTCACCAGCGTAAACCGTTAACGCAGGCGTCTCGACCATTCTATTAAAAAAAATAGTACGAACGTCCAGTGTTAGTTAACCTGCAGTTGGAATGTGGTCCTTCTATCTTTGTCCCGCAACTGTAGGCTCACCAACCACGCCTGCAGTAAGAGCAGTGGCGCTGCCATGTTCTCTCGCTCATTGGGCGCCCATTGCACTCGGGTGCACTCCGCATGGTTGGCGAAATAATGGGCCACCGCTATACCACCGCCGAGGATGCTCTCACTGAAATAATGAGTGACACTGTATAGGCGATTAACAAAACATCTACTAAACCTAAATAGGTAAAACCTTAAAATAAAGATAGGGATAGTAACGAGCCACTGTTCCTTAAACTATCACTTGGTGCTCCAGATAGTTATCTTTGTTGGTGCTCCTTGGAAGCCGAAGAAACTACCGTTCACTTAATCCTGGAGAGCTTGCAGTAGCCACGGATGCCTACGTCATAACATCAACCTGCATGCCAAATTTCAAAGATCCGTCCAGTGGTTTGAGCTGTGCGTTGATAGATCACTACGTCAGTCACCTTTGAGTTATATATATTTAGAAGAACAAAGAAAGAAAAAAATTGAGAAAATTTTTGGCTTTCTCTCTGGGATGGTGTTACCATTTTTTATAAATAGAAATATTTAAAATGAAATAAAAATATTTATATTTTTAAAATTATATTATATTTCTAAAATAGAAATATTTACATGGTATAAAATGAAGTCCCATCCGTTGCCTTTTCGTTTAGTACATCCATATTACGCAACAGATGTTAAAGGAGTTTTTAGGAATAGAGTAATTGTCGCGTACATGCAGCAACAAAACGCAAGACGATGAGAGTCCAATTTAAATTACATAACTATAAACGGTCCAACAAAATTGTAATTTATCATTTGAATAATTCTATATATTTTAATCAACATTACCTACCAGTCCATTCGCAACATCACCTACCAGTCCATTCGCAACATCACCTACCAGTCCATCCGCAACATCACCTACCAGTCCATCCGCAACATCATCTACCAATCCATTCGCAACATCACCTACCATTCGCAACATCACCTACCAGTCCATCCGCAAAAACACCTACCAGTCCATTCGCAACATCACCTACCAGTCCATCCGCAACATCACCTACCAGTCCATCCGCAACATCACCTACCAGTCCATTCGCAACATCACCTACCAGTCCATCTGCAACATCACCTACCATCTGAGCATCATCATCATCATCATCATCGCAGCCCGGAAGACGTTTTACTACTTTTATTTTAGAAAAATCTTGACCAGAGTTAAATTCCGTGGTCCACACACTGCCCCAACGGCCATCTGTCCTAAGACCTATGTGCCCTGCCCATTGCCACTTCAGAGTCGCAATTCTTCGGGCTATGTCGGTCACTCTGGTTCTTCTGCGGATCTCCTCATTTCTGATTCGATCACGCAGAGTTACCATCTGAGCATTCGAGCCATATCATCACATACCAGTAATTGAAGATGAAAATTTATATACCGCCGGCACGGGTGTAGCTTCTTAATAATAAATATAAGAATATTTAAAAAATCACAAACTTACCTAAGTGCTGTAGCATGCAGAAACAATCCAGCAACAGTAAGGCCTGCGAGCCACCAAACTGCTTCCAAATAGAACATAATAGGTTGTCCTAACCCCACGCAGCTCTCGACCGCTGCTAGACCCTGCCCTCGCTCCACCAAGTGACACTGCCGGTGGGCGCTGGTGTTCAGTAGGGGCTCTAAGTACCGGTACATGCTACCTATCAACACCTGGAAATTAAAATAAATAAAAAGCCTTACTAATATTACAAATGCAGAAGTCTAGGTGGATTTATATATGTCTGATGTGTCGTGACGTGACGCGAACAGAACGTTATCTGTTTTGTACATTTAGTATGGTAACGTACGTACTAGTAATGCGTTGTGTTGTTACGGCTTCTGTTGTGTCTTATCTGAAACGATCAATCTATGTAAATGGGCCAGTGTTGTGTTGTGACGTGTCGGAGTTATACCTTTTCTAGAGTTACGCCTGTATTGAAAGAAAGAAAGAAAGAAAGAAAGAAAGAAAGAAAGAAAGAAAGAAAGAAAGAAAGAAAGAAAGAAAGAAAGGAAGAAAGAAAATAATAATTGATTCAAAATATCCTCTGAAGGCGTCAGAACATGTCATATTGTTGTAAAAACTAGTCCTCACGTAACGACACCACACGTCACGACCCATGAGACAAAGATAAATACACCATAACTCTGTCCGTCGCGATTTTACTCCAAAACTACTGAACTGATTTACTTGAAATTTGGTACACAGATAGTGTAGACCCTGAGAAAGGATATAGGCTACTTTATATTGTGAAAAAAGGGTTGTAAGGCGTTAAAAGGGGAGATGAAAGGTCGTATGAAAGTATTGTCATTTTTATAGCTAGAAACTCATTTTTGGCTGTTGATTAAACATAAAAGAATATGACATTAAAAGTTTAAAAAAAATTACCATTTAGGGGTTACAATAAAATAGGGAATGAAAGTTCGTAAGGAAATTAATCGTCACAAGAAATCTTTGGAATGAAAGAAGGAAAAGGCACTAGTAGTTAAAAAGGACAATAAGAAAAGAAAAAAGAGGAATAATATAATTCATTGTGACACTTCATATGTTCTGAGCAAATCACTACTAATATTATAAATGTAAAAGTAGGGATGTTTGTTACACTTTCACGCAAAAACTACTGAACCGATCATCATGAAATTTTGTACACGTATTCTTGGAGCTATTAGAATGAACATAGGTTACTTACATACTTTTTATTAAAAAAAACCAAATATTTTTTTATAAAAAACAAAAAAAATATATCAACATTTTGCTACTTCAGCGCTATCCAGCAGTCAGTAATGAAGTTATGCGAGCGAAGCAGCGGATAAAAGCTAGTAAAGAATATAATTATTATCTCACCTCAGGGTGTATGTTAAATCTATTAAATGCGTTTACATCTTTCGGATACTCCACAAGTCTATCATACATCAATTTTGACATAGCCGCCACGAACGGACGTTCCTCCACGACAGTTTTGTAATATGAGTAGTAGAAGCCCATCTCTGTGCGGAAGGACATCTCCCTCTCCATCTCAGAAAGGTAGGAGAAGTTGCGGTCATTCTCGAACAGGTGAGAGACATACCGGTAGTGTATGTAGCCAAGACCTAACGCTGTAACAGTAGATTATTCTTACTTAATAAATAAACTTCTTAATAAATAAAATTTTGATTTCTTCTTAATAAATGAACTAGCTACTCGCCCCGGCTTTGCATGGGTGTACATGTATTATATATATAAACCTTCCTCTTGAATCACTCTATATATTAAAAAAAATTGCTTCAAAATTCATTGTGTAGTTGAAAAAGATTTAAGCATATATAGGGACGGACAGCCAGCAACGTCCGGTGAAGCTGTAAAGACCAGCTGCGGCCAACAGCACTAGAGTAGTCCGAAAAAAAAAGGGCAGACAGAGACAGCGACTTTGTTTTATACTATGCAATGATGTCAGCCTGGTAGTGTAGCGGTTTAGCACACCGACTTGCTTCCGATGGTCGCAGGTTCGATTCCTCACACAGCACAAACATTAGTATTCATGAGTGATTGTTTATATCGGTCTGGGTGTTTTCTATGTATAATATGTATGTCTTTAAGAAAAAAAGTAGCTATGTATTTGTATCAGTTATGTTATTTATGCAAACATGTAAATAATGATACATACAAAAAATTACTATGTACATTAATGAAAATTATATTTATTTAATAATATCTCAGGACAATTACAAATATTTTGTCCATAACCATCAATGTAAAGTGTACAAATAAATAATTCATATAACATAAGCTACGCAGAGCTTATGTATATGTATATGGGTACTAGAAAACTAATAAAAATATGTAGATACAGTTTTTTTAAATAAATCAATAATATAAATGGTTCCTCCATTACATATACAAACGTTGATAGCAATTATAGTCATTAATACAAATTATTGTACAGTGCAAGGGATCGAATCTGTAACCACTGAAAGTAATGTGGTGTGCTAAACCGTTAGACCACTGAGATTCTCATTCATTTATACATTAATTGTCATATATACCTAAATATAAAATGGTCTTATTCATAATGTTTTCATTTCTTTATATATCTGTATATATGCTGTTTAGTGTGTGAATGTCCTATTGTAAGTCTTTTCTGTGGTATATTTTGGTTAGGGTGGGGGAAAGGGGGTTGTTAGCAATGCACCATGTCAGGTTAACCTTTAACTTCAGAATTTATCACATGGTTTCCCCTGGAAACCATTGTGATAAATTCCTGCTAAATTTGCCGTGATGCACTAACCGACCTTTGTAAATATGTTGTCTAGTGTATGGTGGTGAAAGTCAGTTCAATGGTAAATTTTAGTTATGCTGGGGGAAAAGGGCCGTTGAAGTATTACATAAGTACTAGGGGGGTGGGGGAGTCTAGATGATGATTATGTCATCCTTAGATATTTACTTTCTTACATGAATGGCAACCCTCATATTGTCTTGCTAAAACAATTCATTAATTGAAAAATGTTTACGTAAGGATTGGGGTAGGGGGTAAGAGCTATTCTTACCTATTCTGACAAGGGGTTGCAAGGGTGTCGGGTGGGAAATAATTGTAATATATCTTACTCATATAAACCTTGGCCGTTCAAGTATTATGCAAGCAGATTTAATACAATTGTATTAAATCTATTTAACCCCCTCCCCCCCCCCATCCCTCTATAATGGATATTTATTGATGTAGACAAATACCCTATTACTGTACCATGTATATATAATACTAGCAATGTACCTTGTTTGGTTAACCTACACATGGTTCCCCCTGGAAACCATTGTGATAAATTCCTGCTGAATATATGATGATGGGCTAACTGACCTGACTTCATTCTCATCTTAACATCCTCCACTGGTGCCCCATTTCATTATCACAATAACAAAAAGGACTTATTATGTTATAGTGTATACATATACTGAGTTAAGTAACTATCAGCATTACCAGTTTCAACTTTTAACCATCATACAAATAATATTGTAAACTCTAATGATACTGATATAATCTATACATATAGATAAAATAGGAGTGTCTGTTTGTAATATTGAAATAACCGTTTCTTACTATATAAACATAAATATGGTACATACACCAATTTTTTTTTTATTTTTGTTTATCTGTCTGTCTGCTTGTTCCAGGTAATCTCTGAAGTGGCTGACTGATTTTGACGGGACCTTTTTTTGGCAGGTAGCAGATGTAATAAGGAGTAACTTAGGCTACTTTTTTTCAAGCTAAGCAGAACTGGCCATGAACTCAACTCTTATTGTTTTCAAATGAGCTATTACATGTTTACAATGTTATTATTAAATTAAGAGGTACACTTCGTAAAAATTTGTGTGCGTGGGTACATTAGTCTCACTTATTTCAGCTGCCAAACAGCTTGCTTTGTAAACTGTTTCAGTCAGTCTTAAATATGGCATTGAAATTATAGGGTAAAGAAACATAAAACAAAACTCCTCCAGAATGTCAAGGTATGAGCGATCCGAAGCAACGGTTAACATTTACCATCAGATTAGTCGTCAGCTTGTTTCCCATTCCAACTTATACAGAAGATCATCCATTAAATGTATGTTATATGTAAAGAATAAGATTCCTTACCTAGGAAGACGATCAGAACTAATTTCAACACTAATTTAACTGGAACTTTTTTCTTAATTGGCTGTTCAGTCGTATCGTCGGTATTTTCATGCATTTTCGATAAATAATTATTTATTTACATTCCTTTTCTGAATTTTAAACAACATATAAGGATCGCTACTATCGATATTATTTATTGACATGTAAATACATGTATGTCAAACGAGATATTGACAGTTAGCACAGATTAAAAAGTCTTAGGTACCAATATTACAGTGACGCGAAAATCGTACCAAAAAAAAAACAATAGTAGCGCATGGCGCGGCGCCTTGGATGATAGTAAGTATGTACTTAGTTATGTACTCTTCATGTAAGAATGCGTGAATTTAATAAATCTTTTGGTACAGAGAACTAAAAACTATAGATAAGATAGTAAAGGTCTATTTTCACTGTGTCTTTCACGAAGTAAATGCATAAATAATCAAATGTTTTTTTTCATATCTCGAGACAAAATCACACGTATCGTACTTATTGATTGCAATTGCTCATAGATGTACCTTCTGTTTTTTGAAGTCAGTTTAAAAGTAATGTAATGTTTATCATAGATATAATAATATTACATATGTATATGTATATTAAAAACATAAGGAGCCATTATCCAAATTCAGGCTTAAAAGACGAGCATAATTCATCTTAATAGTAGTTAATTAAATATTATGTTGGAAAAATCAATATTTAACTTATATTAGTCAGTTATTTAAAACAGCCACAGGGGGTGAATCATATAACATGCAGTACTATAACTCATATTTAAAAAAAGATAAGTAGGTCGGTAGGTAATGTTTATTTGCTATTATTTTTGTGTGTACCTATGTTACGCAATATTTTAACCAAATTGAACCATCTTGGTGCTTTCAAGTGGGCTACTACTATTTCTTTAACTTTTTAAATAAGTGTACTTTAGTAAAATTGTAGTCTAAAATCATGCTAATGATCGTATAAAATTTTTACTCGATAAAATTGGAGAATTACTTCTTTAGGGAACGTACCAAATAGTTATTTTATTATAAGGTACATTACATAGATGTCTAGAGTTTCTAGTTATTGTTCTGTTATTGATATATTCTTCAATATTGTAGAACATACTTTTGTTCTAATTTCCGCAGCTCACGCGACGAAAGATATTTTATAGCATTTTTTTTACAATTTGTGTTACGTTACTAAAGTTTTAGTAAGAATCCCTAATATTTTCTAGCAATAAATATAGCCTATGTTACTCAAGGTGAATGTAGCTTTCTAATGGTGAAAGAATTTTTAGAATCGCCAGAATAGTTTTTGAGTTTATTCATTACAAACAAACATACACACAAAAATACATCTTTCCTCTGTATAATATTATTATAGATTATAGATATGAATAAATAAATTACGAAGTAACCTGACATTGAGTGTAATTTAGTGGACGTCTAGTCACAATTCGAGTTACAAGGAATTTGTACCCTTACTGTCATACAGCTTGTACCCTTATCACTAATATGCTGTCCAGTTTCGTAAACAATGACTACTGGCCCAAAGGTTTCGGCAAGGTTTGTAATGTGGACTAGTGGCCTGATAACGAGCAATGTACTATGCCAAGTCGACCTCCACGCGGTCCCTCCTGGAAAATTATCGCAGGCGGATACGCCATTCTATTCATAATTATAAAAAATATTTAAAATAGAAATAAACATGAATCATTTACCTAATCCATCCAAGTGACCATTTTAGACACCAACTTAAAATAGTCAGTGCAAATAATATTTGAATGGTTAACCGATTTAATTTAAAATCTATTTAAATAAACTTAAGATAGATTATTGCATAATTGGCGTTGTGGGTTTGTTTTTGCTTAGAAGTCGAGTGTAAATAATAAGTCAGTTGTATGTAAGTCACTCGAATAGCAATGACGTGATCATATTTTTTATTTAACAAGTTTTTCGTGCATTATTCCAATAAATATAAGTGATCGGATGTTTTGTGTACTTAATGAGAATTCAAGAATGTTTTTCTATATCTTTATATGCTTAGTCTGTGGTAAGTGTATTTGATACTAAGAATAAGAATGCATAAATTGAAATAAATATACTTATGGAATTGAAAAAAAAAAAATTCGGCGGGAAATAAAACGGTTGCGTCACTACGATCTAATCATTTTTTAAAGACGATTTATTTATTTTATTTATAATCTTTGTTTTTATATATTTTCATATGCATAGTCTGTGGTGAGTGTATTTGAAATTAAGAACAAGAATTAATAGCTATAAATAAAATGCGATAAAAAAAAAATTCGGCGGGAAATAAAACGGTCGCGTCACTACGATCTAATATTTTTTTAAAGGCATTTATTTTATTAATACTCTTTGTTTTTCTATATTTTCATATCCATAGTCTGTGGTAAGTGTATTTGAAATTAAGAACAAGAATTAAATTTTTTATAAATATACGATTAGAAATGATTTTGGCGGGAAATAAAACGGTCGCGTCAGTAGAAGCTAATTATTTTTAAATGTATTTTTTATACTCTTTATTGCACCACATACAGTAAATAATTGAAATAGTAAATATACATCACATAATACAAAAGGCGGTCTTAGCGCCAAGCAATTTTTTCCAGACTACCTTTATGTGAATACAGAATTTAAATTGTCCACCAGGATCTTAATTGGCCAGGCCACGACCTCAGTGGTCTATCGGTGTAGGCGCCTTACTTTGGATAGTCAAGAATTCGGTTCCTGGCGTAGTATAATGAGTGTGAACCAGTTTTCTAGTACCCATAACACAAGCTCTGCTTAGCTTGGGACTAGTTGGTCCTGTGTTATAATTTATTAAAAAAAAAAGTAACTATTTTATCACAGTTAACATATTACATAATATTAGTAACAATTCTCAAACAATAAGTCTCATGCTAAAAAAACAATTCACAATAAAATTCATTAATAATAATAATAATCACACCCCATCAAAGGGAGATATATAATATATATATTATATATCTCCTTTTGATAAAAATAACAATAATAACACATGCCGTATTGTAAGGAAATTTCTTTTGTCATAACTTTTGGCTAAGGCCCCGTGTTTGAACCTATTACCCCCATAAAAAGGGAGATATGTATAAAATACCAATAATAATCTCAGGATAATTCACACAGTGCCATCTAGACCCAAGTTAAGCTAGCTAAAGCTTGGTACTAGACATATGATACAAATATATATTTTCCTAAAGACATACATATTACACACAGAATTAAAATCTAAAGATTTCCTTAGTGCGTGTGCTTACGTGAATGTTTTTTGTATTATCAGTTTTTTTATTGGTCCGCTCGGTGTTGTAATTACAAAGTACTTACTAATACATCGAGAATACAAGTTGAGTTAACGATCGGAAGTAACAAAAAAGAGGGAACGGATTATTAGTATAGTATAGCCACAGATAACATAATATTACGTATAGCGGATACCCCTTGAGAAGCCATTGAAAAATATGTCATTCCAATTTTGTTTTTTTTTATTATCTCCTCTTACGTTCTTGTCATAGACGGTCATATTTGGAAGATCTGAGAATGAGTATATAGAATTACAAAATAATAAAAAACAAATCAAATAAAAAATTTATTTGTGTATTCATTTTACCCATAACTTTTTTTGTATTTTAATTTTTCCCTACCGTCTAGTTCAGTATACAGATTCAATTGAGAAGAACTGGTAAGAAACTCAACTGAATTTCTTTTTCTTTTAAACGCCAGTTTATTTACATTGTGTACTTATATAGGTGTCTATGTAGCATTAGGTAAATGAAAATTCCGTGCATGAACAAATATTGCTATGCATGCTCTTCATTCAAGTAATCGTTTAGTGAGTAATAGGCTTTGTTCAATAATCACAATATGATTTAACAGATGTTTTGAATTTATTTAACGGTTAAAAAAGACTACTGAAGTATGTGACATTAATTGTGCTTTTTATTTAATAATATTTTACGGCTCTGGATACAAGTCCTTTTTAGCCTAAAAAGTTTTACTATATAAATTACAAAAGTTAAAGTCAATGTCCACTGTCAAATAATAATAACTGTAATCAGATAATATTGTCAGTGCTATATATATATATATGCTTATAAGTTTATTTTTTTTTCTACAACCGAAATATTAAAAATACTTTTAGCGTCTATATTGTTACCGCTATTATTTATGTTATGTTCAGCTGGTACTGGCAGCGACAGGAGGAGGAAGATTAAATAACGAGTCCAGTGGTGGCTATGTATAAATGTAATATTCTTGCGGTATTTACAATAGTTGTATGGTTTTATTATATGTATAAAAACGTATATTTAATGTATGAGAAAAGAAGCGATTTTGTCCCAATCTGACAAGCTTGTTATATCTTCTTCTACAACGTCCTAGGCAACGGTGTTGCCGCGCACTATCCGTAAATCGCCACAACTATGTATTTATGAATAAAAACTTATTATTATTATTAAACAGACGCGCGAAAGAATGAACACAAAGAAGAGTTAAATGCAGTGCTGGCTTTCCCGCGCTATTTGATTCGCCACATACTTTTTTCTCACAAAGCAAGCTGCTTGGCGACTGTAATAGGTGAGGCTGAGTTACACACGCAGATCAATTTTTATAGTTGTTGTTGTCTGTCAAAATTCTTTATTGGAATAAATCGTACGGTATAAAACAATATTTTTAATAGAAAATACAATGTGTGGCGAATTTACAATTATCGCGCGGCAACACCGTCGCCTAGTTACGACAGAACAATAAAATAACAGGCCTGTCCTTGGAGACCGAATTGCTTACTTGTATGTATATCTATTGTAAATATTTCGTTATTATAAATATGTAGATAGCCACTACCTGGTATCATTGAGGGGGAAAGGGGAAAGGTATTGTTAGTAATGTGGACTCTCGACCCCATTGCTAGCAATGTACCAGGAAAGGTTGACGTCCACGCCGTTCCCCCTGGAAACCATCGGCTAACTGACCTGACCTCATGGCTCATACTCATCTTATCGTCCTCCCTTGGTGCCCCGCCAGCGTAAACCGTTAGCGCAGGCGGGTGCACCATTCCATTATGCAATACAAAAAAAACCTGGTTTAATTCTCTTCACCTCTGTTCCTGGTGCTGCTGCTACAAAGAACACAATATACATAAATAACAGCGGCCCCAACATAGTCACTAGAAATGTAAATATGAGGTATAAAAAACAAAATCCCAAAATAAATTTAGATTAAAAAAAAGTATAAAAACAACATCAGTCTACCTCTCGTTGGTTTTAAGGCTAAGTGTATGAATGTGATTAATCACTAAAATAAACATTTCTAATAATTTACACGCAACCGCAAGAGTCGATATCCACTTCGAATGGGGAAAAACCCATAACGACGCAGTAAATTGACGACCGAATTTAGTTTTTTACATTAAGAAAATCATATCACGGTTGTCATCATCTTAGTATAAAAAAAACTTAATTTTCATATTCAACAATTAAAAATACTAGTACAACAACCACCCCTAAGTCCCTATCAGACAATATCAGACTCGTGTTAACTCTAGTCATGTTTATTACGAGTTAGCACATCTCTACCATATCTGCTTCAGTCTCCACAGCTTACAATATTTAGAATAGAATAAGAATAGAAAATCTATTACAAATATAATATTATTAAGATTATGATTGAACATGTATATTAATATAACTGTTTGCGATAGCCTTTTAATATATTAAAAAATAAAATTATAAAAATTCAAACTTGAATCGTCAGGCACAGTTCATCGATGTTATTTTATATACTTACATTTTGCACTTCTTCTCGAACATTCCGTGGCGTTTTTATTAAAATCATTGTACAATATATTCTAAATATTTTTCTATTTCAACATAACAAATTAAACATTGCAATATTTCTCCAGCAAACAATCTAGATGGCGCTATGTGAATTGTCCTGAGATTATTATTATATTCTTGTTTCAGTATTGCCGTCAATTTTGACTGATGACAACAGATACAAAAGAGAGACCTGTCGGTAAGCATGAATGTTAAACACATCGCGGATTATTTTCCCCGGACCGTACAAACATTTGTATTCATGAATATTATTGTTTGTATCGGCATAATTATGCCAGGTGTGGTTCCAACCCCCGCCGGACCCCCCTAAACTATACTATTTTGAAATAAACTTACGTCATAATATACTTTATATATATTATTGAGAGAACTATTAAACTGAGTTTCCTAAATTTCCCGCGTATACAATTTCATATCAAATTCGCTCCATTTTTTCCGCTCGTGGAACTTGCTCTGCTCGTTTTAACGAATTTATATGAAATTTTTACACCTTTGTTACCTGGTACCTGCCAAAGGAACCACGATCCAGGTTTCATGTTTGGGGAAAACGTTTACAAAAGAATATTATTGTTTGTATCCTATGAGCTGTTCCCGCGACTTCGTCCGCGTGGAATTTAACTATATTTTTCAAAAACAAAAGTAGCTGAAGTTACTACTTATTACATCAGCTATCTGGCAAAAAATGTCCCGTCAAAATCGGTCCAGCCATTGCAGAGATTAGCCGGAACAAACAGACCGACAGACAGACAGACAGAAATTGTAAAAAAATGTTTTTTTCGTATTTGTATTCCTATGCATGTAGTAAAAGACAGTTATTTCAATATTACAAACAGACACTAAAATTTTATTTATATGTATATTATATATGTATTTATTAAGAAAGTATGTATTTATATCAGTTGTCTAGTACCCATAATAGACGCTCTGCTTATCTTGGGACTAAATGGCGCTGTGTGAATTGGCCAAGAATATTATTTTAATATAACCTAAATTAATGATATTATTTAATGAAGCTTGTATTTTTTTTAAATTATATCTATATAATTATTTATCTATTGCCTAGATATATATTTCATCTATTTTTATACAACTTCTGTGAGAGCAATCATACTTTTTACAGCAAAGACCAGTGGCAGTGCCGTGACGGTATGTGCATTGGTTTTGACAGAAAATGCGACGGCATCGTTCACTGTCCGGACGGCAGCGACGAGACACACCCACTTTGTAGAAACAGTCGGTTAGTGTAATGTTTTTTTATTTTTATTCTGAGGAAAGGCAAGGGGATTTGTGCCCATACAGCTTTGTCTGCTTGTTGTTTGTATTCTTAATTTTGTTAGTTTATTTTATGTCTTGAATTGTTTTTTGGCATCTATTGACATCGACATTACCTGTCAAATATTTTTGCAAGAAGTTATCCAAATTTCGAAAAAAAAAATGGTAATCTGTTGGAGCAAAGTCCGGAGAGTACGGTGAATGTCTTAGACGTGGAGCACCAGTGGAGGATGATAAGATGAGCATGAGGTCAGGTCAGGTAGCCCATTGTGACAAATTCACCAGGAATTTATCACGATGGTTTCCAGGAGGAACCGCGTGGTCAGGAAGCTCTTCTAATTTGGTAACTGTCTGTTGTGCATTGTGTGGTCTAGCGTTGTCCTGAAGCAGCAGTGGCCTACGGCGATTGACCAGCCTCGGTTGTTTAGCAGCTAGCTTTTGCATCATGGTTTGCAATTGCTGACAATACACATTTTAAGTACGGCCAGATTTAAGAAAGCTGAAGTGAATAACACTGGCACTAGTCCACCAAACGCTCACAAGTAACTTTTTTTAGAGTCAATTTTCACTTGAGGTACGATTTGGCTGGTTTGCCAGGGTTCAGCCGTTAAGATGAGCGTTTCCGATTATCGTACAAGATCATCTTTCATCACAGGTCATTCGATTTAAAATCCCTTCATTATTATGCCGGTAGACTAATGTAACGCAGCAGTATGTGCGCGTTTGTCGATTTGCTCCACTCAATTCATGAGGGACCCTTTCAAGCTTTTTCACCTTCCCAATTTGCTTCAAGTGAATTAAAACTTTAAAACAGTTTTGTCACTAACACCGCAGCCTGCAACTCGGACGTGGTTTGTGATAGATCCGCTTCCACAATAGCCTTCAATTCTTCATTATCAACCTTGGACTCCGGCTGCCCACGGGGCTTGTTTTGTAGGTCGAAATTTCGTGAACGAAACCGTCGGAATCAAAATGCACTGTGTTTTTTTTTGGAACACTACCGCCATACACATTATTAATCTCTCGAGCCGTTTCTGGAGCACAGCACAGTAAATAACGCGATATTTTAAGTTTTCCATTTTGGAAACTGAGTGACGCAAAGAAAAAACCAAGGATGGAAGAAACATGGATTACGGTTTTCGAAAATTCGAAATTCGAAAAACAAATAGCTGTATAAATTTGAAATTGGAAATCCTAACCAAAGAGGAGATATTTGAGATCAAATTGGTCAGTACGACAAGACGCCAATTTCATATGTAAGGACCTAATATTATGATTATTGTTTCAGTTGTCAGAACAACTGGTTTCGGTGCACATACGGCGCGTGTGTAGACGGGACGGCGCCCTGCAATGGCGTACAGGACTGCGCCGACAACTCGGATGAGCTGCATCCACGCTGCAGGAACGAATCCAGACCCTTCAAGTAAATTAGGTTTTAAATATTATACTAGCTGACCCCGCCAACGTTCTTTTGCCATATAAATTAAAATCGCTATAAAAAATAGGGGATGGTAATAGAAGGGTGAAAATTTAAGGTTGTATGTATTTTTTAATGCCACATAATAAAAAAATGAATTTCATTTTGTGGTCAGCTACCCTTGACACTTAGGGGTATAAAAATTAATTATAAACTCAGACCTACTGGAATATACATATAAAATTTCATCAAAATCAGTCCAGCCGTTTCGAAGGAGTATAAACACGAAACCTGTGACACGAGAATTTTATATATTAGACGAGAATTTTATTAGCGCTGCCTGATATATTGACCATGACCAAATAAAGAAAAAGTATTCAGTTATCTAAAGTCAAAGAAAAAAGTTTTAGCTTCAAAAATGACGATGTTCCAAACAAACTTTCGCCGCCTATTTTATTTTACTCCTTTAAGGGTAACATTTTTACAAATTTTGAATTTATTTATTTCAAAGAAAAAAGTTTCAACTCCCAAACTTTCGCCGCCCCCCCATTTTTAATTTTGAATTTATTTATTTAAAAGGGTTTGTAACTTTTTTGGCATTAAAAAGTAGCCTATGTCCTTTTTCAGGGTCTACACTCTCTGTGTACCAAATATCATTTAAATCGATTTAGTAGTTTTTGCGTGAAAGAGTAACAAACACCCATCCATCCATACTTACAAACTTTCGCATTTATAATATTATCACAGAGAAGATAATTGATATTAGTAATATATTGTTCAAACCAAAGGAAGGACTTATAGAGCGGCTGAAGGCCAACTCCTGCCTGACGGATACGAGTTTAATTTGAGGGCACCACTAGGGGTTCGAACTTCAGCTCAGGCCGTCGTAATTTCGATCCCCGTTTCAATTGGACGGGGGATCGATCGGAGAGGCGACCTCAATGTCGTCATAAAAATAATAATAATATCAGGACATTTCACACAGCGCCATCTAGTCCCAAGTAAGCTAGCTAAAGCTTCTGTTATGGGTACTAGATAACTGATACAAATACATGGATATATTTTTTTCGTAAATAATAAAGAAAACACCAAGACCGACACAAACAATCATACACGAATACAAATGTTTGTGCCGTGGGAGGAATCGAACCCGCGGCCATCGGAAGTAAGGCGATGTGTTAAACCGCTCGACCACCGAGGTCATTGTATATATATGTACATAGTTTCGCAGTTTCGGAGCATGCTCCAACGGGGAATATATATCTCCTGAATACCAGTGTGATGGTGTGCGTCACTGCTCGGACGGGTCGGACGAGTGGGTGGGGTCCTGCGCGGCGCAGACCTGCTTCCCATACCTGTTCCAGTGCGCATACGGCGCCTGCGTCGACCGGGGAGCAGCCTGCAACGGCGTACGTCTATTACATTCTCTTATCAACTCTCTCTCTTACGGGTGGGTCCTACGCAGCGCAGACCTGCTTCCCATACCTGTTCCAATGCGCATACGGCGCCTGTGTCGACCGGGGAGCAGCCTGCAACGGCGTACGTCTATTACATTCTCTTATCAACTCTCTCTCTTACGGGTGGGTCCTACGCAGCGCAGACCTGCTTCCCATACCTGTTCCAATGCGCATACGGTGCCTGTGTCGACCGGGGAGCAGCCTGCAACGGCGTACGTCTCTTACATTTTCTTATCAACTCTCTCTCTTACGGGTGGGTCCTGCGCAGCATAGGCCTGCTTCCCGTACCTGTTCCAGTGCGCATACGGCGCCTGCGTCGATCGGAGAGCCGCCTACAACGGTGTACGTCTCTTACATTCTCTTATCAGCACACTCTTACAGCTTTGCCAGAGAGAAAATAATAGGATTGCCCATTACAAAAATATATTTTTTTGATGATTTAAAATTGCATACAAATTAACGGCTCTCCTGATGGTAAGTGGTAACCGTCGTCTACATGATATTGAAGGTAGATTTGACTCATCAATACAGCTACAGCTTTTGAACATTGCAGATAATTTTCTTGAGTTAATGATAATATTACAATAATACTAGCTGTGCCCGCGGTTTTAACTACATGAAATTTATAGCCTATGTGTTATTCTGATGTATAAGCTATATTGCTGTAAAGTTTCATCAAAATCAATTTCTAATTCTTTAGCAATTTGCTTATAAGAGTAACACACATCCATCCATACTCACAAACTTTTGCATTTAAATATTAGTAAGATATTTTATTCAATTTGAACTGTGTTCAATGCTACAGGTGTTATATATTTATGATTTTCAGGTACAAGACTGTGCGGACGGTTCTGATGAATCTGATGAACTGTGCAACAGAATTATAACGACGCCTGGTATAAGCACCAGATTAGATGATAACAAGTCAGTACTTTTTATATAACCTTATTTCAATAGTATATAATCGCAATCGCAAAAAAACTCATTTAGTAGCACATATGTTAAATTAAAATTTCGCTTTTTATGTAATAATAGAATTGAATTAAAATGTTTTTATCAAATAAAATTATCTACTCTACTCGCTGATAATAGTTAATAACATCTGGCAATACTTTTGTGGACTCCCGCGATACGGGTTCGCCTAGTGCGGGGTCCAATGTCCGCGATACAGGTTCGTCTAGTGCGGGGTCCAATGTCTGCGATCCAGGTTGCCCTAGTTCAGGGTCCGATGTCCGCGATCCAGGTTCACTTAGAGCGGGGTCTAAGGTTAGCGATCCAGGTTCGCCTAGTGCGGGGTCCAATGTCAGCGATACAGGTTCCCCTAGAGCGGGGTTTAATGTCAGCGATACGGGTTCGCCTTGTGCGGGGTTCAATGTCAGCGATACAGGTTCGCCTAGTGCGGGGTCTAAGGTCAGTGATCCAGGTTCGCCTAGTGCGGGGTCCAATGTCAGCGATACAGGTTCCCCTAGAGCGGGGTTCAATGTCAGCGATACGGGTTCGCCTTGTGCGGGGTTCAATGTCAGCGATACAGGTTCGTCTAGTGCGGGGTTCAATGTCAGCTATACAGGATCGCCTAGGGCAGGGTTCCAATGTCCCGTACTAGGCCACTTGCGAGATATTAAGGACTTCTGCAAAATAACATCTAATTAGATAAAATTAGAATACGTGGTCGACTGTCGTGAGTTAGGCTCCCGCGATACTATTTGCCTATTTGCGGGGTCCAATTTATAATAGACTTTGTAATATCTGCAAGTTTCATAAATAAATAATTTTTATTCTCCAGAAGTACGACTCAAACGGGTGGATGTATCTTACCCCCGTACCCAGAAAACGGACGATATATAGCGACAAACGCTCCCAACGATGGCCCAGGACAATCTTCTGATTTATACCTCCTGAATATTACCTGCGATACAGGGTATAGGATACTTGGTGAGAGCAATGTGTACTGCTTCCAAGGGTTCTGGAGTACTTACAATCTGCCAAGTTGTGTTCGTAAGTTCTCTTTCATTATATTCCTTTTGCCTGCAATCCCGTACTTATGTAACTTTATTAATTTGTATTTATAATATCTGATAACCTATAAAATTCTCGTTTCCCGGTGTTTGTTATCAAACGCCTCCGAAACGGCTTGACCGATTTTTATGAAATTTTGTATGTGTATCTGAGTATTCTCAGACCTATTGGTCAAAATCTATTTTTCATAAATACACATATTGATTAATGATTGACAATATTTTTATTTTATTTTATTATGATTTAGCATTGAAGAATATATACAACTATAATTTTTCACACTTTTAATATCAACCGATACTTTTAAGAGCAATTTGAATTAATATGGATAAACAACATTTGCAGGGTCAGCTAGTATATATACGCAGTTTGTACCGTGCGAGTAATCGAATCCGCGACCATCAGAAATAAAGCTATGAGATAAACCGCTAGACCACTGAGACTAAAGTGTATATATACGTGTATCAAATTAGTTATCAATAATTGTTTTTCTTTCTATTTTCTTTTTTTTCTTTCTTAATTTGCAGGCTACTGTAAATTTATACCACACCCAAGTGTGGAATACTCCTGCGTGGTATCAGATGGTACAATAGAAGGACGTCGAGCCTGCAACGAGTATGAACCAGACGCGACTGTGGTCCGGACCCAATGCAGGAACAATTATTACGGGGACCCGCCCACTATGACGTGCATTGATGGGGCTTGGGACTTCCTTGCTCGCTGTTCACCAGGTTTGCCTTGAAATACATACACTGTATATTTAGGTCAGGGCTGTCCAAACTAGATACGATCTAGGGCCAATAAAAATGGCTAACACCATTGAGGGCCCGCAAAATGTTTGTAAAAAAATATATATATACTTGCAGTATAATATTATTATTTTATTATTGCATTACTTTTTCATTAATTTAGCTTTTACTATTCGGTCAACATCAACGTCAATATTGGTAGTGCCTAGATGCAGTGCAAGATTATAAGAGCAGAACAGGAAATAATTTGTACATCAAATGATTTTGGATTACAAAAAAAAACAAAATATTTTTACGTATACAAACATTTTACTTTGGGGGAGGCCTATGTCCAGCAGTGGACGTCTTCCGGGCTGCGATGATGATGATGATGATGAAACATTTTATTCAATGAAAAAAAAATTGTGATCGCATCAATTCAATCCGCGGGCTGCTACGCACTCAATCTCCGTTCAATCAGATAACATTGTCAGCGCTTTGAATTTTAAGTTAGATATTTTCTATAAAAACATTTATAAATTCTTCAATTTTATAATGAGCTTTTTTACAAAGAAAATATTTTATAAGACATTTGAATCTTTTCTCTGGCAGTTTGTTGTAAAACCTTACGCAATTTCCATAAAACGAATTACTAACTTTCGTCAAACAGCACTTACAGAATTAAACAAAATAATATATATATATATATATATATATGTAAATCCATCAAGAAATGAAGGTTGAGGTAGTTATTCTGACGTTTTACCTCTGGTGATTTCAGAATGTGGACAAGTCACGCCAGATGGTGAAGAACTGATCATCGGTGGACGTCGAGCTTCACGCGGCGAGTTGCCGTGGCATGCCGGAATATATCGGAAGACCACAACTCCATACATGCAGGTCTGCGGCGGGTCCCTGGTCAGACCCAACGTGGTTATATCAGGTAATAATCTTATTAATATTACTAGCTGCACCCACGACTTCGTCCGCATGGAATTTCAATTAATTTTTCTAAAATAAAAGAATTATCTTAAATAAAAATAGCCTAAGTTATTATTACATCAGCTACCTGCCAGAAAAAGTACCGTCAAAATCGGCCCAGCCATTTCAGAGATTAGCCGGAACAAACAGACAGACAGACAGGCTAAAAAAACATTTTGGTGTATGTACCGTATTTATATTCATATGCATGTAGTAAAAACGGTTATTTCAATATTACAAACAGACACTCCAATTTTATTTATATGTATAGATAAACGCGAAAGCTTGTGAGTATGGATGGATGTTTTTTTATTATACTCTTACTATTATACTCTTTCAGGCAAAAACTACTGAACGGATTTTGATGAAACTTGTAATAATATAGCTTATACAACAGAATAACATATAGGCTATAAATTTCACGCCAGGCACAGCTAGTACAAATATTAAAACAAAATGTTTCTTAAAAAGAGATTTTAGAATAGATGAATAGAATTATATCTTTTGAAGGACTATTATATGGACCAGAAATAACAGCCAATTATTTACGTAACAATTTTTGTGTATACTTCTATAGTGGCAAACAATCATACGGCCCTCATAGTAAATGGGTACCGTATCCTATGGACGCCTGAGACACCAGGGGTGTCACGTGCTTGTTGCTGACCCTTAAGGAACCTTAATATACCCTTCTTGAAAAACCGCATGCTGTAGTCTTGTAAGAAAACCTCAGCAGGTAGTTCATTCCACAATCTAAGTGTACGCGGGAGGAAGCTCCTCTGAAACCGCACTGTCCAAGACTACTTAGGTTCCAGCGTGTGGGGATGAATTATCTGTCGATGGCGAGCGGTGCGATGGTAAAAGATAGTCGTGGACATCATGTCGAACAATTCTTCAGAACACAGTCCATTGTATATTCTGTAGAACACACAAAGCGATACGAAGTCTCGCCTCAAGCTAAGTTGCTTGTGTATCGTTATTACAGCGGCGCATTGTTTCTGGAGCGAGGACGTGGGTTTACTCCCCGCTAGAGACTTTAGCGTCGCAGTTGGGAAGCTGTACCGCCCTTGGGATGATCCTATGGATATCGACGCGCAGAAATCTGATGTGAGTATTTGAACGTCGCGAATATATTGTTGAAATTATTGATCACTAGCTGGATCCGTTCCAGGCGAACTCTGTTCTGCCTCAGAGTGAAATAATATGTCAAAGGTTTTTTGAAGTTTAGAATTTACGAACAGTTGGTAGAGGAAAATTGCTAATTGACAATACATGGCGTGAATATAACTTTATTTGCAGATGGGTGACGGTCTCGGTGGTCTAGTGGTATAGCACACCGCTTTACTTCCGATGGTCGTGTGTTCTATTCCTGTCTTTGTAAACTTTGACGTATATTAATATTAAAAATAAAGTGGACATTAGCGGGCTTATCACAGAGAGATTTCTTCCAGCTAACCTAACGGTATGAATATTTGCAGGTCAGCTCGATCCACAAGCCCCCGCACTTCACGGGCTCCTCATCCAACTTCCAGGAGGACATAGCGGTACTGAAGCTGACCACCTCATTCCAATACAAGCCCCACGTTGGTCCCGTCTGCTTGGATTTCGACGAGGTCTTTGATCAGTATCAACTGGATAGGAAAAGACTTGGAAAGGTTCTAAAATGTTTTTAATATCTCGTGACTTTTTAAATTGACTATCTGTGCTCCCGAAATTTATATCCTATGTGTTATTCTGAACTATAAGCTATGTTACTGTAAAGTTTCATCAAAGTCCGTTATTGAGTAGCTTTTGCGAGAAAGAGTAACAACTATTGAAAGCCCTACCCTTGATAATAATCGTGATAGTATATTATTATATAGCGCGATAGTTATCACCTCATCATTGTAGTGTTTTGTATTATGTGATGTTTTTTTTTTCAAACTAATCTAATGCTTTTGGCTGCAGTTAGCCTTTGGTATGGTAGGGGATGGTAGGGGACGAATGCAGATGGCACTACAAATTAAAGGAAAGACTTATGGAGCGGCTGAAGGACAAATCCCGCCTGACAGATACGACTTAGTCTGAGGACACCGCTATGGGTTTGAATCTCCACTCAGGCTGTCGTAATTTCAAAGGAGGGGCGTACCCCTCCGTTAGAAATAAATAATAATAATAATAATAATAATCTCAGGACAATTCACACAGCACCATCTAGACCCAAGTTAAGCTAGCTAAAGCTTGTGTTATGGGTACTAGACAACTGATACAAATACATAGATATTTTTTTTTTTCGTAAATACATACTTAATATACATAGATAACACCCAGACCGACACAAACAATCATACTCATGAATACAAATGTTTGTGCCGTGCGAGGAATCGAACCCGCGACCATCGGACGTAAAGCGGTGTGTTAGACCGCTGACCACCGAGGTCGAGGTAAATAAATTTCTAAACACCATAGTGTGAAGAAAGAATTTATTTATTTCTTGTAGTATCTAGATAGTGAGTATACTAATGGAATAATTGAACTACATTAGTATGTTTATTTGCTAGTGTGCTACATGGCTTATTAGTAACGCGCACATTCAACACAGCGTCGTTGACTGACTACACTGAACTTAAATTTAAGTTATGTATAGACGTAAACAAATGGAAGGGTGCCGAGTGTTGGCACAGTTATTTTAAATAAGAGTAACTTCATCGTCTTCCCAGGTGGCCGGTTGGGGTCTGACCAGCATCAACGGTGATGCGTCTCCCAAACTGAAGGTGGTGGAACTACCCTCGGTGGAGTACAACGAGTGTTACGAACAAGTGCCCTATAACTTCCGCGCTTACCTCACCAGCGACAAAATATGTGCTGGATACAAAGATAATGGTAACCAAATACAATTTTTTTCTGTGTCCATCTTGCAACCATTCGAAGACTATGGGCAGATGTGGTAAAAGTTACGTCCAGGATAGAGTGTGGTTTTCAGTAGAATCATCATCTCTTTAGGTGGTCCTGGTTAGTCGTCGGGTTCCAGTAACCTACGCCTTTGGCGTGTGTTATCGGGGACTCGGTTGGTTTATATGTATAAAGAAATCGATATCTTAAGGCACGGCCCTCAGCATAGGCGACAGTAGAGGCTGCTTCGCTTTCCCTGAGTTCAAAATACCATCAAATTCAAATTCAAATTCAAAAGGTCTATTACAGACTCTTATGATATGTCAAATCTACCGTCAGTTCGGAATGATTTCGAGATGAGAAGAACTGACAAGAAACTCTGCTCGTCTTTTTTTTTAATGTTGTACATATTTACAATAATACTATTTCATTTAAATTCAAATTTGAAAGAATAGAGTGACCACCAGCACATGCTATATAAAAAAAAAGGCATAACATTTTATTTCAATAGATGAGTTTCCGTCATTTGCACATCCATTCACATCAAGAAAATCTTTAGTTTAAGGCACAGCCCTCTGTAAAGGCGACAGCGGGCGCGGCCTCGCCTTTGATCATCTTCATCGCCTTCCGCGAGACCATTCAAGCTATTACATCTTATTTCTCTGAAATTAGGTACAGGAAAATTTTAGTTTTAAGTCCCGGTCCTCTGTACAGACCACAATGAAGCTGGCCTTGTATGAGTATGGCTGATGTTACATTTCATATATATAAGCGACTGTTACCATCAGATGGGGCGTTCTCGTTTTTGCTTTGCTATTCGCATACAAGAATTATCCTATAACATTTTCTAGGTTTGCTGGTAGAAATTTCGTTTTAGAGATAAGCTTGCCTTTGTACATTACTTTTACTTTATTACTGTTATTTTTTTCCTATGTATGTATGTATGTGTGTACAATAAAGTCACTGTCGCTGTCTGTACGTCCTTATGTATGTTTAAATCTTTAAAACTACGCAACGGATTTTGAAGCGGTTTTTTAAATAGATAGTGATTCAATAGGTTTCAAGGAGATTCAAGGTTTATATGTATAATACATGTAAACCCAGGCGAAGCCGGGGCGAGTAGCTAGTAAAGAATAAAGAAATCTTTGTTTCAAGGCACGGCTCTCTGTAAAGGCGACAGCGGGGGCGGGCTGGCGTTCCCCGAGTTCGAGCGGACCACGGTCCGGTTCTACCTGCGCGGCGTGGTTTCCACCGCGCCCAACGACGAGAACCTCTGCAACGGGAACACCATCACCGCCCTCACTCACATCCTCAAGCATGCCTCTTTCATAAGGCAATATCTGTAGATCTTGTAAATTTAGTGGTATGAATATAAAAGTACAATGTTTATTTGTTTCTCTCAATAAATGCGACAGTAATTTTCAAGCAACTGCCACGCCATAACTACTAAACCGATTTAAATCAAATTTGGTACACAGATTATGTAGACACTGAGAAAGAATATAGGCTACATTATAATACGAAAAAAGGGTTTTAAGGGGAGATTTCCAGAATAAATAAAATGACTTGGAAATGCATGTTCTTAAATTTATTTTGTACGACACTGGATATATTTCAGATTAGACAGAAATTATCAGTAGAAGTCAATTATAATTAAGTCAATTTATGCTGAGGAAGTAATAACACCCCAAGACAATTCACATAGCGACATCTAGTCCTAAAATAGTTAGCACTTGTATTATAGCTACAAAGCTACTTGTAACAAACAAATATGTACATTTATTTCTAAATACATATATAATACACATACAAAACACTAAGACCCATACAAGCAATCATACACATGAATACACATGTATCGTGTGAAAAATCATATACTGTATATGTTTGGTATCCGCGCTCCCAGCCCCTAAGTAACAGGTCTGACCCAATTTGGGGATTACAGATGATAGAAGTAAAAATTGTATTGTAGTAAATATGAATCTATATATAAATGAAATGAAAATCTATATAAATAAATTGAAATTACAGCCATCAGAAGTAAAGCGGCTAAATCGCGAAATCATCAAGATCGTTACATAGTTAACGATTTGCGTTAACTATGTAGCGCAGTGGTTATCACCTCACCACTGTAGCGTTATACATGTGATGAGGTGTCGCTACATAATATATTTGTTTAACACGTTGAAGAATCTTATTTCTCACATAGGGACCGGTATTTTTATTGTTAATTACGTATATTATTTTTCAAATATATTTTTAGTGTACAATAATTAGAGGTAGACATTATTTAACACCTAGATTTATTTCAATTAAAGTGCCCACGGGTGATCACTCGCTCCCAACGTGTCAGTTTACTTTAATTGCGGAGTGACCCTTTGGCTATACATATAAATAAAATTAGAGTGTCTGTTTGTAATATTGAAATAACCGTTTTTTACTACATGCATATGAATATAAATATGATACATACACCAAAGTAACATTTTTTACAATTTTTGTGTTTTTCTGTTTGTTCCGGCTAATCTCTGAAATGACTGCTCCGATTTTGAGGGGAATTATTTTGGCAAGTAGCTGATGTAATAAGGAGCAACTTAGGCTACTTTTACTTCAGAATAAAGTTAAAATCCAAGCCGACGGAGTCGTGGGTACAGCTAGTTATCAATAAAAAAATACCTATGTGAGAAATAAGATTTCTTAAAGCGGTCTTCAACGTGTTAATTTATCTAGGTAGTGAGGATATAGTATAATAATTGTACTATTTATTGTATATTAGTACCTTTATTTGGTAGTGTGCTACATACCTTAGTAGTAACGCGTACATTCGACGCGGAGTCGTACCGTGGACTGACTTTACATTGAACTTAAATCTGTGTTATCTGTAGAGGTATTAATGGAAGGGTCTTGAGTGTTGACAGATATATTACCAGTGTAGGTACAACTATAAAATTTTAAGTTTATTGTCTAAAATGTATACTACGATCACTGTCTATACTAATAGTACTATTATTAAATTGTAAATTTACTCTATTATTATTAGGTTTAGGCTTACTAGCTACTCCTATCCTTAAATCCCCTTCATCAAATAATATATAGAAATATTACAAGTGTAGGTACAACTATAAAATTTTAAGTTTATTGTCTAAAATGTATACTACGATCACTGTCTATACTAATAGTACTATTATTAAATTGTAAATTTACTCTATTATTATTAGGTTTAGGTTTACTAGCTACTCCTATCCTTAAATCCCCTTCATCAATATCGTAACTGCTATCATCTTCTACCTCTTTCTTTTCAGTAACATCGTTTGATGCGTACTGTATACCACTTATGTGAACTTCGACCTGATCTTTAACTAATATTGTGATGTTGGTTCCGTCTTGATGATGCATTGAACATTGGGGAATTGAGTTCCAATTTCCGTCGACGCATCTCATAGTACGAGGTCGTCCGTTATAGTCCGGTCTACACCGGGTCCTAATGACTGTACCGTCAGGCTCGTATTCATTGCAAGCTCGTCGTCTTTGTGAGGACCTGTCTGATAAGCAGGAGTATTCTACGCTGGGATGCGGTGTGAACCTGCAGGAACCTGCAATTTTTGGAGAGATTCAAGGTATTGTTAGCAAAGGAGTATTTTTTTTTATGGCAAATAAAGTGGATTATAATAATAATCTCAGGACAATTCACACAGAGCCATCTAGACCCAAATTAGGTCAGCTAAAGCTTGTGGTATGGGTAGTTGATAACTGATACAAATACATAGGTATAATTTTTTTTTGTAAATACATACATAGAAAACACCCAGACCGATACAAACAATCATACTTATGAATATAAATGTTTGTGTCATGCGAGTAATCGAACACGCGACCATCGGAAGTAAACCGCTAGACATTCGAGACCGTCTAAACTATTTATATTATGGACACTACGTTATCACGTGACATCCATGATACCACTTATGTATTGCCTTTCCAGATGACTAAGATGTTCACTGCCTAATCTGCACCCTCCAACCGAAACATCTTACAAAGCAAGCTGCTTGGCGGCTGAATTCAAACGAGGATCGAAATTACGATGGCCTAAGCCAAGGTAAAACTTGAGCTAAAACTAATGTCGTATCCGTTAGGCAGGAGTTGGCCTTCAGCTGTTCTATAAGTCCTTCCTTTGGTTTGAAGTGCCATCTGCACTCGCCTCTACTTTCGTTCTGTGCATTTGTGAATGGCAACTGCGGCCAACAGATTTAGAGAAGTTAGAAAAAACAGTGTCATATTACTTACGGAGGCATTTGGGCAAATTCTCTGGAACCCAGTACCCTTGGAAACAGTATACAGTGCTGTCACCAGCTAATCTGTAACCTTGGTGACACGAAACATTTAGGAGATACATGTCCGCAGACTGGCCTGGGAAGTCGTTTGGACCGTTCGTGACCCTGTATCGTCCATTTTTTGGGTACGAGGGTAAAATGCAAACCCCTGGTTGAGTTGGGCTTCTGGGGAAGAAATAAAATAATACATCAATATATCGGAATATGCTGTTATGCCAGCGTCGTCTATAAGATGAACTTATGTTCATCTTATCATCCTCCACTGGTGCCACGCCAGCGTAAACCGTTAGTCCAAGCGGGTGCACCAATCATCGCTATAAAACACTTCATTACATTTCTTTTATTTATGTTAATTGGTATATCAAAAAAGATTCATAAACCTGTTTTATATAGAAACGAAATATCTTTGGAAAGTTTACACTCTATCCTGAGGAGATAAAAACCATTGTTTCTAAGAATATCCTTCAATTCTTGTCCCTGACGGATCTAGGTAGCGAACTCAGAAATAGGGCAAGCACGATAGATCTATGCAGGTCGCAGTGCTACAGGTCCAAGCATCTGATGATAGCCGAAACCCCCAATAGAAAAAAAAATCCTCTTTTCAATCTTACAAACATTACTCCACTTACACACACTATAATTCTTAAACAAACCGTCAAAGTTGTTATGACATCGCCCTCTATAATATAAGATGAACTCAAGTTCATCTTATCATACACCACTGTTGCTCCGCCAGCGGAAACCGTCAGTCCAGCCGGGTTCACCATTCCACTGTTAATTCCAACTTCCATTAATGTCAACTTAATTTCTTTACTACTTTGTTTGATAATAGGCAGTGATTTATTAATATTTTTATTTTTAATTACATTTTTCTTTTGTTATTAAGAGAACAACAAACCGGTCAGTGCTCTGAAAATTCTAAGCACTATTTCCATTGGAGCTTACAATACATATAATCTGTAATCGTAATATTGAAATAACCGTTTTTTACTACACGCATATGAATATAAATACGGTACGTACACCAAAATAACATTTTTTACAATTTTGTCTGCCTGTATACTGTTTGTTTCGACTAATCTCTGAAATGGCTGGACCGATTTTGACGGGAATTTTTTTGGCAGGTAGCTGATGTAATGTAAAAAAATAAAGTTAAATTCCACGCGGACGATGAACAACGCAGTCGAGGGAACAGCTAGTAAAGTATAGAATACTAACTTGTTGTCATTATATTTGTTGGAGTCATCAGTAGCCACGACGTTGTGGCACAGTTCTTCAGATTCATCAGAACCGTCCGCACAGTCACGTACCTGAAAACCAACATTTCAAACACTATGAAAACCAATGCTAGAATTGTACTTAATAATTGGCGATGCTTTTGTTCTTAGAGATTATTTAATTCATCCCAACCTATAGGCGGCGAGTGTGAATATGTTTTCTGGAACGGTCAATTCCATTCGTTCTTCACAAGTAAAGCAAGAGAGAGTCAATAAGAGAATGTAAGAGACGTACGCCGTTGCAAGGGGAGTCCCGGTCGACGCAGGAGCCGTAAGCGCACTGGAACAGGTCCAGGAAGCAGGCCTATGCTGCGCAGGACCCACCCGTAAGAGAGAGAGTTGATAAGAGAATGTAAGAGACGTACGCCGTTGCAAGGGGAGCCCCGGTCGACGCAGGCGCCGTATGCGCACTGGAACAGGTACGGGAAGCAGGTCTGCGCCACGCAAGTTTCCACCCGCTCGTCCGACCCATCCGAGCAGTGCCGCACGCCATCACATTGGTCAGAGACTGGGATCTGCTCTCCGTTGTGGCATTTGAAGAAACTATTTAGACAGATTATAAATCTATTAATAATAATAAAACGACAACAATGCACTATATCAGGTTAAGATCTATGCGGTTCCCCCTGGAAATCATTATGGCAAATTGTTTCCTAAGATGAGTTACTTAACCTGACTTCATGATCATTTTATCATCTTCCACTGGCACGCCGCCAGCGTATACCGTTGGTGCAAGCCGTTTCATAATTCTGGTAAATGTTGTAACAAGCAATATCCTGATGAACGAAAGAACTGACTCTTAACCTCACGCTTCCACAAAGTATTTTCCCTAACAGGTATAATTAAAAGACTGACAGGATGGGCAAGGATTCGTTCCTGCAGCGTGGATGCAGCTCATCCGACTTGTCGGCGCAGTCTTGTACGCCATTGCAGGGCGCCGTCCCGTCTACACACGCGCCGTATGTGCACTGGAACCAGTTGTTCTGACAACTGAAACAATAATTTAATTCTTACCTTAGCACTGTTACATATAATAATAATAACAATCATCTTTGTCTCAAACAAAAAGTAATACAATTGTTGCCAATACAATAATAAAATTAAAAGCAATGAAGGAGACATAACGGTCTATAACTCAGGGGGGGCAGTGAGTCCACCCTCTCTGCTATTCTGTATAGTAAAAATTTGTGGGTATGGATGGATGTTTGTTACTCTTTCACGCAAAAACTACCGAACGGGTTTTAATAAAACTTTACAGTAGTATAGCTCATACATTGGAATAACACATAGGCTATAATTTAAAAAGGTATAATGTAAATTGAGTAATTATGATGCAGACGAAGTTGCGCGAGTCAGCTAGTCAACAATATTTCTTCTATACAAGAAAAGCTTAAAATGTTACCTTTTTGTCTTGTTTATTATTGTGTTTTTTTTATCATTTTATACATAACTAGCTTTTGCCCGCGGCTTCGCTCGCGTTCATATATCCCCTTAGGGGTGGAATTTATCAAAATCCTTTCTTATGGGATGCCTACGTCATAGTAGCTTTATGCATGCAAAGTCTCAGCCCGATCGGTTTAAAATTGACAAAGTTTCACATAAACTTCCATCCGCGATTTTATCCCCTTGGGGGTAGAATTAATAAAAATCCTTTCTTAGCAGATGCCTACGTCATAACATCTACCTACATGCCAAATTTCAGTCCGATCCGTCCAGTGGTTTGGGCTGTGCGTTGATAGATCACTATGTCAGTCACCTTTGAGTTATATGTGTATCTAATTGTATTTTCTATGAGAGGAACAACAGAGAGTTTCATTCATGCATTCAAAAACTATACTAACCGACTGTTTCTACAGAGAGAGTGCGTCTCGTCGCTACCGTCCGGACAGTTCACGATACCGTCACACATACCGTCGAAACCGATGCAAGTACCATCCCGGCATCTCCATTGATTGGGCCTGAATTCACAATTATATTATTTTTTTTTCATTTAATGTATTTATATTACAGTTACTTTTAAACTTTCATGTTTAATATACATTATTTATATTGTAAGGGTTGTTCCTACACTCGTTGATAATGATAATTGATAATCTATGGGGATGATAAATAAAAGATACGTCCCGTAGTGAGCTCTTGATGTTATACACTGATTTATGCTACGTAAGTGATAATTTATAAGTACATGATTATTATTGTTCAAAATCTACCCTATACCATCGTAAGCACAGATTATTATATTAGAGTCCGTTAGTTTTCTGTTCCCGCGCGTTCCCTTCCCCTCCCTAACTAGTAACAAACGGACCGTACAGCGGCCTTGACGCGCGCGCGCATTTGGTGTGAATTAAAATAAATTAGAACTGTGAAACCTACTGTGAAACTGGAAAGCTAGCGAAGATACCTTCGAGACCCTGAAGCCCAAGAAATCCGCAGAACCATAAAGGTAAATGACTGACGCTTCCTTATTTTTCCCTATATATATACAGAGAGTAAATTCCCTAACATTTTGGTAGCAGAGTAGTTTCCCAAACAATTATAGTACGGTATCCCGTACATATATTATTAACTGGGTCTTAACACGAATAATTTTATGAAACACGACTATTTTCAATAGCGATTTTAATTTATATGGCAAAACAACGTTTGCGGTTCAGCTAGTATATGTATAAAATATATACAACCCTAAAAACAAGGTTTATCAGGTCAGTCAGTAATTATATCTATTTATACGTACCGACATGTCGCCCTTTTGTCTCTATTAAGAACTGCCTCCTCAAATTTCAGTAGATATCTGAGAAATATTTCAAACATTAAACTGTTTCTATTATAAAGCAGCTTGTTTTTAAGATGTTTCGATTTATAGGTTTACATGATCATAGCTAAAACACTTGGTTCATTTATTTTATTTATGTTAACTGGTACATCAATAAAGATTCATAAATGTATGCCTTTTTTATATATAAACGAAATATCTCCTTTGGAAAGTGTTTGCTGAAGTTATTTGAATATATTGTACACTGAATTTAATAGTGACGCCACGGAATGTTCCAGAAGAAGTGCAAAATGTGTTTAAAGTTAAATATGTTATGTAAATAATAAATTGTTGTTTTTCTTTTAGATGTAGTATAACAAGATAATTTCAATATAATAATGAATAAAAAAAAAATAACATCGATGAAATAAATATAAAATAAAATAAAATAACATCGATGTACCATGCGTGACGTTCCAAATTTGAATTTTATTAATTTTATTTTTAAATATATTAAATGGCTATTTGCGATCGCGAGCAGAAAGTTTTCACTCTATCCCGAGGAGATAAAAACCATCGCTCCTAAGAATATCCTTCAATTCTTGTCCCTGACGGGTCTAGGTAGCGAACTTTAAAAAGGGCGAGCACAATAGATCTATGCAGGTCACATTGTACCAAGTCCAAGCACCTGATAAACTCCTAATAAAAAAATGCCTTTTATAATGTTTTATATGCTTTGTAATAAGTATTTCACCTTTTCGATTTCATAAGTGATATTCTTAAGAAACCATCAAAGCAAACAACATAGCGGCAGAGATTGGTGAAAAAAAAACATAAATAATAATAATAAATAATTAAAACAATCCCCAATTATAGCATTAGTTCTTAAGTTAGATTAAGTTTTTAAAAATGTAAACACCAAGTAATCTGGACGTTATTTGCTTATTACAAGACTTCAAATGCAGTGACCCGAGGGTTGTCTCCTCCGGAGTCGTTGCTAGCAAAGGAGTTCGTCCCGAGGCCCCAAGTTTCACTCCCCTAGGGGGGTGCGGATGATCTGTGTCAAAGTATACCTTGAATTCATTCCTGAGTAATACACAGGTAAGATACCCATTTTACCTGTCCAAATGTCTTTGGTCGGTGGCTACTTCTGTGAGAATTGAAGGAGTGCCTGAAAAACATAAATATCTTATATACATATGACGATGATGGTAAACAAGCATACGGCCCATCTGATGGTAAATGGTTACCGTAGCCTATGAACGCCTGAAACACCAGGGGCGTCACGTGCTCTTTGCCGATCATTATGAATGCTTAATATTCTTGAAAATCCCCATGAAAATCGGTAAACCAAGATACCCTGAATTTCTACCCTTCTCTCACCAACTCCTATCCTTACTAATATTATAAATGCGAAAATAACTGTTTGTCTGTCTCGCTTCCACGCCAAAATTACTGAACCGATTTAAATGAAGTTTGGTACACAGATAGTCTAAACTCCGAGGAAGGACATAGGCTACTTTTTAATGTGAAATAAAGGTTGTAAGGGATTAAAAGGGGAGGAGGGAGGAGCAGAGAGAAGGGTTGTATGAAGGTATCGTCCTTTTTGGCTTTTGTCATTTATAAAATATTTCTATATAATTAATTTATAATCTAAATAATTAAGAATGCCATCTAAGGTCACGACGAAGTCGCGGGCATAGCTAGTTTTTTTAGGTGATTTTAATTTATATGGCAAAACAACGTTTGCAGAATAAAATAGAATAGAATAGAAAATAATTTATTCAAATAAACTTAATTTAAGCACTTTTGAATAGTCAACATTTTTTTAAATCTACCGCTTTTTACATCACAAGAAGAATAAGCAAGAAACTTGTGTATTGCTCTTTTAAACAATCCTAGTAAGTTCACATTTTACAAGTCGAAACGTGTGAATACAAACTACCAACCAGCACTAATTTATTTAGGCTCAAATATAAAAACACAATAAGATTCAATCAGTCTAGTGATAAGAGCAGACCAGTCTCTACAAGCAGCACTCGTTCACGAGTATGACGGATGAGCCAGCCATCACTTCGCTCGACCATATTTTAGGGACCCCAATGACCCGGCCCACCACGCCACCACATGTCTGGACATTTTAGTGAGCAGACTACTCATTCCACTGACCACGTCACAGCTACAAAAATTACTATATGGTAGTTACAGTATTCGCACTTTACATGAGGATGCATGCATGCAATCAATACAAAAGCCGCTACGCTATCATATATCAAGAAAGCAGTATGAAAAATAAATTAGAACGTTGTCCGTAAATAAACTTATTTACAGTGTCGGCTAGTCATACTTTGAAGCAATTATTTTTTATTTGTAATATATTATTTATTATAAATTACATACACTATAAGTACTCAATGTTGCAGTAGTTCCTAAGTGGGGTCAGCTTAGTAATATTATGTAATATTATGTTATCTGTGGTAATATATTCTAAAGCAGAGGTTCCCAAACTTCTTTGTGTCGTAGACCTCTAGCCATATTTTTCGGTTCTGGGTAGACCTCCCATTCTTACCTGGTATTGATTTTTTTGTAAATTTCTAACTGTAGTAAAGTTTAGTGTTAAAAACAACAAGATGACCGTTGTCGTAGACCCCTTGCAGTTTGTCATAGACCCCTAGGGGTCAAGATTCACTTTGGGAACCACTGCTCTAAAGTAATATAAATAAACACTTTAGTAGTCTTGTTACAGTATGTTGGGAATATCCAATTATATATGGAATGCGTCATATATTTACAATTCTGGGGAAAACCGATTGCACCAATGAACGGGTAATTACAAATCCCTAACATCTAAGTGATTACAAATCGTGAGAGTAAAATATTTGTTTATATTGTAGGTTCACTATTTATATGCTGACTAGCTGACCCGGAAAACGTTGTATTGACATATATATTAATATCGCTATTAAAAAAAAGGGGGTTGGTGATTGACGGGTGAAAATTTAGGGTGGTAAGGATTTTTTAACGCCACAATATAAATAATAAAATAAAATAGCTAAGAAATCTATACATATAAATAAAATTGGAGTGTTTGTAAAATTGAAATAACCGTTTTTTACTACATGCATATGAATATAAATATAGTATATCGGTGAAAATTAAGCGGTTTATGTATTTTTAATGGCACTAATAAAAAAAAAAATTTGAGGATAAAACGAAAACAAATGTTTTGGGGTGAGCCTATATTTAGGGGTATAAAAAATATTTATAAACCTATTCTCAGACCTACTGAATATATATATAAAATTTCATCAAAATCGGTCAAGCCATTTCGATGGAGTATAAACACGAAACTGTGACACGAGAATTTTATATACAAACGATGTGTGAAAGTAGTCGCATATGTGTGTTCATACAAAAGATTTTATTTACCATCTACACGCTGCTCTTCAGTTTACCCGTGATCGTGGCGGTTGAAACACTGCCGAAATATCGGGAATTCATTAAAAATAAAACGTGGTAAGAATCCGTGATTTTTACTTCTTAAGTTTCACTATTCGACACTAGATGGCGTTACTTTAAAATGTTAGATTTTTTTTATATGGCCGTATTTTTTAAAGGATGCTAATGAACTGGTACTCTACCATATCCAATATAGATAAAAGACTTGAAGTGTTGGATACTATAAAATGTAGGAATTTGAAATACCTTGGACATAAAAATGTAGTCTTTTGCAATTCCAGAAAAAAACTTAGGCGCGCAAAAGACTGGGCAACTTAAGTATAACTTAAGACAGTAGTTCGGGATTAGCACCAGATCCCCGTTCAGAACAATTGTCGACAACCTTCAGATCATCAGGATGATCCCTGACCTCCAGAAGGAGAAGGCACATAAAGAAGCAGAAGGGAATAGTGCATCCGCCTGTGCTAACGGTTTACTCTGTCGTGAGGATGAGCAGAACGTCAGATCAGTTAGCACATCGTGACAAATTTACCAGAAATTTATTATGATGGTCTCCAGAGGGAACCGTGTGGAGGTCAACCTAACGAGGTACATTGATAGAAATGAGGCTGATAAGATGAACATGAGGTCAGGTCAGTTAGTTCATCGTGACAAATTTACCAGGAATTTATTATGATGGTCTCCAGAGTGAACCGTGTGGAGGTCAACCTAACGAGGTACATTGATAGAAATGAGGATGATAAGATGAACATAAGGTCAGGTCAGTTAGTTCATCGTGACAAATTTACCAGGAATTTATTATGATGGTCTCCAGAGTGAACCGTGTGGAGGTCAACCTAACGAGGTATATTGCTAGAAATGAGGATGATAAGATGAACATGAGGTCAGGTCAGTTAGTTCATCGTGACAAATTTACCAGGAATTTATTATGATGGTCTCCAGAGGGAACCGTGTGGAGGTCAACCTAACGAGGTATATTGCTAGAAATGAGGATGATAAGATGAACATGAGGTCAGGTCAGTTAGTTCATCGTGACAAATTTACCAGGAATTTATTATGATGGTCTCCAGAGGGAACCGTGTGGAGGTCAACCTAACGAGGTATATTGCTAGAAATGAGGATGATAATATGAACATGAGGTCAGGTCAGTTAGTTCATCGTGACAAATTTACCAGGAATTTATTGATGGTTTCCTGAGGGAAGGTTGTGGAGGTCGATTTAATGGTACATTACAAGAAATGGTGTCAGATTACTAAGAATCCCCTCTCCTTCCTAAATTGCGGTGTTAAGATCTTCGCTAGAATTGATACATACAGTTTCTTCAGTATTTTGTTTAAAACATATAAAATAACCTCTGTGAAAAGAGCCCTGCCCCGTTGGTCTAGATGTTTAGCATACTTACTGCTTTACTTCCAATTGTCGCGGGTTCGATCGATTCCTCGCAAGATACAAACGAGGCCATTGTAGAAAACCGATTTCATCACATTATTAAGGATAAATCAAAAACTACTTGTCACAACATGACCAAATTTCTGTGAGGCCACATGAGAAGAGACCACTCTCTAATAAAAAATGAATCAGAAAAATCGGTAACACTACACACATTTTCTGAAATAACACACATAAATATAGTGGAATTGAGAAACTTAATGGTCATATATAAGAGATTTGCCTGCAATGATTACATCCGCGCAAAACCGGGGTAAGCCGCTAGTTATAATATTTTGTCAACAATTATCATTGTATATAAAACCTTCTCGATATGTCAATATCAAAGAGTATCACTATTAATTGATAAGGACTGGCCATAAAAAACGTAATAAAAAAAGAAATATTCTTACCATAGAGTAAAAATATGAATAAACACAAAAACATTGTAATAACTGTATTAAAAAAACTATAATCGTATTAATTAACATAAATAATTAACAATATTGACTACATGAATCTATTATTAACAATATATCACGACACACAATATCTCTCAATACCAAACACAGACTAAATATTATATACGACACGAGATCAATGCAAAAACAAACTTGAGTTCCGTAATAAATAGCGAATAATAGATCTTATTACTTTAGGTATAGATTTTATATTATGTTTTATGCATGAGAATACAGATAAATGTGAAGTTCAGATTCCGTGTGACCGCTAGAACTGGTCATGTATTCTACGTACATACGTTAGGGTTCCCACTATAGTCTGTTTTTTAATCCCGGAGACCGGAGAAATTGACGGATGTAAATGTCAAATTTTCAAATAATAATACACTTTATTAATTTTGGAATAATGCCTTTTATAGAAATACCAACAAATTATTTCTGAAACCTGTAAAAATGGGTAATTAATATTAATTTTTCGATAGAGCCACAAAAGCCACAAGCCTATTTAAAAATTGCAAAAACATGGCAACATCGGTAGTGTAAAATTTGTCTCCGGTATTTAAAAATCTGATGAACTGTGCAACAGAATTATAACGACGCCTGGCATAAGCACCAGATTTGATGATAACAAGTCAGTACTTTTTATATAACCTAATTTCAATAGTATATAATCGCAATCGCAGAAAAACTCATTTAGTAGCACATATGTTAAATTAAAATTTCTCTTTTTATGTAATAATAGAATTGAATTAAAATGTTTTTATCAAATAAAATTATCTACTCTACTCGCTGATCTGTAATAGTTAATAACATCTGGCAATACTTTTGTGGACTCCCGCGATACAGGTTCGCCTAGTGCGGGGTCCAATGTCAGCGATCCGGGTTCCCCTAGTGCGGGGTTCAATGTCAGCGATACAGGTTCGCCTAGTGCGGGGTTCAATGTCAGCGATACAGGTTCGCCTAGTGCGGGGTTCAATGTCAGCGATACAGGTTCGCCTAGTGCGGGGTTCAATGTCAGCGATACAGGTTCGCCTAGTGCGGGGTTCAATGTCAGCGATACAGGTTCGCCTAGTGCGGGGTTCAATGTCAGCGATACAGGTTCGCCTAGTGCGGGGTTCAATGTCAGCGATACAGGTTCGCCTAGTGCGGGGTCCAATGTTTACGATACAGGATCGCCTAGTGCAGGGTTCCAATGTCCCGTACTAGGCCACTTGCGAGATATTAAGGACTTCTGCAAAATAACACCTATTTAGATAAAATTAGAATACGTGGTCAACTGTCATGAGTTAGGCTCCCGCGATACTATTTGCCTATTTGCGGGGTCCAATTTATAATAGACTTTGTAATATCTGCAAGTTTCATAAATAAATAATTTTTATTCTCCAGAAATACGACTCAAACGGGTGGATGTATCTTACCCCCGTACCCAGAAAACGGACGATATATAGCGACAAACGCTCCCAACGATGGCCCAGGACAATCTTCCGATTTATACCTCCTGAATATTACCTGCGATACAGGGTATAGGATACTTGGTGAGAGCAATGTGTACTGCTTCCAAGGGTTCTGGAGTACTTACAATCTGCCAAGTTGTGTTCGTAAGTTCTCTTTCATTATATTCCTTTTGCCTGCAATTCCGTACTTATGTAAATTTATTAATTTGTATTTATAATATCTGATAACCTATAAAATTCTCGTTTCCCGGTGTTTGTTATCAAACGCCTCCGAAACGGCTTGACCGATTTTTATGAAATTTTGTATGTGTATCTGAGTATTCTCAGACCTATTGGTCAAAATCTATTTTTCATAAATACACATATTGATTAATGATTGACAATATTTTTATTTTATTTTATTCTGATTTAGCATTGAAGAATATATACAACTTTAAATTTTCACACTTTTAATATCAACCACTACTTTTAAGAGCAATTTTAATTAATATGGATAAACAACATTTGCAAGGTCAGCTAGTATATATACGCAGTTTGCACCGTGCGAGTAATCGAATCCGCGACCATCAGAAATAAGGCGATGAGCTAAACCGCTAGACCACTGAGGCTAAAGTGTATATATACGGTATATACACTTTAGCCTCAGTGGTCTAGCGGTTTATATGGTAGTATATATGGTTATCAATAATTGTTTTTCTTTCTTTTTTCTTTTCTTTTCTTTCTTAATTTGCAGGCTACTGTAAATTTATACCACACCCAAGTGTGGAATACTCCTGCGTGGTATCAGATGGTACAATAGAAGGACGTCGAGCCTGCAACGAGTATGAACCAGACGCGACTGTGGTCCGGACCCAATGCAGGAACAATTATTACGGAGACCCGCCCACTATGACGTGCATTGATGGGGCTTGGGACTTCCTTGCTCGCTGTTCACCAGGTTTGCCTTGAAATGACACTGTATATTTAGGTCAGGGCTGTCCAAACTAGATACGATCTAGGGCCAATAAAAATGGCTAACACCATTGAGGGCCCGCAAAATGTTTGTAAAAAAAAATATATATATACTTGCAGTATAATATTATTATTTTATTATTGCATTACTTTTTCATTAATTTATCTTTTACTATTCGGTCAACATCAACGTCAATATTGGTAGTGCCTAGATGCAGTGCAAGATTATAAGAGCAGAACAGGAAATAATTTGTACATCAAATGATTTTGGATTACAAAAAAAACAAAATATCTTTACGTATACAAACATTTTACTTTAGGGGAGGCCTATGTCCAGCAGTGGACGTCTTCCGGGCTGCGATGATAATGATGATGATGAAACATTTTATTCAATGAAAAAAAAATTGTGATCGCATCTATTCAATCCGCGGGCTGCTACGCACTCAATCTCCGTTCAATCAGATGACATTGTCAGCGCTTTGAATTTTAAGTTAGATATTTTCTACAAAAACATTTATAAATTCTTCAATTTTATAATGAGCTTTTTTTACAAAGAAAATTTTTTATAAGACATTTGAATCTTTTCTCTGGCAGTTTGTTACCTTACGCAATTTCCATAAAACGAAATACTAACTTTCGTCAAACAGCACTTACAGAATTAAACAAAATAATATATATATATGTAAATCCATCAAGAAATGAAGGTTGAGGTAGTTATTCTGACGTTTTACCTCTGGTGATTTCAGAATGTGGACAAGTCACGCCAGATGGTGAAGAACTGATCATCGGTGGACGTCGAGCTTCACGCGGCGAGTTGCCGTGGCATGCCGGCATATATCGGAAGACCACAACTCCATACATGCAGGTCTGCGGCGGGTCCCTGGTCAGACCCAACGTGGTTATATCAGGTAATAATCTTATTAATATTACTAGCTGCACCCACGACTTCGTCCGCATGGGATTTAAATTAAAATTTCTAATATAAAAGAATTTTTCTTAAATAAAATTAGCATAAGTTATTATTACATCAGCCACCTGCCAGAAAAAGTACCGTCAAAATCGGTCCAGCCATTTCAGAGATTAGCCGGAACAAACAGACAGACAGACAGGCTAAAAAAAACATTTTGGTGTACGTACCGTATTTATATTCATATGCATGTAGTAAAAACGGTTATTTCAATATTACAAACAGACACTCCAATTTTATTTATATGTATAGATAAACGCGAAAGCTTGTGAGTATGGATGGATGTTTTTTTATTATACTCTTACTATTCTACTCTTTCAGGCAAAAACTACTGAACGGATTTTGATGAAACTTGTAATAATATAGCTTATACAACAGAATAACATATAGGCTATAAATTTCACGCCAGGCACAGCTAGTACAAATATTAAAACAAAATTTTTCTTTAAAAGAGATTTTAGAATAGATGAATAGAATTATATCTTTTGAAGGACTATTATATGGACCAGAAATAACAGCCAATTATCTACGTAACAATTTTTGTTTATACTTCTATAGTGGCAAACAATCATACGGCCCTCATAGTAAATGGGTACCGTATCCTATGGACGCCTGAGACACTAGAGGCGTCCCTTAAGAAAACTTAATATACCCTTCTTGAAAAACCCCATGCTGTAGTATTGTGAACCTCAGCAGGTAGTTCATTCCACAATGTAAGTGTACGCGAGAGGAAGCTCTGAAACCGCATATTATTATTATTATAGCGGCGCATTGTTTCTGGAGCGAGGACGTGGGTTTACTCCCCGCTAGGGACTTTAGCGTCGCAGTTGGGAAGCTGTACCGCCCTTGGGATGATCCTATGGATATCGACGCGCAGAAATCTGATGTGAGTATTTGAACGTCGCGAATATATTGTTGAAATTATTGATCACTAGCTGGATCCGTTCCAGGCGAACTCTGTTCTGCCTCAGAATGAAATAATATGTCAAAGGTTTTTTGAAGTTTAGAATTTACGAACAGTTGGTAGAGGAAAATTGCTAATTGACAATACCTGTCGTGAATATAAATTTATTTGGAGATGGGTGACGGTCTCGGTGGTCTAGTGGTATAGCACACCGCTTTACTTCCGATGGTCGTGTGTTCCATTCCTGTCTTTGTAAACTTTGACGTATATTAATATTAAAAATAAAGTGAACATTAGCGGGCTTATCTCAGAGAGATTTCTTCCAGCTAACCTAACGGTATGAATATTTGCAGGTCAGCTCGATCCACAAGCCCCCGCACTTCACGGGATCCTCATCCAACTTCCAGGAGGACATAGCGGTACTGAAGCTGACCACCTCATTCCAATACAAGCCCCACGTTGGTCCCGTCTGCTTGGATTTCGACGAGGTCTTTGATCAGTATCAACTGGATAGGAAAAGACTTGGAAAGGTTCTAAAATGTTTTTAATATCTCGTGACTTTTTAAATTGACTAGCTGTGCTCCCGAAATTTATATCCTATGTGTTATTCTGAACTATAAGCTATATTACTGTAAAGTTTCATCAAAATCTGTTATTGAGTAGCTTTTGCGAGAAAGAGTAACAACTATTGAAAGCCCTACCCTTGATAATAATCGTGATAGTATATTATTATGTAGCGCGATAGTTATCACCTTATCATTGTAGTGTTTTGTATTATGTGATGTTTTTTTTTCAAACTAATCTAATGCTGTTGGCTGCAGTTAGCCTTTACAGCTGCACCGGATAGTAGGGGGCGAGTGCTGATGGCACCCCAAACCAAAGGAAGGACTTATGAAGCGGCTGAAGGACAAATCCCGCCTGACAGATACGACTTTAGTCTGAGGGCAGCGCTAGGGGTTCGAACCTAGGCTCAGGCCGTCGTAATTTCAACCCTGTTTGAATTGGACGGGGGATCAATCGGAGGGGTACGGTGTGAAGAAAGAATTTTTTATTTCTTGTAGTATATAGATAGTGAGTATACTAATGGAATAATTGAACTACATTAGTATGTTTATTTGCTAGTGTGCTACATGGCTTATTAGTAACGCGCACATTCAACACACAGTCGTTGACTGACTACACTGAACTTAAATTTAAGTTATGTGTAGACGTAAACAAATGGAAGGGTGCCGAGTGTTGGCACAGTTATTTTGAATAAGAGTAACTTCATCGTCTTCCCAGGTGGCCGGTTGGGGTCTGACCAGTATCAACGGTGATGCGTCCCCCAAACTGAAGGTGGTGGAACTACCCTCGGTGGAGTACAACGAGTGTTACGAACAAGTGCCCTATAACTTCCGCGCCTACCTCACTAGCGACAAAATATGTGCTGGATACAAAGATAATGGTAAGCAAATACAATTTTTTTCTGTGTCCATCTTGCAACCATTCGAAGACTATGGGCAGATGTGGTAAAAGTTACGTCGCGGATAGAGTGTGGTTTCCAGTAGAATCATCATCTCTTTAGGTGGTCCTGGTTAGTCGTCGGGTTCCAGTAACCTTTGGCGTGTGTGTTATCGGGGACTCAGTTGGTTTATATGTATAAAGAAATCGATATTTTAAGGCACGGCCCTCAGCATAGGCGACAGTAGAGGCTGCTTCGCTTTCCCTGAGTTCAAAATACCATCAAATTCAAATTCAAATTCAAAATATCTTTATTCATGTAGATCTATTACAGACTCTTATGATATGTCAAATCTACCGTCAGTTCGAAATGATTTCGAGATGAGAAGAACTGACAAGAAACTTAGCACGTTTTTTTTTTTAAATTTGTACTAATTTACAACAATACTATTTCATTTAAATTTAGGAGAATAGAGTGACCACCAGCATATGCTATATAAAAAAAGGCATAACATTTTATTTCAGTAGATGAGTATCCGTCATTTGCACATCCATTCACATCAAGAAAATCTTTAGTTTAAGGCACAGCCCTCTGTAACGGCGACAGCGGGCGCGGCCTCGCCTTTGATCATCTTCATCGCCTTCCGCGAGACCATTAAAGCTATTACATCTTATTTCTCTGGAATTACAGGAACTTAAGTCCCGGCCCTCTGTACAGGCCACATGCTGGCCTTGCATGAGTATGGCTGATGTTACATTTCATATATATAAGCGACTGTTACCATCAGATGGGGCGTTCTCGTTTTTGCTTTGCTATTCGCAGACAAGAATTATCCTATAACATTTTCTAAGTTTGCTGGTAGAAATCTCGTTTTAGAGATAAGCTTGCCCTTGTACATTACTTTTACTTTATTACTGTTATTTTTTCCTATGTATGTATGTATGTGTGTACAATAAAGTCACTGTCGCTGTCTGTACGTCCTTATAATAATAATATAATAATAATAATAATAAACTTTATTGGCCAATAAAACATGTATGCTTAAATCTTTAAAACTACGGAACGGATTTTGAAGCGGTTTTTTTAAACATATAGTGATTCAAGAGGTTTCGAGGAGATTCAAGGTTTATATGTATAATACATGTAAACCCGGGCGAAGCCGGGGCGAGTAGCTATTAAAGAATAAAGAAATCTTTGTTTCAAGGCACGGCTCTCTGTAAAGGCGACAGCGGGGGCGGGCTGGCGTTCCCCGAGTTCGAGCGGACCACGGTCCGGTTCTACCTGCGCGGCGTGGTCTCCACCGCGCCCAACGACGAGAACCTCTGCAACGGGAACACCATCACCGCCCTCACTCACATCCTCAAGCATGCCTCTTTCATAAGGCAATATCTGTAGATCTTGTAAATTTAGTGGTATGAATATAAAAGTCCAATGTTTATTTGTTTCTCTCAATAAATGCGACAGTAACTTTCAAGCAACTGCCACGCCATAACTACTAAACCGATTTAAATCAAATTTGGTACACAGATTATGTAAACACTGAGAAAGAACATAGGTTACATTATAATACGAAAAAAGGGTTTTAAGGGGAGATTTCCAGAATAAATAAAATGACTTGGAAATGCATGTTCTTCAATTTATTTTGTACAACACTGGATATGTTTCAGATTAGACAGAAATTATCAGTAGAAGTCAATTATAATGAAGTCAATTTATGCTGAGGAAGTAATAACACCCCAAGACAATTCACATAGCGACATCTAGTCCTAAAATAGTTAGCACTTGTATTATAGCTACAAAGCTACTTGTAACAAACAAATATGTACATTTATTTCTAAATACATATATGATACACATATGTACAAAACACTAAGACCCATACAAGCAATCATACACATGTATCATGTGAAAAATCACATACTGTATATGTTTGGTATCCGCGCTCCCAGCCCCTAAGTAACAGGTCTGACCTAATTTGGGGATTACAGATGATAGAAGTAAAAATTGTATTGTAGTAAATATGAATCTATATATAAATGAAATGAAAATCTATATAAATAAATTGAAATTACAGCCATCAGAAGTGAAGCGGCTAAATCGCGAAACCATCAAGATCGTAAAGCAAATCGTTAACTATGTAGCGCAGTGGTTATCACCTCACCACTGTAGCGTTATACATGTGATGAGGTGTCGCTACATAATATATTTGTTTAACACGTTGAAGAATCTTATTTCTCACATAGGGACCGGTATTTTTATTGTTAATTACGTATATTATTTTTTAAATATATTTTTAGTATACAATAATTAGAGGTAGACATTATTTAACACCTAGATTTATTTCAATTAAAGTGCCCACGGGTGATCACTCGCTCCCAACGTGTCAGTTTACTTTAATTGCGGAGTGACCCTTTGGCTATACATATAAATGAAATAACCGTTTTTTACTACATGCATATGAATATAAATATGATACATACACCAAAGTAACATTTTTTACAATTTTTGTCTGTTTTTCTGTTTGTTCCGGCTAATCTCTGAAATGACTGCTCCGATTTTGAGGGGAATTATTTTGGCAAGTAGCTGATGTAATAAGGAGCAACTTAGGCTACTTTTACTTCAGAATAAAGTTAAAATCCACGCCGACGGAGTCGTGAGTACAGCTAGTTATCAATAAAAAAATACCTATGTGAGAAATAAGATTTCTTAAAGCGGTCTTCAACGCGTTAATTTATCTAGGTAGTGAGGGTACAATATAATAATTGTACTAGTTATTGTATATTAGTACCTTTATTTGGTAGTGTGCTACATACCTTAGTAGTAACGCGTACATTCGACGCGGAGTCGTACCGTGGACTGACTTTACACTGAACTTAAATCTGTGTTATCTAAAGAGGTACTAATGGAAGGGTCTTGAGTGTTGACAGATATATTACTGGTCTAGGCACAATTGTAAAATTTTAAGTTTATTGTCTAAAATGTATACTACGATCACTGTCTATACTAATAGTACTATTATTAAATTGTAAATTTACTCTATTATTATTAGGTTTAGGTTTACTAGCTACTCATCTATCCTTAAATCCCCTTCATCAATATCGTAACTGCTATCATCTTCTACCTCTTTCTTTTCAGTAACATCGTTTGATGCGTACTGTATACCACTTATGTGAACTTCGACCTGATCTTTAACTAATATTGTGATGTTGGTTCCGTCTTGATGATGCATTGAACATTGGGGAATTGAGTTCCAATTTCCGTCGACGCATCTCATAGTACGAGGTCGTCCGTTATAGTCGGGTCTACACCGGGTCCTGATGACTGTACCGTCAGGCTCGTATGCATTGCAAGCCCGTCGTCTTTGTGAGGACCTGTCTGATAAGCAGGAGTATTCTACGCTGGGATGCGGTGTGAACCTGCAGGAACCTGCAATTTTTGGAGAGATTCAAGGTATTGTTAGCAAAGGAGTAGTTTTTTTTATGGCAAATAAAGTGGATTATAATAATAATCTCAGGACAATTCACACAGAGCCATCTAGACCCAAATTAGGTCAGCTAAAGCTTGTGGTATGGGTAGTTGATTACTGATACAAATACATAGATATAATTTTTTTTTGTAAATACATACATAGAAAACACCCAGACCGATACAAACAATCATACTTATGAATATAAATGTTTGTGTCATGCGAGTAATCGAACACGCGACCATCGGAAGTAAACCGCTAGACATTCGAGACCGTCTAAACTATTTATATTATGGACACTACGTTATCATGTGACATCCATGATACCACTTATGTATTGCCTTTCCAGATGACTAAGATGTTCACTGCCTAATCTGCACCCTACAACCGAAACATCTTACAAAGCAAGCTGCTTGGCGGCTGAATTCAAACGAGGGTAGAAATTACGATGGCCTAAGCCAAGGTAAAACTTGAGCTAAAACTAATGTCGTATCCGTTAGGCAGGAGTTGGCCTTCAGCTGTTCTATAAGTCCTTCCTTTGGTTTGAAGTGCCATCTGTACTGTGAAGGGCAACTGCGGCCAACAGATTTAGAGAAGTTAGAAAAAACAGTGTCATATTACTTACGGAGGCATTTGGGCAAATTCTCTGGAACCCAGTACCCTTGGAAACAGTATACAGTGCTGTCACCAGCTAATCTGTAACCTTGGTGACACGAAACATTTAGGAGATACATGTCCGCAGACTGGCCTGGGAAGTCGTTTGGACCGTTCGTGACCCTGTATCGTCCATTTTTTGGGTACGAGGGTAAAATGCAAACCCCTGGTTGAGTTGGGCTTCTGGGGAAGAAATAAAATAATACATCAATATATCGGAATATGCTGTTATGCCAGCGTCTTCTATAAGATGAACTTATGTTCATCTTATCACCCTCCACTGGTGCCACGCCAGCGTAAACCGTTAGTCCAAGCGGGTGCACCAATCATCGCTAAAAAACACTTCATTACATTTCTTTTATTTATGTTAATTGGTACATCAAAAAAGATTCATAAACCTGTTTTATATAGAAACGAAATATCTTTGGAAAGTTTACACTCTATCCTGAGGAGATAAAAACCATTGTTCCTAAGAATATCCTTAAATTCTTGTCCCTGACGGATCTAGGTAGCGAACTCAGAAAAAGGGCGAGCTCAATAGATCTATGCAGGTCGCAGTGCTACAGGTCCAAGCATCTGATAATAGCCGTAACCCCCAATAGAAAAAAAAATCCTCTTTTCAATCTTACAAACATTACTCCACTTACACACACTATAATTCTTAAACAAACCGTCAAAGTTGTTATGACATCGCCCTCTATAATATAAGATGAACTCAAGTTCATCTTATCATACACCACTGTTGCTCCGCCAGCGGAAACCGTCAGTCCAGCCGGGTTCACCATTCCACTGTTAATTCCAACTTCCATTAATGTCAACTTAATTTCTTTACTACTTTGTTTGATAATAGGCAGTGATTTATTAATATTTTTATTTTTAATTACATTTTTCTTTTGTTATTAAGAGAACAACAAACCGGTCAGTGCTCTGAAAATTCTAAGCACTATTTCCATTGGAGCTTACAATACATATAATCTGTAATCGTAATATTGAAATAACCGTTTTTTACTACACGCATATGAATATAAATACGGTACGTACACCAAAATAACATTTTTTACAATTTTGTCTGCCTGTATGCTGTTTGTTTCGACTAATCTCTGAAATGGCTGGACCGATTTTGACGGGACTTTTTTTGGCAGGTAGCTGATGTAATGTAAAAAATAAAGTTAAATTCCACGCGGACGATGAACAACGCAGTCGAGGGAACAGCTAGTAAAGTATAGAATACTAACTTGTTGTCATTATATTTGTTGGAGTCATCAGTAGCCACGACGTTGTGGCACAGTTCTTCAGATTCATCAGAACCGTCCGCACAGTCACGTACCTGAAAACCAACATTTCAAACACTATGAAAACCAATGCTAAAATTGTACTTAATAATTGGCGATGCTTTTGTTCTTAGAGATTATTTAATTCATCCCAACCTATAGGCGGCGAGTGTGAATATGTTTTCTGGAACGGTCAATTCCATTCGTCTTCACAAGTAAAGCAAGAGAGAGTCAATAAGAGAATGTAAGAGACGTACGCCGTTGCAAGGGGAGTCCCGGTCGACGCAGGAGCCGTAAGCGCACTGGAACAGGTACGGGAAGCAGGCCTATGCTGCGCAGGACCCACCCGTAAGAGAGAGAGTTGATAAGAGAATGTAAGAGACGTACGCCGTTGCAAGGGGAGCCCCGGTCGACGCAGGCGCCATAAGCGCACTGGAACAGGTACGGGAAGCAGGTCTGCGCCACGCAAGTTTCCACCCGCTCGTCCGACCCATCCGAGCAGTGCCGCACGCCATCACATTGGTCAGAGACTGGGATCTGCTCTCCGTTGTGGCATTTGAAGAAACTATTTAGACAGATTATAAATCTATTAATAATAATAAAACGACAACAATTACTATATCAGGTTAAGATCCATGCGGTTCCCCCTGGAAATCATTATGGCAAATTGTTGTTTCCTAAGAAGAGTTGCTTAACCTGACTTCATGCTCATTTTATCATCTTCCACCTGTATACCGTTGGTGCAAGCCGTTTCATAATTCTGGTAAATGTTGTAACAAGCAATATCCTGATGAACGAAAGAACTGACTCTTAACCTCACGCTTCCACAAAGTATTTTCCCTAACAGGTATAATTAAAAGACTGACAGGATGGGCAAGGATTCGTTCCTGCAGCGTGGATGCAGTTCATCCGAGTTGTCGGCGCAGTCCTGTACGCCATTGCAGGGCGCCGTCCCGTCTACACACGCGCCGTATGTGCACTGGAACCAGTTGTTCTGACAACTGAAACAATAATTTAATTCTTACCTTAGCACTGTTACATATAATAATAATAACAATCATCTTTGTCTCAAATAAAAAGTAATACAATTGTTGCCAATACAATAATAAAATTAAAAGTAATGAAGGAGACAAAACGGTCTATAACTCAGGAGGGGCAGTGAGTCCACCCTCTCTGCTATTCTGTATAGCCTTTACCATTAATTAATACAATAAGATATATGTAGGCCTATCGAAAAGTGCTGAAGAGCAAGCGTCGAAGACTGAACGAGGCCACAAACCCCAATTTCAATGTAGTAGTTCTGACAGTTGTAGTTGGAAGTTGGAATATTACTAATTTCATATTAAATCTCTAAAACAGTTGTTATTATGGCAACTGTGCTTTGCTTTACAAGTTTTGAGATACATTCATTCAAACATCGAATGGTTTATGTTTTTCGAGCTATTCCAATGCTGTTGGTCTTTACAGTTTCACCGAACGATAGGGGGCGAGTGCAGATGGCACTGCAAAACAGCGGAAGGACTTATGGAGCGGAATGCCAACTCCTGCCTGAAGGATACGACTTTAGTTTGAGTCGACCCTCGGTTCAGACCTTCGTAATTTCGACCTCCATTTTGTATTGGTCGGGGGACCGATCGGAGGGAGCATCTACTTCAGCGCCATCCAGCAGCCAGTAATGAAGTTACTTTATGGATTTAATGGGAGCGAAGCCGCAGGTAAATGCTAGTAATATTATAAACGCGAAAATTTGTGGGTATGGATGGATGTTTGTTACTCTTTCACGCAAAAACTACCGAACGGATTTTAATAAAACTTTACAGTAGTGTAGCTTATACATTGGAATAACACATAGTCTATAATTTAAAAAGGTATAAAGTAAATTGAGTAATTGTGATGCAGACGAAGTTTAAATGTTACCTTTTTGTCTTGTTTATTATTGTTTTCTTTATCATTTTATACATAACTAGCTTTTGCCCGCGGCTTCGCTCGCGTTCATTTATCCCCTTAGAGGTGGAATTTATCAAAATCCTTTCTTATGGGATGCCTGCGTCATAGTAGCTTTATGCATGCAAAGTCTCAACCCGATCGGTTTAAAATTGACAAAGTTTCATACAAACTTTCATCCGCTATTTTATCCCCTTGGGGGTAGAATTAATAAAAATCCTTTCTTAGCGGATGCCTACGTCATAACATCTACCTGCATGCCAAATTTCAGTCCGATCCGTCCAGTGGTTTGGGCTGTGCGTTGATAGATCACTATGTCAGTCACCTTTGAGTTATATGTGTATCTAATTGTATTTTCTATGAGAGGAACAACAGAGAGTTTTATTCATGCATTCAAAAACTATACTAACCGACTGTTTCTACAGAGAGAGTGCGTCTCGTCGCTACCGTCCGGACAGTTCACGATACCGTCACACATACCGTCGAAACCGATGCAAGTACCATCCCGGCATCTCCATTGATTGGGCCTGAATTCACAATTATATTATTTTTTTTTCATTTAATGTATTTATATTACAGTTATTTTTAAACTTTCATGTTTAATATACATTATTTATATTGTAAGGGTTGTTTCTACACTCGTTGATAATGATAATTGATAATCTATGGGGATGATAAATAAAAGATACGTCCCGTAGTGAGCTCTTGATGTTATACACTGATTTATGCTACGTAAGTGATAATTTATAAGTACATGATTATTATTGTTCAAAATCTACCCTATACCATCGTAAACACAGATTATTATATTAGAGTCTGTTAGTTTTCTGTTCCCGCGCGTTCCCTTCCCCTCCCTAACTAGTAACAAAGAAAGCTAGCGAAGATATCTTCGAGACCCTGAAGCCCAAGAAATCCGCAGAACCATAAAGGTAAATGACTGACGCTTCCTTATTTTCCCTATATATATACAGAGAGTAAATTCCCTAACATTTTGGTAGCAGAGTAGTTTCCCAAACAATTATAGTACGGTATTCCATACATATATCATTAACTGGGTCTTAACACGAATAATTTTATGAAACACGACTATTTTCAATAGCGATTTTAATTTATATGGCAAAACAACGTTTGCAGTTCAGCTAGTATATGTATAAAATATATACAACCCTAAAAACAAGGTTTATCAGGTCAGTCAGTAATTATATCTATTTATACGTACCGACATGTCGCCCTTTTGTCTCTATTAAGAACTGCCTCCTCAAATTTCAGTAGATATCTGAAAAATATTTCAAACATTAAACTGTTTCTATTATAAAGCAGCTTGTTTTTAAGATGTTTCCATGTTTCCATTTATAGGTTTACATGATCATCGCTAAAAACACTTGGTTATTTTATTTATGTTAACTGGTACATCAATAAAGATTCATAAATGTATGCCTTTTTTATATATAAACGAAATATCTCCTTTGGAAAGTGTTTGCTGAAGTTATTTGAATATATTGTACACTGAATTTAATAGTGACGCCACGGAATGTTCGAGAAGAAGTGAAAAATGTGTTTAAAGTTAAATATGTTATGTAAATAATAAATTGTTGTTTTTCTTTTAGATGTAGTATAACAAGATAATTTCAATATAATAATGAATAAAAAAAAATAACATCGATGAAATAAATATAAAATAAAATAAAATAACATCGATGTACCATGCGTGACGTTCCAAATTTGAATTTTATTAATTTTATTTTTAAATATATTAAATGGCTATTTGCGATCGCAAGCAGAAAGTTTTCACTCTATCCCGAGGAGATAAAAACCATCGCTCCTAAGAATATCCTTCAATTCTTGTCCCTGACGGGTCTAGGTAGCGAACTCTAAAAAGGGCGAGCACAATAGATCTATGCAGGTCACAGTGTTACAAGTCCAAGTACCTGACAATAGCCCAAACTCCTAATAAAAAAATTCCTTTTATAATTTTTTATATGCTTTGTAATAAGTATTTCACCTTTTCGATTTCATAAGTGATATTCTTAAGAAACCATCAAAGCAAACAGCATAGCGGCAGAGATTGGTGAAAAAAAAACACATAAATAATAATTATAAATAATTAAAACAATTCCCAATTATGGCATTAGTTCTTAAGTTAGATTAAGTTTTTAAAAATGTAAACACCAAGTAATCTGGACGTTATTTGCTTATTACAAGACTTCAAATGCAGTGACCCGAGGGTTGTCTCCTCCGGAGTCGTTGCTAGCAAAGGAGTTCGTCGAGGCCCCAACTTTCACTCCCCTAGGGGGGTGCGGATGATCTGTGTCAAAGTATACCTTGAATTCATTCCTGAGTAATACACAGGTAAGATACCCATTTTACCTGTCCAAATGTCTTTGGTCGGTGGTTACTTCTGTGAGAATTGAAGGAGTGCCTGAAAAACATAAATATCTTATATATATATGACGATGATGGTAAACAGGCATACGGCCCATCTGATGGTAAATGGTTACCGTAGCTTATGAACGCCTGAAACACCAGGGGCGTCACGTGCTCTTTGCCGATCATTATGAATGCTTAATATTCTTGAAAATCCCCATGAAAATCGGTAAACCAAGATACCCTGAATTTCTACCCTTCTCTCACCAACTCCTATCCTTACTAATATTATAAATGCAAAAGTAACTATGTCTGCCTGTCTCGCTTCCACGCCAAAATTACTGAACCGATTTAAATGAAGTTTGGTACGCAGATAGTCTAAACTCCGAGGAAGGACATAGGCTACTTTTTAATGTGAAATAAAGGTTGTAAGGGATTAAAAGGGGAGGAGGGAGGAGCAGAGAGAAGGGTTGTATGAAGGTATCGTCCTTTTTGGCTTGACAATCAATACAAAAGCCGCTACGCTATCATATATCAAGAAAGCAGTCTGAAAAATAAATTATAACGTTGTCCGCAAATAAACTTATTTACAGTGTCAGCTAGTCATACTTTGAAGCAATTATTTTTTATTAGTAATATATTATTAATTATCAATTAAATACACTATAAGTAGTCAATGTCGCAGTAGTTCCTAAGTGGGGTCAGCTTAGTAATATATTCTAAAGCAGAGGTTCCCAAACTTCTTTGTGTCGTAGACCTCTAGCCATATTTTTCGGTTCTGGGTAGACCTCCCATTCTTATCTGGTATTGATTTTTTTTGTAAATTTCTAACTGTAGTAAAGTTTAGTGTTAAAAACAACAAGATGACCGTTGTCGTAGACCCTTTGCAGTTTATTATAGACCCCTATAGGTCGATATTCACTTTGGGAACCACTGCTCTAAAGTAATATAAATAAACACTTTAGTAGTCTTGTTACAGTATGTTGGGAATATCCAATTATATATGGAATGCGTCATATATTTACAATTCTGGGGAAAACCGATTGCACCAATGAACGGGTAATTACAAATCCCTAACATCTAAGTGATTACAAATCGTGAGAGTAAAATATTTGTTTATATTGTAGGTTCACTATTTATATGCTGACTAGCTGACCCGGAAAACGTTGTATTGACATATATATTAATATCGCTATTAAAAAATAGGGGTTGGTGATTGACGGGTGAAAATTTAGGGTGGTAGTGATTCTTTAACGCCACAATATAAATAATAAAAAAAAATAGCTAAGAAATCTATACATATAAATAAAATTGGATTGTTTGTAAAATTTAAATAACCGTTTCTTACTACATGCATATGAATACAAATATAGTATATCGGTGAAAATTAAGCGGTTTATGTATTTTTAATGGCACTAATAAAAAAAAAATTTGAGGATAAAACGAAAACAAATGTTTTGGGGTGAGCCACCTATTATTTAGGGGTATAAAAAATAGTTATAAACCTATTCTCAGACCTACTGAATACATATATAAAATTTCATCAAAATCGGTCAAGCTATTTCGATGGAGTATAAACACGAAACTGTGACACAAGAATTTTATATACAAACGAAGTGTGAAAGTAGTCGCATATGTGTGTTCGTACAAAAGATTTTATTTACCATCTACACGCTGCTCTTCAGTTTACCCGTGAACGTGGCGGTTGAAACACTGCCGAAATATCGGGAATTGATTAAAAATAAAACGTGGTAAGAATCCGTGATTTTTACTTCTTACGTTTCACTATTCGACACTAGATGGCGTTACTTTAAAATGTTAGATTTTTTTTATATGGCCGTATTTTTTAAAGGATGCTAATGGACTGGTACTCTACCATATCCAATATAGATAAAAGACTTGAAGTGTTGGATACTATAAAATGTAGGAATTTGAAATACCTTGGCCATAAAAAAGTAGTCTTTTGCAATTCCAGAAAAAAATTCAGACGCGCAAGACTGGGCAACTTAAGTATAACTTAAGACAGTAGTTCGGGATTAACACCAGATCCCCGTTCAGAACAATTGTCGACAACCTTCAGATCATCAGGATGATCCATAACCTCCAGAAGGAGAAGGCACATAAAGAAGCAGAAGGGAATAGTGCATCCGCCTGTGCTAACTTAACGGTTTAGCAGAACGTCAGATCTGTCGTGAGGAATTTATTATGATGGTCTGAGCAGAACGTCTAAGGTATATTGCTAGAAATGAGGATGATAATATGAACATTCATCGTGATCGTGACAAATTTACCAGGAATTTATTATGATGGTCTCCAGAGGGAACCGTGTGGAGGTCAACCTAACGAGGTATATTGCTAGAAATGAGGATGATAATATGAACATGAGGTCAGGTCAGTTAGTTCATCGTGACAAATTTACCAGGAATTTATTATGATGGTCTCCAAGATGAACGAGGTATATTGCTAGAAATGAGGATGATAAGATGAACATGAGGTCAGGTCAGTTAGTTCATCGTGACAAATTTACCAGGAATTTATTATGATGGTCTCCAGAGGGAACCGTGTGGAGGTCAACCTAACGAGGTATATTGCTAGAAATGAGGATGATAAGATGAACATGAGGTCAGGTCAGTTAGTTCATCGTGACAAATTTACCAGGAATTTATTATGATGGTCTCCAGAGGGAACCGTGTGGAGGTCAACCTAACGAGGTATATTGCTAGAAATGAGGATGATAATATGAACATGAGGTCAGGTCAGTTAGTTCATCGTGACAAATTTACCAGGAATTTATTGATGGTTTCCTGAGGGAAGGTTGTGGAGGTCGATTTAATGGTACATTACAAGAAATGGTGTCAGATTACTAAGAATCCCCTCTCCTTCCTAAATTGCGGTGTTAAGATCTTCGCTAGAATTGATACATACAGCTTCTTCAGTATTTTGTTTAAAACATATAAAATAACCTCTGTGAAAAGAGCACTGCCCCGTTGGTCCAGATGTTTAGCATACTTACTGCTTTACTTCCAATTGTCGCGGGTTCGATCGATTCCTCGCAAGATACAAACGAGGCCATTGTAGAAAACCGATTTCATCACATTATTAAGGATAAATCAAAAACTACTTGTCACAACATGACCAAATTTCTGTGAGGCCACACGAGAAGAGACCACTCTCTAATAAAAAATGAATCAGAAAAATCGGTAACACTACACACATTTTCTGAAATAACACACATAAATATAGTGGAATTGAGAAACTTAATGGTCTTAATATATAAGAGATTTGCCTGCAATGATTACATCCGCGCAAAACCGGGGTAAGCCGCTAGTTATAATATTTTGTCAACAATTATCATTGTATATAAAACCTTCTCGATATGTCAATATCAAAGAGTATCACTATTAATTGATAAGGACTGGCCATAAAAAACGTAATAAAAAAAGAAATATTCTTACCATAGAGTAAAAATATGAATAAACACAAAAACATTGTAATAACTGTATTAAAAAATCTATAATCGTATTAATTATCATAAATAATTAACAATATTGACTACATGAATCTATTATTAACAATATATCACGACATCACTCTCTCAATACCAAACACAGACTAAATATTATATACGACACGAGATCAATGCAAAAACAAACTTGAAGTTCCTTAATAAATAACGAATAATAGATCTTATTACTTTAGGTATAGATTTTATATTATGTTTTACATATATGAGAATACAGATAAATGTGAAGTTCAGATTCCGTGTGACCGCTAGAACTGGTCATGTATTCTACGTACATACGTTAGGGTTCCCACTATAGTCTGTTTTTTAATCCCGGAGACCGGAGAAATTGACGGATGTAAATGTCAAATTTTCAAATAATAATACACTTTATTAATTTTGGAATAATGCCTTTTATAGAAATACCAACAAATTATTTCTGAAACCTGTAAAAATGGGTAATTAATATTAATTTTTCTATAGAGCCACAAGCCTATTTAAAAATTGCAAAAACATGGCAACATCGGTAGTGTAAAATTTATCTCCGGTATTTAAAAAAAACAGACTATAGGCTCAGTTTAACATTTAGGCAAAATAGCATAGAAAAAAAAAATAAAGTGGAAATTTAATTGGAAAACTTGTTACTCAATAGATAGAGTATTTATTTTTTTCAAAATAGCACTTAGAAAGAAAAAAAAAATAAAGTGGAAATTTAATTGGAAAACTTGTTACTCAATAGATAGAGTATTTATTTTTTTCAAAATAGCACTTAGAAAGAAAAAAAAAATAAAGTGGAAATTTAATTAGAAACTTGTTACTCAATAATAATTTATTTTTTTCAAAATAGCACTTAGAAAGAAAAAAAAAATAAAGTGGAAATTTAATTGGAAAACTTGTTACTCAATAGATAGAGTATTTATTTTTTTCAAAATAGCAGAATGAAAGAAAAATAAATAAAGTGGAAATTTAATCAGAAAACTTGTTACTCAATAGATACTCTGTTGAAACTAAGAAAAATGCTTAACAACGCACTTGCAATTCCCTTGGAGTTGCGGGTGCTCATGGGCGGAGGTAATCACTTACCATCAGGTGAGCCGCAAGCTCGATTGTCCCTTATGCTATATACAACTAGCTTTTACCCGCGGCTTTGCTCGCGTTAATTTATCACCTTAGGGGTGGAATTTATCAAAATCCTTTCTTAGGGGAGGCCTACGTCATAGTAGATTTATGCATGCAAAGTCTCAGCCCGATCGATTTAAAATTGACAAAGTTTCATACAGACTTTCATGCCCTATTTTATCCCCTTGGGGGTAGAATTAATCAAAATCCTTTCTTAGCGGATGCCTACGTCATAACATCTACCTGCATGCCAAATTTCAGCCCGATCCATCCAATGGTTTGGGCTGTGCGTTGATAGATCACTATGTCAGTCACCTTTGAGTTATATATATATATATCTATATATAGTTTATTACCGCTACCATTAGCATGTGTGAGACCACAAACATTCGGTGCGGAACCATGACCATTGCTATTGGAAGCGTTATAACTTTCCCTATAGGTTCCCCATCGTACTAGGCATCGCACTTCTAATATACTGAAAAAACAATAAAGTAATATGTTTTAAGAAAGTGGCAACCCTAATTTTGTGTCTAGTTTTATATATTTTTTGTCATATACATACAGAATACTGAGTTCTGGGGTATCATTACCTTAAAATACATTATATGACTAGCTTTTGCCCGCGGCTTCGCTCGCGTTATATTATCCCCTTAGGGGTGTAATTTATCAAAATCCTTTCTTAGGGGATGCCTACGTCATAGTAGCTTTATGCATGCAAAGTCTCAGCCCGATCGGTTTAAAGTTGACAAAGTTTCATACAAACTTTCATTCCCTGTTTTATCCCTTTGGGGGGTAGAATTAATCAAAATCCTTTCATAGCGGATGCCTACGTCATAACATCTACCTGCATGCCAAATTTCAGCCCGATCCGTCCAGTGGTTTGAGCTGTGCGTTGATAGATCACTACGTCAGTCACGTTTGAGTTATGTATATTTAGATTTCCAATCGCGGAAACTATAAAAACCACTATTAGCGATTATGTATGGACTATTTCACAGTTTTAATTGCATTCAGCAATAAGGCCGCTTTATTATATATATATGTATATGACGACCTCGGTGGTCTAGCACACCGCATTACGTCCGATGGTCGCGGGTTCGATTCCTCGCACGGCACAAACATTTGTATTCATGAGTATGATTGTTTATATCGGTCTGAGTATTTTCTATGTATAATATGTATTTATTTACCAAAAAATGTATCCATGTATTTATATCAGTTGTCTAGTACCCAAAACATAAGCTCTGCTTAGCTTGATACTAGATGGCGCTGTGTGAAGTGTCCTGAGATATTATTATATTTATATTTATCCCCCTCGATGGTCTAGCGGTTTAGCACACCGCTTTTCTTCCCACGGTCGCGGGTTCGATTCCCCGCACGGCACAAACATTTGTATTCATGACTATAATTGTTTGTATCGGTCTGAGTGTTTTCTATGTACAATATGTATGTAATTACAAAAAAAAATTATATATTTATATCAGTTGTCAAGTACCCATAACACAAGCTCTGCTTAGCTTGAGACTAGATGGCGCTGTGTGAATTGTCCTGAGATATTATTATTATATATATAAAGATAGTATTTATACGTGTACTTTTGTAAAAACTCGTCTGCGTGTGTACTGTCTCACCTATTTCAGCCAAGCAGCTTGCTTTGTAAGCCGTTTCGGTTGTAGGGTGCAGATTAGACAGTGAAATTACAGGGTAAGAGGCGTGACATCTTAGTACTCTGGAATGGCAACGAGTGAGTGGTATCACGGGTGTCACGTGATAGGCAGTGAAATAACAAAATTAACACTCTTAAATACATTTTATAAAGCGAGCAATATAGTGGATGAAATATATGACACAGCGACACACGTGACTTTGTACAAAGTCCACTTCGGTAAAAGTTAGATAGATAGATAGATAGAATATGCATCATGATCATCGGATAGTAAAGCGGTGTACTAAACCACTAGACTAGCGAGGCTGTCATTGAATGATTGAATATAAAATTACGTGTCACGTTGTTTGTCCGCGATTGCAGACTTGATTTGCACACTGTGTGCATTTTGATACAACTTGAAAGATACGATAGAATAAAAATGGAAAATTCAATATAGAAAATTATTTATTCATATAAACTTAATTTAAGCACTTCTGAATAGTCATAACAACTATTTTTTTACCTACCGCTTCTTTCGGAAAGCACGAGCAAGAAACTTGTGTGTTGCTCTTTTAAATAATCCTTGTAAGTTTACATTTACAAGTCGAAACGTGTGAATACAAACTACCAACCAGTACTAATTTATTAGGATCAAATATAAATCTATACATATAATTAAAATTGGAGTGTCTGTTTGTAATATTGAAATAATCGTTTTTTACTACATGCATGTGAATATAAATGCGGTACATAACATAACATTTTTTATAATTTTTGTCTGTCTATCTGTCGGTCTGTTTGTTCCGGCTAATCTCTGAAATGGCTGGACCGATTTTGACGGGACTTTTTTTGGCAAGTAGCTGATGTAATAAGGAGTAACTTAGGTTACTTTTATTTTAGAAACATAAACTTAAATTAACTTAAAAGACGAAATCGCGGGAGCATATGTACATAGCTACAATCTGGACTCATCATATCACCTCCTACTTTCCTGCTGCTGTTACAAAGAACAATAATATATAAATAATAGCGGCCCCGACAAATCCTGTAAGGGTTTTTAGGTTGTATTTATATTTTTAGGGTGTAATATCTTTTATTTTAGAAAAAATAAAGTTAAATTCCACGCGGACGAAGTCGCGGGAACAGCTAGTACATAATAAGATTAAATCAGTCGTAGTGATAAGATAGGATATCTTACATCTCAATTTATAGTCGCAATATTATTTTATTCAAGCAACGCGTGACCGGGTCTGCTAGTAGTGTATGTAGTTTAATGATATGTAATTTGATGTTTCTCCATAGGTATTCATTAAAAGGTATCTGTCTATTATTATACGGTAAAATGTGGTTATGTTTATGTATTACAAGCAGTACCCGCGACTTCGTCCGCGTGGAATTTAACTTTATTTTTCTAAAATATAAGTTGCCTAAGTTACTCCTTATTACATCAGCTACCTGCCAAAAAAAGTCCCGTCGAAATCGGCCCAGCCATTTCAGAGATACAAATAGATAGCCGGAACAAATAGACAGGCAGACAGACAAAAATTGTAAAAAATATTATTTTAGTGTACCTTATATTATTTATGCACCTTATATTCATATGCATGTAGTAAAAAACGGTTATTTTAATATTACAAACAGACACTCTAATTTTATATATATGTATAGAAGATGTATAGATAAGCAGCAATTGTATTAGTTTTTATTTCAGACATATTATTATTATTATTATTAAACATTATATACTGTATATACATTTTAATTTATTTACTAGTTGTGTAAGTCACTTTATGCTTTTACAAATAGGATGGGCAGTTGTTGATAATCAAAATATTTATTAAATAAATTATAAAATAAGTCATTTATACTAATTATAATAATTATTTTTAAATTTATGAAATAAAAGATTAAACTCACCATTTCCTACAATTGTATGTGTTATCCTAAGGTTGCCTTAAAAAAATTGCATTTAGCAATAAGGCTGCCTTGTTTTATTTATGTAGACATATGTATAGTTTACTAATTTTTACCTTCTATCATTGTCATACATAATATAAATAAGACATATTCTCACTATCTATCTAAAAGAAGTCTATTATTCTATCAAAAATGACTTTTTATATTGAAAAGTATTCATAATTATTTCCACCACTTATATAGTATCTTTTTTCCTTAGTTATCTTTATTCTCCAATACGGGTAAGTATACTCATAATTACTCTGAACATTATCTACTGATTCCTGAAACGATTTTATTAAAAAAAAAATATAGATTTCAAATCATGATAATACTTGGTGGAAGCTAGTAAGTAAAAAAAAATAAATAATAATTACTGCTAATATTAAATTAATATGAGCCACAGACAACCAACAATCTATGAGTGTGATTAAACCTTGTCATGTCGTTCATTCCACAAGCTGAGTGACTTTGTAAAAAGTCGCCTACATCTTATTATAGAAGCTATGTTTCGGTTGTATATAGACTCAGATGAGGCAATGAAATTACAGAATGAGGTATGCATCTGAATACTCAGCTTGTGGTACTTACTATTGATGTATATATCCGACCTGCAACAATTTTAACCTAAAAAATAAAAATTGTTATTTTACCGCGAAACGCTAAACGCTTTTTACGTACTTTTTGTGGCTTTATAAAACATAAACTGTACTATACAGTTACCAATAGTTCTTATAAAACCCAAATAGTAGTTGAAAAGCAATACAATAACATTCACGCTGTATTTTTAGGGGTAGACAGAGATAAGGCAGGTAGATCGTCAGCTATTATATACGTATTAAATATTAATAAATGCAACGAAGAAATGAGGTCAAACAACTGTGTCGCGTGCTACATTGAATCGATTGCATTCTCGACCCAATTTCATTGAACATGATATGCTGTTTCGTACCATTGTAGTTAAATTACCGTGCATACTTATATTTTTATAGATTTTGAGGCTGTATGACGTTGTTCCTATGTCTTTTAATTGCATTTAAAATACTATTACTATTTGTTTATGGTTTTTCCTTTCCCGCCAAAATATAGAAGCCACAGATTTTTTTTCCCATATTCGTCCATCTCCTTTTCAATGCCACAGATTATGTAACCTACATCATCATCTTGCTTATTTTTTTTGGCTGCTGATGACAATAGCAGGAAAAATGTTAATAAATATGAACATAGAAAAAAAATTGTGTTTGTAGGAATCTTTGACTGCATTTTTTTAGCAATTGTTTGCATAGATTAATTTTGAAGGTTTTTTATTCGCGTCTACAAACCCACTTCAATTACAATTAAACAATATGCAAGCTAATTTTTATAATTTGTACAGTACTCCTTTACTCACAATAAGTACATGAAATGTAAAATAAATTATCCAATTTTCATTCTTCGCATTGCTAATTTTATCTTAAATTAATTTTATTAATTCAGAAATGAATAAAAATATTATTTTTTGTGTTTTACAAATTTTCTTTTTGTTGTCTTAAACGTAAAAAAAAATAAGTTTAAAACAACAAAAAGGAATATTTGTATATCAATTATAAGATATATTAAGATAATTAATAATCAAAATCGTGCTGTCATACCCGCTATTTCACTTTGAATTGACCAAATCAACCAATACATACCATTTTGGTTAAATAAACAAGTTTTGTAAAACTTAATTTTTCTGTGTGCTTTTGTTTCTGCACACAGCATTGTAAAGCAAAACTTATATTTTACGATTTTATAACTTCTTATTTTACTAATATTATAAACGCGAAAGTTTGTGAGTATGGATGGATGGATGTTTGTTACTCTTTCCCGCAAAAACTACTGAACGGGTTTTGATGAAACTTTGCAATAATATAGCTACCTAACATCAGAATAACACATACATAGACTATACATATGACGCAAGTTAAACCGCAAGCACAGGTTGTCATAAAATAAAAGTAAAAGAGTCGAAAATAACAATCAAATAAACACATGCAGTAGGAAGTTTGTACTTTGAACAAACATATCTAAAATTCTGTTATTATTACTGTATTGAAAGACCATTGTGGCGTACGATAACATTTGATTGTCGGTCTGTACGTCCATTTCTCCCCCAGCTATTATAATGGTAAATAGGTCAAACAGAGGTTAATACTGGATAATTTGCCGCAGGGACTCACGAGTTGGGGGTAACTGTGATAAAGTCGTGTTATGGACATTAACTTATGAAAGTATGGATGTTTGTCATGATACTCATTAATTATACAGACAATATCGATGAACAGAATAAATAATAGACAGCTGACAATGATTTATGGTCGAGTGAACGTAAATATTTGAGGAAATGAAATATAAACATAATGAAAAACAAAATTTTCAGGCTCACGTCAGGAACAAAATCACTTTTGTATAAATCTGTGTAACAAAATCTTTTATCACGGCATATTCATAAGATTTTTTTTAGAAGCATTACTGTACGTTACATATATAAAATTTTGGCGGCATATTTATAAGAAGTCGTTTTTTTTTATTAGAGGATGGTACGTATATTCATTTTGGTCTCACCAAAGGCTGTGCCTTTTATTAAACGTATTGTTAATTGCTCTGTGGTACCACAGTTTATTAAAAAATATTTATTATCTATTTTTAATAGGTGACAAAATAATATTAAAAAATCATTTATTTCATGTTGGTCTTTTTTCATGTAAGTACGAAGTATTTTAAAACTAGACTAGGCTGTCCGGTCTAAGGACTTTTATCTGTTCCCCCATTAAAAAGGAGATGAACGAATGAGAGATAAAAATATATATAGGACATTTTTGTCACTTATGGAAATCAAGTTTTTTGTATTAATAGTTTAAATATTTTTTCCCTATCGTTTAATTTAGTCTATACATTAAAGAATAGACTAGAAATACTACGGGATTGCTTTTCTATAGGTTGATAACATTGTATCTTTTTTAGGTTGTACCTACACTTATATAATTTTTTTAAATTTTATTCTTTATTGTACAATTGGCGAGTTTAATGCCATACCATTACATGCCATACCATTCTCTACCAGCTAAGCTGTAGGTACAAAGAGAAAGCGTTGTAGTGGTGAAAAACTGTGACAAAAACTATAATAGATATATAAATATATTATACAATTAAAATATACATAAATAAATAAAAATATTTCTGTCAACACTCGAGATCCATCCCTTACTACCTCTCCAGATAACATAGACTTAGGTTCAGTGCAAACTTACTCCACGTTACGACTCTGCGTCGAACGTACGCGTTACTAATAAGTCACCAAATAAATATAGCAATGTACATAAAATAAATAGTACAATTATTTCACCAATATACTCACTACCTACATACTTCAATAAACAATATATTATGTAGCGACACCTCATCACATCATATATAACGCTACAGTGATGAGGTGATAACCACCGTGCTACAAGGTACCTATGTCAAAAATTAAATGAAAATCTCGTGCATGAACAACTATTGTCATGCAGGTTTGTCATTTGAATAATCGGTTAGCGAGTAATAATAGGCTTACTCAGTAAATATGTTTTAACAGAAGTTTTAAATTTGTTTAAAGGGAACATGTTATTATGTACATCCTACTAATATTATAAACGCAAAAATTTATGACTATGGACGGATGTTTGTTACTCTTTCACGCAAAAACTACTGAACGTATTTCGATGAAATTTTATAGTAATATAGCTTATATATCAGAATAACATATAAGCTATAAATTATGTAAATTGGGCGAAATATAATAGGTGTAAAGCAGACGAAGTTACGCGGGTCAGCTAGTATTATATACCTATATTTAATTGAATTGTAAAAGTATACAATGTTTTGTAATATCGATATATTTTCCACTAGATCATTATAGTATTCTATCTGGGTGTTTGCTATGTATAATAGGAATTTACGAAAAAAACTATCTGTGTATTTGTATCAAATATCTATAACCCATAACACTCAAAAAATCACCATCAAACTTCACTCTCATCCTATCATCCTCCACTAGTGCCCCGCCGAGCAGGAAGCTCCTCTGAAATCGCACTGTCCGAGACCACTTAGGTTCCAGCGTGTGGGGATGAATTCCTTGTCTATGGCGAGCGGTGCGATGGTAAAAGGTAGCCGTAGGCATCATATTAAACAATTCATCAGAACACAGTCCGTTGTATATACGGCAGAACACACGAAATGATGCGAAATCTCGCCTCAAGCTAAGTGGTTCGATACCGTTTGAGAGATTGGGATTATCACCAATTGACAAAAAAACACAGTCCGTATTACAAAACAAAGGCAAATAATTACACATCCATAGTTATTGAGCATTTATTTCTTACTATATATAAATATCAAATAAATCTCTTAATGAAACTAGAATGGCTCAGTATTCTGGTGAAGGTGGAGAGCGTCCTGGAGTTGCAGCCGTGGTCACCCGCGCTGGGCGAGATGGACACCACGCCGCGCAGGTAGTACCGATCGATGGAGCGCTCGAGTGCCCGCAGCACCAGCCCCCCGCCGCTATCCCCGTGACACACGGCCGTGGCTGCCGACCAACAGTACAACAGTTACAACAACACACGCACACCTAGTGCAAACATCCTCACAACATCGCGCTCCCCGCTCGAGCGCCGACAGCACCAGCCCCCCGCCGCTATCCCCGTGACACACGGCCGTGGCTGCCGACCAACAGTACAACAGTTACAACAACACACGCACACCTAGTGCAAACATCCTCACAACATCGCGCTCCCCGCTCGAGCGCCGACAGCACCAGCCCCCCGCCGCTGTCCACCGTGACACACGGCTGTGCCTGCCGACCAACAGTACAACAGATCAACAACAAAAGATCACCTTGTCCAAACAACCTCAGGCCTACTGCATCTTTCCCCGTGACACACAGCTGTGCATGCTGACAAACAATACAACAACCAACACACGCACAACTCGTGCAAACATCCTCACAACACCACGCCCCCTACTTGAGCGCCGGCAGCACCAGCCCCCACCACTGTTCTCATGACATACCGCCGTGTCTACCCACAAGCACATGTATACCTGGTAGAAATATCTTCAGAACACCGGAAATATCATCACTGGAGCGACGAAAGGTGCGTGGGATTCGTACCCACTAAAAAAACCACACAGTGTACCTACGAGCACCATTGCCGGAGTCGCGAGATCGCGTTACCATTCTACCGCGACTCCGGCGGAAGTACGCACTCTTCACACTCGACACCAGCTGGGAACAATGCCCGAGAGTACGTCCATGGTCCCATTTCTTACATGTTCCTTACTAAGTTACTTAGGTACCGGAGACTTGCTCGCCTATCTAAGCTCAATTCCCAGTGGTTTCTGTGACAACGACAACTAACTAGTAGTGCGATGAGAGACGTAACGAACACGCTGCAATCACCCTAAAGAAGACTTCCGGATGAGTCGAAACAATTATCGCGAAATACGCAAAGAGAGATAAACTTCTTAGAATTCGTTGGATCAACGTGCTGGAACCGGGTCTATCGTATGGCACACGGGTCAACCCTGGTGTAGGTTGGAAGGGCCACTTTTCGTATGTTGAAACTCAACTTCACCGCTTGTGTTTCTTACTCTGCCCAGCCAAATCTGGTAGGAGCCTGCTAGTGCAGCTTTAGGTACACTTTCTAGTATAGAACTTGCTACAGTTCAAGACAGGCCAAGATCTTTTAGAAAGCTTTAAAGGGATTACTCCGGTATACCTCTCACATAGAATGATGAAAGAAAAGAATTGTCTTAGGAATATAGAAATAGTTCTCACCTTTATCTATATAACCAGCGCAGATTTTGTCATAAGTCAGGTATCTTCGAAAGTCTTCCGGTGCTAATATGTTGCAGTCGCCGTACGGTATTATGGGCAGTTCCACAACCTGAAGAGTTGGAGACGCGTCTCCATCCTCGGAGATTAGACCCCAGCCGGCCACCTAGTAACATCAGCGACTCATTATGAACTTATCATTAGATTTCATACCTGTTCTGCAACTAATAATAATGAGGTGATCAAGAGATTGACAATTGTCGACGTATACGCAAACTTGAAATGTTCACATTCCGCTCGGTATATTTAGAATCCAACGTGGCAGAGCGCGAGTCTGCCACCATCTTTCGTATTATTTTTGTTTGGTTTGACACATTTTTTAAATTAATTACAATAGAAAGCTGACCGCCCACCCCCGTGATAGCACTGAAGCGTTAGCATTCTGTTGGACTAATATGTTATGCTCCAATATTCTGTAATTTAACTGCCTTATCTTGCCCTTTAAACGAAACTATCTTACAAAGTTTCTAGGCTACTGAAATAGGTAGGCAGAGGTAACAATAACGACGACTTTTTACAAAGTTTTTCTTAAAATGTACCCAAGTAGTGTTAATTGCTCTTTGCAATTCTGTGTTCACTTACCATTTGTGCACATGCAAATACTTTAGTCCCAATTCTCAGTTCACTTACCATCTGGGCACATGCAAATACTTTAGTCTCAATTCTCAATTCACTTACCATCTGGGCACATGCAAATACTTTAGTCCCAATTCTCAGTTCACTTACCATCTGGGCACATGCAAATACTTTAGTCCCAATTCTCAATTCACTTACCATCTGGGCACATGCAAATATTTTAGTCCCAATTCTCAGTTCACTTACCTTCTTTTCTGTGCACATGCAAATACTTTAGTCCCAATTCTCAATCCGCTTACCTTCCCTTTCGCATCTTTTCTGTTTAGTTCTCTATTGTCGAAGCTCTCATCAAAGTCGAGGCATACTGGTGCAATATGAGGTTCATAGGAGAACGAGAGACTCAGCTTTAGAACCGCGATGTCTTGAGCAAAACTCGCCGTTATACCTTGATACGTCTCCGGGATTTCGATGGAAGTTACCTGGAATATATTTTCATAGCATAGAACGCAATAGAGGACCACGTTTTAAAAAAAGCATTTGACATGAACGTGGTTGAATGGAAAGGTAAAGGACGACCAAAAAATGAATGGATTGTGTGAAAGATGATTTGTATAAACGATATAAAGGATATGTATTTTGTAGAAGAGAAGCTTAGCATTGACGGCCGATAGGGATCAGTGAAAGAAGATACATAACATATTGTGGTGACCATAAACCACATGTTACGTGCCGCAACACCGACCACGGCAATGTAACTATCCCGCCTACACTACGCTACCAAGGAACAGGACATTGTTCACTACATCCGGACTAAAAGCAACCTGACATTAAGGGTGATGCAGTTGGAATCGAGCCACAACACGAGCTTCAAAGCGTTCGTGGCCCAGGTCCCCACCAACATGCTGCCCACCTTCATGAAGGAGGACTACTGGCCGAAGGAGGTGGTCTATCGGCGCTACCTTGGCAGATTGCCGTCGTCAGTGCCGTGACCATAGAGACAATTTTATTTACATATTTTATTATTATTTCTTAAGTATGTTAGTCTATAAGGTATTTATAATATGGGCCATGTCGCCTGAATTAAATAAATAAATGAATAATGGATAAAGGCAAGGCACTGATGCAGATGCAAAAGAGCTCGCAACTGAACCGACTTGAAAAATTATTTTACCATTACAATCCTATATTATCCCTGATGAACATAGGCGATAGAACATTTTCCAAAATGTTAGAATGTATGAAAAATAGGATCCAGATCCAGAACGTATAAGAACTTGGACAATGTAATCGAACGTGTGAAAAACAAATTTTTATATCGCGTGAGATGCGGAAATAATTGACAATAAAGTGATGTACTACAGTTTTGTAGAGGACATCAATATCGAAGGTGGGCACTTACATACAACTATATAAACGATTTGTGTATGTTAAAAATTATAACTTTTTAAATTATTGTTAAATAATTGCCGGTAGTTTTAGTTTTCATATATATAGTCATTTAATATAGTCATATATAGTCATGTAACTTAGTTTGATGTAATAGGTGATTATTTCAGGCTTCAAGCAAGCAGCTTTGTTACCTGAGCTTCAGTTAAAGGGTAGGTAAGGTAATTTACAGGCTCATTCTTCTTGTGATGAGTCTGCATTCCGAATGAGTGGTAGAATCAAAATATGACAATTCAAAAGTGCTTGTAATGAGTTTATTCGAATAAAGATTATTTCTATTTCTATTTCCTAAGTGTCATACCTCTTGTATGACAGGTATCACGTGATAACGTGATATCATGATGTATATCATCATATATCCTAAAAATGTAATTCTTAATAATATTTATTTAAAAGAGCAACACACAAGTGTCTTGCTTATTCTTCTTGTGATGAGTCTGCGTTCCGAATGAGTTGTAGAATAAAAAAAATTACTATTCAGATTGCTTATTTATTTGAACAAATACTATTTCTATTTATATCGAGACTACAGTATGGGGTTCTTCAAGAAGGGTATATTAAGGTTTCTTAAGGGTCGACAACGCGCACGTGACACCCCTGGTGTTTCAGGCGTCCATAGGCTACGGTAACCATTTACCATCAGATGGGCCGTATGCCTGTTTGCCACCATAGTAGTATAAAAAAAAATTATCCCTATATGGCCTATCTAGGTCTACTTTTACATTATAAAATAGATTTATTGGTCTAGTACTCACGTCAGCTTTCTGCGGACTCTTATCGCCTTTATCGTTCCAAGAGCGGTACAACTTGCCTACAGCCACTGCATAATTTCGTGCTGGTAGCTTCCCAGTTGCGTCGTTCCAGAAGCAATGCGCCGCTAAACAACATTAACATCTTAAATATGAAATTCTCGTGTCACAATATTAGTTACCATACTCCTCCGAAACGGCTGGACCGATTTTCATTAAATTTTATATGGGTTGTCCAACCCTAACAATCTAAATATATATACTACAACTCAAAGTTGAGTGACATAGTGATCTATCAACGCACAGCTCAAACCACTGGACGGAACGGGCTGAAATTTGGCATGCAGGTAGATGTTATGACGTAGGCATCCGCTAAGAAAGGATTTTGATTAATTCTACCCCCAAGTTTGTATGAAACTTTGTCAATTTTAAACCGATCTGGCTGAGACTTTGCATGCATAAAGCTACTATGACTTAGGCATCCCCTAAGAAAGGATTTTGATAAATTCCATAAGGGAATATAATTAAATAAGTTATTGGGCAATAGCTATTTATAAATAAAGGACATCAGGTTGTTTAATTGTTGAAATTTTTATAGGTCTAAATTATGTATGAACAGGAGTTAGGTTAGGCAAAAAGAAAAGCAAAAAGAAGAAGAAACGCATCCTACGTGGTTGTAGCCCATACATGTATAATCGGAAATATCTCATTTGGAAAGTTTACAGTCTATTCTGAGGAGATAAAAACCATTCGCATTCGCCCCTAAGAATATCCTAGTCTCTGACGGGTCTAGGTAGCGAACTTTGAAAAAGGTATCACAATAGATCGATGCAGGTCGTAGTGTTACAGCTCTTAGCCCCTGATAAGAGCTGTAAAAAAAAAAGGAAAATCCTTTTCAAGATGTTCTCCTAGTGTCATCGGTTAATAAACAAAATTAATTTTGCTGGCGAGCTAGCAACAATTTTACTAGAATATCCAAAACTGTTTATGGGCATGGCTATTTGAAGTGGATTATTTAGGTCTCAACCAGTTGGTTGTATATCTAATAAATTTTCTATTTGAGTATTTAATTGAATTAGTGCTAGTTGGTACTTTGTATTCACATTTCAACTTACATTTTTAAGTTGAAATGTGAATACAAAGTTACCAAAGTAGTAAACTGACAACAAAATTATTTAAAACTGCAACACGCAAGTTTGTCGCTCATTCTTCCTGTGATGAGATATAGCTTTCCGAATAAGCAGTAGATTGATAAAAAAATGTATGACACATTTAAAAGTACTTCAATGTCAGTTTATTTTAATAAATTATTTTTTATTCTATTCTATTCAGAAAGGTACCCATAGTTACCTGATATACTAGACTACTGCTATTGAGTAAAAACAACATATGCATGATGACCCTCACAGGACACTGCAAATTAAACAAGCATATGGCTAAACTAGGCCTATGCACTACAAGAATCTGCAGATTCTGCCAAACTGAAGAGAAAACGCACTCTTCACATCCTATGTGGTTGTAGCCCACTCATGCATAAACGAATTATCTCCTTTGGAAAGTTTACACTCTTTCCCGAGGAGATAAAAACCACCGCTCCTAAGAATATCCTTCAATTCTTGTCCCTGACGGGTCTAGGTAGCGAACTTTGAAAAAGGGCGAGCAATAGATCTATGTAGGTCGCAGTGCTACAGGTGTTACAAACATCTGACAATAAGGTTGTCTGTAAGAGATTGCATTAGCGATAAGATTGCCTTTTGTACTTAGTTTTTTTTTTAAGTTTTTAATTTTGTTCATGTCCTTTATATGTTGGTGCAATAAAGTGTTATAATAATAATAATAATAATAATAATAAGATATAGCCATCCCAAACACACACAATATACAAAGCACAGTCAATGAAAAACAAACAAAGTACACAGATCTAGCAATAGAATTAAAAAAACAATGGAAAGCACACACCATCCACATAGTACCCATAGTTTTGTCATCCACAGGAATTATACCAAAAAGTCTGAACAAACACCTAGACACGTTGCATATCCCCTCCTCTACAATAGACCTTCAGAAGAAGAAGAAGAAGAAAATTTCACTTAACTCATCCATGCTTGGCTAAGGCCCGCGCGTTTGAATATATTACCCCCGTAAAAGAAGATATAATAAATATATATATAGTAATAATAATAACAATAAACGGTGAACGGTCTTATCCCAACCAGTCTGGAACAACATCTCAGACGGTTGGGATTCCGGGGCGGCTCACTCCCGGGAAAGATGCAGAAAGCGGTGCTAGAATAGAATAGAATAGAAAATCATTTATTCAAATAAACTTACATTGAAGCACTTTTGAATAGTCATTACATTTTTTAATCTACCACTCGTTCGGAAAGCTGTCTCATCACAAGAAGAACGAGCAAGAAACTTGCGTGTTGCTCTTTTAAATAATTTATTATTACTTTACATTTTTAAGTTTAAGTGTGTGAATACAAACCACCAATTAGCACTAATTCTATTAAATACTCAAATAGAAATAATATTGAATATATAACCAACTGGTTAAACAATTAATAAGAGGAAATCAGTCATAGCGATTACAGCAGACCAGTCCCTACAAGCAGCACCCGTTCACGAGTATGACGGATGAGCCAGCCATCACTGCGCTCGACCATATTTTAGGGAGCCCAATGACCCGGCCCACCACGCCGCCACAAGTCTGGACATTTTAGTGAGCATGACTACTCAAAAACTAGACTACGTCAAAGCTACTTACAATTGCTATCTGATAGTTATAGTATTCACATTTTACATAAGAATGCATGCGGCAATCAATACAAAAACCGCTACGCTTTCATATTTCTAAAATCAATCAATTAAATCAAGAAAGCAATGAGAAAATTAAATTATAACGTTGTATGCTAATAAACTAGTTATTTACTTGATATGTTGTCGTCTATGAATTCGTCTATCCTGTAATAGGCTTTCTTACACAAAAATTGTTTAATATAAGATTTGAATTGCCTCTCTGTCAGATTTAGTGCAGATTCTGGCAGTTTATTATAAAATCTTACGCAATTACCATAGAATGAATTACTGACTTTGTGCAGGCGGCATTTAGGTAAAATTAGCTTATTTTTATTGCGTAAGTTTCTATTTGTACAGTCTTTAAGTTTTCTAAAACTCTCTAAATTCTTCCGTGTATACATGATATTCTCATAAATGTATTGTGAAGTAACGGTGAGGATATTTGAATCTTTAAAACACTGACGTAATGACTCTCTTGAACCCATACCATAAATAGAACGTATGGCTCTCTTTTGTAAAATAAATATAGTATTTATATCGGCTGCTTTACCCCACAGTAGTATACCATATGACATAATGCTATGGAAATAACTAAAGTATACAAGTTTAGCCGTCGCCACGTCTGTTAATTGCCTAATTCTTCTAATTGCATATGCAGCTGAACTGAGTCTATTGGCCAATTTTGAAATATGGGGCCCCCATTGTAATTTCGAGTCCACTGTTATACCTAAAAAAACTGTATCATTAACAAAATTTACTATTTCATCATTAAGCAATAACTGTGTATTTATTGGTCTTACATTAGGAAGTGTAAATTTTATACACTTTGTTTTGCTGGAATTTAATAATAGGTTATTACATGTAAACCAATTTAATATAGCAGACATAGCACAATTTACATTGTCTAATTGATTACTTTGACGTCCAATTTTAAACACTAACGAAGTATCATCCGCAAACAGCACTATATCTGCAATTTTCTCTACCATAAAGGGAAGGTCATTTATGTAAATTAAAAAGAGAAAGGGGCCTAAGATTGACCCTTGTGGAACCCAATATTAGCTCCCTTAGATTTTATACCGTCAATATCTACAGTTTGGACCCTATCCTCTAAATAAGTTCTCATTAATTTTAGATCATTATCTTTTATACCATAATGTTCGAGCTTGTACAAAAGTGTTTTATGATCCACGCAATCAAATGCCTTTGATAGGTCATAAAAAACTCCGAGTGCATCCTGTGACTTCTCCCATGATTGGAAAATATGTGTTATCAGCGCTACACCTGCGTCAGTATTGCTCTTAGATTCTGCCCGCATTGTACGCCGGTTTCTCTCCCTGGGGCCCTGAACCCCGGCCGACTATGCTTCTGCCGGGGGTATGTTGCCATCTCCTCTCCTTAAGAGGGGAGATGAGAATTTTTGGAAAAAAAAATATATAATAGCCCAAATAACCCAATTGTTTGGGAAACTACTCTGCTACCAAAATGTTAGGGAATTTACTCTCTGTATATATATAGTGAAAAATGAGTGGAAGCGTCAGTCACGTACCTGTATGGTTCTGCGGATTTCTTGGGCTTCAGGGTCTCGAAGATATCTTCGCTAGCTTTCCAGTTTCACAGTAGGTTTCACAGTTCTAATTTATTTTAATTCACAACACAATGCGCGCGCGTCATGGCCGCCGTACAGTCGGTTCAGTACTAGGTAAGGAAGGGAACGCGCGGGAACACAAACTAACGGACTCTAATACAATAATCTGTGCTTACGATGATACAGGGTAGATTTTGAACACCAATAAAAAAAAAATACCTGATATAACAACGTTCGGTCTCACGATGGACCCGCCACAGATCTGCATGTAGGGCGTGGTGGTTTTCTTATATATGCCAGCGTGCCACGGCAGCTCGCCGCGCACCGCGTTCTGACCGCCAATGGCCAGGGTGTCGCCTTGTGGAGTCACACGCCCGCATTCTGTAATTACGTAATTATAGCAAACACGCTGGTCCACCTGATGGTAAGTGGTAACCGATGTACAGTACTTCCGACGGGGGGGAATTTATTGTTTAATATTATAGATTTTCTTAATATGGTAAAGTCAATAATCATGTAACCTGAAACGAAACGTCAGAGGCCAGAGCCAAAGTAATCTTTGTGACATTGACAGATCATCAATCTATGAATGATTCAACGTAGGCAGCGGGAGTTTTGGAGCGAAAAAGTGTTTATATTATTATAAAAACAAATAGAGATAGGTAATTGTGAATATTGTAGGCATTGAAGTGTTTCTCTCCCTGACCAACCGACATTACACCTAAGTCATCAGGATACTAGTGATTTTAATAATATCCTAATATTAAAATAATAGTGGGGGCTGGGGGCCCTTGGTATCCATTGTCCCTGGGCTGCAGCCCATAAAGCCCGTAGGCAGATCCGTCTGTCTTCGATTCGATTCCTTTTTTTATACAGCCATACGTATTCATGAGTATGATTGGCTCTTTACTATGAATAGAATAAGAATAGAAAAACATTTATTCAAATAAACTTACATTGAAGCACTTTTGAATAGTCATAACATTTTTTTTTTAATCTACCGCTCGTTCGGAAAGCTGTCTCATCACAAGAAGAACGAGCAAGAAACTTGCGTGTTGCTCTTTTAAATAATTTTATTATTACTTTACATTTTTAAGTTTAAGGGGGTCTTCCTATGTGACGGCCTGTTTTTTAGGGATATTTTAGGATTTTTTTTCTACGACCAGTAAATATTTAGAGCTTCAAGTTTTTTATCATTTATTAACACATATTTGGACAGTATAAATATAAAATTTCAGCTAAAAATATTCAGTCAAACTAGAGTTACAGCGCTCTGAACACCCCCGCCTCGAAAAAAAGAGCTCCCACTTCCTCCACGATTCCGGCTGATCGGCTTATCTGAAAAAAAAAAAAAACGGCGTTTTAATTTGTAGGCTTAAAAGCACGGAATGACCTATAATCAAATGAATATAAAAGAAATTGGATTTTTGATAGACATTTGAAATAAAAGTTGCAAATTAGGCGTTTTTTTTTTTTGTTTTTTGCTATAAAAAAATCGAAGTTTTGAAATTTTTCGATTGATAATAGTTCATTCCATGCGTTTACATATATTGAGTGTGCCCTGTAAATTTCAAGTAATTCGGTCCAGCCGTTTCTGAGATACAATGGAGGAAAGTTTGAAAAACACAGTTTTGAGAAAAACGCGTTTAAAGTTTCAAGTCCGTTAAAAACTATTAAAATATCAACTTACTCTCAATCGGCGATGCCTGGTCCATAGAGTATTCCTTCCTCTTCCTCGTGAAACTCTTTTAAAGCAGATTGTTCAGCTCTTGAGTCAATCCTGGCTTGTTTAACGACATCACTTACGCGCCGCTCAGAGCGTAAGATTCGCTTTTCATCCCGTTTCTCAACATACGCTTGGGCTTCACGACCAACAGGGCATCCCATAATCATAACTTTTAAAATACCTTGAAAACCTTCATTAAAGATAATAACTGCTAAGTAGCTAGCAATTTCAACAACTTTGGGACCAGAATGAAGATGTTTAGGAGCGAAAGTCCAAATCAAAGAATTCAAAGATTCGTTATTGTTTTGTGTCTCTGCTCCTAAACAACGAATTAATAAATTTGCAGCAAATACAGAAACAAACTCCAAAATGCAATATGCGAAATTCGAAGCGATGGGAACATTCATGTTCATGTTATTTTTAAGTTTTTTGGCCGAAGCTGATGTAAATACCGTATCATTTTGGTGGGTAAAACGGTTTCCACTAAACTTTCTTTTTTTACTACGACCAGGATGAACATTTCCACTCGTACTTCCTTTCCGTCCACTCATTATGAAAAAAAATAATTTGTAGCTGTTGCTCTCTTCGAAGTTCAACCAAGACTAAAATAACTTCGGTAAAATATTATAACAATAGAAATTTCTGTTCAAGTCTGTAGAAACGTGTCTAAACTTGTATAAACAAATATATTAATAAAAGGGAGGCCAGGTATAAAGCCGACGGTACACAATAGGCCCGTGGGCTAATTATGTAACACGATATGAAATTGTTTCTGTTGAAGTTGTGATGCAATATGAAATCATTTCAATTTAAAAAATGCGATCAAGTAAGGTCGAATGGCCGCAACATAAATCATTTCTATCGATAAAACATTACTATGAAGTTGCAGCGGAATATTGTTAATCCGACCAAATTAAAAAGTGAGTACAATGCCGTAGATGGAGAATATTAGTATGGTCCTAGATAGCTTATACATTTAGTAGGGTACCTTTTAATTTGATGGTATAATAGACTTGTTGATTGTTTTGAAACGATTTTTAGTCCTTCGAATTACAAAGTGCCTACTTACTTGTCGTTAATTTATTAATTGATATATAATAAAAAAGTGTGATATTACTAAATACAGGTATATTTTATACAAATAATGGCATGTCATTCACTACTTGTCTATTTTCTTTACACTTATTGCATACAAATAATCTACTTTTTTTTGTAATATACGCAGAATTTGTGTATAATATGCCGCCAAACCGCCAAATTTCGGGCCGCCAATATGAGTTGTTGGTACAGTTTGCCGAAACCCATCGCGGTGTCGCGATGGGTAATCTCGGCAAAGGTTTCCTTGGCCAACAAGAAGCCAATAAAGCATGGGAAGGTTTAGCCGTTAAGCTCAACTCTATTGGTGGAGGAGTCATGAAAACTCCAGAGAAATGGAAACGTGTAAGTATATTTCCCTTTTATAGCATGGCTCAGGAGTGTTTTACTATTATACATCAAAAACCTTTTTGTTTGACTCATTAACCTAACACTGCTTGCATGTTTTTTGTTTTTTAACTAATAAGTACTGGCATCTCATAAAATGCCGCACGAAAGCGAAAGCAGCCGATATTCGGAGAAAAAGAATGGCCACAGGTGGCGGACCTAACACCATAAATCCTCTCTCCGATTTGGAGGAGAGAATTGCGGCTGTAATCGGGAAAGTGGCAATAGAAGGCATCACTGATGTTCAAATACCTGTTGATGTTAGTATTCTTATTTTAACAACTAACAATCATTGTATGATGCTTATTGCAAGGTACAAAAACAATAAGTTATTGTCCCAAATCTATACTCATTATCATGCTACAGTTACTCTACTACTATTACTATTTACCAAGCAGCATGGTGTTGGCATGGCATTCACTACTTGTGTATTTTCTTTACACTTATTGCAACAACACAAATAAATAATTACAACATGAATTATAATTATTAACCAAACTTTTTATATTTGTATAAAAAATAGTAATTACTTTGTTTTTCCATTTATTAGTACATATAACTTGGTTTTATCTTGATTGTGAACATGTAGAAATTTGATCAAAGTACATTTGCTGTAAATTTATAGTTTCCCTTTTATTTTACTCTCAAATTAAGAGTGTTGTAATAATATATTGCAGCTGTCAGATGAACTACCTCCTACCACCAGTGCTGCAGGTGAAGAGGCCAACCTAAATTTATGTAGGTGCTAACTGCCAACTCACCGCTCGGAACCGCTCTTTCTTTTACCTGCTGTATCTTTAAAACGACTTCGAATTTTCTAAAATCGCTTTACTACCGTATTCTAGACATGTTAAGGGAGCAATTTATGAAAAAAAAAAAAACGATTTTTTCAACCCATCACATAGGAAGACCCCCTTAAGTGTGTGAATACAAACCACCAATTAGCACTAATTCAATTAAATACTCAAAAAGAAAAAATATTTAATACATAACCAACTGGTTAAACAATTAATAAGAGGAAATCAGTCATAGTGATTAGAGCAGACCAGTCCCTACAAGCAGCACCCGTTCACGAGTATGACGGATGAGCCAGCCATCACTGCGCTCGACCATATTTTAGGGAGCCCAATGACCCGGCCCACCACGCCGCCACAAGTCTGGACATTTTAGTGAGCATGACTACTCAAAACACTAGACCACGTCAAGCTACTCACAATGGCCATCTGATAGTTATACTATGTACATTATACAAGCTATTACCAGACTTTGTTTACTTATTTTAGGATAAAAAGTAGCCTATGTACATTTTTTTATACTACTAAGGCAAACAAGCACATTATATATCCCATCAAATTTCATTAGAATCTGTAAAGCCATTTAGTCGTTCATAGGTAACAAATAGACAAACAAACAGACATTTTCGTATTTACAATATAAGTATGCATATGTGTAATGAAGAAATATCTAAGTATTTATATCAGTCGTCTAGTACCCATAACACAAGTTCTACTCAGCTTGCGACTAGATGGCGCTGTGTGAATTGTCCAGGCTTTTTGTCTTAACAATTTATAAGTTAAAAGGATGGAGGATTAAGGAGCGAAATAAAATAATAATTGTACAAACTGAATAATTTATTAAATGCAAAATATAATAAATACAAAATATCATCCATCCATTTAACTATCCTTAACTAATTTACTGTATACATGTGAGACAATTTATCTATTATTTAAAGTTTGTTTGTCGATATTTTTCCACTAAACAACTTAAATTATTTTCTAAAACTGCCGCTAACAATCTTTACAATCCACCTTATTTTTACGACTCGAGTCTGAGAGCACTAGGGGTGTTCAAAGGCGTCCGTAATTTGGATCCCCGTTTGAATTGGACAGTGAATAGTATGCTAAATGCTATAATGCATCGTATTTGACAAACTAGTTTTACTAATATTGTTAAACAGGGTTTAACACGAATAATTTTTCAATCTAGTCGACGTTTCGACTAGATTGAACCCACGAGCTGACATAGAGAGTAAGAGACTTCTTAAGAGGTAAATAATACCTTTATTTACCATAAATTATTCGTGTTAAAATTCGTAAAACTACGTTTGTCAAATAACATTTATTATTTATTATTCTCTCTTCTCGGACCTTATTATTAAGTATCTTATTAACTAGATAGGAATATAGTACGCATATGTACTTTAGAATGTTTTATAAAACACTAATAAATAAACTACTTGTACTAAAATATAGTTCATTATTAATTATAACAAGAGGACAATGACTCCTGAAACGTGGGTATTTCCTATACCTACGTCCTACACCAGAAGTTACAAATGTCAGGGATTTCCTCCCTGACATTTGTAACTTGGGAACTATGTCCAGCGGTGGACTGCAGTGATCAGTCCACTGCAGTCCACTGCTGGATATAGGCCTCTCCAAAGGCCACCATTGGGCGGGATCTAAAGCCCTTCTCTACCAGTTACCAGTTACCTAGCTGCGCGGCGTCCTACTATTTTTATAATAAATACAAACAAGAAATACTGATCCATTATTTTATTATGTGAAGCAGTTGCAAAGATTATATATTTTCAATAAAGTACGTAAAATTTTATAATAACTAGCTGTCCCGGCAAACGTTGTTTTGCCTTACAAATTAATAACGCTATAAAAGACAGAAGGGTGAAAATTTAGGATTATATGTATTTTTGTATGTTGTATCATAAAAAAATAGAAACTAAAAATTTTGTCTAAAAAATAAAAAAAAAAATTTAGGGGTGGACTACCCCTAACATTTAGAAAAATAGATGTTGGCCGATTCTCAGACCTACTCAATACGTTCACAAAATTTCATGGGGATCGGTCAAGTCGTTTCGGAGGAATAAACATTCCTCTTGAATAATTCTATCTATTAAAAAAAACCGCTTCAAAATCCGTTGCGTAGTTTTAAAGACACATACATAGGGACAGACAGACAGCGACAGCGACAGCGACTTTGTTTTATACTGTGTAATGATTATAATTATTTAATTACGCTAAACTGGCTTTTAAAAAAAATTCTATTGAGTTGCTTGCCAGTTCCTCTCAATTGAATCTGTATATTGAATAATATAAAAAAAAAATTACGTTTATAAGCGGCTTAAATGATAAATATTTTACATGAATAAATAATTATTTAATTGCATTTGAATATTCAGTGACGAAACATGATCACCGATACTGGAAGCGTTACCACCTTGAGTGGTGATCAAATTCCGACCGTTATTGAGTCTACACCCATAATGCCACAACACTTCTTTCCCCTCTGGACGAAGCACCATAAGTCACTCACACTGAAACTTTACAAAATCTGGTAATATTTATAATAATATCCCTGAACATTTCACACAACGCCATCTAGTCCCAAGGTAAGCATGAGTTGATGTTAAGGATACTAAGACGACTGATATAAATATATATTTCAAATATATACAGAACTAGCTGTTCCCGCGACTTTATTTGAATTTAACTTTATTTTTCTAACACAAAAGTAGCCTAAAGAACTAAAAATTATTTTGTTCGTCTCAATTTTTACGGTCCAATAGGTACTGATAGGTTCAAACTAATACATTTACATCCTGCTTCATCCCTTATTTTATCCCCATGGGGGTTGAATTCTAAGATTCAAAATTCTATTTAAGCAAACGTCTTCATCATAGTAGCTCCAATCTTTAATTTCATTTCAATCAGGCGAAAATCTAAGAAGATATATACGAACTTTCATCCTCTATTTTATCCCCTTGGGGGGAGAATTAATCAAAATCCTAATAATTACTCATACATAATTTAGACCTATAAAAAATTTCAACAATTAAACAACCTGATGTCCTTTATTTATAAATAGCTATTGCCCGCGGCTTCGCTCGCGTTAATTATATTCCCTTAGGGGTGGAATTTATCAAAATCCTTTCTTAGGGGATGCCTAAGTCATAGTAGCTTTATGCATGCAAAGTCTCAGCCAGATCGGTTTAAAATTGACAAAGTTTCATACAAACTTGGGGGTAGAATTAATCAAAATCCTTTCTTAGCGGATGCCTACGTCATAACATCTTTGCCAAATTTTATATATATTGGGCTGTGCGTTGAAAGATCACTATGTCAGTCACCTTTGAGTTATACTCAGACCAATTATATTATACCATAACGACAATTATATTATAACGGCTATAGGAAGTAAGAAAGTGTGTTAAACCGCTAGACTGCCGAGGCCTTAAATTTAAAATAAAATATTGCAATTGCTTCACATAATCAAATCTATAGACTATAAAGATTTTCTAATCTGTTGTTAAGCTTACAGCTTACTTTCAACCACAGATAAATTAATATTACATCATACAACTGACGCTTTATCACATTATTATTATAATTAAATACTTAAGTATTATAATGAGCTTTGAGCTCAATCACTAAACCTACATTATTAGCATCTACTATTTGAGTCTAGTTATCTACATATCTATACTCTAATCTTAAAAAAAAACACTTTCCAACTCATTTATCAGATTGATTTTATACCCCTTCTATATAAATATCAAAATAAGATCTTGCTGGCAACTTGTCCACCGTTTTTTATTATAAATTATTGTATTTGATTACATCTTTTTAATGTCACTTTTAGAATAGAATAGAAAAGAAAATCATTTATTCGAATAAACTTACATTGAAGCACTTTTCAATAGCCATAAAATTTTCTTCAATCGACTGCTCATTCGGAAAGCTGTCTCATCACAAGAATAATGAGATAGCAACTTGCGTGTTGCTCTTTTAAATAATTTTGTTGTTACTTTACATTTTTAAGTTAAAGTGTGTGAATACAAAGTACCAATTACCACCAGTTCAGTTAAATAGAGAAAATATTTAATATACAATCAACTGGTTGAGTAAATCAGGCGAAGTTTTCGACTTGTGTACCCCTTTTTAGGAATTATACACTCCTATACAATTATCAGGGTTTTTATATTAAATAGTTATGATTCTACTCCATTCACAAATATAATTTTGCAGAATGGCAAACAAGCTTCCGGCCCACCTGACGGTAAATGGTAACCGTCGCCTATATACATGAACAGCAATATGGACATCATGTTATGTATCATATAAAACTCGTGATACCACTCTAGCGTTGTTATACCAGAGTACTAAGATGTCACGCCTCTTATCCTGTAATTTCATTGTCTAATCTGCACCCTACCTACCCTACCTACTACCGAACTATAGCTGACAAAGCAAGCTTGCCTTGGAGTCAAGTCTATCTCGGCATAAAATATAAAACAAGACAAAGAAGACAATTCACACAGATTAGTCCTAAATTAAGCAGAGCTTGTACTATGGGTACTAAACAACTGGTAGAAATATATTTCAAAATACTATAATTATTTGACATACAAAACACTGATACTAATACAAGCAATCACAGTCATGAATACAAATGTGTATATAGTGCGAGAATCGAATGCGCTACCTTCGGAAGTAACTATCGGGGGTCCATTAGACTAGAGGCCGTCGTTTAAAACTTAATTGACATTTCAATTTCTTTACAGTTAATCTCTAAAGTATATTCTATCTCGAAAATTTGTCTCCCTATCTTTATCGTCTTGAGAATTAGCTACCTTATTATTATTATTTTTATTAACACTTTCCCCATCAACACCCATCCTCCAGAAATCTTCATCTACATCATAATCATACGATTCTTCATCTTTATGTTTATCAATATTTGTTTCTGTTACATGTTTATTACTATCTCCATTACTTCCAATTTCTTTATTAGCATCATTTATATTAATTACTGTATGCTTATTACTATTAACGTCATTTATATTAATTATTGTATCTTTATTATTATTATTAGCGTTAACAACTGTTGGTTTGTTATTAAGGGAAATTGTATATAGAAAACTGCCGACATGTACTTCGACTTTGTCCTTAATGAGTATTGTTATATTAGTGCCATTTTTAGTCAAACCTGGTGAGCATATGGGGTAGTCGCTCCATCCTCCTCCACTGCAGGTCATGGATTGAGGGTCGCCGTTGTAGTAGTAATAATAGTTTGGTTTGCACTGAGGTCGTGCGATGGTTCCTTGGGGTTCATAGTCTTTGCAGGGTCGTTTGCCGTCGATGCCGTTCGAAGAGTAGCAGTAGTAATCTATACTGAAGTGCCGGTTCAAGTGACAGAGGCCTGGAAATAGAGGCATTTGTATATATACATTATATCTCCTTTGGAAAGTATACACTCTATCCTGAGGAGATAATAACTACCGCTCCTAAGAATATCCTTACATCTTGTCCCTGATGGGTCTAGGTAGCAGCGAACTTTGAAAAAAGGCGTGCACAATAGATCTATCTAGATCGCAGTGTTACAGGTATAAATAATAGGCATAAAAATATATTAATGGACTAGTTTATCGCCGGAGTCTTCATAACATTTCTGTCTATAATTTTAAAAGCGGGTAAGTAGTTTTTCTTTATCAGTCGCCCATCCAATTCAAACCGGGATCGAAATTACGTCAGCCTGACCTGAGGTTCGCGCCTCTAGCAGTGCCCTCAGATTAAAGTCGTATCCGTCAGGCGGGAGTTGGCCTTCAGCCGCTCCATAAGTCCTTCTGCGGATTTGGAGTGCCATCTGCACTCGCCTCCTATCGTCCGGTGAAGCTGTAAAGGCCAGCTGCGGCCAACATCATTAGATAGGTCCGAAATAAACCACAATTCCTAATACGCACTACCAAAGAGTGGAACACAGTCCGAAAAAAAATTGGGTAATAAAAAACAGGTATTATACTTACGTGCACATTTAGGTATTTCCTGTATGTATAGTCCATCGAGACATGTGACGTCAGCGTCTCCTAGTAACTCATAGCCCGTATCACAAGAATACAGAAGGTAGATCTGCTTGAATGACTTCCCAGGAGTGGCAGACTTCTCATTTGGTGCCACCCAACGACCGTTCTCAGGGTATTCTGGTAGAAGACAATATCCTGGTCTTGGTGCACTGCAAGGTTAAAAATATAAATTCACATATTTTTCACTATAATAAAGTTTAACTGCTTTTTTTATAAAACAAATAACCTTCGTATGGAATCATACACCATGAAACAAATACCTATTTACAGTTTAATGGAAAAAATAGACGATTTTTAACTTAATTCTGAAAAATTACTATAGGTACGGAAACAACAAAAATATATTTACTGTATACAACGACAGTAATGGAAACACTAGTATTTGTATGTAAATTTTGAAAATCTGTTGTGGAAAAGTCCTGTAAAGCTTTAAAACTAATGTTAAAATAAAACTTTCCGACTAAACAAATCGGTATCGCAGGTACACCACTACCCCGCTATAAGTGGTAACATTATTTGAAAATTTGACATTTACACCTGTCAATTTAGTCTCTGAGATTGAAAAAAACAGACTATAGTCAACCTATATCTAAAATAATTATCAAATCTCACCCGGGCGTCACGTTGTCATTGTTGTTGTTATTGTTGTTATTGTTGTTGATGGGTGGTGTTGTTGGTTTAACAACTCCAATCCTATTACACAACTCGTCTGACTCGTCGGATCCATCTGCGCATTCTTGTTTCTGCAATGTTACATCTAAATATATATAACTCAAAGGTGACACTGGCATAGCGATCTATCAACGCACAGCCCAAACCACTGGACGGATCGGGCTGAAATTTGCCATGCAGGTAAATGTTATTACGTAGGCATCCGCTAAGAAAGGATTTTGATTAATTCTACCCCCAAGGGGATAAAATAGGGGATGAAAATTTATATGAAACTTCGTCAATTTTAAACCGATCGGGCTGAGACTTTGCTTGCATAAAGCTACTATGACATAACCATCCCCTAAGTAAGGATTTGATAAATTCCACCTCTAAAGGGATAAATTAACGCGAGCGAAGTCGTGAGCAGTGTGGCAGCGTGTTCCACTCTTTGGATTGCCAAATTAGAAATCATATTGAGGTTTTTTTTCAAACTATAATGCTATTGGTCACAGCTGGTCTTTACAGCTTCACCGGACGATAGTGGGCGAGTGTAGATGACACTCCAAACCAAAGGAAGGACTTATGGAGCGGCTGAAGGTCAACTCCCGCCTGACGGATACGACTTTAGTCTGAGGGCACCGCTAAGTCCGAACCTCGGCTCAGGCCGTCGTAATTTGGATCCCCGTTTGAATTGGACGGGAGATCGATCGGAGGTCAGTAAATTATATCAACTCACGTTGTTACAATCCGAGCCCTGGTCGACGCATGCGCCGTATGCGCACTGGAAGAGGTAAGAGTGGCAAGTGTTCCCCGCGCAGGCTCGTACCGTCTCGTCTGAACCGTCACTGCAGTCAGGTATACCGTCGCACAAGCTCTCAGAGGATACCATGTCGCCGTTCTCACATTTGAACTTGCCTCTGTATGGAACAGTTTTAGATATATACTAGCTGTACCCGCGACTACGTCCGCGTGGAATATTACTTTATTTTTCTAAACTAAAAATAGCCAAAGTTACTCCTTACTACATCAGCTACCTGCCAATAAAAGTCCCGTCAAAATCGGTCCAGGCATTTCAGAGATTAGCCGGAACAAACAGACAGACAGATAAAATTGTAAAAAAATGTTATTTTGTTGTACGTACCGTATTTATATTCATAGGCATGTACTAAAAAACGGTTATTTCAATATTAGAAACAGTCACTCCAATTTTATTTATATGTATAGATATATATACTATGTTGTTTTGTCGTATAATTTAAAATCCCTATTAAGAAATAAGAGTATAAGGCACATGCGCGAAGCCGGGGCGAGTCGCTAGTTGGGCCTTATATGGGCCTTACCTAACTATAGCTATAGCTAGCTAGTCTATAATTAGCCTAAATTAAATATTGTTGGAAAGAAGATTAAGAGTGGAGGGGAGACCCTATAAAAGGCGATGCCATCTCGGAACCGACACACTCTCGCTTTGTGATTTAGACTGTTATGTCGTTACTCTGCTAGTTTAGCTATCGGTTATAATCTTTTTAAGTTCATAGTGTTGTTTTGTTTGATTTGAATTGGAGGTTAATTATTTCTGTTTGTAATTAGTTTTCGTAGTTAATTATTTTTGCAGTATGAAATAAGCGATGTAAGAAGTTATCATTTTGATTCGTATTAGTTAAATTTAGATGTATCGTTAAACGGTTACAATAAAATTGTTTTGTTATAAATTTATTTTAGAGTTTAATTACCTTAGGTAGCCGTAATTATTTCTTTTTATAAAAATCACTTCTGGTCTTATTTCCAAGAATATATAAAATTATCATCCCTTAAAAAAACTATTATATATAAACTCAAGTACTCACTTGACGCTGTCGGTGGTGTTCCTGCAGCGGGGTAGCAGCTCATCAGAGTTATCTGCGCATTCCTTTACCCCGTTACAGGGAGCCGTCCCGTCCACACACGCGCCGTATGTACATTTAAACCAATTGCTCTGGCATCTGTTAATAGAACAACAATTGAGTCAAGGTTTAGCACACCGCTTCATTTGCGATAGTCGCGGGTTCGATTCCTTTTTTCTTTATCTATTGTAATTGCTAACTTATACATACTTGCTGACATAGCGCCATTTAATCCCAAGCTAAGCAGAGCTTGTGTTATGGGTACTATACAACTGATATAAATACATGGATCCATTTTTTTTTTTGTAAATAAATACATATTATACTTAGAAAACACCCAGACCGATACAAACAATCATACTCATGAATACAAATGTTTGTACCGTGCAAGGAATCGAACACACGACCATCGGATAGTAAAGCGGTGTGCTAAACCACTAGACCACCGAGGCTGTCGTAATTCCTCGTAAGGTACAAACATTTATTGCTCTGGCTCCTGGTAAAATAGAACAAAAATTGAGTCTAGACGACCTTATTGGGCTAGCGGTTTAGTACACCGATTTACTTCCGGTGGTGGCGGGTTCGATTCCTCGTAGGGTACATTATTGTTCTGGCATCTGGTCAAATAATAATTGACTAAACAATTGAGTCTAGACGACGCTTCATTTGCGATAGTCGCGGGTTCGTTTCGTAAGGTACAAACATTTATCCGGTGGACCTTGTTGGCTAGCGGTTTAGTACACCGATTTACTTCCGGTGGTGGCGGGTTCGATTCCTCGTAGGGTACATTATTGTTCTGGCATCTGGTCAAATATACAATAATTGAGCTACAACGCGAGATTGTAGACAGTCTCGCTCGTCTAGCCATTTAGCACATCGCTTTACATCCGGTGGTCACGAGTTCGATGTTTGCATTGTTTGAAACATTCACGAGTATGACTAGTTGTATCGGTCTGAGTATTTTCAATGTATATTATGTATGTATTTAAATAAAAAATATATGAGTATTACATATTAGTTGTCTAGTATTCATAACACAAGCTCTGCTTACCATTGGACTAGATGGCGCTGTGCGAGTTGTCTATGATTACAATTATTATTATCATCACCTTACTATTTTATTTATATGATAAACGCGAAAGTTTGTGAGTATGGATGGACGTATGGATGTTATCCTTTCACGCAAAAACTGCTGAACGAATTCCGATGAAACTTTACAGTAATGTAGCTTATACATCAGAATTACAGTGGCTATAAATTTCATGCCAGTGAAAGAAAATTCTTCATTCCACACGGAATTCATCCCCACACGCTGGAACCTAAGTGGTCTCGGACAGTGCGATTTCAGAGGAGCTTCCTCCCGCGTACACTTACATCGTGGAATGAACTACCTGCCGAGGTTTCACGAGACTACAGTATGGGGTTTTTCAAGAAGGGTATATTAAGGTTTCTTAAGGGTCGGCAACGCGTATGTGACAACCCTGGTGTTTCAGGCGTCCATAGGCTACGGTAACCGTTTACCATCAGATGGGCCGTATGCTTGTCTGCCACCTACGTGGCATTTAATTGATCGTGAACGAAAGTGTAAAAAATGTATTGTACATTATTAAATTACTATTATTATTCAACTAGCTGACCCGGCGAACTTTGTTCCGCCTTAATGGCAATAAATAAGCAGATTTTTTTTTAATTGGAAAAATACAAAAAAAAAATACCTACATTAATCATTCATAATTATTTCTGTATTTTAGTACATAGGATGCTCTTCATTTATGTACCTTGTGATACACAACATTTTTTGTTTTATTATCAGGCGCAAAAACAAACAACGCAGATGGTCTTCCGACCCGTGAACATACCATGTATAATTGACCATGGAAAAAACATGAATGTTCTAGATTTAAACCACAAACTTTTTTAAAGGATTGGCCTTGTGATTTGTTGATGGTCATGGCAAATACCAACCTTTAGGTATTGATATCAATAATAAATTATTGATAATAATAAAGCCACTAACTATCCAATTGAATTTTTGAGACGCCTAAAGGTTGGCATTTGCCATGACTGAATTTTCAACCATACCGAGTTTTATACTCTGTTCACTTCACTGTTTATACGAATGGGCAATGGCACTATCATTACATTATAATTGTTAATTAAGTTAATTTATTTAATAGAAATAGTTTTATTATTGGTTTCTTACAAATATCAAATTGTCATCCATACGTCATTACATAGCTGTCATTTACGTTTTGTTATTCCAAGTCTGATTCTTTTTTGTTATATCACGTTTTATAGTGACTGACGTTTCATGTCAAGTCACACGGGAATGGTGTCGAACGGGATAAAAATGTCTTTCTCCTGGCTCTAAACTACCTCCCTGCCAATTTTCAGCTAAATCGGTTCAGCCGTTCTTGAGTTATAAGTGGAGTAACTAACACGACTTTATTTTATATATATATATATATTTATATATATATATATAATATATATATATATATATATATATAGATATTAAGTATTGATATGCCTTTTTTTATTTCTCTAATATCATAATCCATTCTTGCGCCTTCTACCACTTTCTGTCTCTCTTCTACCTCTACCTTCTAAAGGTTGTCTGGAGGAGATTGTTTATGCGATAAGACCGTCTTTTGTACCTTATTACTTCTGTTTATGTTCTTTCTAATATACTTCTGGTAAAAAAACAATAGAACACATATACAGGACAAAAAAAATAGGCCAAAAGGATACACACAAAAGAAGCGGAAGATATTATAAATTTATATATAAAAAAAAAAAAAAAATATATATATATATATATTTTATATATATTTTATATATATTCTGGTGCAAGAAAGTAAATAAATAATTAAACTATACTAACAGACTCTTCCTACAGAGCGGATGCGTCTCGTCGCTACCGTCCGGGCAGTCGAGCACACCGTCGCATTTACCGTCGAAGCCGATGCACGTACCATCCCGGCATTGCCATTGATTCTTCCTGTAAAATATTTTTATTATCAACGAATGGTATTTTTTTTAATATTACATTATAAACGCGAAAGTTTATGAGCATGGATGGATGCATGTTACTCTTTAACGCAAAAACTACTGAACGGATTCTAATGAAACTCTACAGTAATATATACATATAGCAAAAACATATATCCATTAAAAAAATAGCATGATTATACTAAATAATAGGCTTACAAAAGTAAATTCCACTATTTTACTATTCCCTCCGCCGATCAATTCTCCGTCCAATTCAAACGGGGATCGATGTTACGACGGCCTGAGCCGAGGTTCGAACCCCTGGCGGTGCTCTCAGACTAAAGTCGTATCCGTCATGCGGCAGTTGGCCTTCAGCCGCTCCATTAGAATAGTTAAGAAAAGTCCTCATGAAACAATTCTTCTCCATGTCAAATTGCATTGAGGTCGATTCAGCCGTTTAGACTTGATAAACACACAGACAGACAGATATTTATAACATTAGTATTGTTTATAGATACAACAACGTGAATACATACTGACAAGCCGATTGTCTCTTCGCTCTGCTCAGAATATCAGACCCAGCGTCATTCCTGTAGAATACAAAATTTAAATATTAAATTTCTTCAACAATATTACCAAAAAACAAGATGACCCATAATATAACAGTGGTAGGAGGGCCGGTATTTCGATTCGGTTCCCGGTCTTCTGCAGGTCCTTACGATCCGCAGGGTTCGGGCCTCGAGCTGAGCTCTTTGCCGTTTGCTCATTCTGCTGGGGTGGCCCACCCCAGCTTCATTCATTTACACCGCAAATAATTATTTGCGGTGTAAAGGCTATTTTCCAGCAGCCAGCTGAGGGAGTCGTATGGCGGGATTCAAATGTCCCTCGCCGAGCCTGTATTACTAGTAGGAGTACTAGACCCTCACACAGAGGCCGACCACAACGCGGTCCCCCTGACCTCCATGTGGTAATTTATTGGTCAATGCGCCACCTAACGATGTGCTAACTGACTTGACTTCACGCTCATCCCATCCATCATCCACTGGTGCCCCGCCAGCGTATACTGATAGCGCAAGCGGTACACCCGCTACCATACCATAATAAATCAACAATCCATCCACAAGGTCCAATGTTGTTTTTAAACCATCCAAGAACCCTAACTAAAGTCCTCTAGTTAGTCCAAGAACCCATTGAGAATTACATACAAAATTTCATCCCGAAATTACAGTACAACATGACATCTTAGACCTCTAGAACGGCAACGATGTGACGACGAGTGGTATAACATTTGTGACATGATAACGTGATGTCTGCAGTGCTATTCAAGTATATAGGCAACGCAAGAACTCGAACTAAAGTCCTTTAGTTAGTTAAGAACCTATTGAAATATACACCCAAATTTTGCCTAGCAGAAGAGGAAACGCCACATCCTATGTGGTTGTAGCTTACTCATGCATAAACGAAATATCTCCTTTGGAATGTTTACACACTACCCTAAAGTGATAAAAAGTGGAGGTTGATCTGACATCCTACTGAATAAGAAATATTGTTTACAACGTCGTGGTCGGTTTACTACCACCTTAGAGCCCAAAAGATAGAGTGCAAATTTGGTTAACACTAAGAACTTTAATTTCTACCAAGCAGAAGAGGAAACGCCACTACACATCCTATGTGGTTTTAGCCCACTCATGCATATACGAAATATCTCCTTTGGAATGTTTACACTCAATTCTTGTCCCTGAAGGGTCTAGGTAGCGAACTTTGAAAAAGGGCGAGCACAATAGATCTATGTAGGTTGCAGTGTTACAGGTCTTAGCACCTGATCACCCAAGACAAATAAAAATACACTTATTTTATCCTGAAATTACAGGACAAGAGGCATGACATCTTAGTCCTGTAAAATAGCAACGGATGAGTGTTATCACGGATATCATAGTCCGTATATCTGATGATTGCCATGTTAGTACATATTTTTTTCTTTAATATGATCAATTGTTTTCCATTATATATACAATAATCTGATGATTCCTTTTCTTTAATAGTTTGTATTCCATTTAAATTCATGATTCTCCATTGAGTCAGAGTCAGCCTTCAGGCGCTGTCCGCGGCCTTGCCGCTAGTCCCTGGACGTCACATCTTATAAGACTAAATAACCCTTAGAATCCCCGATCCCCGCAGTTTCTAATTATATAAAAAATCGTTTATAAAAATAAGCTGACCCCGCAAATGTTCTTTTGCTATATAAATTAAATTCGCTATTAAAAAATAGGGCTTGGTGGTAGTGGGGTGAAAATTGAAGGTTGTATGTATTTTTAATGCCATATAATAAAAATTAAAAGAGTATTTTAATTCCACATAACAAAAAAAAAGATTTGTCGAAATTAAACAAATATTTTTTAGCGTGAGCAACCCTTAACACTTAGTGGTATAAAATAGGTTAGTTATAAACCTATTCTCTGCCCCACTGAATATACATATAAAACATCATCAAAATCGGTCAAGCCGTTTTATACTCCTGTATAAATCCTCGAAACCTGTGACAGGAGAATTCTATATATGTTATGTTGGCGACCGACCGCCGAACTCATTTGATATTTTTATTATTTTTAAATTCATATTTTTTCAGAGTTCTTTTTTATATGTCATGTTATTTGATATAATTCAACTTATTGTATCATTCTATTATTGTCTTTCGTATAGTTCGCAACTATATTCTAACATATTATTATCATACAAACTACGTGTTTTCATCATTTAGACACCCATACAGTCCACCGATCCATTACATTTTGATGTACATATAGGAAAAACGATACAACCAGATGACTTACGAGACACCGCTGCAGGCAGCTTCATCACTATCATCCCAGCAGTCCTGTCTGCCATCACATAAGCTGCTAAGCTTGATACAACTGCCATCTCCACATGAGAATTCATTCGAGCTGTAAATGAAAATGATTCTTGTTAATAAAAGAAATAATAGGAAATCTCGAGTGTTGATAGAAATATTACAAGTGTAGACACTATCAACACTCGAGATCCTTCCATTAGTACCTATTCACATAACATAGGTTTAAGTTGAGTGTAAAATAAAGACGTGATAACTCGTAATAAACATGAGTCGAGTTAACTCGAGTTGAAATTCAGGTAACTCGAGTTGACTCGAGTTCTCGAATCTCTGAAATGGCTAGACCGATTTTGACGGGACTTTTATTGGCAGGTAGCTGATGTAATAAGGAGTAACTTAGGCTACTTTTATTTTAGAAAAATGTAATTTAAATTCCACGCGGACTAGTCAATAATAAAAACATTACAAACACAGTTTGTATTTAACAACTCTTTTGTTTATTGCCACCCTTAATAGATTCTTAATAATTTTAAAACATATAATTGAAATTAATTATAGTCGAATTTCGACCACTATAATATGTAATCTCAGGACAACTCACAACGCCATCTAGTCTCAAGCTAAGCAGAGCTTCTGTAATATTAGACAACTTAGATTCATTTTTCTTTTGTAAATACTTAATATACATAATAACATCCAGACCAATACACCATACTTATGAATGCAAACGTTTGGACTGTGCGAGGAATCGATCCCGCCCCGCTAAGCACGTCTTTTGGGCACGTCGTCGATCATAAAACTGTTTGAAGAAGCTGGCTCATAACTTTAACAATATTTTCACCTACCCATGCCTGCGAGTCATTATTGTCAGAGATGAATAACATTAAAAACTCGGTTAGAAACCGTTTGACAGATGAATCCAGTTCAGCATGCATTTTGCTAAAAGTAACATCGTACAAGCCTGACATAAATTATTTGTCATCTAACCTGAACAACAGAAGTCACACTAATTTTACAGTAATTTAATTTATGCGTGTAATAAAAACAATCCAAAATATACCTCTTTTGCTTACTTTATTTCATAGAGAGTTTTGATAGTATTTATTATTATTATTTTCCAAATAAACAGAAAAATCAAAATTATTTGATGGCATATTAATGACCCCATTAAACATTTTTTTGGAAAAATGGCACGTTCAAGCATAAAGGTTTTTTTTATAGATGATAATGGAATGGCGCCCCGTCTGCGCTAACGGTTTACACTGGCGGGGCACCAGTGGAGGATAAGATGAGCATGAGGTCAGGTCAGTTAGCCCATCGTGACGAATTCACCAAGAATTTATCACGATGGTTTCCAGGGAGAACCGCGTGGAGGTCAACCTGACATGGTACATTGCTAGTGATGCATAAAGGTTTGCCTACCCTGCGTTAGACCATCGAGGCCGTGAATAATGATAATTTATAAAGTGCAGTTAACTCGTAACTGTGACGGTTTAGGTAAACAACATTCAATACCAGAGATAACGGCAACTGTAACATGTGTGACCACATTGGAAATGCCTATACTATTGTAACTTGTGGCCAAAGAGGAAAAAAATTATAATTACTTGATCCATATGCTTTTTTTTCTTATTGATGACTAGCTGTTCCCGCGACTTCGTCCGTGTGGAATTTAACTTTATTTTTCTAACATAAAAGTAACTTAAGTTACTCCTTATTACATCAGCTACCTGCCAAAAAAAGTCCCGTCAAAATCGGTCCAGCCATTTCAGAGATTAGCCGGAACAAACAGACAGACAGACAAAAATTGTAAAAAAATGTTATTTTGGTGTGTGTTTCATTGCCATATTAATCATATGCATGTAGTAAAAACGGTTATTTCAATATTACAAACAGACACTCCAATTTTATTTATATGTGTAGACAATGGAATGGTGCACCCGTTTGTGCCGTGCGAGGAATCGAACCCGCGACCGGTCGTAAAGTGGTGTGCTAGACCACCAAGGTCGTCGAAGCTTATATTGAGTTTATTTGAAAAGATATTATTTCTAGTGCTGTTCATGTATATAGGCGACGGTCACCACTTACCATCGACGTGCCACCAGCTTGTATACCATTCTAAATAAATTAATATTTAATATTTTTCCTTTAATATTATAAGCAATTTGTTGAAACGTTTAGAACTAACAACTTGTTAATACATTCCGATGTCCCAATTAAAAATCATTAGTAAGAAGCGAGACTTAATTACCTGCATTTGTTTACTTGATTAATCACCGTCGATGACGTAATTGGGGATGTGCCTGTAACAATTTTTATATACATTTCATATATATTATTTAAATTTATAAAAATTAAGAACTGAGCTTCTTGTTAGTTCTTATACCGAATATAGTTATAGACCATTTTATCTAGATTAATATCGCTAAATTTTATTCTAAACAGCAATTGTAATAGTTTATTATTTGATACGAATAAAGATTTTTTTATATTTATTTTGCTTTTTCTTTTATCTGATTTAAAAGAAGGTAATACTCACCCACACGGGCCTAAGCTAAGTGTGGGAGAGGTTGCATTATGTGAATATGTTATTATTGAGGAAGATATTAGATATTTTCTAGTAATGCGACAGGTATTCAGTGTTATCGTATCGTGGCTTTTTGTTTGAGATGTTAGAGATGTGTCAACTCGAGTTGAATTCTGCCAACTCGAGTAGGAAGAATTCAACTGGTAAATGAATGAATCAAGGGAAAGAGCGAGAACATGATTCTGTCATCCAACTGACAATGACATGAAATTTTCCGATCATTTCAGGTTTCATACAATTTTCACTCGTCACAAATAGGTATTTAATATTGATTTGAGGTTGTTATCATTTTTTTTCGCATATTCGCCCGATTATGTTATCAATAAAATGATTATGCGTTCCATAAGTCCCGCGGCTATAAAGTGCCATTTCTGCGCGCCCCCTAAAGTTCAAGCTTTCAAGGCTAGCTGCGCCCAAAAACATTATAATAGCTCGAAAAAATAAAAAAAAAAATAAAAAAAAAAACTTATTCCAGGTAACTCGAGTTTTTTTAATTTTAACTCGAGTTAACTCGAGTCATGTCTATTACGAGTTAGCACATCTCTAAGATATGTTTTACAAGGATAATTACTTAGTGTTCGCAGACGATTTTTACGTGTTTCAGGGACGATACCCGTAGAAGAAATTACAATACAACAATATATACAGTTTCGGCTCGCCGTTGTGTTTGTGTTTTTACCTCTATTGCAAGATCCTGGTATTTTAACACTGTATCTGAGATGGTAGTTTGTATGTTGTGTGTATTAGGTATATCTATATAGCTATATCTATAAGATATACTGCGTTAAAGTTTTTATAATGTGCTATTATTATTATTTTTATTTTTTCTTTCCCTTTTATACACGGGCCATTGCCAAGTATGGGAGAGGTTGCTCTATGTGTAGATGTTATTGAGGAAGTCAAGAATTTCCTAGTTATCCGACAGGTATTCAGCAATGTGGCTTTTTGTAAGAGATATATGCTGATGATATTGTAGTGTAGTGTTATCTGTGTTAACTACTTCGTATAAACTCATACCTAGCCCACAGGTAAAGGTTCTTGATGAAGCTATTTGACCGTCCCTTTGTTTATAATCGGTTTCAGTAATAATTTTTCAATTTTTGTGTTTCTAATCGCAAAATATTTTTGTGTGTGTGTGTGTGTGTGTGTGTGTGTGTGTGTGTGTGTGTGTGTGTGTGTGTGTGTGTGTGTGTGTGTGTGTGTGTGTGTGTGTGTGTGTGTGTGTGTGTGTGTGTGTATTGCTTCAATTATGGTACAGTCTCATTTGTGAACAGTAAGAATTGCCCAGTTGATCTCGACTACACACACACACACCGTACTAACGATATATATACACACAATATGGTATCACTGCGCGCGCTGTGCGCTCCACACCGGCGCCCCGGGCGGTTTCGACCCACATAAAATTAATACCTGTGTTTTTCTGATCTACTAGTGGTATAAACAATATTACTGTTAAGTTTCATCAAAAAATCCGTTCAGTAGTTTTTGCGTTGAAACGTCCGGTGAAGTAACAAACATCCATACATCCATACTCACAAACTTTCGCGTCTATAATATTAATAAGAAGTAAGTTAATACTGTTCTTATGAAGACTGAGCCAAAATTAAATTTACGTAATAGCCTATAATGCTTAAAAAAATGATGTTGATTATAATTAAAAAAAAACAATCACATATACCAAGTAAACGGCAACGCGCAACGTGACACCCCTGGTGTATCATGCGTCCATAGGCTACGGTAACCATTTACCATCAGATGGGGCGTATGCTTGTTTGCCACCATAGTAATATAAAAAAAGTATGTGTGATGCAGACGAAGTTTCGCGAATCAATAATATAAAGGTGAACTTGTTCCGATATACCAGCATACGGTTGCTTTTGAAGTGTCTAGAATATAACAGACGGCTCCATACCCGCTTTGTGCAAAGCTATCACTGCAATCCGATTTTCTTTAACAACCCATTCCATATTGTAATTTGATAATGAACACGAAAAATATGCAAAATGGCGCATAATCGAAAGAAGTTTTTAAAATAATACACGTGTTCCAAATTCAAAATAATTAGCAGCAGTAGCAGTATTTATGGCCAGATTAAAGGTGGACTTATATGCTGGAAAATGGAATTTCTTTTTTCATTCAGCCCAGAAATCTAAATTCTAAATTCAAATTCCAAATAGTAGTTCTTGAAACTACTAATAATAGTAGTTTCAAGAACAACTATCGTAATAAACAGAATTACATGTAAATATGAGTAATACTTGTGTGCATGAAAAATTTTACGCAGGTCATAGTGGGTTTTTTTAGCCGTCGCCACAAGGTACACTCCCGTGTAGATGAAATCTTGTAAAGATATTTCAATGAATATGAACTAAAAGCTAATGCAAATATGTACTTAGGTACAGATAAAAACAAATGCACGTCGCTTGGTTCCACTTTTTTTAGCATTGCAATTAGTATCTTGGTTTACAAAAATACCATTATTTACCAATATAATTTCATTAACATTAACATTGAATAAGTTCACATATGTTATTTAATTATATTCGACGCGGCAGTTTTCCGCCATATTGTATTTGTTATTGGCGGGAACAAGAATGCGTTTTTACTGAAGATTTGGCAGTATAATCTTGTAATTTTGCCTTTCCACATGTAGATTAAATGTACTGCTATTGAATTTTTACTGCTCTGTTGATCGATATACTCTGTGTGGTATTTAGCAAATATATTTTTAATTAACAATTTTCCTTTGCAGTACTTACGAGATAATACTAACCGCCTTACGACCGATGGTCGCGGGTTCGATTCCTCGCACGGCACAAACATTTGTATTCATGAGTATGATTGTTTGTATCGGTCTAGGTGTTTTCTATATATAATATGTATGTATTTATAAAAAAAAAAATATCTATGTATTTGTATCAGTTGTCTAGTACCCATAACACAAGCTTTAGCTAGCTTAACTTGGGTCTAGATGGCGCTGTGTGAATTGTCCTAAGGTAAAAAAAAAAAAAATCAAATCAATTCGAAACTAAATAATCATCAAAGTAAAACATTTAAGTGTTTATAAATGTCAATATTTTTTTTATTACAGTTCAATTTAGTCTATAGACTAAACTCAATTGAATTTATTATTTTCGATACGAAGTGGATCTAATAGATGGGTGAAATTATGTACATAAAATTTCATGAAAAGCCGGTAAAGCGGTTTTGGAGGACTTATATAACAAACTAATATATAAAAATTTTATATATTAGAATAGATAAAATGGAGTTTACGTCAATTACAATTGTCATCAGTGATTTGGTCATTAGTAAGGAAAACCATAAATAAATAGAGGCTACGTTGATTGCTAGTTCTTATCTTAATTAGTAAATAAGTAATACTAAACCATCGCCCGTATTACGCATGTCATAATTATTAATATTATATTTTAAATATTATATTATATGTATGTTAGTCTATAAGGTATTTATAATATGGGCCTAGTTGCCTGAAATAAATAAATAAATAAATTCATAACAGGCGCGGGTTCGATTCCTCGCACGATATATAACATTTATATTTATAAGTATTATTGTGAGATTTTATATATAAGAATAGCTACTCGCCCCGACTTCGCACGGGTGTACATGTATTATATATATATTCAAATTCAAATTTAAAAAACTGCTTTTAAATCTGTTGCGTATTTTTAAAGATTTAAGCATACATAGGGACGGACAGACAGCGACAGCGACAATGTTTTATACCATGTAATGATAAGATTATTAGTTACAATGGTTTAATAACCTGAGATATTTTCAATTGAATTTCAGGATTTTAGAATCACCACATTCCATTAAAAAATAATAAAAACAATACCTACCAATGATCAGGTCGACCAGCAGGTTTGGGTACCGTTATTTTTGGTGGCTTTCGTAACGTTATTTCTCCGTCAATAGGTATTAATATTATAAAGAGAAATATTATTTAAGTAATATACGTACATTTTTATTAAATAAACTCAATAATAAAATTAAAACTTTAAAACCACAGATTCGACGTCCTTGGTGGCCTAGCGGTTTAGCACACCGCTATACTTCCGATGGTCACGAGTTCAATTCCTCGCACGGTGCAAATATTTGTATTCATGAGTATGATTGTTTATATGGGCATTTTCTATGTATGTTATGTATGTATTTACAAAAAAAATATATTTATTTACAGTATAATAAAAACAAAAACCGACCGCCCCCAAAAATAAGATGGCACATGCTCGAGAACTATGAGAATACAATGAAATTTAGAGAACAAGTGAATGATATGATTATAGAAATGAATAATATGTAAGGAAAATCTGTTAACGAATGTTGGAATGTAATAGCGAATGGAATGAGAGGTATAGCAAAACATATTGTTGGCGAAACAAAAAAAATGATAGAGAAAGATACTTGGTGGTGGAATGAAAGTGTGCAACAAATACTGAAAGAGAAGAAAAGAGCGTTTAAAGAATGGCAAAAGAGCTGTAAAGAGAATGATAATACAAAAGACGAAAAAAAAAGGAAGTGTATTTAGGATGCAAAAAGAAGGCAAAGAAAGCTGTTGCAACGGCAAGAGCTGAATTCCAAGATAAACTCTACGCCTCATTAGATACTTCCGAAGGCCAAAAGACTCTTCCGATAGCAAAAATGAGAGATATACAAACGATGGAGTATATATAAAATGTATAAAAGATGATAAAGGAAAGGTTCTAATGAAAGAAGATGATATAAAAGATCGATGGAAAAATTACTTTGAAAACTTAATGAATGAAGAAAATTCATGGAATAAATCGATAGGAGAGGAAAGAGTGAATGTGGGTTTAGTCAGAGAAGTAAGAATGGAAGAAGTAAAACAAGCTGTGCGAAGTATGAAAAGCAGTAAAGCCGTAGGACCAGATGGAATACCAGTGGAAGTATGGAAGTTATTGGGTGAAAATGGATGTAAGTGGCTCACTTTATTCTTCAATAAGTTGTTGCATGAAGAAACTATTCCTGAAGAATGGTGCCAAAGCATATTGGTGCCTATCTTCAAGAATAAGGCTGATGTTCAAGACTGCAGCAATTATCGAGGAATAAAGCTTATGTTACATACTATGAAAGTGTGGGAGAAAATGATAGAGAGACGCTTGCGAGAGGAGTGTGATATTTCACAAAATCAATTCGGTTTTATGCCTGGTCGAGGCACCACGGATGCCATTTTTGCACTACGCCAGCTGTGCGAAAAATACCGGAATGTAAATAAAAATTTGCATATGGTATTTGTCGATATAAAAGGCATACGACCGAATTCCCCGTCTAGTTTTGTGGTGGGCCCTAAAGAAGAAAGGTGTACCAGGGAAGTATGTATATCTGATACGTGCCATGTACATTCGGTCTAACACATACGTCCGGTCGGCGGTAGGTGCCTCCGATAAGTTCAGTGTGGCGGTAGGCTTACACCAGGGTTCGGCTCTAAGCCCTTACCTCTTCCTCATTGTAATGGATGCTCTGACATCGGACATTCAATGGTTTAATATAGGACGAGGTACCCTGGTGTATGCTGTTTGCCGACGATATTGTGCTTGTTGGTGAGGATGGAATCGAGGACCAGAGTAGACTAGATAGATGGCAAGAAAAACTGGAGAGTGTTGGCTTGAAGATCAGCAGAACTAAAACTGAATACCTATTCTGCGATTTCGGCGGTCTCTCCAGTTTCAAGCCTATCTATCTAAACGGTGTAATGCTTCCGGTCTGCTCCGATTTTCGGTACCTCGGTTCAGTTATTCAGAACAATGCCGACATAGACCGCGATGTAAGGCACAGAATTAGTGCGGGATGGATGAAATGGCGACAGGTCTCGGGAACGATATGCGACCCCCAAATGCCCTTGAAACTAAAGGGTTTATAAATCTATCATAAGACCTGTCATTTTGTATGGATCTGAATGTTGGGCCGTAAAAGGGATGGACGAAAGGCGTGTGCATGTGGCAGAAATGCGAATGTTAAGATGGATGTGTGGGGTTACCAGGAATGACAGAATAAGGAATGAGTATATACGAGGAAGTTTGAAAGTTGCGCCGGTTATAGAAAAGTTGCGAGGTAACAGATTGAGCTGGTATGGGCATGTTATGCAGAGGAATGAGGACCATGTCTTATGGAAAGTGTATAATATGAATGTGGATGGATGTAAAAGGAGGGGACGCCCTAAGAAAAGATGGATGGATTGTGTGAAAGATGATATGAATAAAAGAAGAGTATGTTTAGATATGACGATTGATAGAGATCAGTGGAAGAGAATGACATACTGCGCCGACCCCAAATAATGGGATAAAGGCAAGGCAATGATGATGATCAGTTGTCTAGTATACCCATAACACAAGATCTGCTAACCGTGGAACTATGATTAAATGGTAAATTAATATATTATTATTGTATACTAGCTACTCGCCCCGCCTTTGCACGGGTGAACATGTATTATATATATATATATATATATCTAAACCTTCCTCTTAAATCACTATCTATTAACAAAAACCGCTTCAAAATCCGTTGCTTAGTTTTAAAGATTTAAACATACATAGGGATGGCCAGACAGCGACAGCGACTGTTTTATACTATGTAATGAAGAACAAAACAATAGAATGCTAATCAAGATGACTTTGTATCAGTCAACTATTAAAAAATTAAAAAAAAAATCTAATATTAGGTTGTCTTATCCTAAATAAGACAAATAAAAAGCTTGTATAATGGTAAAAAACATCGTAACATACAAAAACGGACTTTATATTAACATATCACAAAGTAGCTAATGTTTATCTCTTACAGAGTACCTATTCTATTGTTTAGCTCATTTAAAAATATGAAAAAAATATATAATAACAATCAAAAAGAAACTATATCACCACGTCATAGAGTACTTACATTGTTTATCTACAACAAAAAACAAAAAACTTACCATAAACAAAAAGAAGCAAAAGCAAAAACATTATCAGTTTTAAATCCGCATAAAGTTCAAGGCGAGGTCAATTAAAATACTTCAATAAACAAACACTCAAATACACAAAATACAATTGTGAAATTAAAAACAAAATATTAAAACAATAAACAATAACACATATTACACTGTTTCACTATAATATTGAATACGAATATATGTTTTTTTAATTGTTTTTAATGCGTCCATCGCGCGATCTTCCACTGTCAATTCACGCACACAACTAAATTAGTAAATTCCATTTACGCGTCAGAGATACCAGTTATAATTTGCATTTTCCTTATTGAGACGTCATTGTCTGAAATTACCAGTATTCAATTACAATGTACTTTGTAAGTAAAAAATAAATAAAGCGTTCTCTTGAAATCATTCCGAACTGACGGTAGATCTGACATAGTGAGTCTGTAATAGACCTACATGAATAAAGATATTTTGAATTCGAACTTTTGGACGGTAAGGGAAAAACATTAATGTCGTGGTAAACGCAACACTTGACATGCTTAATTCCGCTGCATATTTGAATCTAAAAAGATATAGGTCAATATGTTTGTAATACCAAATTGTTAGTATTGAAAAGTTCTTTAACGATAATAATGAGTTTATTTGCGGACAACGAAACACAAACAACAAAGAAAGCAGTATGAAAGAGAAATTATAACAACGTTATAACTTCTCTTTCATATAGCTCTTTCATATTCTCTTTCATATATGATAGCGTAGCGGCTTTTGTATTGATTACCGCTTGCATCCTTATATAAAGCGCGAATACTGTAACTACCATATAGTAATTTTAAGTAGCTATGACGTGGTCATGGAATGAGGAGTCATGCTCACTAAAATGTCCAGACATGTGGCGGCGTGGTGGGCCGGGTCATTGGGCGCCCTAAAATATGGTCGAGTGCGGTGATGGCTGGCTCATCCGTCATACTCGTCAACGAGTGCTGCTTATAGGGACTGGTCTGCTCTTGTCATTACGACTGATTTAATCTTATTGTGTTTTTATATTTAACCCTAATAAATTAGTGCTGGTTGGTAGTTTGTATTCACACGTTTTGAATTGTATAATGTGAACTTACAAGGATTATTTAAAACAGCAAAACGCAAGTTTCTTGCTCGTTCTACTTGTGATGAGACAGCTTTCCGAATGTGCGGTATATTAAAAAAAACATTCTTATGACTATGATTTGATGATTTTCTATTATATGATTGCACTAAGAATGAGTGGCGTAGCGGTTTCTATGATTATCGCATGTCTCTTGTTATTGTGTAATTATTTATATAAAAAAAAAGTATTAATAATAGCTACACACAAGTTTCTTGCTCATTCTTCTTGTGATGAAACTGCGTTCCGAATGAGTGGTAGAATCTAAAATATGACTATTCAAAAGCTTGTACTGAATTTATTTGAATAAAGATTATTTCTTTTTCCTAATATTATATCGCGGAAAGTGGCAAGAGCTCCACCGACAGGAGCGTAGCTCTTAAATTATGAATGATGAATGAATATTATAAAAAAAATCAAGACTTATATAACTGGACTGAAACTAGCTGACGGCCCATCTGATGGTAACTGGTAACCGTCGCCTATATACGAGTACATGAATAGCATTACGAACATTACATCGTATTTCCACGGTCGTGTATCACAAATGACTTGCCATTCTGGAGGACTTGTTGCATGACCGTGCCTTGTATTTTTTCTGTCCATATATCAACTTTAACAGAAACAACTTACTAAGCAAGCTGGCTTGGCGGCATTTTTGTATAACACATAGATAAATAATGTGAATTACGTATATATAGGTACACACAAAAACTTACACAACCTTTTAGAAATCAGTTAAAAAACTAAACAATTTGTATGGGTCTAGTTTGATAATTATTTTTATGTACCCTTCGTTTCTCTACTATGACAGTAAAAAAGATCTCACGTAACTCACGCACTTACGTTCCTAAAGAATAATTGAAACGAATAGATAAATTAAGTGTTAAACTAGTGACATTGTTATAGTACATTCCCTGGACCCTGTACGTGTTGAAAAGCACTAAGAACCTCACTGAGCATCAAAAAGTATAACTATGTAATAATGTCTTATCTGTGGTATAACTGGCCTTTGACTTTGGTATTTAGTGCATTGTAGTTATATAAATATATACACTAAGAACCTCTCCGAGCATTAAACGATATGCTGACCTAACTTCAAACTTCGACATTTTCCCCTAAAAGGTCTAATTACACGAATAAATCGCTACTCTCAGAAATTTACCTACAACTGTGTAAAAAATATAAGCTGGCAACACATTTGGAAACCAGTTATTAATGTTAATTGCTAATATAAATATAAAATTACCAGATATCTTGAATCGGGACTTAACGACAACCAGACCAAATTATGAAAAAAAAATTAATTACCTAATAATAAATAGCTCTGGACAATTAACACAGCGCCATCTAGTCCCACGGTAAGCAGAGCTTGAGTTATGGATACTAGACAACTGATATAAATATTTAGATTTTATTTTGCAAATAGATACATAATGAGACCCCAAATAATGTGATTAGATGAATAATATACATAGAAAACACTCAGACAGATATAATCATACAAATGTGTACATCGTGCGAGGAATCGAACCCGCGACCATCGAAAATAAAGCGCTGTCCTAAACCGCTATACCACCGAGACTTAACCATACATCAATTATCCTCTTGAAAATATTTAATCAAATTCAAATTCAAAAATCATTTATTCATATAGGACATTAGCCGCTTACTTCAAATATTTTATATTATATTTTCTTTTCCTACCGTCCAGTTATAGATCCAGAATATAATAGAAAATCATTTATTCAAATAAACTTAATTTAAGCATTTTTGAATAGTCATAACAGTTTTTTTTTATCTACCGCTCGTTCAGAAAGCTGACTCATCACATTACAATCTTTACAGTAATGTAGCTTATGTATCAGAATAACACCTAGGCTATAATTTAAAAACGTATGTAAATTGTGCGAAATATTATCATCTACCTATATTAATTATTTCGTCAAGGGGTACGGTAAACTCGAACAAAACCTTATGTGAATAACAAAACATAAAAAAATATTGATTTCGAGTCGACAACATATATACGCAAAATTCGGATTATGGAGTATTTCGTTAAATTCTAATGACACTGACAAACAAAACGCAGTCGCCATCTTTTCATTTCACTAGCATTTTATTCGGTCGTTGACGTTTCGCGAAAATATTGTTTTTGACACTTTTTTATGATAAAAGAGTATGTATTTTTTTTTTTAAACCTGAAATTGGCTGATTGTGAGACAAATTTGGCATTTTTGTTAATTGGTGTTACGGCTCTGGATACAAGTCCTTTTTAGCCCAATTAAAAGTTTTACAAAAAAATAAAAACTTTTGCACTTTTTATTTACTATATTTATTAAACACAATGAACGAAGCTTTACAAATCTATGCCTTGCTTACTTTTAATATTCCATGAGAACCGATGACTACAGAAATATCTACCCACATTTCACCCGAGCGAAGCCGGGTTTTCATCTAGTTAATATTATAAATGCGAAAGTTTGTGAGTATGGACGGATGTTTGTTACTCTTTCACGCAAAATTTACTGAATGGATTTTTTTTAAACTTTACAGTAATATAGCTTATACATTAGAATAACACACAGGTTATAAATATAACGCAAGTGAAACCGCAGGCACAGCTAGTATAATGATAAATGTCAAATAAGTGTGATGCAGACGAAGTTACACGGGCCAGCTAGTAGTTTCTAAAATTCGGTCGTATTGTAGAAATTTGCTATACGCCACATATAGGCGCGTCAGTGTTCCCTCGACAGCCGTATGTATTGGTTGTGTGCATGACTCAACGGGGAAATTACGTGTTCAAATTACGAACTTTTAAATATTTAAACAAACTGAATTTATAATCTATATTTTTAATGAACTAGATTATTTCAATATGTAGGTTTAAATGTTAGGTTTTAAATATTACGTAATAATTAAAATCTGGTTTCGTTTTATTCTATTAATGATTATAATTTTAAATGTCAGTGTAGTAATTGGAAGTGTTGTGGGATTATTAAAAACTATTTGGGCGGGAAAACATTTTTTTAAATAAGACAAAGGTAAGACTTGATTCGTTATTTTTATTATCTGTTCATAAGTAAACTATATTATTCTTTATACGAACATTACTAGAGCATGAATGACAATTAGATATTATTGTAGAAATCTATATCTATTTAAATCTATTTAGAAAATAATTAAACTTTTATACAGATAACAAAACTAAAAACACTTTTTATAATCTGTATAAAAGTTTAAATATCTTAAATTTGTTTTTTTTTTTTATTTTCTAAGTACAGACAAGAAATACTTAATTAGCTACAATTCTTTACGTATTATGGTAGACATTTTTTTTTCTCTGTATATGATTATAGGAATATAATTAACAAACATTTTATAACATTAATAGGAATGTAGAATTGTTATAAAACTAATGATTAAACCAACCTATGTATAAATTTTCATAGAAAAATGGCAATTAAATGAATTCATTTAAATTAATGAGTTAAATTAGTGACTTTTTACAAGTCAATGTGTCTTGACATAATATTAATAATGTATATTGTACTAGCTGTGCCCGCGACTTCGTCCGCGTGTTCTAGTGAGCTCGATCAAACAAAGAATAAAAATAATAATAAATTATATATTCAAATATCTATGTAACTCAAAAAAGGCAAATAAAATGACCGGTTTTCCTTCAATCCCCTTTAGGGTTAAATTTTAACTTTCTTAAGAGTATTTATAAAGAGTAAATATTTACAAACTTTGAATATAATATTTATTAGTATTTAATCAACAGCCTCAGAAATAAGTTTCAAGCTTCTAGCTTCAAAAATGACGATTCTTCCATATAACATTTCATTCCCCCTTTTAACCTCTTATAAGCCTATAACCCTTTTTGCATTAAGTAGCCTATGTCCTTTCTCAGGGTCTAGACTATCTGTGTACCAAATTTCATTTAAATCGGTTCAGTAGTTATGACGTGAAAGCGAGGCAGACGGTTACTTTCGCATTTATATATTAGTCAGGATTACCTTCACTACAACAATGAATATTACCAAGTGTCAAGGTCACATAGGTAAATAATTTGTTTAATTTTTAATACACCAATTCCTGCCACCTGTCTATGGAAGTAATGACGTAATATCA